TTTTTAGTTGTAAACACTAGTTAGTTTCTTTTCCATTTAATGCTAACTAATTGCTGCTCTCGATTTATCTAATTTTTGGTTATACATTGGATTATTGCATTGCGCTTTTAAGGGGTAGTATAATGAAACCACAAAACTGTTACAAAATCCCATAAAACCTTTAATTAAGCTACTGAAGTGAGTCGGAACGCAACCGAGCTATTTATTTGTCTGATTTACGATTTAATTTGTTTCGAAATTGGCCTTAACAACTAGGTAATTTGTATTCATAAATAAAAAAAACTATAAAATTTGAACAAAAACATTTAATTATAATTATACTCTAATAAATTGGTAAATTTGTTAAAGATAATAATTGATTTAATGTCCGCTCGTACACAATTGTTCTAATTAGTCAGTACATTAAAACTTATTGAAAAAAGCACACGTACATTACAGATAATGAAAAACACTATTATTTCATAGAAATATTTTAAACATGAAAAATGGAATAATAATAAACCGTAATAATAAAGAAATATTGATCTGAGTAATATTAACATTACAACCATTTAATGGAGGGGTGATCAGACATCATGCATGAGGTCACATGCCTATCTTACACTGGGCACACGTCGATTCTTCTTTGTGTGATTTTCTTTTTCCCGAAAATGCACTGTCGTAAGGCTGTTCCCCTGCTTTAATGTATAAATCTTTCACCTTAATTTCGCCCAAGAACTTAATCGATTTTCGATGTGTTTGAGCAGCAAAAACAAATGCTCCCATTTCATTGCAGCAAGTGCCGAGCTATTTTAGACAATTATGCTCTGATTACACACGTTTTAGCTGCCATCGGACACCATTGCGATTCCGGATCCAGGACAATTGTCCGGCTAAAAGGGGGCAGGACGACGAGGACAACGAGGTCCTGCACCTTTGTTAATTGCTGTTGCAGGCGTCTTCTGGCCAATGAGCTGGCGGAAGCTCAAATGGCACTTGCCGTGCATTCAACATTAGTTCGTTAGCTCCGGCAAATGGTCAACAGCACAAAAAGCTGAATGCCTCGGGTCCAAGGAGCGGCGACCTCTTGGCCAGAAGTCAGCCGGGCCAGCAAAAATGTCAACTTGAGGCGAAGAAAGGACACAAAGGCTTTTACTATGGGATATATGTATGTGTGCCAGGTGGGATGTGCGGCCAAAGGGTGAAGTATAACAAAAGAGCTGAAAATTAAAAAGAGACAAGCAATTAAAATGGCTTACAACCGGGCGAACAACCGGGGTAAATCGTAAATGGGTGCGGGATTTTGGGGGCGGGGAGCCGGGGAGGCGGTAACATCTGTAACTGTAATTGTTGTTGCTGCAGCGGCATAATTGCCGACAGGATGCAACGCACGCGACCACTTCCGCTTGGCAGGCACTTCATCCTCGGTAGCCATTCCGGCCCTCGTCCTTTAACCCTGCGAGGTCCAAGCATAACCAAAAGGACCTCACATTTATTAATAAAGACTCAGCTGCAATAAAAAAATTTTAAATAATGTTTAAAATTAAAAAAATATTTTTTAACAATTTCAGAAGGCCTAAAAGATTTCTACATTCCTTTTTAGATTAAATTTTGTTTATAGCGTCAACAAATATTTAATTATTTTGGTTTGGATATAAAAATATTTTTCCATAGCTTCATTAAAAAAGATTACATTTCGTTTTTAGCGTTTTTTTAAAAGACATAAAAAATAAACAAAATACACTTAAAGAGTAAAGTTCAATTTTTATTTGTAGCATAAAGAAATATTTAAATATTCTAAGAAGGAATAAGAAATTGTATGTATGTACCAATAAAAAACTGATTTTTTGAAATAAACAAAAAAACCTGTATTTCAAAATACCTTTTCATTCCATTTTATAAAATTTCTTTCCTTAAACAATATAGCCCGAAGGCAAAACCAAGAGCCAAAGGGTTAAATAATCCTTATCCTAGAGGCAGAGGCAAAGAGACAGAATGGGTTTCCCGGCAACTCATAAGGCTGGCACATTTTACGTGCAAAATAAATGGCGAGCCGAGTGCAGCAGAAATTAATGGCAGTGCAAACAACAAAGGCCCCTGACCCTTTCTCCTCTTTCTCCGGCTCAGACAGAGCTCAGTCCGCTGCACTTTGGACCCTGTGCCTGGATAGCCGGATCCCCGAAACCCGGAATCCCCTGCTTCCTCATTGCTCTCTCTGCTGATGCGTAAGTTGTCAGTTGCTGAATGGCCAAGACCGCTTGTCGGTCACCATTCTCCCTCCATCCTCCAAACTCTCCACTGATTCTGGCTTTTACCACTGACCAGGACTTTGCATAATGCGCATACGCCCCGTAAGCCCGTAGGCGGCTTTACGCCATTGAGTGTTACTTCCGGTTTTAAGGAGCTGCACCCCAAGTGCTGTGGCTAGAACAATTACAACAATTGGTTGTAGCAACGCGAACAGCCAGCAAGCTGAAAAAATATAAGCTGAAATTGCCGAGAAGCCATGGCAACGACCGAGAATTACTCAGTGGGATTACAAGAATTTACAAAGAATTAAAATTAAATTTAATAGAAATGCTATAAAATCAGGTAAAATATTAGTAAAATATTAGCCATTAATATTATTTTTGTTGTTTGAAGTGAAGAATCCCTATCAATATAAAGAAAGACTTAAAAAAACGGCAAGAAGGTCCTGCAGCCAAAACGGCTTGACATAAAAATCTTAAAAAAAAAACGAAATACGGAAATAATTTATTTATTAATTTCACAAATATTTGTAAAATAATTTTGAATATTTTTGTAATCGTCATGATTTTTATTTTTGATTTTTTTTATTGATATTTAAGTTTCGGTTCTTATATTTCGTTGTAAAGTATTTCTGATTAATTAAAAAATATATTCCGAACCTTATTGGAGTATTAATAAAAACACAGCATACCCTTGCATTCGCCTTGCCAGAATGCAAGAAGCCAGGGGGCATGGATGTGGGACTCATAATGAAATACATGGCATATGCGGAGACCCGGATCGGGCGAACAATGTGTGAATGCAACTCCACAGCCGGTCGTGGCTCCGGTCCTGGTCCCGGCATCCTGTGCACTCCGTCCGGACTCCGGATCCCCGCCGTCACGATGGCAATCATAATAATGGCACACAATTTAACAGCATTGCATATCGGAAGGAAATCTCGGTGGCCGCAATCTGTGCCTCTCGTCTTCGGGCGCCTGCGACTTGGACTCATTGCATTTGCCTACTTATGTACTCAGTCCGAGGGCGGTAGATGATGGGGCGTGGCACTGCAGACCGAGTTAAATGGGTCACTTTGACCGCTGCACAAATGACAATTGCCGGTCAGCAAATCCTGGGGAATTGCTGCAGTTGTTGGCCCGGCTTAAATGCATATGCATTAACAGAATAAATTATGCATTTTTCGCACATAAAATTCTGTCGCAGTCGCAGCTTTTCCCTTGAGTCCTTTCCCCAGGACATTGCCGTAGAGCCAAGTGAGTCATCATGACACAGTCCCAAGATTTCAAGGGGTTTTTGCCTACAATTCATGTACTACGCGGTTATTAAATTGTCACCACGGCAACATGAAACCAACGGTCTCTAACGAAGAATTGAGATGACAGCCTAAAGAATCTCAAAATGACAGGAGGTCCTCAGTTTTTTGGCGGCCATGGAATATGACAAAAAAAAAGAATTCTAGGATAGGTAGTCTGGTTTAAAATTTGTAAAAGGAACAATTAGAAGAAATTAGAATAGATTGTAAACTTTATTAAATTTAAAAATCATTTTGTCATCATGATCTAACAATTTAAAAACAAAATGTTATTTAATTTAAATGTACATAATTCTTTAAATCATCAAATAGAATTAAGGGACCTTTTTTAATTATTTTTTATGTTATAACATAGTTTAGAATTTAGAAAATAATTCTGTTTAGTGAATAAATGTTAAAGAAGGTAGTTTTCAGTACAAATAAAATAAAAACTGGCTTATATATTTATCCAAGACTTTACAGAAAACATTACCCAAAAAGCTTAAAGCTTTATGATTTACCTTTAAGTGTAAGTAAAAAGAAACTGAGCAGTCTGGCTCCAATTACTCTGTTCACCTGAAATGCCCGCGATTGACCACGGGGAAGAGGATTCCCTGATAGCTTGGTCATGGTCAGGCTGGAGTCACGGCTGCTGGGAGGCTCAAAGTCTCATTTCTCCCACGAACAACGTGTCCCGGCCATGGGCCGCTTTGATTGCAGTCACCAATTAGCGTAATATTCGCAATATGCTTTTGTCTGCGTATTCATTTTTATTATTTCTCCTTCGCTCTTTGAGACAGCGGCACGCCCAAGGGGACAAGGGGCTGCCCAGTTTCCATTCCGTGAATATTGGCCATGGCAAGTGTCATGGCAAAAAGTTTGCAGCACCAGATGGTTTTAATTGCTCCTCGGTAAGGTTTTTTGCCCAAGTCTTTGAAAATTAGTTTAAAGCATTTGAACGCGAAGGCAAGCAGCTAATTGATATTGCTTAATATTTATGGTGTGAGTGGAGCCGTGCAGTGCAATTTAACAAATGGAAAATCCCGGAAATGCAAATTGGAGCAGAAACAGCAACGGCAGTCATGGCAACAAAGTGCTCAGTGAAACTGGGAGAGTTGCATAGAAATTAGCCGAGTGTCGAATGTGTGTCATGCACTCAACTTAACAGGTGAGTGCCCTGCGATCCGCCGCCCCAAACATTTCCCGATTCTTCTGGAGCTGATAAGCCAGTCAGGCACGTCATTCGTGTGCCCAACATGGCCGGCCCTCCAAATCGATTCATTCATCCGCCATGACAGCGCTGTGCACACGGTTTTCTTCGGCCGACTGTCCAATGGCGATAGCGTTCCGGCAGAATGTAAACAATAAAGCGTTGTTGAGCCCGCGACCTTATCAGTAAACAAACGGGGAAAAATAGATAGTACGTTAAGCAATCGATATTCAGGTGGAATCACGCCGCCGCCCCCAAACGCAGCGATTAACAGATTTAAAAGGGCTTTAATGCTAAGCACACAGTCCATGACGCAACTTAATGGTATACTTAACCCTAGACATTCCCTATATACACAAAGCCAGAGCCGAAAGAGAGCTACTCCTCATCCTTGATGCAGTTCTCGACCAGATTCCGCAGATTGGGGTTCTCCATGGCCGCTGCGATGCGCTCCTTGTCATTGATTTGCTTGTTAACTGGGGGTTAGAGATACATTTCAGTTGAAATATTCGCCCTACTGGTATCTAACAGGCCAAACTCACTTTCTTCCTCTGTTTGATGGGCTCCCTTCTTGATGAATATGTCTAGCTTTATGTTGTGCGGCAGTCCACGTTCCACTTTTACGCGAATACAGAGTCCGATAAGCGTGGCCAGCGAGCAATGGGGCACTGTGGGATTGAACTCGATACGAACCTGAAATCATTACAATCGAATTAATTAATGGTCTCTTGTTTATAAGAAAAAATGGCTTATGTACTCATTTATAGGATGATATAATTGTTAATCCTACTTAAAATTATAAATAATATTTATTGCTAATAAACTAATTTAAAAAATTGTACGGGAAGTCTTGAATTCTTAGGCATTTGTTTATAACTATGGAACTACCTAACATTATAATTTTAAGGAACGCGAATACTAAGAAAATTAATGCAAGAATGCCGGAAAATGTGGTCTTTTATAATGTCTAGGCTGAGTTATTATAATAGACCTTTTAAAGGCATTATATAACCAAAAACGTGGTATAAGAAACGATATTTAACGGAAAACACTCCGGAATCTTCTGAATAACAAGCTCTAAAATCATAAAACAAAAACAAAATGGAGTTTAAAGGTAATACGTCAAAAAAACATTAAAAATATTATATATTAAGTAAAGAAACCTATTGTAATGGAATTCTTACTAAACATCAAGCCCTAATCATAGCTTTTATCTGCCTTACTAAATCAACAAAATAAATTATGAAATAAACGTATGAGATGTGTTTCTTTCGACTTGAATAACTTTTCAGGGGATTGGATAACGTACGACTGAGACATTTGAGCGCGTGGGTGGCATTACGAAGATTCCATCCTCGTAAATCACGTTCAGGTCCTCCAAAGTGCACGGTTTCTCGGGATCCCGAATGCCTCGCAAGAGATCTGAGGGAAAATGCAATTACATAATTATTACAAAATATGGAGATTGCATTTTATATAGTAAATATCCAACCGTAGATGGTCTCCTGGAGATCCGTGGCGTTCCGGTAGCCCAGCTCATGGAGCAGTGCGTCCTCCCCGAAGGCAATGGCCTCATCGTCCATCGACATCTGGCTCGTTTTGCGCACTAACTCGTCGGCGTTTTGGCTGCGACCGCTGATACTGCCGCTGCTGCTGCTGCCCGTACCGCTGCCGCTATCACCTGAACTCCCACTATTCCCGCCGCACGACGACGTCACAGAATTGACGCCGCTGTCGGATTCGGAGAGCTTGCGTTTTATGTAGGACAGCATGCTTGGCACCTTTTGTTTTGGCTTATCTCGCCTCTACTTATCTTTTCTCCTATGTTTTCTTATGTGTGCGTTATCAGTACAGCTTTATGTATGCCCTGGCACTTTTATATCCCAGCTTTTCCTCACTTTTCCTCTATTTTTTGTGTAATTTAGGAAAATACCCAAAATGCAGCAGCTGATTTTTGTTTGTGTGTGGCGACCAGGGCTGCACAGCGACAGCTGACTGCCGCCTGTCTATCGATGGCTCTTATCGATATCTGCTATCGATAGTTTATAGCGGCAACATTTGAAACGGTGTCAACTCTATAGAAATTCTTATCAATTTTTCTCTGCGCTTTTGGCTTAAGTTTTTGTTGTTGACCAAAGAGTTTCGCCGGCTAAATAAAAGGAAAAAATATAAGGCAGCTAAATTTAACTTTAACTTGAAAGAAAAATAAATAAAAAAAAAGTTTTTTTCGAGCACTAAACAGTGGGCCTTATGGCAATGTGCCTTAAATTGCAGCTACCCAACCCATCGTACTTAAGGAAAAACTCGTCAATTAGCAGGCTGTGCAACTGTCAAATTTCAACCAATTTTCCAGCCCGTCCAGTGCATTAACAAATAGTTCATTTCGTTTTAGTTAGTCGTACGGTTTGTTTCTTATTTGTGAAAGCTCGTCGAACGGAAGCAAATTTCGCTTTACCCTTTTGAAAAATAAAGGAAAAAGTTCGTAAAAAGCGAAAGAGCCCATCGAAATTAACACGAAAAGGAGTTCCCAATAAAGGTAAGACAAAGAAAAAGTGAAAAAAGTGTGGTGAAAATGTGAGAGTGATAGAAAAATAAAATGGCGATTCTGGAAGGAACCCGTTGGCTTGCCAGAATCTCGGTTTAAAGACCCTAGAAAGTTCGGGGCCCGTCACTTCGTAGACAAAATCTTTTAAAAGCGGTTCGCGTTTCACAAAGGAAAAGTTTCCTTTACAAAAAAATTGAAAAATTATTGAAGTGAGTTTTTGGCTAATGAAAATTTGTGGCGATTTTTCTAGAACGTTTCCCCAGATCATATTCAAAAATGGTTGCCGATAACATCGATGCTGGAGTGGCCATTGCCGCTGCCGATCAATCCTCGTCGCCTGTGGGCGTCAAGGACGAACTGCCGGCCGGCAACTACATCCTGGTGGGTGTGGACATAGACACCACTGGACGTCGTCTAATCGATGAGGTGGGTTCGGTTCCTGTTTTTTTTCTTGCCCCAGGAATTTCCCCATTCGGTCCTAACCCCACTTCCTTTACGCCCCCAGATTGTCCAGCTGGCCGCCTACACGCCCACCGACCACTTCGAGCAGTACATCATGCCCTATATGAATCTGAATCCAGCTGCGCGCCAGCGCCATCAAGTTCGTGTTATTTCGATTGGCTTTTATCGTATGCTGAAGTCGATGCAGACCTACAAGGTGAGTGTACCAGGTATTGCTCGCTAATCCCGGGAACCCCATTTCTACATTATCATTTTTTTAGTATTTTTCTTGTAATTATTTTGAAGGTGACTTTTCTTGTCATTTGTATATGTCATAGAAATGTCATAATGAAATGGCTACTCTGATTTCTTTCCTTTAAAATTACTTTAATTAATACTTTCTTTCCTTCTGAAATATTAAATTTGAATAAAATACATTTATGTCTTCTACCTTCATAGAGCAATAAATTATGCAAATTTAAATGATAAAATCGATATGATCTGGTAAGATATTTAGTTATTATAAAATATTAATATTCTTTTAAAATCTTTTTCCACATTTTGGTTCCACATAACAATATTATAATAATACAACAATAAAGTTAATTATAACCATACTACCTCCCATTCAAATTTCCCTCAGATCATCAAATCCAAGTCGGAGATCGCCGCCCTCAAGGACTTCCTCAACTGGCTTGAGCAACTGAAGACCAAGGCGGGCTCCAACTCGGACGGGATAGTGCTAATCTACCACGAGGAGCGCAAGTTCATTCCCTACATGATCCTGGAGTCGCTGAAGAAGTACGGCCTGCTGGAGCGATTCACCAAGACGGTGAAGTCCTTTGCCAACAGCCTCAATCTGGCCAAGGCCTCCATGGGCGGCGACACCAACGTCAAGCACTACAGTCTGCGCAAGCTCTCCAAAATGCTGTCCAAGACCAAGGAGGACGACGTCGCGGGCTCGGGCTCTGCATCCACCTCCTCATCGGGATCCGGTTCGGGATCTAGTTCGGTGTCTGGATCGGCATCTTCGTCGCCCAGCGACAGCACCGTGATCGATGAAAGCGCCAGCGACAAGCGATCCTCGAAGAACAGCCTCCAGGTGGAAAGGGATCTATTCGATGGCAATGCCAGTGTTCGCGCTAAATTGGCCTTCAATGTGGCCCTGCAGCTGAGCAACTCGGACCGCAAGCCGGAGCCACAATCCTCGGAGGCGCTGGAGAATATGTTTAATGCTCTAAAGCCCTTTGCCAAGTTGGTGGGCTCCGATGTCCAGGAGCTGGACACTCAGAACGAGAACCTGGAGCGACAGAACTCCTTCCGTCCCGTCTTCTTGAATTATTTCAAGACTACTTTGTATCACCGCGTTCGTGCTGTCAAATTCCGCATTGTGCTGGCCGAGAATGGCTTCGATCTGAGCACCTTGAGTGCAATTTGGGCTGACAAGCGCCGCGAGGGTCTGGACATGGCTCTCCAGTCGATTGGCACCATGAAGGGCGAGGATAAGACGGAGCTGCTGGAGCTACTGGACAGCTACTTTGATCCCCAGAAGACCACCATCAAGCCGGTGGTCAAGTCGAACAACAATCGTCGCCGTAATCGTCGCAGTTCGGGACAACCGACTAAGAATGAAGGACCCGCCAGTTCCCGATCGGCCAGTGCGGAGTTTGGAGCCGGAGGCGACAAGTCGCAGAGTGTGTCCTCGGTGCCGGACTCCACCACCAAGACGCCTTCGCCCAACAAGACACCCTCGCGTCCCCAGCGCAAGCGGAACTCGCGTCACAGCTTGGGTGGAACTCCCAATGGACTGAAGGTATCCTCGGCGGATACATCATCCTCCAAAGTAGAGCTCAACAACTCCGCTCCCCCTGCCGTCCTGGTAACCCCGGCCGCACCCTCACCATCGCCGTTGGCCATCACCGCCTCCAACTAGAGGAAAACCACAGCCTCCTCATCTGGTGGCTCCGTAAAGTAAATATTATAGCACAGAAACCTCTGCTATTTGCCTTGTAGATTCAAGTAGTTAACGAGGGTTACGCCTCTCGCTTAGATTGTTGATTAATTTTATGAATTACCTACGCTCGCTTGTATTTTTATTGAATTTTTATAAAAAATCGAGATGGAAAATCGACTGCAATATTTTTAGCTTGAAGAAATGCTTAAAGGTAATGGTATCTTAGATTATAATTTATTTATTGACGTATTACTAATAAGTTATTAGCTTAAGTGTCGCTTTTAAAATGCTTTTCCTAATTATTGTTTTTTTTTTATTTTTTCCTTGATTTAAATATTTTACAATTTAATTTTTTTTTTTTTTTTTTTTGATATTATTATTATCCTAGCACAGCAAGTTTACACTTATATTTGTAGCACTAAAAACTCTTTAATGAAAAAAATTAAATTGGAGGTTTTAAAGACTTCAACATTTTATTTTACTATTATATTTCGATCAAAATTATTTTAAAGTTGCAACGATTTTACGCTTTCCAATCTTTAAAGTGTTTAGTATTTTTAAAATCTCTCCTATTTACTTTTAGTTCCTGTAAATAATTTAGTACTGCCTTTATCTGAATCTTAAAAGTGCTTTACCAAAATCAATGCTTCTACCAAATTTCTAGATATTTCTTGAAATACCATTCCCAATGATGTTTACCCCCATTTTAGTAATATAATAGCTGGATGAGCAAAAAACACACGAAAAGACAAGAAAAGCATGGGAGATAGATTTCGAACAATATGCGAACCTTTTCCTTTTTGAAGAACTAGCACAGATTTGAAACAAGTTCAAAATTCTGGTGTATGCTAAATTTTTAGTGCACACACTTCACACATTACCACACAATCACGAGCACGTTGGCGAATGGATACTGTGATTTGAGACGTGACCGTGAACGTAAACTGTGACTGTTGAATATAAGTCGGGTGAAATAATAATCGGGACGTTAGCAAGCAAGGATACCGATCACACTGTAAACATAATCAACCACAGATCGTCACTTTGAAGAAACATATGCGGGTATATTCTAAGAAAAAACGGATCGTACGATTATAAAATAATATGATGGAGAAGAAGAAAACCAAACTGCTGACCATACTCAAGATCTTACGAGACGTGAGACCTCTTCCGCGTTTAGGCATAGTTTTCCAGGCGAACCGAACAGCACAATGTCGTACCAGGATGGGCGATTGGAAAAATATGATCCGAACAAACGCCTCGATGAAAATTTTCCATTGGACAGGCCTCTCGAACCACACTTATCCTATGAATATCCTATGAATATAAACCCAAGAGAGAAATCCAGGCCTGGCCCAATGTTGAAAACTTTCACACGCAAATCTTTAGAAGATGATGGAACCTACTTGAATCCAAAACTTCACGCACACAACGAATGCACGCAACGTAAAATTACTCAAACAATCATTCATACTTATTTCGCACATCTTAAATCATATAGCACACAATAATGGATGAAGAAGAAACTAAAAGCTACATATTCCCAGTACATGTCAACATTCCAGTATTTCAAGCTGTATTTCATACCTGTTTCATAAGAGCATATTTTCAAATCCAAAACAATATGTAATCTCTTTATTGATGCGTGAATAAACGATACAAATTTAACATAATCACTGTCTTTCACATTCTTGTTTATAATGGCGAATATAAAAATTGAATCATACAAACTTATTCAGAACATTCATTCACTCCTTTCATTGAATTCTGAGAACTTTGAGTCATTGCCTTTTCAACTACACTTACTCACTTCATTTACTTCGAGCCGGTATATATGGCATATTTTGATGATAAAAGCCAACAAAGTATTACAAGGTTAGTTGCGCATGCGTGCTCAGCCACCCGCAAGTAATTTAAACGATTCAAAATGCCATTTACCCCTCAAATGCTGATAAGCCATTTTGGAGTCTACCGCTTACTCTTGTTTACTCAACCAAATATTTTTTAAAGGCCAGCATCTTTTAGTATTTGGAACCTGATAGTGTGCTCCGCCTGATAGTGTGCTGGTTATCAGTCCCTCGGCTCAGCTTTTGCGTAGCTCTAGGCAGCTGATCGGTTTTAGTATTCGAGGTAATCAGCTAACGTTAGCACATCTTTCTAAGAATGCGGTCCGCAGTTCAAATTTTCATCATTTTCTTGGGATTTTTGGTAGCTGGAAGTTGGTCTCAAGATGTAATTCCCGAGTTTCCGGACGATGATAGGCCAACAACAACAACAGAGGCCACCACAACTTCAACGACTGAATCCACAACAACTTCAACAACAGAGCCAAGCACAACTTCAACAACAGAAGCCACTACAACTTCCACCACAAAACCTACCACAACTTCAACAACAGAAAGCGATCCAATAAATCCGACCTATCAACCTCCCCATGTGAAACCCACTTACCCCACCAAGAAATCTCTGGTGATGCAACCACTAGAAAGATGTTTTTTGAGAGACCAGTTGGGGTACGACAACTGTAAGTAAGATGATGAATGTAGGAAAGATGAGGACGGGAAAATGAGATTTAAAGTGAATCACATTTCATCTGCTTGCTTTTTAATTTGCAGGCTGGCCATATTCACCAACGACCAACTGTTATCGCTGTTGTTATTACTACGACAGTCATCTCACCGAGTGCCGAAAGCTTCGCCAGGGGCCCTGTTTGCCCTATGATTATGGAAAATTGAAAGTACACGTGAACTGGAAAGAAGTATAATGAAAACGAAATAAAACTGGAACCGAAATCAATTTTGAAGCTTAATTTATTTATAATTTTTGTAGATCAATTTCTTTTTATTTACTTTTTGGGCGTTTTAAATTAAAGTTAAATCTAAAATTGGGGCTTTCACAGGGACTTCGTTTTTGACTTGCAGTAAAAATGTATTTAAACTTTTTTAATTAAAGCGCGCTAAAAAACTGCCCCTTCTTTTTTAACAACCAATTTCCGAAAATACTAATATCTACTCAACAAAATATTTTTAAAATGCCGTCATCTTATTTACGAGTACAGCATTCTGTTTTTCTGTGAGCTAGCGTTCTGTTATCGGCCCTTACATTTTACTTGTGGGTTTCGTATAATTGTGTTAATGTGTCTGTGTCTGTATAGCTGTAGCCCAAACTCGAGCTTCTCGCGACTGTCGATCAGTTTCAGTTTTAGATGCCATCGGCTCCCGTCAACACAGCTCGCTAAAAATGAGGACCGCAGTTATTTGTTTAGCTATTTTCGTGGCTGGCATTGGGGCTCAGGATACAAAGCCACAAGTTCCAATAGATATTCTGCCGCCTGAAGAAATAACAACAACCACCACAACCAAAAAACCAACAATTCCAACAACAGAATCCAGCACGACTACAACAACAGAGTCCACCACAACTTCAACAACTGAACCGACCACAACTTCCACTACAACTACAACAACAGAGTCCACTACAACGGAACCCACAACAACTTTCACCACAACTACAACAAGAGAAACCACTAAATTTTCAACAACTAAGCCCACAACAACTTCAACAACGGAGTCCACTACAACTACAACCACAAAACCCACTACAAAACCTCCAGTCGTGCGACCCACGAGTTCATGGCGTCCCACTTATACCGTCGTGCAGCCATCGAGCCGGAGACAGCGGGAAGAAAATTGTTATCTAAAAAATCAGCAGGACTATACTAGGACTTGTTACGGTAAGAGTGATTAGAAAATGGAAATATTCATGAATCATAGGATTAATCTTCTTGACTTTACATACGCAGGTTGGCGGCGGAGGACAAACTGTTATCGCTGCTGCTCCTATGACACCGGAACCGCCGGATGCATTAGACTTCACAAGGGAAAGTGTTCATGTTATGATTATAATCGACATTGATAATACCGATGTTAGGCCAACAACAGACGCCAACACATCTTCAGCAACAGAACAAAGCACAACTTTAAACCTAAACTTTAACTTTAACTTTATCAACTAAACCCACTACAACTAAAACAACAGAACCCACCACAACTTCAGCAACAGAAAGGGAACCAATATTTTCGACCTATGTGGAACCCACATACCCCACCAAGAAGTCTATGGTGATGCAACCACTAGAAAGATGTTTTTTGAAATATCAGTTGGAGTACAACAACTGTAAGTAAGATGAAGAAAGTGGGAAAGATGAGTACGGGAAAAGGGACCCAAGGTGAATCACATTTCATCTGCTTGTTTTTCATTTTGCAGGCTGGCCATATTCACCGACGACCAACTGTTATGGCTGTTGTTACAACTACGACAGTCATCTCACCGAGTACTGATAGCTTCGCCATAGGAGCCCTGTTCTCCGTATAATTATGAAAAACTTAGTACAATAAAAACGAAATAATCTCGTATGAAATAAAATTTCTAGACGTTTTTTTCATATTACGTTTTAAGTTTTGGACGACTTTTTGTTAGGTTGAGTACTAGCCCTAAAACTGCAACTTTTGTAGATAAAAAAATTACATTTTTTTTTGTGCGTTTTAAATTACAGATAAATCTAGAATTTCACAGGGACTTCGGTTTTAACTTGGAGTAAAAATGTATGTAACCTTTTCAATTAAAGCTCGCTAAAGAACTGCCCCTTCTTTTTTAACTACTAATTTCCGGAAAAACTTTTTTAAATACTAAATATCTACTCAACCAAATATTTTTAAAATGCCGGCATCTTATTTACGAGTAATTACTCAACATTCGGTTTTTCTGTGAGCGAGCGTTCTGTTATCGGCCCTCACATTTTGCGTGTGGGTTTTGTATAATTGTGTTAATGACTGTGTCTGTATAGCTGTAGCCCAAGCTCGAGCTTCTCGCGACTTTCGATCAGTTTCAGTTTTAGATGCAATCGGCTCACGTCAACACAGCTCGCTAAAAATGAAGACCGCAGTTATTTGTTTGGTTATTCTCGTGGCTGGAATCGGCGCTCAGGATACAAAGCCACAAGTTCCAATTGACATTCCGCCGCCTGAAGAAATTACAACAACCACCACAACCGAGAAACCAACAATGCCAACCACAGAATCCAGCACGACTACAACAACAGAGTCCACCACAACTACAACAACAGAGTCCACCACAACTTCAACAACTGAACCGACCACAACTTCCACTACAACTACAACAACAGAACCCACAACAACTTCCACAACAGAGTTAATTACAACAACAGAGCCCACTACAACCTCTACAACAGAGTCCACTACAGCCTCTACAACAACACAGCCGACTACAACTTCTACAACAGGGTCCCCTACAACTACAACAACGGAACCCACAACTTTCACCACAGATCCGACAACAACTTCCACCACATCTACAACAACAGAAACCACTATAGAGCCCACAACAACTTCAACAACGGAGTCCACTACAACAACAGAATCCACAACAAGACCTCCACTCGTGCGACCCACGAGTTCATTGCGTCCCACTTATACCGTCGTGCCGCCTTGGAGCCGGAGACAGCAGGGAGAAAATTGTTATCTGAAAGATCAGCAGGAGTATACTATGACTTGTTACGGTAAGAGTGATTAGAAAATGGAAATATTCATGAATCATAGGCTTAATCTTCTTAAATTTTACATATGCAGGAAGAGGCTGGCGGCGGATGACAAACTGTTATCACTGCTGCTACTATGACACCGCAATCGCCGGATGCAATAAACTTCACAAGGGGGCGTGTTCATGGTATGATTATAATCAATGGATAATACCGATGATGGGCCAACAACAACAACAGAGGCCAACACAACTTCAACAACTGAACCCACTGCAACTTCAACAACAGAACCCACCACATCTTCAACAACAGAGGCCAACACAGCTTCAACAACCAAACCCACCACATCTTCAACAACAGAAAGGCAACCCATATTTCCGACCTATTAACACCCCCATGTGGAACCCATATACCCCACCAAGAAGTCTACGGTGTTGCAACCATTAGAAAGATGTTTTTGTAAGTAAGATGAAAAAAGAAGGAAAGATGAGTACGGAAAAAGGGACTTAAAATGAATCACATTTCATCTGCTTGCTTTATTTAATGTGCAGGCTGGCCATATTCACAGACGACCAACTGTTATCGCTGTTTTAATTACTACAACATTCATTTCACCAAGTACCGATAGCTTCGCCAGGAGCTTTTTATGATTATTGAAAATTATATACAATAAAAGCGAAATAAAACTGTAACCGAAATACCAACTGTATATTACACTTTATGGAAAGTTTTAAAGTTTAATAAAACTTTTGTATATCCAAAAAATACTTTTTCTTTCCAATGAGCGTTTTCAATCTCCAAGCCTCTCTAAGGCGTCGAGACAACCGGAAACGGGAAGTTCCTGGGCAGCAGCAAAATTTTTGCACATTTCATCTACATAAGAAATTTTACATTATATTCGTTAACAACTCAGATGGCGCCACTGTAGTAGTTGTTCAAACAATCCGCTCTATGGCGCATGGTATACGAGTTTTTTCCCGATGTTTTGGGTCCTTCTTAAATTATAAATATATTTAAAATAATTTATACAATTTAAATTATGGAACATAAATGTCTCCTAAAGTTATGTAGAATTATCAAGAAAACAGATTTTTAGAAGCAACATAATATTTGGTTGCCGATCTCCTAATACATAATTTTATATAATTAATTTTATTTATTTTTATACCCGTTACTCGTAGAGTAAAAGGGTATATTGTATTCGTGCAAAAGTATGTAACAGGTAGAAGGAAGCGTTTCCGACCCCATAAAGTATATATATTCTTGATCAGGATCACTAGCCGAGTCGATCTAGCCATGTCCGTCTGTCCGTCTGTCCGTCTGTCTGTCTGTCTGTCTGTCTGTCCGTCTGTCCGTATGAACGCTGAGATCTCGGAAACTATAAAAGCTAGAAGATTGACATTTTGCATGCAGATTCTAGGAGTTCCTACGCAGCGCAAGTTTGTTTCAAAAGGGTGCCACGCCCCCTCTAACGCCCACAATCGCATATATACGATTTTAAAAATTTCAATATTTTGGAAAAGTAAAAATGCAGTTTTATTGTGTTTATCAATACCTATCGAAATGTAGAAGAAATTTTTTAAATCGGAACATTCGTTAAAAAGTTACGGCGGATCAAAGTTTTTCTCCATCTCTTTCGCACTCCCTTTAGCTGAGTAACGGGTATCTGATAGTCGGGGCACCCGACTATAGCGTTCTCTCTTGTTTGTTCTTAAATGCTAACAAAAATAGCTGACAGAAACAGACAAATATGATTGGAAAACCGCAAAATCAACGGAGACTTCTGTGACATCCCATTATGAATATTTCCTCTAACATACCAAGTCCATGACGCAAACAGGGAATTCCCAGTCGCTAATTCTTATCTTCACTGCTTGTTTTTTAATGTCACCCCCTTTGTAGGTTTATGTAGAATTATTTTTAAAAACAAATTCTTAGAAACAACATAATATTTGGTTGCCGATCTCCTATTATTATTAATTTCCTTCATGATAAGCAATTGTTTACATAATTTTATATAAATTATATTCTTTTTTTTGTTCTTAAATGCTAACAAACATATCTGACAGAAACAGAAAAATATGATTGGAAAACCGCAAAATCGACGGCGACTTCTGTGACATCCCACTATGAATATTTCCTCTAACACACCAAGTCGATGACGTAAACAGGGAATTCCCAGTTGCTAATTTTTATCTTCACTGCTTGTTTTTTAAAGTCACCCTCTTCGTAGGTTTTTATATAAGTATGTTATGAAATACAACAGGCTATATGGTTATTTAATAACGTTATCAAATGACTGTTTGTTTTGTATATATAGCATACTCGTATAACTTAAATTTTATCAGGAAATTTAAAAATATATATAAATATGAGAATTATAAATTTTGGATTCATTTTATCGCACTAAACTAAACATTTTTTAGCTTTCTTCTGATATCAGTTCTAAAAGTGAGAGTAAATGTTGCTATATAGCTACTGCCCAAGCTCAACTGGTGACCAGTTTCATATATTTAGCTGAAGTAATCACAGCTTACTAAAAATGGAGTGCTCAGCTATAATTTCATTTACATTTTTGTGTATTTTGGTGGCTGGAACTTGGGCTCAGGATATCCCAGTAAAGGCTATTGCTGAATTAACGCCTCCCCCCGAAACAACGGCGCCTACAACTAAATTTTGGGATATGTATACTAAGCATAGAACTTTAACAAAAATAAAAGTATGGACAACACCGGAAACCATTACTACTACAACAACAAGGCCCACCACATCTTCAACAAAAAAGTCAACCACAACTACAACAACAGAGTTCACCACACCTTCAACAACAGAGTCAGCTGCACCTCCGACAACACAGCCAATCACAACAAAATCAACAACAGACTTTTCTCCAAAATCAATTAGTACAACAACAAAACACACCACATCTTCAACAACAAAGCCAATCACAACTACAACAACAGAGTCAATTACACCTTCCACAGCGGAGTTCAAAACACCTGCCACAACGGATTACACCACATATTCAACATCGAAGTCACCAACAAAGACTTCCACTCTTTCAACAACAGAGTCCATTACACCAAAAACAGAGTCCGCAACACCTCCGACAACACAGCCAGGCACATCAAAAAAGTCAATAACACTTTTAAAACAACAGGAAAAGTCGGAGGAAAAGTGTTATTTAAAAACCGATAAGGATGAGAGTGGTAAGTTTAATTTGGAAAAGAAAAATTAAAATCAAAAAGCCGAAGTCTAATTATATTCATTTTACTTATAGAAAATTCCGAAATTACGATGAGCTGTTATCGCTGCTGCTATAATAGCAACAAATGTACCAGCGAATGCCAAAAGCTCCACAGGGAACCTTGCACATGGAGTGATTATGCACCTGCAGTATACATGCCATAAATTTTAAGAGAAACTCTAAAAAAGCCACTAAAATACTGCACAATTAGTTTTTCAATGTTTATTTTAATTTCAATGTAATCTCAAGGGTATACATTAAATAAAGGTTAAAAAAGAAAAGAAATTAATATATTTAGATTTTTGATAGGCATTTCCTCTAATCCAGAGTGTAGACATTGCCCAAGTTGAGGAAGCAGTCCTTAAGATTCTGCTGACTCTCGCAGAAATCGGGAAATGGTGGGGCCAGCACTTCGTACATAATCCTGATGAGATCAACGAACTTGGCCAGGGCCTTCGAGTACTCCCCAGTTTCGTAGAGCCTCTTGGCTGTGCGCGTCATCATCTCGGTATCCTGCATGACCTTTAAACCTTTAAGGATGTTCGTAATCTCGCCACAGGTCACACACTTGACCATAAAGTCATTGCAGCTGGGTGGCACTTCAATCACCGCAGAACAATTATTGGGGGCATCGCAACGGAAACGTATGACATCCCTGGGAAGATCGTCGAATCGAGGCCAATTGTCAATGCAGGCATCGCAGGAGCACTCGAACCAGTAGAGCTCCTTCAAACGAGCCTGGCGATCTGATCTCTCGTCCTGCGTGTACATGGGTCCATAGTTCTCGTTGATCGGCAGTCCAGCTTCGATGGGCCGCACACTGTTTATATGGATGGTTGTGCCGCGGAAATAACGCACCACTCCGGGATCACAAGAGTGATTGAACAGGGCCAAGGTGGGATAAATGGCGCCGCCTATGAAGATAGACTTCTCGCGGCCCGAGGAGCTGAACTTGTGAAGCTCTGCCACCTCGTGGGTGTTGAACTGGATGAACTGCAGACTACGCAGCACCAAAGAGCAAATGATGGATATCTTTTCGGGATTGGCTTCCGAACCAAAGTAGCCTCCGGCCCGAAGACATTGAGTTAGAAAGCGAGCCATTAGGACGTGCTGGAAGAAGTTGGACGGTTGACGTTCTCCCTGATGCCTCTCCAATTGAGCCACCCTACGGAAGTCGTCCTTGGGAAGGCTGAAAGGGGTTTGTTTAAAGAGTAAGTAAGAGTAAGTAAATACAAAACCCACCTGACCAGCTGCTCTGGGGTCAGCTCCTCATCAATAGTTGTCTTCAAGTTGAGGAAGTAATCCAAAGGCCTGCTGGCAAAGATCCTCAAGGCAATATGATTGTTAATGGAGGCACCCGATCGCCAGAGAATGGGCACTATGCCGCACTCGTACTTGTGATACTTCTTGGAGGCCTCTTCACGACATTGCTCCGAGCAGTAGAGAACATCGGCGCAGCGAGGACAGGCCACAGGAACCACAGTCCTTGGGAGAAAGAATAGGGGTTACCACAATTCAGGAAGAAATGCTCCTAATTCAAGAACAACCATATCTAATTTACCTAACAAAGCAGTTCTCGCAGTGGGTCTTGGCGTACTTCTCCAGCAAAACAGAGACAAAAGGTCGCTCCACTAACAACTCTTCGCCAGCTCGAACATCCGCTGAAGCTCGGGCAAATCGACCCTCCTGACGATTGCTATCGATCCTCACCAGCGGACTCACGAACTCATCCTCCAACTTTACAGGACTGGCCTGATCCAGAGCAACCTTCTGCTTTAACTGCTTTGCCTCCTGCTTGGCCGTCCGGGGATCATGTTGCAGCATCTTGATCATGGTCATGGCATCCAGATTGAGCTTGGCCCGTTTGTCGGAGGTCAATGTGGAGTCATCCATGGCCGTGATGCACTTTCTTTGGATTAAAGATATTATTAAGTTATAACTTTGGCTGTCTGAGGTATAAAAATCTCACTTGAATGATTCAATGGTATGGGGATAGTCCTTAAGGGCCATGTAGCAACGAGCCTGTCGCTCGTACAGTTTATAGATCAAATCCTTGGGATAACCCAGATCTAGGGCTCTTCTAATGTCAATCAGGCACTCTCTGCAAGGGATTTAAGGTGATTTACTTTAAACTGTTCCCAGAAAGGGTCTACCCCGATTTTCTTACTGATATTTCTGCATGTGATACAAGGTGGCTGAGCGATTGGCCAAAACAATACGTATCTCGGCAACTGAAGAAGAATCAGATATCGTTGATAAGAATGAACTAGATAACTGTGTCAACCCCTTACCATTTTCACTGGGCAGAGCCACATAGCTCCGGGTGTAGAGCATCATGGCCTCCAGCCACTTCTTGGCCTTAAAGGCTGCCGTCGCCCGTTCCTTGATCTCCGCCCCCAGAGATGCGTTCTTGCCGGCGAATTCCTGGTTCACCACCAGGTTGGCATCCCCCGCCTGCACCCAGGGCAGCCCATCCACATAGGCCACGCGCTCCTCATCGCTCTTGCAGGCAGATAACTTGGAGATATCCGATTCGCAATTGGCGCCCGCCTGATCCTTGAGCTTCAGATAGTATTCGGCAAAGAAGCCCGTCTTCTGGCTAAGTGGAGTTTTCATTTTATCTATATCTTATCTTTTCACCTTTTAAATTATGCAAGTCTATAGAGATTTTTCAATCTTTTCTGTACTCTCGGCTAGAAAACTGCAGATGAACTGAATGGGTATATCGGGAAAATTCAACGACAACGTGTGGTATAAAGACAGCTTTTTTTGGGACTTTATTCTTAGACAAAGAGAGAATGCCGAAGATAAAGAGAGAAAGTGGGAGAGAAGAGAACATTCCGCATTTGTTTACTAACAAAAGTGCCGACACATGATCGTATTTTTACCAAACACGGAAAATCATTTACGTTTAACTAAAAATCATGCTAAATTTGGCAACAACTAAATCGCATAAAAATTGCCAAAGGTGACTAAGACTTTTGGCAACGCTGCGTTGTTCGCCTCTTTAGCTCAGTGGTAGAGCACTGGTCTTGTAAACCAGGGGTCGTGAGTTCAATCCTCACAGGAGGCAGATGGGAATCTGCAACTTCAATTCGTTCTCGGGATCTTTTTATTTTGGGTGGTTTTGTTTTATTAATTACACTGTGCAGCATTTTTAGTGCTTTTTAAATTTACCTCAATGGATGCTATATTTTTGGATTCGTTACGAATTCCCAAGTTAAACTGCGTTTTCCAAAAAGTTCCCCGACGCAAGGATTCTTAGCAAAAGGACCTTAAAGTTCGAAAAATGGTGAAATTGGCAAACTTTGCGGAGCTCTGAGAGGCAAATGGATGCATGATTTGATTCGATGTTAAAATTTTTTAAAAGATACACTCTTTATCGTTCAAACCCCATACTTAGAATAATTTTAGGATTTTTTTTAAGGCATAAATAAATTCCAGAAAACATAGTCAAAAAACTTAAAAACATACAGCTGCGGTCAAAATAGTAGTAGTGTTGCCGCCTGTTTATTTAAAAGTTTGTTGTTGTAATTGGTCTTTTCCCGGTAATATTGTATTGATTATAATTTTACTATTAGACTAATTGGATAAAAAAAAGTGACAACATCAAACCCTTAAAAACACAGGGCGGCAACACTACTACTATTTTGACCGCAGCAGTATGTTTTTAAGTTTTTAGACCCTGTTTTCAGGAATTTATTTCTGCCTTAAAAAAAATCCTAAAACTATTCTTAGTATGGGATTTGAAAGATAAAGAGTGTAACTTTTAAAAAACTTTAACATCGAATCAAACCATGCATCCATTTGCCTCTGAGAGCTCCGCAAAGTTGGCCAATTTCAGCATTTCTCGAACTTTGAGGTCCTTTTGCTAAGAATCCTTGCGTCGGGGAACTTTTTGGAAAACGCAGTTAAACTTGGGAATTCGTAACGAATCCAAAAATATAGCATCCATCGTGGTAAATTTTTGATGCTGCATAGTGTTATTTTACACTTTTAAATCATATTGAAGGTGAAGTCAAGGATTTATTTATGTACAAAACTTAATAACTAACAGGTATAATGTCTAATTTTTTTACTAATTTGTTTAGCGATTTTTTTAATACAAACAAACAAATATTTGAAGTAATACCATGTGTTGTCAATTTATCATAATAAAAAGAAATGTGAGTAATGAATAAATAAAATATTTGTGGAGTGAGTTCACAACTAATCATTTTTTTTATGGCTTGTATTTATCTATGTAAAATAAAAAAAATGTATATTTAAAATTCCTATTCAAACCACAGATAATAAAATATTTATTTAAAATTCGCTTTAGATACGTTATATCTCCAAATCAATAGTTTTTAGTTTTAATAATTCTTTAAACTGGGTAGTCACAATTTTTTGTAAGGAATTACAAATTAAACAAAAATAAAAACATAAAAAAAAGAAAAAATATCCTTTAGGCTTTAAGCTGCCTCCTGTGAGGATTGAACTCACGACCCCTGGTTTACAAGACCAGTGCTCTGCCACTGAGCTAAAGAGGCTTGGGCAAGGCGGCCGGCAAAAGCGAAACTTGAACTGAGCGCCGTTCGCTGGCAGTTGTTGCTCTCTGTTAATGTTCGTCATCCGCGGGTGGTTCAAAAAGTTGTATAATTATAAATGCCGGAGGGGTACTTTGAGAAATTGGCTCCATGACAAAGGAAATTAATGTAGGCCTTATCTGGGCATCGGCACTTGAGAGAACAGCAACATCGGCAGCTGAGTTAGTTCTTCGACTAATGAAGACAAGTCGAAGTTCAAAGGGAATTGCGGGTGTTTGCAGCTTCGAGTGGCACTTTGTTATGGGTAAATTGTGAGGAATTGACGTGGGAAGTGGCGGATGCAACATATAATTGTGTCACTGGGACTACAAGCTGGGTGCTCCCACTGCACAAACATAGTTAGCCAAGACACAACTGTACTTTTGGGTTGAAAAATGTTTCCCATATCGAATTACCCTTTGGCATTTAGGCGATGCATGTATGCAAATGCTTTTCAAGAAAAAGGTGAAATGCGTAAATTACAGTGTCAACATTACAACGCCCACTTGGGTACAAATTTCAAATCGCTTTTTATTTCGGGGTGTCCCGCCGTGAAAATGCATTATGCACAAAGGAAAGCGAAACCCAATACCCATGAGGTAAGCTAAGGGTGCACCCATAAGGCTGTACAAGTATGTAAATTTCGCTAAGCTGTTGAATCTCGCCCCGCTTTTGACTTTGGGCATTTGTAACCCCTTTCAGTGTGGAGAGATCCCTAACCGATCCCTTTCTGTAGTGTTGGAAAACGCAGGATGACTGGGCAAATGGACAACTGACAGCTCGTACATCTCGTACATCTCGGCCCTGTCATCAATCATCAATCACGATGGAAAGAAGGGGTGGTCTATGTCTGTGTCCATGTCAAAAACAATGTAATCATCAGGGCTTACAGCGGATCGGCAGCTGTCACTTGTACGCACAGTGACTTGTAGTGCGTACAGTAGAGCCACTCAAAAAGGATGCCCCGTGTGGTCCTGATTGAACATTGTCAATACTCGTAATCGCAATGTTTATGGGCTGTCATCCCAGGCGCAAAATATTTATCACTCTGCCGCTGCCCAGAGAGAGTTGCATCCTCGAAGTTGCAACTGCAACCCCTAATCATCATGCATTGTGGAACTGCATTTCGGATTTCCTTTTTTGAATGCATTTCGAATCGCTTTCGCCCAGTTTCTGACCCTGGTTTGCCTTTGAAACTGACCAAGCTGCGAATGCAAATTCATGCGGAATAAATGATGCAAAAATCCCCCCACCCTCTTCTTTGTAAAGAGCCGCCAGTTAATTACAGTGTATTTTGCTATTTCCTCTTCCCCTGCCCACCTTTTTTTTGTGTTTGTTCTTTATGCTTCTCGATTGCTCGCACACACATATATTTTATCAAACTTCCGTTGCATTTGCGTTTTTTGTTTGTTTTTATACCCTTCTACGGACTGCGTTGTCGTTCAAACTCTTTTCGGAAACTATTTGTTTGTTTGCCTTCTCTTTTTACAAATTCAATATTGGTCAAATGCTCGGTAATAGCGCTATTGACTTGGAAATTGATTTTTAATTGTGTTGTTTTACATGTTAATAAACGCTAAATTTAGAGGGTATTTATTTTGTTTAATTAAGTAAAATAATAAAAATTATTAAGAGTTAGTTAGAACTGAGTTGCTTTTTAAAATTGTTAAAATAAATATAAAATAAAATAAATGTAACATTTTTTTTGTTTCAGTTTTAGGTGTTCTTTTTAAGATTAATTTATTATTCTTATATTGCTAATTTATGTGATTCAATTTATTAACTTAAAAACAATTAACTTTATAAATTTAAAATATTCTTTTTAAGGGCATACAAAACTCTGAACTATCGGCTTTTTGCTTCTTTTTGCGTTCTTTATTTTGCAATATACTAAACTTCCGTTTTGCATTGTCGTTGTGTGTCTGCCATTGTCAACTCTTTTTTGTTGTTTGGTTTTTTTTCTACAGGTATTCATGTCAACTTGATTTGCACTGAAAACTCACAGCCCATTCGCAGACAACAATCAAATAAAACCGAAATTAATTGCAGCGTCTAAATTGTGTTTAAGCCAGGCTGAGCACCTTCCTGCCTCAGTTTGTCAACGAAAAAAAAAAAGAAACCAGTGTTATAATTAAAAACCATTTTTCTCTCCTAAGCCAAATGCATTTTTTCCGAATTGACGCCAAATGTCATTTGGTGGGCGACGCATTTGGCTGTTGACATTTGGGAAACGTCATAAATAATTTATAACAGACTTTTGCATTTTGGCCATTGTCTGAAAAGTCTTGAAAATGGATTTTATGGATCTTGTACTTGATTGCCTGCCTGCGTTTTTTTTTTGTGTTATTTGTTTATGTGCCAAGTTGGGTTTTATGCAAATTAAAGTGTGCCACTTAATTAATTTTGAACGATCGGATAAGCATTTAAATAAATTAAGGTCTCATGTTGTTTTCAGCCGATATACAAGTTTTTTTGGCTGATTTGTAAGCTAATGTCATCTTAATTTCATTAAGCGAAGGTAAATCACACGAAAAAGACGGCTAAATCACACAAATTTGTGCCAATAAATTGAGGGCTAACTTGGAGATTAGATGAGATCAGTGTTGGAACAAGATTATGTGATTATAATTTATATGTAAAATTATTATGTAGACCCTGCTGAAGAACTGCTTTTCAAATTATGAAATCAAGGAAATCATTCAATGGCTTTTCTTTTACCCAAAGTAATTGTGTGATTGACATCGGTGAAGTACTTTTCAATCAACACTCATTCATTTGAGTTTTCTCAGATTTGTGCCTTTCTTTATAATTTTTCTAAAGCCGTCACTTATCCATCAACGCAAGGAATCAAATTTCAATTAAATCCCCAGCTTGGATTTTCATTCAACTCTTTCTTCCTGATTTCTTATTCCTTCGCTAGAATTTTCTTCTCAGTGATTTCCCATTTCCTTATGCATTTCCTGATCAACCAATAGCCCTCTTCTCCACATGAGTTCCCCCTTTAAAAAAGATGTCTCTGGGGTCAATGGAAGTGCACAAAGGCCTTAATTCAATTTGAGTTCCATTAGCGTAAACGCATTGCGTGGAAAACTCTTCAGACCGAAATCAGTTCAAATTAATTAAAAACTAAAAATAATAAAAAATAGACGAAAAGAAAGCAAAACACGAACAATCAAAAAAATGCACTGCTCAATGTGTTTACAAAGGCAACAATGGAAAGTGCTTCAGCTCAAGTGGAAAACAAAAGCTAAATGAAATAAATGAATTTTCAAGCCGTTGACGAGGGGGTTGAAAAACAAAAACCGAAAACCGAATTTTGAAGAGCGGCGTCGGCGGCAGCTGGGAAAGAGGGAAAAAAGGGGAAAAGGCACGTGGCGCATGCGCAGGACCTCGATTTCGGGATTCGGGATCATAAGCTGTTACATCGAGCGAGAGCCTGTAATACAGTTACAACCTGAGATTGATTGGCACCGGGGGATGGAGGTTGAAGGATGGGAAGTGACAGACTGTGACGAATTGCCTGGGGTTCCGTTTTTTCCCTGTGATCCTTTTTCGGGATGCTAATGACGACGAACAACCATTGATGTAATGTCCTTTGCCTGTCAGCGGGTATTAGCCTCATATTTCTCTCTACTTTGTCTGTCTCTTTTTTCTATTTCCAATGCAATTTTACACTAAATCAGGCAATTTTTTACCCAATTCTATGCGCCCATTGTTTGGCGTTTGACACATTTTTGGATTGATTGGTGAAATAAAAAACTCCGAGAGTAGATTATCCTTTTTTGCGGTTTAGCTGCGCTCGTTTTAATGCGATTTAATGGCAATTTGGGCACCTTTCGGGTAATTTTAGGCAATTTATTTATCCCTCGACACATTAAGAGCAGCTGTTAAAATTTTACAACTCAGCACGCGACAGTTGCTTGTCTTTTTCGGAACCCATCCTGCTGTGTGAGATGGTCGATTCTTCGATTTTAGGGCCAACATATGCGACCTAATCGATCGTGGGTTTTCGGGGGAAAATTCCTGACCCGAAGAGAGCAGTTGATTTTACAGACTGGTAGCGAAGCGCAAAGATCGTTGATCCATTTTGCACGCACTGCTGCCTCGAAACTGAAATCGAACTGCATTCAACACAGGCCTTATATAGATGGTATATACTTCATATGGAGTGTGTTTCTCGCAGATGCGTGGCAATCAAAATGATGATGTGAAAATATTTGCTCATCAAGCATGTCGTCTTGGCTTTCAGGGAGGAAGATGAAGCCCTAATGGCTCCATTCATCTTGGCAACAGGTGAACAGGCTGCCGAATTTCTTTCTCTTTCTTGACCCTAATTGTCATGGGCCACTGAAGCGCAGCGCCCAAGTGGCCCGATCTTAATGTTGATTATCCGTTGAATGTGTGTAATTTTTGTGAAATTAATATCCGGTCGGCCTTGTGACCTTGTGTCTTCACTCCACCTTTCCGCAGCCATTTCTCTTAATTGCGTTTTCAGAGCGTTTATCATTTATCAGCTCGGCGACAGTCGAGCAAGAAACAAGAATGAAACAAGCGCAAGCCCAACTGTGTCAACATATGTTCTTCTTTCCGAGCGACAGCTATCTTTTGTGTTCTTCGCGCAGATACAATGATATAGTAGTACCCGTACAATGCAAGCCAAGCTCTCACCCAGAGGTTGAAATTCGCTTCTGGGACGCCCTCGAAACGTGGGCCTCTTTAGCTCAGTGGCAGAGCACTGGTCTTGTAAACCAGGGGTCGTGAGTTCAATCCTCACAGGAGGCATCCAACTCCCCCAGGTAATCGCCTCAGAATTGCGTGGGAAGTGGGAGATACTAACTTTTTGGGTGATTAGTGCATATGAGAGGTATTTTCTAGAGGTAAAATTCAGAATATTTAATATAATTACGTCTGAAATGCTATATCTATAAGCCCGGACTTATCTGTAAACCAAGTTAGAACATAACAACTGAATATATAACATCTTAAATAATAGTCTTAACTTAATATTTTCTTCCTACATTATTTTTATAATATCGCTTTAAATGCTATTATCTTGGGAAATTATATATGTAACAATAAAAGTTAGTTAAATTGTTAAGTATTTTAGAATGCAACTAAACAATAAAGTTTTTGTTAAATTTCAAATTCCATTGCTTAAATATTTACATACTTAAACTTAATATGGGTAATTAAGCAGTATTTTAATGGGCATGCAATATTTCGAAGGACAAAAAGGGTTCACACCCTAATATTCTATTCTTATGTTAGGCCTAGATAAAGGGACCCCACAGGTTCCTTAGTTACCGTACCTTCTTGGCCTTGTAAAATTCCCTATGTGCAATGTGCCCATTAAATTAACCTAAACGGATACCCTAAATTGAGAGCACCTGTCACCTGTCGCAGGACTTTCGAGTCGCTCCAAAAACGCGATCAAGTTCCGCTCCCATTGCTCTTTGGTTAGTGAGACAATTTATGTTGTCTCGCGATCTTGAAAACGCTCCATAGACACGCACACCTCAGGAAACATGAAACTCAAAAAAAATACAGAAAAAAAGAGGATCCGCAGCGGAAAATGTGTCCAGGTAGTGTAGTGTTTTCTTTATGAAGGCATAAATTCAGTTTTAATTGAGGTTGCAAGCGGCTACTTGTTCATTGGCCATTGGAATCTCATCCACTTGGCATAAATTACGAAAGAAAAACAGGGCTCTCCCTCGGTTTTCCCATTTTTCAAGTGCCACAAAATGTTCGAGTTTATAATGCTTGGCCTTTGGCCCCGAAAACCGATCCCAAATCCAGACTCAATCTTATTCCCGGAAAAGCAAGGGAAACCCAGAGCAAGTCAAGTTTTTCCAGCCACTTGCGGTCTTCTTTTTTGTGTGTGTTCGGGATGAAAAACCATAAAAAGTGGCTTCGCGTAACTGACAGCGTCAAGTGATTTTCCTTTGTTTTTCTTTTCCAAGAGGAAGTGTTTCTTTTTTTGGGTTTTTTTTCTCGTATTATTATTCGACAGGCAACAAATATCTCTTCGATTCTCCGCATTCTCAATCTTTTGTCTGAAGAAACGAAAGACTGAAGCCACAAACGCGTATGGAAATGAGCAGCCAGAGAGACGCTTTCTGTGGATTTGGTAATAGACTCCGACGGTCTAACGGTAAAGCACATTTCACTAGGGGGTTTTGATTTATAGACAGGGCAGTGAGCGGCCCTGCCTCACATTAGCTAATCGAAACGATATCAACCCGTAAAAAGTTTCGCAATTAGGCGGGCGAAGAGGGTTAAAATATGGCGCACTTAAGGCGCATGCGTAATCCTTTTTTTTTCCTGTTTTAATTTTTGTTTAATTTTGATTTATGTCTGGCTCTTGAATTTTCGGCTCCGCTGTGTATCTATTTTGGGTTGCATTTAATGAAGGGAAATACAATCAACGCCAGCAACCCCTACGCATGTGGATTTTACCCCCGATATAGGGTGTAGGGTAAAGGGTTCCTGTTTTTTTCGGGGATTGTTGTGATCATTTTAATTGACTTTGCGCACGAGCGAACTCATCGGACCGAAGCGTCGGAGATAAAGGGCAGATAGAGGGCACTCTATATAAAACCGAGAGCCATATGTCGGTATATCTATGTCTATGGTGATGATGCAACTGGAGCAGCAGGCAAATGAGCAGTTTAAGACGCGCGCGGATGCATCGTAAAATCTCGGATGCAGCGGCAGCTGTCAAAATAGGCAGAGACACCCACCGAAAAAAAGTCGAGGGAGTGGAGTTCAATGCACTGGAACTCTATTAAACGATTAACCATTGCGATCGCAGCGGGTCGGTCGCACATACCATATAACCCAATAAATCCGGAGCCCAGTGCACTTCGCAAGTACTCACGCTGCTCTCGGTTCTACAACCGCTCTCTCACTCGCTTACCCACCACCAGTTTTGATAACTTAGCTATTTTCGAGCTAAATAAAGAAATTTATGTATTTTTCTAGCACTAAACTTTATTTTAAATCATTTAGATTTCAACTTTTATTTTAAAGATTTTTTAAAATCTCAAGATATTTAAACTTAATAGTTAATTAGAAGTCAAAAATTTATTTTTATTTATTTTCGTTTGTGTTTATTTAAAAAATAATTACCTATTAATTTATTTATTGGAATATTATTATAAGAACTTCTTAAACATTGTATTAAAAAGTGTTTATGTATTTTGATGTTAGGGTAACACCGGGATATTTATATTTCTTTTACCAAAAATGTTCAAACTTGCATCTCATCATATTTCTCAATCATATATCTAAATATGTTTGCCTTAGCCTCTTAGCTATTTAGCTATTTTCTGGTACCGAATGCGAGCAACACCGTCAATATAGAGAGGGTGCAGAGGTGAGAGCCCAAGAGAGTCGGATAGAGAGGCCTCCGGAGAGCGGCTTCATGTAATGCGGGTCTGCCGCTTAAGTCACGATGTTTAGACCTCATCCAATCGTCGACGCGATCGGGTGTGCGCACCTCTGTCCATATAATCCACAGCCGATTTCGTGATTATTTCCCTGCGCCTGCGTGAAATCGTGGACCTTCTTCAATCAGCCCAAGACCTACGTGAAATTGTGTGTTTTGTTTAATTGTTTACCTATCCCAAAGTCGAGAGTATATTTCCTGTATCCTCCATAAACAAAGGAAACGCTTGGAGGAAATAAGATAATTAATAAAACTGCTGCAAACGGAAATAAAAATAAAAACAAAAAAAAATTAAAACTAAATGTGCCGATCGCGTTTTAGTAACGGTTTCGATGCGGTTTCAAACAATCGGTCTTAAGCATTGACATCATTGATTTATGTCCCAAGTGTAAATAATTCGCACACACAGTACAATACAATACAATAAACACCAAATTGAGGCTTTCCTCCCTCTGGAAAAACAAACCAATCAAATGCAATGAAATGAAATGTTGCCATTGATTTGCGCACATTGCCATTGTTCAGAGTTATTGGTTGACTTTTAACTGGGATCCGTACTTAAAAGCTGGTAAGTAGTTTTCATCGCCTTTAACAATGGCTTCAAATGAGGAGCGAAAATCGCTGGCGGAAAGCGAAAGGTTAAGCGGCGATCAATTGTTGCATTCTAAAATACAGTGCGGCCTCTTTAGCGCAAACGGGGTCGTCGCATGATGATGGGGCAATTTCAGAAGGCCACTCCTCTTCGAGATCTTCGGTTGGAATTCGTCTTGCATAATATCTCTATGCGGAGTAAACGGTTCTGATATCTGAATATTTATGGGGGGAACTTTCAAACTCTTTTATAACTCTTTTCTTATCATAACAAAAGCGGCGGGGGAAATTGAAGCCTCGTAAATAAATTAGTCAGTCAGACGTCTATTAAAACGCGATTTGCTTAGCTGATGAGTCGCAGATAAGGCCGTAAATAGTATGGTTTTTTGCTCATTATGCCACGAACAAGTTAAAAGTTTCACAGAAAAAACTGAGGGGTTCGAATTTCTAAACAGCCACAATCAATCAGTCAAAATATATATGACTCGATCTCTGACCATATAATTACGTCTGAGAATTTTGCGGTTGAATCACAATCTACGATTCTAATGGATTCTAGATTCCAGAGACCCCTTTCGAATCGTGGCTTAAGTGCAGTGGCAGGTTTTGTATCTCTATCTCAATATGATCTTCCATCTCCCTTTTGTCATTAATTTTAATTAGATATTTCCTTTCGGGAATCGCTGGCTGCATTTGAATGACAATTGATCGGCCTCTAGCCGAAAAATGTATTCTCCGCTTCTCCATTTCTTCATTGAAATGCCAAACCCTTTATCGACAGGATATCTTTGGGGTCTCTAGAGTGTCATTTACATATTCTTTGGATTCTTTTGGCTGTTCGTCTTTGACTTTTGTCTGTTTCTTGGATTTTTTCAATGCTAACAACCTAATCAATGTTTGTTTTTCGGCTATTTGTTGGTTATGTTAATTTTTCGAATGACTGTATTTTATTTTTATGTGGGCTTCATGTCGTGATTTCTTGTCTCTGTGTGGTTTTTCAGATGCATCAACGCATTTATGCTGACTTTTGTTTTGTCTACTTCACCCATTAAGTGGGAAAAGAAAGCCGAGATTCGGCCAGATAACTTTGCATACATCGTCGACCCGTGTATTTCGACTATTTGGGCTAACTGTTTTGGTTGCGGTTTTCACTTTCATTCAAAAAAAGATACAAGCTGTAACAATTAAAACGAGAGCTGCAAATCTGTATCTTTTCAAAATAAACCAAGGCAAAATCATCGGCATCGATTTCGCTTTCGTTTCGATCGTATTTCCGATCATCTGGTCAGGGCAATTTGCACTTTCTTATAGCGCCTAATCGCAGGCCGACTTTCTAGAATTGATTTGCATAAGTGATTTGTCCAGTGCGGAGACTTTCGCGACCCCGATCTGCATCTCGATCCGAAGACAGCTGACATTCTAACTGTGAACGATAAACATATAGACGGCACTCTGGAAACTATATGCCCGAGACTAATTGCCCACTGAAAATGATGGGCAATTATCAGCTGAATTGGCAACAGCTGCAAAGCAAACAGCTACAGTGAGCATTTGAAAAAGGAACAAGCAATAAAACATTAGATGTTTTTGTGCTATAACTATTAAGACCACTGTAAAATATTTAAATAAATTTTAATTATTTTTTAACTTTGGATTATTCTAATTTTAAGCCTGATATTCCTGATTTCTAAAGAAAGAACCGACTGACCCTCACTTTTTATGATATAATACCGAAGTTTATTAGAACTGCTGGCCAAATAAACAAACCAACGACCTTTTCTTAAGAAATCTCTCAGAGTTCATAAAAAGAAAGATATAAACCCCGAAAACAAACAAAGAAATTTCCATATTGATGTCAAGTCCATTAAGCATATTCTTGGCTAGTTGCCAAGACATCTTAACCCGGTTCGGTCCACTTTGTTGACCATGTAGTGAGCAGCATCAGCAGCCTCCGAGGCGATTAAAGTTATCAATGTCGGGGCTGCGCTTGTGACACTTGTGCACACACATAATAATGCCCGACAAGCCGGGCCAATTGTCAGGCTGGGCTAATTTGTGTTTGCCGTCGAGTGTTAGTGCCGAGTGAAATATTTCAGACCATAAATAACTCGAACAGACAGGGCGCGCAGGTGTTGGGAAACTACAAACTAGACAAGGGTTAAGGTTTATATACGCTCGTAGGAAAACTACATTGAAAATATAAAAACAAACCTAATTTGGTGTCATGCCCGCAGGTGAAATATTTATTCATAAAGGTTATTAAAGCTCGGAAATGTTACAAAAACGGAATCAAGTTAATTTTGAAATTTATTTTAGCCTTGAACCAAAAGAAACAAAGAAAAAACAAAAAATTAAATAAATAAAAAACTTATGCTTTTACAATTGCCTCCTGTGAGGATTGAACTCACGACCCCTGGTTTACAAGACCAGTGCTCTGCCACTGAGCTAAAGAGGCTCTGTTAAACAGCTGGCCAAAGCGTAATAGACTTTACCGCAGTCAGAACGCTTCTAACAGCTGGAAAAAGTTAACAGCGCTCTTGTCTGCTAACTTTACAGTGCAAAAGCTGTTAAACGAACCACAACAGTCAGAGCTTCGTATCAAGTTTTTTCCGCGCATATATAAAATTTAAACAACTATATATTAGAACCAGGTGTCGTCTCCATTTAAGTAATTGAGCAAAATATTTTTGCATTGTTCCAACAATTTGTGGGCGCGCACTGAGCTCATCTCGCAGCTATTTTGTAGGCGCGATTTGAAGAATAATGGTAAACAAGTAACAGCAGAGGGGCGGGGCAGGTAACGCCCCCCGTGAGATAGACAAAAAACACAAATTTGATTTCCAAGCTATTGAATTTACATAAAATAAAACACACATTTGATGTGTGGGCAGTTGATTTTAGCATACGCGCAACAATCTGTCGAGATCCAAACGGACTGCATTTGATATATGGCTAATTGAAGATCCCGAGATATCGAGATCTCTGTTGATTGGAATTTATAGCAAGAAATTCTCAGAGTACCCGTTTGAATGCGAAATCGAGTTAATTCGAGATCCCCCGGGACCTTGGCGACATCAATTTCATCGGGAGACGGTGAGAAATGATATAAAGCTGAATAAACTTGTCATCATTTCGCCGCTTTTTGGGTCATTTCGTGTGAGTTCTCTCGACTAGACCGGAAAAATGGCATCCGAACAAGTTTCACTTGCCAGCTTAGAAGACCACTGGACATCATCGTTCCACTTGCGTGGCCATCGCCATCGCCAGCCTCGAAAATGCAATTTGCAACTTGAATTTAGGAGTAACAGTAATACCGCAACTCGCAATTCGCAGCTTGTTCTCGACTGGAAAACATTGTTGCGCTACCTTGAGTCAAATTGCTTCATAAACTCGGCTTTTTGTCAGTTTCACTCTTCTAACTTGGCGGAAAACGCCGGAAACGCGCTCAACATAAATGAAGTCCAAATGGAAATGATTACAGGGCTCACTCAGTGTTCTCATTGGCTAATAGAGATGGTAGCGTGAGGTGTGGGGCTTTTAAAGTGTGTAATTTAGGTAGCCAACAATAATTTTAGAAGTATTGTTGGTACTCAAAATATTTTATACAACTTTTACGTATTTACCGATTTTAAATACATTTTTTAAAAAATCTATGAATAAAAACTATGCTGTTTAACAATCTTAAAGCATTATAGTACATACCATAATGTCCAAGGTGATATGGTCTTAACTTAAACTGTATAACTTATAACTTTTTTAAGATATTAAAAAAAAATAAGGTACTTTAAAACGTTTTTTAAAAGGTTATTTGCTTCTAAGATGCAATCCTAAAATATTAGTTCTTCCCTCTATGCCAAAAGTAATATTTATAGATCCGTTGACGTAGCTGACAAACACAAAGACCTAAAATTTGTTTAATTATATAGGTTCCTAACCCAAACTCCCTCCCCACTTAACTCCCCCTAATAACTTGAATATGGAGTACAAGTACTTGTTCTTGGCTTGGTCTGGTTTGGTTGCACCTCAGTGGTTTCAGCGCCCACATGTTCAAGACCCGGGGCCTGGGAAGCACCTGAGTGAGAAGAGCCAGGCTTTCGGGTCTCGCTGCACTTGCTCTCGTTCCTATTAAACATAAAGACAGTCGCGCACAGGGGAACCCTTCTGAGTTGGGCACGCAAATTGAAGAATAATAATTACATGCATATAAGTCGGATGGCATAGGTATACGTATAGTTAAGTATATGCTGAAGAGGGTATAGTTGAACGATCTTCACGGTTGACAGACTTTTCCCACAGCCAATTGTGGATTGTAACTGACACTGATGCAATTTGGCGAATGGTAGATACTTTGTACATTCCTGACAGATTCTTCTACCCCAGAAGACAGAGTTCCCCATAATTTCAGCTCATTAGCAAAGCGTTCTAACAAAGTACAATCGGCCACTGTGGAGTTAGACTTGGAGTTAGATTCAAATCCAGCCGCTAATGTGTGAGTACTCGTCGGGGTTCCCATTCAAAAAGCGCGGCTCTAAGCAGGTCTTTTCCCCCCTCCCTTCTCCACTTCCACACAATTAGGCATTAAAGCGAAATTAGATTAATGGTAGGCCCACATTGGACAAGGTAAGCTAACCCGAAACATCGAACACGAGGGGGGTATCTCTTGGATTTAGCTATCTAGTTCCTGTAACAACACGCAAGCGCAGAGAGAGATAGGCCCCAAAAGATGGGGTTAGCCAAGATGTAGATGGTGTTCTTGGCTAAATTTTGTAGAACGCTGCTTGCGGCAGTGCCAGCATAATAATTATTCTACAAGACTAATGACTTGCTTGGCTTATCTCGAAGGCAAAAGGCGCAGACCCAAGCCCAAAGCTAAATAGTACCATGTCAAACAGATGCTAGAGATATAGATACTTAAATAGAGGAAGCTGTACTTCAATTTGAGAATTGGAATCTAAGAAACAATAATACAAAATAACTTACATAAATGTTTTGTGAGCTGTTCATTATACCACGATTTGCATCTTAACTGTCGTTCTTTTAACAGCTATATTACATAGTTGTCGATTTTTTTTTATTCAAAATTCTAAAAAAAAATAAAAAAAATGAATTCTCAGAAGCAGAAAATAACATGACAAAAAACAAAGAAACTTTAATATTTTTCATTACTTAAAAAGTATTTTAAAGCTGAAGAATACTTCAATTAATCTCTGAAATACTTTAAAAAATCTATAACAAAGCACTTTCATCGAAAGTTTGTCTTCCAAGTTAGGAGTTCATCGGTTATGGGTGGGAAATCGTTAGCAAACACACAGCTTTTTCATAGAACCTGTTCTTTTTTTAGCGCTCAATAAAAACGAAGCTAACGGTACGCGTTTAAGCCCTTAGCCCTGTGAGATACATTTTGTATGTCACAAGTATCTATGACAATTGCAGTATGAATGAATGAAGTGCTTTGTCTTCGTTTGCCGACAAAGGCAGCAACAGCAAGAAGAAAAAAAGGCAAACAAGTGAAAAGCCAGAAAAGAGGGAAATGAGCAGTCGCCGTTGTCTTTTGCGGGCACATTAAGTAATGTGATCTATGCAACCTCATCCGCAAGATACCATCTCAATCTTGAATGTGTATCTTGCGGCTGTGCAGATCTGCATATCGAATGCATTTCTTTGTTGCAACTTCCCGAAAACAACGAAAGTGCGTTGTTTTTTCTGTCCATAACCAACACATTTGCATATGGACTGTATTTTGGTTCCCCTTTTATGAATAACGAAGTGAAATCAAATGAAATGAGAACTTGAAGGATGGTTCTGGGTGCCAAGGGGCTTATTAAAGCGAATCTTCAACGAGGCGCAAAATGTAACGTGCCAAAGTTGTTAAAACCGACGAACCGAAAATTGCAGCCCAATTGTTTTTACCTTGCCAAGCGGAACGCGAAATTAAAGTGACTTTGAAGTGAGCTGAAGTCTAGGACTTGGCAGTCGAGGGTTCAAAGTTCATTTGTATCTTATATGGTTGTATCTCATGGTATCTGCAGAAAAGAAACTTAAATATTATTTTTCGATAACATCGATATTTTCACGTTAAATGCGATTTCTTTCGATTTTTAAAATTTCGATAAATCAAACGTAACGATATTTTCGATACAATATTGAGCCCGATATTTTTGTCGATTTGTCATATATTTCCAATCGTAATACATCCCTAATCTGTATCTTTTCCTCCATTTCAGAGCTGTTAACAAAGACGCAGAGGAGTTTTCCATCATGGACAGCGGAAGTGTGGTTAGTGAACCGATTTCCGCGCATCATCGCGCCTTCGCCAAACAGAAGTCCGCCTCCATGGTAAGTTACCTCAATTGCAAATATGGAAAAGAAAAACCTATGCACCCATAAGCATATTGTGCAAGACCCAACATAATTAATGCAACATCCATTGGCGTTGAGCCGCCCTGCCAGTTACGCCCCCTTTTGTCTGATTCGATTATGTAAGTGCGCGAATGCCTATCTACGCTAATTAGATATTGACACGCACGGCTTTTTAGCTCTTGGTTTTTAGCCATAAGCTGCAAGCACTCACCCCAGATACTTTGCATCGCTACACGCTAGAAAGTTGTCGAAAACGAAATTCGCAAATGGGCAAACATAAATCCCAGATACAAGCGGGCAAATACCAGATAAAAAGAAGAAACCTAAGTCGGAGATTTATTTATTTATAGCATCTTAGTTTTACAGCAATAGATCAAACTACACAGTCTTAATGATTTTTGTTTTACCCAGAGATATAAATCTCTTAAAAAATAATCCATTAAATCTTTGAAGCTGCTTCGAATCCAAATAAATGCATATTAATAAAGCGCTGAAAACATGAAGATGAAAGAGCTCAAAACGAATTACAACAATTAATTGCAATTGCATTTTTAAGAAACACTTTCACGCAGCCCACAATGCAGAGTCATTCAAGCCAAGTTGCATTCAAACGATTGGTAGTTCGAGTATCTAAAAAAATGTGTTTTCCAGATATTATGTGTGAAATATTGCATAGCCAAGCTGGGAATTTTTTATGTGCGGGGGAAGTGAGTGGAATAAATAAGTGTGAGAAAAGTGAAATTACAATTCAATAGACGACGAAAATTCCAAATGTGCGTTGAATTTCCTAAAAGTGTAGTTTAAAGTAATATTGCAATTTTTTATGGAGTTAAAGAAAGTCACTTGCCAAACAAAAAGCCAAAATTATGATGGAAATGAGGTGCTTATGACCCCACTAATCTTTAACATTCGGCCATTTGAACCTCCTGTAAAAGATTTGTTTAAGATCCACACATGATGGTATATGGCCTCTTAGCAAATTAGTAGAAAGAAGTCAGACGCCACAATGGAACTTTCACTCGGCAGCGAAATGATTGAAAGCAAAAGTGAGTGACGAATATGTTTTGTTTGGGTAGAAAATCAACATTCAGCATCGATGCGAATCATTAACTGGCAGGTGTTTAGTTATGGGTTTTTTTTCGGGGGAGGTGCATCAATGGTAATAGCAACTATAAATAGTTCCAGTAAATTGGCCATAACCAAAAGGCTGAACAAACAACTCCCCCCGGAATGTGAAGTAATCACAGGCAGAGCGAAACGAAATCGATATCTTTTCTCTCCCTATTCAAAAGACCCTATGAAAACAGCACCCCGAAGTCGGTACCCTTCTCCTTTCGCCAGATTCACTTACCTCACCTCATATGTACGGTCAATTAATTCCTTCCACAAAATTACACCAATTACTCAACGAGATTTCCAGCCCGAGCTGTTAATGATTAAAAATTCAGCTCGTAAGATATGCTAATTTATTTATGATCTGAGAGAAAAGTCAAGCAACTTATAACGAAATCCGGCGATCGAAGAAGTTCTCACGTTCTTCACCCCGAGTAGTGGACAATGTCCGGTCGGAAATCATTTCCCTTCTTATTAATTTTGTAAAAATTTCTCAACAACTGCAAGAAACTCGAGAAATGTAGGGGTTGCTAGCGAAGGTTGCACCCCTTCGATAAGCCTAAAATGCGTTAAGAAGGTGGTTGTTGCAGTTTTTAAGGGCTCATAAGTAAATGCAGCTGAGACAAGACTTTGTAACGGCTTTTGGTTCTTGTGTGTTTAAGAGCGTTTCTTTGAGATCTTAAAAAAATAAGGAAATAAATGGAAATTCAACCCTAGAAGTAACTTCTTTTTTAAAGTATTTTATTATATCTAAAATTCTTAAGAACTAACAGACTAGAAATCTATATTAAGATCATTCAAACTATTCTAAAAAGTAATGATCCATTGCTATTTATCTTTAGGGTTTGTCTTCTGAAATAAACCTATATCAACTATATTGGCATTGAAACACTTATTTCGCTAGTCACGTAGTCTCAAAAAGCTTTTGCTACGTCAAAGCAACAGGTTCCCTCAAGCAAAAGCTTCCCGCAACACACCCTAATTCAACTCAGTAAAACTCAACACTTCAGCTGATGTGCCGCTGAAATTTTCTCTGTGTTCACCAAACTTTTGTTTGTTATTGTGTAAATTGTCCGAAACTATTTGTTATTTTTTATGTAAATACCGGTACGCGAGTGATATTCTTTACCTCTGATTAAGTGTAAATTTTGTGATAATCAAAAGACTGTAAACGAATCAACAGAAAGTGCTCAATTATCAGTAATTTAATGAATTAGGAACTTTATCAGATGTCATAAGCCAGCTCAATACAGATTAACTATAAATAAGAAAGAGCAACAAAAAACTTATCGTTTAGTGGGTAAACAGAAATCACAACGGGCAAACAATTACAAACGAAGGGGGACGATTAGAAACGAACCTCAAATAGATAGAACTACACGATCACAAAATGCGAATAGTTGGATCCAGTATGCTGTCAGCCCTCAAGCGGCTCTCAACGCGAAATCCCACGATCCTATCAGTCAGTCATATACGATCATTGAGCTCTTTTGGAACCATGAGTCTGCCGGAACGCCAACCCTTCTCCCCAGACTTCTTCTTCCGTCAAGTATGTAACTACATAGAATATCCCGGGTTGGATTTTCATCACGTTATATACCCTATACTTTAGCTTTTTGATGGAGAAAGCAGCACTTACAGTTACCTTCTGGCGGATCTTAAGAATGGTGAGGCCGTGATTATAGATCCTGTCTTGGAGCAGGCCAAACGAGATGCCCAGTTGGTCAAGGATCTGGGTTTTCAGTTAAAATATGCCAGTAAGTGATTGTATATAAAATGTAAATATATTTCACCATGGCACAGCCCTATTTCCTCATTCCCCAAAGTCAACACCCATATGCATGCGGATCACATAACGGGCAGCGGTTGGTTGAGGAAGCTCACCGGTTGCCAGTCGGTGATTGCCGCCGCCAGTGGAGCCAAAGCGGATCGCCATCTAAAGGAGGGGGATCGCATTGATTTTGGGACCCATTCTATAGATACCTTGGCTACTCCGGGACACACAAATGGCTGCATGAGCTATGTGATCAAGGATCAGGGATGTATCTTCACCGGGGATACTCTCCTGATTCGAGGTTGTGGTCGCACCGACTTCCAAGAGGGCTGTCCACGAAATCTCTATGATAATGTGCACAGCAAGATCTTTACTCTGCCCGAGAACTTTCGTATATATCCGGCGCACGATTACAAGTGAGTGAGGGTATTTCATAAAAAAATCGATATTATCGATACATTATTTTGAAAATATCGATATCATTAATATCCGCCTGTTCCAGAGGTCAAATGGAAAGCAGTGTGTGGGAGGAGAAGCGTTATAATCCCCGACTAACCAAGGATATCGATGAGTTTGTTAAGATCATGGAAAACCTGAACTTGCCCTATCCCAAGAAAATAGGTGGGGTTACTTAAAAATCAAGTTTATCTTCTTGTACTAAGTTTTATATCTTTTAGATGCCTCGCTGCCCGCCAATCGGGAGTGTGGAGTGTACGATATACCCAAGGAGTAAACCCAACCCCTGACAAATGTTGCATATATAATAGTCTTTCTATGAGATTTGTAATCTTTAAAATAAATATACAAACACATATATCTTATCAAGATATGCCCATGACTAACTTATTTTCACTCCCCCCGATTTCGTTTTGCTTAATAAGATTAACTCACTTCTTTGTGTTGCCCTCTTTTGTTTGCAGACCATTCTCAATCCGAAGGGTTGTGGCAGTGCCAGTACAGTCAAGTACAGTCTGCACTCGACGGCAGGGACGAACCAGGAGACTGCCAGTACCAACACCACCAGCACCACCACCCCCTCTAGCCACAGTTCCACAACCGGAAGAAGGCGCAAGGGTGGTTCCTTGGGCGGCACTCTCTCCTCGCGATCCACGCGCAGCGAATCCAAGGAACTCCGGTCGGCTCTCCAAGATCGGGAGGCCGTCATCCAGAATCTTCGCATCCAGCTGTGCCTGGGCAAGCTGCCACGACCCACGGGTCCACCTCTCGATGAGTCCGAGAAGCCGGCGGCTGAGCAGAAACTCAACAGACTGAAGACCGAGGCGGAAAATAAGCGGATTAAAATCAAGAATCTGAAGAGTGCTTTGGAAAAGCTGGATATTACAGAGTAAGTAGAATGAAAGATTAATGTAATTTAATCTATCTTATGAAATATAGATACATATACTCAATATTCACTTTATTCCTTTTCTAGCAACATAGACATCCGCATTCGGCAGGCTGAATTGGAATATGCTCTTGGGAGGGAGGAACTCCAGATGCTCTCGATTGTGGAGGAGGCTCGGGCTTTACAGGCACGTCTAGAGAAGTCCAAACCGGAAGCGCAAACCCTCTACAACATCATCAGTTCCGGTGTTGCCTTGAGTCTACATGCCGTTCATGCCACTTCGGGCAGATGGGCAGCTCAACAGCGGACAGATCAACCCGGATTCTATGTAGAATGGGCCTTGGAGGGCGATGGCCTGTACAAGGGTGATCGGATCTTGGAGATCAATGGACGATTGGTCACGGGAAAGTCCAAGGAAGAGCTGCAGAAGCAGGTGGGAAACTCTGGCAAGTGCCAGATGGTGGTGCTCCGCAAGAAATCAGTACCCATTCCGCAAAAGCAACTCGATCAGGAGAAGGAGAATAACATGCGACTGCAGCATCGCATCTCGTATCTGGAGGAGCAGGTGAAGGAGCTCCAGACGGTCAAGGATAATCCCCAGCAGCAGCAGCATCCACAGCATCCACATCAGCAGACATCCTCCAGTCAATCGCAGCATGTGACCAGCATCAGCATATCCTCACCTCCCTCGACGCCACCTGAAAAACCCCTGATCTTCCAGCGGGGCAACTACATCACCACCTTGGTGGGTGGCAAACCCATCGAACTGATGGGTGACGAGATACCCTCCACCCCAGCGCATGTGACCAAGACCCTGATCAAGGAGAATACCCACATCGATATGAGGGATCGTCTGTCGCACATGTACTCCATGCCCTCCAAATCGCTGTCCGCCTCGAAGATCTCAATAAATAGCGACACCGCCTATATGCAGCACCATCGTAGGGAGAAGGAGCGCCATCGGGATCGACAGCACCGGGAACGCCCCAGAGATCCTCTCCAGCAACAACAGCAGCTGCATCGCGAACATCTCATGAGCACTCATGCCCGCAGTGTGGAGCATCTCAATCATTATAATGGGTAGGTTTTTAAATTTAATTATTTTTAGACTAGGACTTCTAGATAGATGATGTTTATTGTAGATTAAAGCAGTGATGGCCAGCAAAAGCAGCGCACATACAATAAAAGAACCCATCTCATTTGTGTGCTTTACAGCGTACGTGAAACACTAGCAGCGCAGCGGCAGAGAAACTGCCTATCCCGTGGGTCGTGTGCGCTGCCTCTGTTGGCCACCACTGCATTAAAGTATTCCCTAAAGAACCCTACTAACTTTTCCATCATCTTCTTAATTTCAGACTGGATCGTCGCCGTGAAACGCCCCGTCAAAGTGAAACTCACACTCTGCGAGCCCGTCTTCCCAGCGATATGAGGAGTGTAAAATCCTTGGATTTCGATAGCGAAAACGAATCGAAGCCCGCGACTGAGACGCGTACTACTCGACCCACTCCGCCCAAGAAACCCCTTCGACTGTCGCTGCAAAGAGCCCAAAGTCTGCAGACCGTTGAGCTGCATCCTTGTGCGGATCTCGAGAGGAAGCGACCCATGAAGAGGGTCCACCACAACAACAACAACAATAATATCAATAACAACAACAACAAGGGTGGTGGAGGATCGCCGACGGAAGAGGGACAAACGATGCTCATCGAGAACTGCAGTCCCATGCACACTGCCTCTTTAGGAAGGCACAAGCTGATCTAGAAACCCCATCCCAAACCAAAACTATATGTTAATCGAAGTAGCTTAACCCTCGACCGTTTTCACCAGACGGTTGAACCCAAAAAACAGGCGGACATGTGCAAAATTATAATAAGCAATATCATTTAAAAATACTTCCAAATAAGAGGTTTTATCTTTATGTCGTAGTTGTAGTAACTGTACTTACTTTCCGTATCTATAAGTAGGGCTTGGCTATCATCCAGTAATTAAGAAACTTTGTATGTATGATGATTTTATTAGCACAATTTACCAATGTGAATACACGAATATTTTCACTTAATTAAATGTGTAATTTATTTGGAAAAGGGGATCTTGGCCTGCTGAAATAGATTGGCAGGGTGGTATTAAGGATTAGATAAAAAAAAGAGTTTTCGATACTTAAACTTTGGTAAAACCAATCGTAAACTCACGTAAAAAGAATTCGTTCATAATAGTTCGGCAATAGTTCAAATTGGAACCTCATTATCTTGGGAGCATGCCAATATTGTAGACTTGTATTGTAGGCACGAGCCTGGCACACATTTTATGACGCTACAGTGATAAGGTATTCAAATGAAAAGCACGTTAGCGTGTTTCAGCAGCACTTTTAGTAATTCCAAAGAATTATACAATAGGTGTATTGTGAATATAATATTGCAATAGAGTTAATAGATATACTACTTATAAGGGTTCTAAAGATAAAATTGATCAATCTGCAGTTGATAAAGATTTAGAGAGCGGGGGAGAGAGATAGAGAGAGAGAGAGACTCTCCCACGCGATCGTGCTGACCACCCACTGCAATTTCCGCCGCTCCACCAGGTAAAGCTCTCAATTCTCCATTCTCCGGTCTCCGCTCTCCCCGAAATCTTCCGCGCAATTCTCTCTCAGCAGAGTCGATTTGCGATGGCAATGCCAGGGGCTCGAAACAGTTTCGTCACAGTTCTCCAACGGTACAGAGGTGCAATCGCTTAATTCTCGCGAAAAAAAACAATAAATACCCAATTATTAAATAGTTGCTAACAAGGTGAGAGAAAAACAAAATAAAATAATAAGAACAAGGGGCTAGAAATCGGGATTAATGGGTGAAGGTTAAGCTGAAGTTGTGCATTTAAATGGTTTTCATTATTTATGGTTTTGCTTACTCTTTAGAACCAGATTTAGATATATTACCTGAGATTGCGTATTACCAAAATGAAAACCAGTTACCGCAAAACGCAGTTTACTTTACATATTTTTGTTGATTCTCTCTTTCGGCAGCGTTCGTCGTCCGCTTGCCCTTGAGTGGGTTAAGGTAACCAGTTATAAATCCCGAAGTGTGAGTGGGTCCCAAATGCACTTGAGATCAAAATTAAAGTGTATTACGGACATATGGAATCCACACATTCCACAGTCCTAAACTTCAATGAAATTGTTTGTCGAACAAGTGTTTACAATTTCCTATCTTTCCGTATATGGAAATTATGTCTCGTTCTTATCTCAAAACTGCATAGCTTCGGCGTTTAAATTAGATGCCAAGTCACAGAATGGGAACCTAAATAATCTTTGCCTTATTGTTTGCAAATTCATGATGAGCTTTATGATCAAATAGTCCCGATAAGCTGGGTTTTATTACCATAACAATTTGCAGGGTGTATTTCGAGTCATTTGAACCTCTTACAAAAACTCAGTTATTATTTTCAAATCAATCATATTCAATCAGCGAGCTCAAGACCTAATAAACCCCATTTGATGGACAAACGATGGCTATTACCTGCAATTTGCGACCCATTTCGTGACAGTTTGAACCAGAATAAATAAATAGGTTCCCGAAAAAATTACCTATAGTGCCACAATCGCATTTCCAGTTCCTCAGATAGGGCCGAAAACTCGGCGGCTCTACGAGCGTGAGAATCGTAAATTATGGAACCGAGTTCAAGTGGAGATAAGGATACGTGTAGACCAGGTACTGACCGCGTTTTGAAGATCGTTTCGGAACATGAGTTTGCAAGAACGCCAGCATATCGCAGACACATTCATGACGTTGATAAGGCCTTAGGGAAACCGAAACCGAACTAATAAACAAATATTACCCCGATAAACTATGACACCCATCCATTTTCGCTCACCAGCAATTCATTCATGGGACATTGGAAGCAAAGTGCGTACGAAAAAGAGATTGTTGATTGACCTTCCCGCAGCCACACTTAACCCTGTGAAAAAGGCTGTTTGCATTTAGTTTCGTTTGGGATTTATCGTTTACCCGTTCGCACATCATATATGACCCACAAATCGTTTCATAAATTGAGGCTAGGCGCTTCAATTCCGCACACAACTGTCCGGTTTAAATGAAATCAAGAGATTGTGCACCTGATGACGTCCAAGCCAGAGATGAGCTGGTATTTTGGGATTATAAAGGAAGAACAAACATTTTTAAAAATTATTTCAGAAAAAAGAATATGGATCTAAAGTTGTTTTTTAAGTGCAAGTTTGAGTAATATAACTTTTTGCCAGTCTCATAAATGATATAACTTAGGTTTTTTAATCTTTAAAAATATAGGTTTTAAATATTTTTAAAAATATATTGAAAACTAATTATTTTTTGTTTGTGTATAAGAATGTCATTTATTGAATATCTTTTTTTTAATTTTCCAAACCCTAATAGTTAAGTTTCCATCTCTAGTTTTTATCCAGCTGAGATTTTTGACGTTTGTGACACTCAGTTTAATAAAAAATATTTATTTATAGCTATGTAAACGTTTCACCCTCTTTTTCACTGGGTCGTACACGTGTCTAATTTAACTATGATTTCCTTACAGCACTAAAATGATGCAATATCTTGTTGTTACCCTGGCACTTTGCGCCACAATCTGTTCGGCTGCTCAGACGGTAGGTTTCCCGATAACTAAGAAAAGCTGTAACAATATAATTAAATTTATTCAATGATCGATTTACAGCGTAATATGCCCATTCAGGCCATAGCCTATCTGATCGGACCCGTGCAATCGGATAATACGCAGGTCAAGGGAAACGTGACCTTTACGCAGAACGACTGTGGCCAGAATGTCCATGTGCGCGTCCAGCTGGAGGGTTTGAAGGAGGGAAAGCATGGCTTCCACATCCACGAGAAGGGAGATCTGACCAATGGATGCGTCAGCATGGGTGCTCATTACAACCCCGATAAGGTAAAATAAATGATAAAGTACTATGATAACTATGCCAATATCATCTATACTAATAAAATAAGACCCCAAAAAATCGGCAAGTTTTCCCTGCAGCCAAAACGGCTTGATATAGAAATCTAAAATAAAATGTATTTAATAATTTGTATACCTTTCAGGTTGATCACGGTGGTCCCGACCACGAGGTGCGTCATGTTGGAGATCTGGGCAACCTGGAGGCCAACTCCTCGGGCATTATCGACATCACCTACACGGATCCCGTGATTACTCTGACTGGCAAGCTGGCAGTTATCGGCAGGGGAGTTGTTGTCCACGAATTGGAAGATGATCTCGGTCTGGGCAACCATACGGATTCCAAGAAGACCGGCAATGCAGGTGGCCGCATCGGTAAGTAATCTGATTTAACTATTAATCAAAAACAATAAAAATAATATACATTTTTTCTATATTTTCTAAACAGCCTGCGGTGTTATTGGCATCAAGTAAATATCCCTTCCAACGCAAAAGCCGCTCGAATATTTAATATGTGTAGTTGTGTAACTCCCAGGCGCAGTAACTAATGAAATGTTTTCCCAGTTTTCCCCGATTTCCCACCTACAATCATTCTCACCCCTACGTGCTTTTCGGCTTTCACATTTTCCTCAATTAACTGTCTCTCAGTTCACTGACTCACTCGATTCTCCTGCCGTGTGTGTTGTGTTTGTAATAAAATCAACAAAAATTAACCGAAATCTAAGCTAAACATTAGCATACTATGTATGTAGCTCTTGTATTCCACCAACTCATTCATGGCCTAAACAAACTGCCTCATTTTTCTCGGGGTTGGTTGAGTGTGTATGGTATGGTAGGTATGACAAAGGGTTTTTCTTACCAATCATTTGTACTAACATCATTAGTGGAGAGCCAAGGATGCGGGGAGTTTGGAATAACAACAACCAATTGGAATTGGAATTGAGTTTCTTTTCCAACTACGGTTCAATGATCCACGAGTACTTACATTGTGTGTTTTCCAGTGTTCCATCTGTATCTGCACCTGCACCACCACCACCACCACGCCATCAACCACTGTTTTATGTGCCCCATAGGGAGCCACAAGATCATGTTGTCTATCCACTCCAGCGTTATCCATACCCACACCCATATCCATACCCATATCCGCACTATCCCTATCCGTATCCGTTTTCGCACCAATTGTATCTGTGAGATGGCGAGACTATCCGTTACTACGTTCCACCTTTAATTGCAGCTCGGATTTGGACGAGTGGCCATGTCGCGATGGTGGCGCCGGCGCCCTGCGCTACTCCTTCTCCATCCTGACCGTCATCGTAGCCCTCTTCATGGCCCGCAGCCTCAACTAACCTATGTAAAATGTGCACCCGGAATCGGATCGAATGAGCATGTGGCATGGGATTAATGATTGGTCATCGTAGAGATCCGCATCCCCACTTACACACTAATCCCAACAGCCATTAGTCAGTCACACACACAACCCACACACAAGTAATTATAATACTCCAGCAACAACACAGCATTATCCACCCTAAATAGTGAACTCTGAGGAACTAACTAAGCTACTTGAATTATGTTTGAATTGATTGATAATAAAGTTTGTTATTTGTACTCTGTGTTTTGTACGTGTTCAGATAGTAAAGAAATTGAACAAGGTAAGAAAGAAAGATAAGGAAAAGTTTTAACTCTATAATATACGATTAGACAAAGTCACTTAAATTTCTTGTTAGAATAGCCGAACATTTTTGGTCATCAAGATATGGATTTCAATGAAAATATTTCTGTGTTTTGGTAGTGAATAAAAAACAGTAAAACACGAGATTACGTTGAATTTTAAGTATAATAAATTCTAGATATTCAAATAAAAAAATTTAAAAAAAAACAAAAAATGAAAAAAAAATAAACAAAATTGCGAAGAGTATAAAATATTTATTGTTAAGAATATAGTGAGCACTATATACTTAAAAAACCTTCAAAAATTCAAGAAACCAGCTAGATTTTGTAGGTTAAAGAGCTATTTGTCCCGAATAAATAGGTTACCAAATGAATTAACACCTTAAGCTATCAGGAAAACTATAATTAGAATAGGTCAGTCCAATGGAAATCCGACAAAAAATACCCAATAACGTCACCAATGCTTTTATTATTCCTTACCCACCTTTACTTCCAACATTCATGTTTACGTAATTGGGGCATATAACTTTTCCTTTCTTTGGATTTCTGAATTCCAGCTTAGAGCGCCACAATTTGCTTTAAATTGCGGAAACCTTCAGGGAATGTTTGCCCGCCAATCATTCTTCCAGATTTTAGACCTCAACTAATGGTCAAGCAACAGTTCTTTGTTTCTACTATTTTTGCGAGATTTCTGCGACCAGATAAGACTGGGTCACCCAGTGGGATTCGGATTCTCGTAACTTGGGGCCATAATTCCCGACACGCAACATTACCATTATCATCGAAAAGACTGTGTGGCATACCTTAGGGCGTCTTTAATCATTTCGCACAGTCCCAACGAATTTCTAGAAAGCCCCTACAACTTTCGCTGCCTTCGCACGAAAACACGCAATTAATTTCGCCTTGGGCCCGGTCGAATTCCAAGTGCCAAGTGCTGGAAGTTTAAAGGGAAAACGCCAGACGACGTGGGTGGCCAACTACTACGTATTTTTATGGTAATAAGTGCAATGACCCAGCCGTAAAGGAAAACGGGGAATGAAGTGAGGTAAGCTCCGTTCGACCCACAAAAGCGAGAACCAACCGCCTTTGCTTTGGTCAAAGTTCTTTGGTATCGAATGTTAAATCAACGAAATGGGTTATAGAGCAATAAGCCTGCCCCGAAGTTTCCCTATCCCTATTCCGATTCCCGTGCCTAATCATGCCTGGCCTGAATTCGAATCCGGGCCTCCAAGACTTTCACTCGCTTTCGCTTTTGCTGCCACCCCTTCCGTAATCGGGATCCGTTGCCCAGCACCAACCCTCGACTGGGAAAGTGGCCACAACAGAAAGCGGGTCTTTGTAAAGCCCGGCCGGACCGTCATTCCGGTCAGTTTGCGGTTTAACTTCAGTCCGGTCAGTCGCATCGAGCGGTCGCTTGAGCTCTCTTTTGGCATTATCTCCCATCAAACCTGTTCTAATTTTGGATTAAACTAAAATTAAATAAAATTCGGTTGTTGCTCAATTAAATAAACATCAAAATGCGTTCTTGCGGGCCGAGTTTAATTAAATATGTTCTATTCGCCTTTAATGTTCTCTTTGCGGTAAGTGTAAAAGGATTTCCTACAAATTTTAGGATTTAGATTTCCTAAGCTTCAGTCACAACCAGAATTCATTGAAAATAAAAGTGCAACGTGATATTAAATCAGCAGTATGGTATCAAGAAAGACATTATATGGCCTATGCTTATTCAAGGATCCCATCTTAATATTTTATTTTAATAATTTTTTAAAATATTCAAGAGTTTTCAGGATATTAAAAAGACCTTTTAGGCCAATAGACTAGATTCCAGAGCCATTTTCAACATTAATTTTAGTATCTAGTACTAGTTTTAATTTCATATATGAAAAAAATTAATAAATAAAAAAAAAAATAAAAAGGGATTATACGAAACTTAATTAATTTTGTCAATTACCTTATTACTTGAATGAAAATAATTTGAAGATTTTATATTAAGATTTAGACCAATTATCATTTTATAAAAAAGGTTCAGGCAATTTAGAATTCCTTCCTTGAAGTCTTTTGATTAATAGATCAAGTCTTAACTGTCATAAAATTGCCTTAACCTTCTTTAAAAAGTTAATGTGAAGGAAACTCTTAGCAATACATTTTTAATGGACTTTTTATTAACCCTGGTCAATATTTTTTTCTAGTCTAATCGGTTTTTATTTTTCACGAGTAATTTTCATTTAATTCGCCATAATTAACGTCACTTAAAGCACTTAAATTACGCTTATGCACCGAGTCTTGTTCCGGGGCCTCATTTAGATAAGTATCGCTGGAAAATGCCATTCTCACTCGCTATCGAGTACTTGCTCCCCCAATCGGAAAACGCGATTCGCTTGTAACGACATGCAAGTGATGTACAATATACATATGCGTGCTCCAAAGGACATGGACATTGGTTGTCCTTCGCATTGACCAACTCGGTGCAAACAGGCGACTTTCAATGACGACATTGACTTGAACATGGAAATTCCATTGACTCGCAGTCGTGGGTGATTTTTATCGTTCAATTAGGAATTGGGAATGTAAATACAAAAGGCCAACTCGAATTAGGACTTGATTGGAAGCCATTAACTAAATTGCTCTACGGATATATTGGAGGTCGATTCGATTAATCAGTGGGATCAATTTTCTTCCAGATCTCCGGCCTGGGAATTCTTATAGCTGGTGCTGTGGTCCTAGCCGATGTAAATGAGTTCAATCACTTTGTGGAAGGTCGAGTCCTAGCGCCACCGATTGTCCTTATAGTCACAGGTCTGATTATATTCCTAATTGCCTCGCTGGGATGCTTTGGAGCGATCAAGGAGTCGCCAACGCTCCTTGTAACGGTAGGTTTTTTAATGACTTTCTCAATGTCAGGTTGAGGTTCTGTTAAGTTTCGTTATCTGCAAGAGAAAGTTAACCTGAACTTATATGGTTGGGATTCGATTTCTCAATGACATCCTAATTTAACTCAACGACAAAAGTTAAAGTTAAGGTTAAGATAACATGACATTGAGAAATCAGCCCCCAGTAATATCAGTCAGGAAACACTATCGCGATATTAAAAATCTTAATACTTCTGAAAACACAATTTAACCCATAGACTAAAGTTAACCTGACATTGAGAAATCGTCCTTAAATGCCAAATATGAAAAGTTCCTAACCCACTTTAATATCCCTATCAGTTCGCTGTCCTTCTGGCCGTTATCTTCATTGTCGAATTGGCGGTGGGCATTGCGGCCAGTGTTTTCAAGAAGGATCTGGAGGGTATGGTGAAGAACTCGCTGCAGGAGTCGATCAAGCGTTCGACCAGCGAGGATACCATGGCCTGGGACAACATCCAGCAGAAGCTAATGTGCTGTGGCGTGGACACTCCGGCGGATTGGAGGGTCAGTGCGAACAAAACTCTGCCGGCGAGCTGTTGTCAGCCGCAGTTCATCGACACCACCGAGATGCATTGCCGGAACTCAACGGCTCTGGGCAGGGACAAGTACTTCCAGGATGGCTGCGTCGGCAAGCTGAAGACTCGGATCGAGAAGAACGCCGTTATCCTGATCGGTGTGGGCATCGGCATTGCCTTTATACAGATTTTGGGCATCGTTCTGGCCTGCTATCTGGCGAACTCCATTCGAACGGAGAGGGCCAAGTAATAGACCCATCGGAATATCTATAATACCTATATATTTAATTGATAATGGTTTTTAATTTTATGTAGTTCAAATTTCTTTACTGTTGAATCCTGCTCAATTTACGAAAACAAAAAAAACGCAACAATCCAAATTAGATTAAAACATCATTAAAATTGATTTCTATATTCCTTTCACAAATTCTTGTTATCTTGGGATCTTTCCTCCCCGAAGACCTAAATAGTTATTATTTTGAATTAACTTCCTTAACTGTCTCATTTTGTTTGTAACTTTATTATTTTTTTGTAAAAAAAAAAATTATTACTTTCAAAATATTTTAATTAAATTAAACGTATAAATGAGAAATTGTTGCTTTACATTATCGAATAATATCCATTTTAGGTAACCATTTTATGGTATTGCTCAATAAATATTACTCTACCATCAGTTTAGCAAATAAATTGAATCACTTTCGAATATTTTTTTGGTGTCTTCTAGTACTCTTTATTGGATCTACGATTATTGGCCAGGCTCAGCGTCCACTTAAGCTTGAGTCCCCGCAATTCAAACGGATTCAATGGGCTCTACGGGGGGGTTACCATCTAGAACTACGAATGGACGCCGATTTGGTGTCTCAGCGGGGTGCGATTGCGTTTTAACGAGTGCTCGACTACGGGCTACTTCCTCTAGAGGCAAATGCAATTTAATGGTCGGGTTCCATAGTTTCGGAACTTGGTTCTTATTTGCTCTGGAGCAGAGCCTCCGAGAGACGTTCGATGGCCGTGATGGGTGGCTTGCGTCCCTCCTTCTCGCCGCTCTCGAGGATTGCGGCTGCAGCGGCTGCTTCGGCGGCCTCCGCCTCCTCCAAAACTCGAGCCTCCTCCTGTTCCCGCTGCTTCTGGAAGTGCCTGAACTCCGTGGGCGTGAGCATGCCCCTCAGTACAGTCTCATAGCTGACACTAACTCCCTTGGCGCCCATCTTCTGATGCAGCTTCCAGCACTCGCGTTCCTTCAGACTCCTCACATAAACCGGATAATTGTGATCTGGCTGAGGGGATGGCTGTTGGTCCTCACAGTTGGCCGCATTGTTGTTGTTCTCCTTCTTGGCCTCATCGGTTGAGAGGGTAGCAGTGGGTTGATCAGCACCTCCACCATCCTTCTTCGACGGCTGGTCCATTTTCACCTGCACCTCGGTGAGGAAAATGGACACCGGCGGCGCAGTGGGCGGTCGATTGGCGCGAATTCTTGCGGCTAGTGGGGCTATCGATCCGCGGCGTATCATGTGCGAGTACTCCTTGGAGGCCAGTTGGAAGGTGGGCGGATAGCTGTCTTGAAACGAGACTGCGAGAAAGCTTTAGTGGCGTTTCAATGGGCTTAAGAGTGCTAGATATAGCAATAGCTTTGTTTTACTTGGTATGGTTAATTTGAACTAAAGACTAAAAATATTTCTGAACCGAAAACTAAAACCTAAAAAATTACGCTACAAAATACATGTTAAGATATTTTATTAAAAATTCTATTTAACTACTTTATTGTGAAGAATATTTATCTTTCAATTCAAAAGCAAAAAAAATAATCTTTTGAAAAAATTTTGATTATATGTTGATTGAAACACATGTCGTATGAGTAATTTTGAAGGAAATTTTTAGACCATTTCGAATCTAAATCTTTAATTAGCATTTTTTCTATCTATCTTTATATTTATCTTTCTAATTTAACTCAATATATCTATCTATCATATGTATTTGAAAGGGACCACCCTAAAGTGGTCCTATATAGGAAAGGGTTCCTTAAACCAAAGAGAATATAAAGTGTTTATAATATCTTTGCTTAAACCTACCTATAAGGCAGGCATATCTGCTGGTATTGAAAAAAATCTTTTTTAAAATGAAGCATAAATAAAATAAAATAAATAAGCATCAATAAAATTTAAACAAATTGGTAATACAATTTACAAAATACTTATATTATTCTTAGTGAGATCCTTATAGATTTTTAGAGCACATCCTGCGACTTACCCGATTTGCCCGTCTTCCTCAGCAGCGGCGCCCTTCGCTGCGCGACGCCTGGCTGGAGTTTTTCCTCCCCGCCACCTGCCGGTGGCGACGATACCGTCACCGTACTGTTGTTGTCCTCCCGCTCGGAGTCGCTGCCCTCGGAACTCAGCAGGGAGACCAGGGTGATGACATCGGGGGCAACGACGCTGCGCGACCGGTTGAGAGCCTTCTTCGAGGCGGAGGAGCTAGAGTTGGACGAGGTGTTGGTGTCCCCTCCGATGACATCTAGGGGCACGGCCACCGAGGTTGAGGGCGTTCTCGAGAAGATCTTCCTCCGGCGCAGCTTCTGCTGGCTGCGCTTGCTGGCGGCGATGACCGCCTTGCTGCTCTCGTCGAATCCGCGGACCGGAGCCGACATAGCACGCACCAGCGGACGCCTCTGGACGGTCAGGGCCGGCGAGATGCTCAACGGGATGTCGGGAGTGTCTTCCACCACCGGATGGCTGCTGTGCTCTGGTTCCACTTCCGTTTCCGGCTCGGGTTCCACTTCCGCTTCCTGTTCCCTCTCGTTGGTGGCCCTTATGGTCTGCGACAGCACTATATTCAGATTAATTCGATTCTTGTCCGCCTTGGCGCTACTGCAAATGGAAAGTGAGGGAAATCGAAATGAAAATGGAAAGTTTCGAGTGACCTACTGCTGCCGCCACCCTTAGCTAAATTTAAATCAAATTATTTGGCATTAGTTTGCGGGGCAATTTATGCTGTTCTCGATTTGCGAATCATGCAAGGCACAGAAATAGAAATTAACTTGGGTGTTGGGTTTCGTACACCCAACACCCACCCACCCGTTGAAAAAGGAAACCATGTCAATTACTTTAGAAATTGGCGCCCGAAAAGGGGAGCGTTGAAAGTGAATCTACGAATCTTTGGGTCATTGAACCTAGTCGCTTTTCCGCCCGAAGTTTTCCGCTTTTCAGCCAGCTATCTTGTCAGCGATTCGAGGCAATGATCGACTTAAGTGTGCCGCCAGGTGTTCTAGGGGGAGTATAGCTCCTTTTCGAGCATGTCTAGCGTGTGTTATGCACTGGAACATAAAACTTTGACGTTTGATTTGGGCGTGAAGCATGCAAATTGCACACAGAACTTGACGCGACGCCAAAATAGAAAGTGTCACTTTCGGTATATTTATATAGATGATATCAGGGCAGCCATTACGAGCTGAAGCCATCGAGTTTATTATAGATATGGATATGGATATGCGGATACGGATTCGGTGAGTGGTATACGCACCCTCTCCGCTGGCACCAAGGTCAAACAAAGAGACCCCCTAGTGGGTTTCCATAGGTGCGACAATCCACCAAATGCGGCTATCTAAATTCTAGTTTGGCCTAAAAGGCACTCCAAATATATTAGGATTAAAACTAGTAATAATTCCAACCCTTACTTCAGGTAATTAAATATAATTTTAATACTTTTACCTTTAAATCAAATTAGGTATAAAATAAAGGTGAAAAAAAGTTATAGCTTTTGAAATTATCTCTCAAAATTTGTTTTTTCTTTTTGCAAATTTAAATAGTTTTAACAATTTTCTTAAATAATTTGTTATAATTTTAGCTAGATCGAAAGCAAAGTTGGACTTTTAATCTTTTAGTACTTTAATATGTAGGTATTATGTTTATCCATTCTATTATTGTTTTTCTGGATACTAAGAATAAAATCCTGATAATTTGTTTTATAATTTATTTTACATTTTCTATCACCAGTTTTTCACAAAAAATTGAGATTCGATAACAAAAAGGTAGAAAAAGAAAAAGTTTCCATGGTTTCTGTAAATGCTAACATATTAATTCAAATATAAATTTCTTTACAATCTTTTTTAAACTTATCAGAAAACTTAAACTTATCAAAATTAAGAAATATTAATAAATTAAATTTAAAATATTTCATTTTATTTTTAAAAATCTATTTAATCTCCTTTACCACTATCTGCTTGGAGTACTCACATCTTGGCCTCTGCCGGTTCAGCCTGTGAAGTCCTTTCCGCCTCCTGGTCCTTCAGCAACGATGTGGTGGAGGACCAGGCCACCAGACTCTTGTCCCTCAGCCTCAATCCCTGCACCTGTGATGCAGTGATGCGTGGGGCAATCCTGGGAATGGCCTCCTCGACGGCCAACGAAGTCTGCCTACTCACGGGATACAGCTTCTGGCGGATATTCTCGATGGACCGGCCCACGGAGAGACCCCTGGAGAGGTAGCCCCTCTGCTGGGCCGAGAATCTGGCCGTGGGCTCGATGAAGGAGTGCTGCTTCCTCACCGACAAGGGGAGATGATAGCGCCCACCGGAAGTGGAGGAGGATGAGGAGGGTGGATGCGGATGGCTGGACGAGGGAGCGTTCGTCGTCTGGAGGCGACGACGGCTGGCCACAGACAGCGACATGGTGACAGCCAGCTTATCCTTGATAGCCTTGATTAGCAACGGTGACAATGAGTGGTGAGGACTCAAGCGGTTGCCTTACGTTTCAATTGCCAATCAATGTGGCACATCGAATGCAAATCAATTACCAAGTCATTAAGCCCCAAAGGCAATAACTTTGTCAACAAAGCCGAAACCCAAAGCGAAACCGTAAACCGTGAACCGTCACGAAAGCGAAAGCCACTTCGTTTTGGGGATACGATGATGGGTATGTGATCCCTGCTGTTTTTTTCTGAACCGAGATCTCGAGGTGGCCTCCACGTCCACTTGGCTCGAATGCCTTGCACCGACTGCGTTTTGTGAATGAAGAATTTCGGACTCCGAACCGGAATCCGGAATCGGAATCGGAGAATCGTTCGGGGTTCGTTTATGTTGCCAACAAACAATCAACAAAATCGCAACGTTGGCAAGGAGTCGCCTGTTATGCTGGCTTTGGCTCTCTCTGGAGTTCAGTTGTTTGTTCCATTTCCTGCTCACACCCACACGTCAGACAACCATCCACCGAGCTACACTGAAAAAAAATGTATTATTAAAAGGGAGAAGATAAGGAAAATACATGAAAATACAATGCCGATATTAAAACTTAATTAAACAACATCAGATAATGATGTCGTCCTTTTAAAAATTTTACAGCGTGGTTTTCAAACTGCACCAGATGTCAACAAATGTAAACTAGGTATACCTACTTTTTAATAAAATTATATATTTTAAAGGTATTTAACTTAAACTAAACTTTACTTAAAAACGCTTTGTCCTTCTTTAAATGACAGTTTCCAAATAACTATTACAAATAACTATCTATTTAATTTTAAATTTTCTGTGTAATATTTAAATTTAATAATAAAAAATAATACATACCTAATAAAAAAAAAATATACAAATTCATGACTTCATTTAAAAATTTTAAAATTTTAAAAGTATTAGATTTTTGTTTATATTTCTTTAGGTATTTTTTAATTGAACAAAAAAGATTTATAAATTAAAATCCAATTTACAATCCCAAAAATAATTATTATATAATTCTTCTTGACTCAGTATTTATTTTCATTTATTTTCTCAGTGCACCCATCTATCCACCTGCCAAACCCCGAATTTCCCCCCTCCCCCGGAAGACACGTGCAATTTCGGTGGGTCTGGCAAGTTTTCGACTGCGACTCAATGAACCCGCACGAACTTTTGTTTTCATTTACGAACCACCCACCCAGGCCACCAACCAACCAACCAAACGCTTCGCCATCGAAAGGATTACAGCATTTTTGGCAATATGCAAATCCGGCCATGAATGAATGAATTTTTGCCAAAATAATTTCGGAGAGAGCCAAGAGGCGGGGAGAAATGCGTACAAGTCACTCAATGTCGGCGAAATGTTAGATGCAAATTCAGTTGTTGTTGTCACATGGTGGGTATCCGAAATCTCCCTTTCAGATGGGATGGATGGCAAGTGAAAAACTTTCACATTTGTGACAATTTCAAATTCATCAAAGACATGCAAAGTTCGGTGGAAAAGTTCCGTGCGCGGTGGCAATCAAAGAAAAGTAACGAACATAACAGAAAAACGGAGCCCAGCCGAGGCAAACACAAACACAAAATGGCATAAAATTCACAAAAAGCAAAAAACCAAATCAAGCCCACTTCAAGGTCACAGGCACACACATATATGCCGCCTGTTAGCCCAAAGTATTTATACGAAAGTATCCGATTTTCTGATTGCCAATAAAATGTACTTAAAACAAAGCTGAAAGGCCAATTCGGATGGTTTGGCTGGTTGGATGGGATGGGCATTAATCATTTCCAGTCAATAGTCAATATTTATGGCTTGACTTTGACGACGCGCTTTGTACCGATCGGACAGGATTCGGAATTTGGCATTTTACTTGTGCAATTCAAAATCAATTACAATCCAAATGCCAAATACAGAGCGGTACCATACAGAAACTGTCTGAACAAAACTTATTTTAATTAGGAGAGGCGTCGGCACCGAATTACTGTGACTGGAACGGCCTGGACTCGTCCGGAATTGCGCTTGCCAGTCTCTAAATAAATTTAACAAAGCACCATATGATTCGGACAATTTTTTTAAATACCCACTTGAAATTAACAAAAAATAGTTATGTATAATTGGTTAAAAAAAACGTTTCTGCACCCAATAATTTTATTTAATTGACATGTTCATAATCCACGTGTTATAAATGTATAAATGTGTAGCGTTTGCTTATCAATTAATCTAGTATAATAAAATACATTTAAACACGGAAAATTAATTAAGATAAAACGAAATACGTAAACAATTTTGCTATTTATAGGTAACAAAATGAATTTTAGAGTCAATTGGTGAATAGTTTTCTTGTCATGATGTTGATGTTGCTCGTTTGTCTCATGGTGATTCCCGAAGCACTGGTATGTACATTGTACATATATGTATATAAATATATTTTTATATTCAATTTCAGTTTCAGGAAGAAAAACCGCCTAATGTGACCTTTATATCCCTCACCTGGAGCGAAAACGCAAAACCATGTGACTTCACTAAACTTCGGGTGATTGGCCGAGAAAGTTTAGTAAATGGGACTTTTGAAATTCTCGAGGACATTGAGGATGAGCACTATAAATTCGCTTGTGATTATTATTCGGATCTCGATCGCGACGGCAACTTTAAGCTATTGCCCTTAGTATCGCTGCCACCTCAAGGAATTTGCACGGTGGTTAAGGAATACGGACACTACTTAGCGGATAGTATTCGGTATCCAATTAACACAGATCTTTTTGTTAACGAGTCGGCCTGCACCATTCCAAAGGGAGTTTACTTTTTGAAGGACGCTGCCTTTAATGTGGACAGATGGTTCTACTCCAGCGGAATTATGCGATTCGTTGGGAAATTCTTTAAGGATGGAGAGCTAATTGGTTCTTATAATATTACCGTCTCCATTGATTGATCCCCCTTCCATTTTCTAACTGTATAAATTGATTTTTTTTTCCTTTCCAAATTAATTGTATTACGTAATTATCAAGAAATATATGTTTTCAGCTGTTGAATTAATTAATACATTTTTTTTTAGAAAATTTTACCTAAACAAATAAACTAAGAAGCGCACCAGATGACTACCAACAATTTTGTTGTTGTTTAAAAAACAACTTAACACTAAATCTATGTTATTTTAAGTACCAAACCTTCAGATAATATAAATTTTTAATAATTATAAGATTATTTTTTGAATTTCCTTGAAAACATCGATATTATCGGTACTATATTGTGAAAAAATTGATACTTTCAAATATCGATATTTTTCAAACTCTGTCAGTAAACCATCTAGTTTAATAATCGCAGCTAAAATCATAAATATTTGTATAATCGGTCTTACATTGAAAATAAGTAAATTTACTACATTTGTAAAATATTTATTTGGAAAAAGATCAATTTTGAGTTAAAATTTCTAGAGTTAAAAAAATAACTAGGTTGTATATTTAATATATTGGCAATCTAAACTAGACAGCAACTGTCCCATTTAAAAAAAAAAAACAATTTTTAAGAGTACAAAGTTCACAAATTTTGTATGTTTTATTTTCTGTTACTCATTTTCATCACCTGCTTGGCAAATGAAATTGCATGGACTTGCACATTCCCTATCCCACATAAGACCGTTTAGGAGAACACAGTGCTCGTCGCTACCCCGAGTTGGTTGATCATTAGCCCAACTCATAAAACCAGCTCGCTTTCCCGAAGTCAGGGACATCCACTCCCCCGTCTTCGCAAGTTCGTTAATGTCTATCCAATAATCAGTTGAGGATGTAAGTTTTGCTTTGATGGCGGTCATCTCCAGGTTGCTGCCGATACTGGCCAGATGACCACCCATTTGACGACAAAAGTCTCCAGCGGCGAACCAATTTAGGGTTTTGCTTCGTTCAATGTAATAAAAGCCGGTGCCGATTAGCTCAAACTTCGCCGGGATGCCCTTCCTCTTGGATTTTCCCTGCGATGATGCCAAGTTCGAGATGATCTGTTGCTGAGCAGCCAGTTGCTTTTCAATATTTTCCAGCTGAACTCGTGAGCCTTGGTGATGGGAATCGGTGAGATTCCCTCCCGATCCTTGGTGGTACGAAATGTGATTCAGTATGGGCCACAGAGATCTGAAGCAGAATCCACCACACTGATTCACTGGGTCCTCCACTTTACATTCGGAGCTCACACCATTCGAAGCCAGAAATCCGAACAGTAGGGCGTAGATCAGAACGAGGGAAGTCTTCGACATTTTTGCGAGCAGTAAGCAAAGACACATTCAAGTTTATCAATCTCTTTCGAACTGATTGGGTTGGGCTTTCCAAAGCCGAATTAATACCCAGGCTGGTACCTTAGTATTGGTTGCGCCTAGTAGCTATTGATAAGCCCGACCTCAGATAGACCAACATCCTCCTTTTCCAGAGATACGTGGTACAAGCGTACACAGAGAAAAATATTCACACAAATTGTTCTTTTGGTTTTGCTTCTTGTACTGAAAGTCTGCTCTTTGGCTTTCTGTTTTCGTAAACGGATTAACATCTGCGTTGTAATACTCTCAAAAAATTATTCGCTTTGAATTTTAGAAATGGTTTGAAATATTTTAAATGAAAGAACTTTATTTCTGAAATTTTAAAATATTCAGGAAAAATATTTTTTTTTAGTGTAGCTACTCTTATGGAGTTAAATGGCATTTGTGCAAACTTTTGGACTGGGTTATTAAGCTTCTTTATTTATGAGGGGAATTTTTTACAATAAAATGTATTTTTTGATTTCCATTTAAAAATAATTTTATTACTGTGTTTTTTTTGCATTGATAAGCCATCATAATAAATTATGAACGCCAGTGATCTTTGGTAAAAAGATTTTTATACACACAGAAAAAAGAATCCCTTTTACAAAATGTTGCGTCAAAAAGTATGCTATGTTTTCTGAAAACCAATAGATTTCCCAAAAAAAAACAGAAAATTTATTGACTAAAAAAGGCCTTTCGTAAACTTTTGCTGAAATTACTATAATTCGTTATTCATTTTCATCGCCGGCCTGGCAAATGAACAAGGTCAACTGGTCACAGTTTCGGTCGTACATTAGCTTATCCAGGAGAACGCAGTGGTGGCTGCTGCTGTTTGGTTCCCCTGATGACCATCGAAGAAATGTGGCTGGCTTCCCGGACTTCAAGGACACGTAATCGCTCGTGGCGCCCAGATCGTTGATGTCCAGCCAGAATTCCGTTGAAGCTGGAAGTTTCGCATTGAGGGACGTCAGCTCCGCATCGCTGCGAATGCTGGCCAGATGTCCTCCCATTCGGCGGCAAATATCCCGGGCGGCGAACCAATTTTGCTTGCTGTATTTTTCAGTGTAATAGAAGCCGCCACCGATCTGCTCAAAGTTCTGCGGAATGTTCCTCTGCGATGACTCCAGGCTGGTTAGAACCTTTTGCTGGGCAACCAGTTGCTTTTCAATACTGTCCAGCTTGACTCGTGTCTCCAGGGTATTGAACTCGCTGGCATTCGATCCTGAACCCTGGTGATAGGAAATGTGATCCAGTATCGGCCACATCGCCCTGAAGCAGAATCCACCGCACTGACTAACCAGATCCTCCAAGTTGCATTCGGCACTAGTACTTTCAGCGAAAAGTGCGTAAAACAGCAAAATTGCTAGCTTAAACATTTTAAATATATTCCGTGGAGTAAGACGCGTTCGATTTAATGAATATTAATCAACTGCGTTCGTATGTCTCTGAAAAGTTATTTTAGTACCCATTCCCAAGTATGTTGGTATTGATATGTGTCGTGTTATGGTTGTATTTAATTGTTGATAAGGCTGAGTTTCGACCTAGAGGGTCTGTGCGAAATTTTAATTATCATAGATTTTTTGGGAACTTTAAAAATTGCTACTCTGTATTTAAAAAATATTTATATATTTCGTTGTTAATTTACCTCGACGGTAAAATAGAATATAAAATATTTATTAAGTCTGATTAAAAAAAAAAACATATTAATCTAAAACAGCTTTAAATATAAATTTATGTGTAAATTTCTTGATATTTACCCAAAAGAATACAATTAATTTAAAAAGATAACAAATAATTTGCAGTTAAAAACAAGAGGGAACGTTATAGTCGGATGCCCCGACTATCAGATACCCGTTACTCAGGTAAAGGGAGTGCGAGGGAGATGGAGATAGAGATAGAAAACGTTGATCACGCATAACTTTTTAACGAATGGTCCGATTTGAAAAATTTCTTCTACATTTCGATAGGTATTGATAAACACAATAAAACTGCATTTTTACTTTTCCAAAATATTAAAATTTTTAAAATCGTATATAAGCGATGGTGGGCGTTAGAGGGGGCGTGGCACCATTTTGAAACAAACTTGCGCTGCGTAGGAATTCCTAGAATCTGCATGCAAAATGCCAATCTTCTAGCTTCTATAGTTTCCGAGATCTCAGCGTTCATACGGACAGACGGACAGACAGACAGACAGACAGACGGACAGACGGACAGACGGACATGGCTAGATCGACTCGGCTAGTGATCCTGATCAAGAATATATATACTTTATGGGGTCGGAAACGCTTCCTTCTACCTGTTACATACTTTTGCACGAATACAATATACCCTTTTACTCTACGAGTAACGGGTATAAAAAGAACGGGGATCAATGGAGACTGTAAAATTGTAAGATCCAACAAGCTCTTCATCCTTAAAGAATTTCGTAGCGCATCGGAATAATAATCACAAGAGAATTTATAGTGCTCATCATCAATATCCTCGAGAATTTCAAAAGTCCCATTGACTAAACGTTCGCGGCCAATCACCCGAAGTTTAGTGAAGTCACATGGTTTTGCGTTTTCGCTCCAGGTGAGGGATAAAAAGGTCGCATCATAGGGTTTTTGGTTTTTGTATAACTGAAATAATTATTAGAACGTCAATTGGCTTCAGAACTATTTTTATTTATTTTCCTATTTTATAATTTAATATTACCAGTGCTTCTGGGATCACCATTAGACAAACGAACAACGTCAACATCATGACAAGAAAACGATTCAGAAATTCACTCTAAAATTAAATTCGTTTACCTATCTTTATATAGCAAAACGCTTCCCATTATCACCTTTTACTTACATTAATCCGACATGTTTAAATGGTTTTCATGATATTAGATTATTTGTTAAGCCAACGTTACACGATATTCGTATTTTTAACAAGTGGATGTCAATTAAGTATAATTATTGGGCGTAGTGAATAATTATATATCGATTTTGAAAACTAATACATAAATAATCCGTACTTATTTTAAATGGTTATTTAATTGATACTATAATAACAATAATAAAACAAAAACTCCCCTTTACGAGTTAACAAATTTAGATTAGAAATTTTGTGACAAAAACTGGTTTAATACTCGAATAAATAAATAAATAATATTTTTGAAATCTAGTTTTAAAATAATTACTGATCATATTTCCAATTTAAGTGTAATTCACAAAAAATTAATTTAAATTTTTTTATATTTTATAATTCCAATTTAATTGTAATTCACAAACAAAAAAAATTTTAAACTATTTTTTAGCTAATTCCAACTTAATTGTAATGCAATAAAAAAATATTTTATACTTTTATTTTATACTTCCTTATAAAATATTTTATACTTTTTTATTGCTATTTTTTAACCAATGTATGTGAAGCTGTAAAACATAACATAATTCCAATTTAATAGTAATTTTAAAAAAATATATTTTTAATTATTTTATAGCTATTTCTTTAACCGATGTTTGTAAACCTGTAAAACATCCTTATAAAATCGAGATATATAAAAAATGTCCATAATAACATATTATTATAAAGAATGTTAAGTTAAACTTTAAAAACAAGGTTATAAAAACTAATTATATCGAAAACTCCCAACATTATTTATTGTTATATTAAAAATCTATATTTATAGCTATTTTATAGCCGAATTTTAACCGATAGTTGCCATCCCTGGCTGCGCCCAGTGTGACCATCGCCCGCCGCAGACTTCGGCTGTCGGATTTTCTGAGCTGTCAAGTGACGTATGTGTGCTGTCGTGGCGTTCGCTTCATAGAGAAAGAAAGTTCCGAGTTGGATAGCCGCCGAGTTCCGCTGATTCCGAAGATTCCTCAATTAAAACCACCGCGAAACCCCAACAAGATGTCCCGTCAACTGTTCGCCATCTGCCTCATGGCCGCCGTCTGCGCGTCCGGCGTCTACGGCAGCTGCAAGGCCACCGTGAGCTCCTTCAGCACCCAGGATGCCACGATTCTCACCCAGCTGGCCCATGTGGGCGAGTTCACGCTGCAGTGCAGCGGCTCGGCTCCGGCCAGCCTGTTCGCCGAGTTCCCCTGCGGCAAGGTGGTGCCCGTGGCCAAGGTGGGCGACGACAAGTACCAGGTAAGGATTCGCCCTAATCCCCGCCAGAAACCATGAACTAACGGCTTCCTACAGGTGAGCTGGGTGGAGGACATCAAGCAGGGCAGCAGCGGCAACGTGCAGGTGCGCCTCTTCGACGAGGACGGCTATGCCAATGTGCGCAAGGCCCAGCGTGATGGCGACAAGGTCTCCTCGGTGAAATCCCTGCTCGACATCTCCGTGCCCACCAAGGGCGCCTACAAGGGACCCTGGATCAAGGCCGAGCTGCTGGCCGCCTTCCTGGTCGGCGGCTTCGCCTACTTCGCCTTCACCACCAAGGGCAAGGTGCAGTCTTAGGATGCCTTCGTCATCGATTCCTTGAATGAAATTCATTCGCACTAAAAACAAAAATCATGTAGCTTCATTTTTGGCGCAGCGATACCAAGAGATTTTTCCACATTTTGTACACCATAAGCAGAGGATCATCAGCCGCCACCCCAACAAATAAAAAGATCGACAAAAACTACATCTATTTGAGATTAATTTAAGTTTAATTTAGAGATAACTTGTACGAATAGACTACGCCTAAGCCTGTCCGCCGCCCGAGGACAGCCCGTTCATGGTCGCCTCCTCGTCGGAGGAGATGTCGATCATGCTCTCCACGCGCGACGGCGACATCACATACACAAAGTGCTCCGTGGAGCCCTCGGTGGCGACTGGTGGCGGGAGTAGCACCACGGATCCATCCTGCGGCGGCGGTGGCGGCGTATCTATGCTGCAGTACTTGAGATTCCCGGCTCCCCCACCCGAGTCGTCGGGCGGCGGAGCTCCGCCGTTGCAGTCAAAGTTCTCCAGCTCCAGCTCCAAATCACTCACAATTCGCATGCATCGCATCTTGGCCAGCGACTGGAACTTCATGGGCATGGCGCGCACCTGGCGACTGAGACTCAGGAAGAACAGCGTGTTGGCGTCCAGTTCCCGGTTGGCCTGCAGCACGGCGGAAACATCCCAGTCGCTGGGGAAGCGCGGATCGCAGATCTTGCGCGTTTTCGCCGGCGACGACTGTTGCTGTTGCTGTTGTGGCATCTGCATGGGCTGCTGTGGCTGCATTTGTCCCGAGTTCTGTGCCCCCGAGCAGCTGAGATTTATGGCCGTAGTTTGCGGCGAAGGCTGCACCCTTCGCACTTTGGCAGCTGGTGGCGCTGACGGCGGCGGCGGTGGCGGCGTGGGAGTACCTATCAAAGGTAGATTAACGCCGCCATTCAAGCGATTCGCATTCTGCACTTGGTTGGCCAGGTTCTGGAATAATCCCAGCGGAGCTCCGGCTGCCGCTGCGGCTGTCAACTCCTTCTTGAAGTTATCCGCCGCCGCAAAGAGATGCGGTTCGATGATCAGGCAGCCCACATTGCTCTGCTGACCATTGCTGCTGGAGGAGCTGCAACCTGGCGGCGTGATCGTCGGGGGAAGCGGTAGACCAGCGGCCACTGCCGCCGCCTTGAGCGTGGCCAGGGGAAACATCTGCTGGGCCAGGCCGCCCACACCCAAGCCCATGGGCAGGTGATTGGCCAGCGAGGCGAGGGCATTGGCATTCGCCTTGCTGACGGCGGCGGCTGCAGCGGCGGCTGCCGAGGATGCGGGTGAGATGGGCAGGGGCAGGACGACGGCGGAATTGCAGCCACTGGTGCTGGTGGCCGCCGGTGGGGTCATCGAACTGAGCGGAGCCACTGCAGCGCAGTTGAGACTGCCGGTGGCGCTGCCATTGCTATTGCTATTGTGGATTTGTGGTGGCGCTACCGATCCTCCTCCTGCGTTTCCGCCGGGGGAGATTATATTCGGGGGCGTGGCCACGCCCACACTGGAGGTCGGGGCAGGGGCCGAAGTGCTGCTCAAGGCGGTCGTATAAGTATTAACCGTGTGCGTTCCTATGGACGAACAGCCCGCCGATGCCGTGGCTATGGTGATCTTCAGCTCCTCCTCGCCTCCATTGCTGCTGGCTGCCTTGGCCAGCACCTGGTAGCCAAAATCACACTCTGTGTCGTCCTCGTCGTTGGATTTTCCATTTCCATTAGCGGAGTTTCTGAAAGTTTAGTTAGGGATATGAATTTGGTTCGGTTATTAATAGTTAGGATCAGTTATGTACCTGCCCGGTCCCTGGAAGGGCTTGAGGAAATCCATGTGGTCCGCATGGGCCCAGTACTGGTACTTCTTGGACGTCTTGGTGCCCACGCGAAACGAGCGGAGATACTTGGTATAGCTGTCCCTTAGGTTTTTCCATTTCCGCTTCGAGGCTTCTGTAAAATAAATGTTAATTGAGAAGTTAAGATAGGGAAATTAAATTTGTATTTATTTTGTTTGATTTATTTTTTATAATAGAACTAGAATTCATTACTTTAAAGTTTGAACTATTTGAATTTGGGTTTTCAATTATATAAAACTGTTATAATAATTATGGTGTTATAGAGCACAATTGTTTATAGTCACTCCTTTGTTTTGTTAATTCGTGTATATTTGTTATCATAGCTTAATTTTTAAATTCAAATTCAAAACCTGCAAAAGTGTGACCGCCTTTCAAAGCCTACGAAATGCATTTCCAGGGAATAGAACTGTCAAATACTGCCCTATTATTATCCGGGATTTTAATTCAGTTGAATTCCAAAATCACGCGAGCTGCAGGCGCTTTTTAAAGCAACGCAATTAAAAGATCTTTAATTGTGTTGGCCGACATCATACAAAAAACTGAATCTACAGTGCTAATAAACTAAACAAACAATAATTTAAACGCTGGTAAGTTTTTATACATAAGTACTTATAATTCTTGTGATTCCCGGAATTCAAGTTCTGTTGGAATTGATAAACGTAAGCTCATTGACTAAAGTGCATTTCCACGAACACTTGTACATACATATATGTATAAGTTTATCTGTATATTATATGCGTAGTATTCTTTTTAATCTTCTATGCTAAAGAGTTTAAAGTGAAGTTCTTGGAAATTTGAATCCCGCTTGATTGAAAGGAAAATGCAACAACAGCAAAAAATTTATGCCGGCGATGCAATAATAACAAACGAAAGATGTTTATGTTTATGAGAGAGAGCGAATCAGAGAGAATGAAGTAGAGGGCAATACAGGGTGTTTCAAGAAAAAGTAAAAAAAGTTTCTTAGAAAAAAGTTGTCTATTTTTATATACGTTTTTTTTTTTAATTTAAAGTTTAATTTTTAGTTTCTACTATAAAATTAATTAAAAGTTTAGCACAGGTGGTTGCTTGTTTTGGCTCCAAATTCGCACCTGGCAATGCCGTGCGCAATGTTTTTGTTTTGAAAAGCTCTCGCCTGCCGCCCACTCCCACTGCCGCCCGCTCCCCCGCCCCACCAGCCCGATATCTCTCCCTTTCTCGCTCTCTCTCAGCATCAGAGAGCGCGCAGTTTTCGCTCTGGGACTGTTTTTGTTTGTTTTTTCTGCGTGCCAGTGTGTTTTCCTTTTTATTTTTTTTTTGTTTCTGCTTCTCGCTGCAATTTGCCGACCGCACTCCAACACACACACGCAGGCGAACATGTACGTTTTCTATATACTATATATGTACCAGCGTACGAAAAATATCAGGCCGGGCGGTTTGAGTTTGGCCGCTTTCAGGTACATATATACATAGGTGGTATATAAATATGTATGAGTGTGCGTGGGTTCTACGTAATTCAATTTCCTGCGCCTCCTTTTTAGAGAGGGGGTGGTGGGGGAGGGGGTTTAGTAGGGTGCTACTAGGATTTTCTACCTACCCACTGAAAGACCTATCTCATCGGCGATTTGCGTCCACACCTTCAGCTTCACCTCGACGTTCTTGTAATCCGGATTGTGATTGTTGTACACCACATCGTACTTCTTGACGATCTCGATGAAATCGGAGGTGTTATCAGACGTCGTCGAGGACTCGCTGATTGCGCGCGCCACTTTCACATCCTTCATGCTGCTAACGGTGCTTTCGGTGGTTCGAGGCTAACGGTATCGCAAGCTCCTTATTATTACCAGGAGCCTTTTCCTTTGAATCACAACAACAGTAAACCGAGAGAGCGGGAGAGTAAGCTCGCGAGAGAGAGCGAATCTGAATCTGCCAACCGTCCGACTACCGTTCTGTGTGCGACCGCTCCGGCAAACGTTGGACACTTGAATGAAACGACGACGACGACGACGCCGCCGACGAGCTGCATGCACACACAAGTACGCTCCCCACTCCACCGCTCCCCCTGCTGGCCGCCCATGCCCTGCCTGCCTGCCGCCACGCCCCCACCTCCCGCCGCGCGCGCACACTCACACACACAGACACGGAGCCACACACACACACAGGCATAGACAGCCCGAACCAACAACAACAACAACAAAAGCGGGGCCCCAACAGCGAACGTCGTTGGAGGACGTGTAAAGAAGAACAAGAACAAGCAGAGGCAAGCTCATCATGATGAAAACGAGGGAGAGGAGGAGGGGGTGGGTCGACATGGGCGTTCGCACCGCTCCAGCGCTAACCGCCCACCAGGCATAAAAGCAAAAACAACAAGAAAAAAACGCAAACCGGAGGGCTAGTGCAACACTAGTGTTTTGTACGTATGTATGTGTATTTCTATATACATATATGCTTCGCTGGTTGGATACAAAAACCAAGCGCGACAAAATTGCGATGCTGCCCGCACTTTTGTGGCAGGCGAAATGTGCTGCAAAAGCAGCTTAAATGCATTTTTAAATGCAACACGAAGGAGAAACTGTTGATTATCACGTGCCCGCCATCAAGCCAAGTTCAAGGTCATAGCTTAAGCACAAGAAATGTATCGAAAGGATATCATTTCGATAGAAATTCGCGGCGCGAGAAAGAGAGAGCGCTCTTGGATACAGAGAGAGTGATCTTCTTATCCTTATCAGTTTGACTCAAGAGAGCTTTTTGTACCGCTAGTACAGCATCTTGAGAGAGATGGAGAGAAGGAGAGTTCGGGTGGAGAGAGAGGAGGGGTAGAGTGATTGCAAGAAAGGGGGAGTGGTGGGGAGGCGGAGGGAGAGCAGGATGAGCAAAGCACAAGAGTGGGCGAGCCAGCCCAGGGGCGTAAGTGGAGTAAAGATAAAAGGGGGGCTTAAATATATTTTAGGAAATAACTTTTAAGGAAAATATATAAATGAAGATAATTTAAGTGGCATTTAATCAAGGAAAGACAATTCTTTTTCTTAGCTTTGCTTAAAATAAGTCCCCCCTTTAACATTTCGCGTAGATATAACGTTCATTTTTAAGGGGAACTACATGTCTCTAGTTGAACCCCCTTTCAGTCCCACCTTTGGGTCCGCTTCTGGCTCAGCGAAGTGGCTCCATCGATCCGTCTCTTTCAGCTCCCCCGTTCCTCATATCTCACCCCTTGCCCCACTTGCTCCTCTTCTTCTTGTGCTGCTGCTGCGACTCTGGTTTTGTTGTTGCGAACCTACGACCAGTTAACTTACCTACCGCTTTGGCTTTGGCTCCTTCCAAACTAACACACACACTCACACATACACTGGCGAATATTTTAGCCAGGCGACGACGACGGCGCCTGTAGGTGTATGTATGTTTCTGTGTGAGTTTGTGCGCTTTGGCTGCGTGTGTATGTACGTTTGTATCTCTTCAGCTTGTGCGGGTTTTTTGTTGCTTTTATTATAAGTATTTTTTCGCTTTTCTCTCGTCTCGCCTCGTCTCTCTGTCCCCCTCTCCTCGCCTCTTCTTCTTTTTGCCTCTCCCGCCCCCACTCGCACTCGCACAGCAGCAGCAGCAGCGCCCTCTGTCCCTCTCACTCTTTTGGCACAAGTCCTGGCGGCCGGCTCTTGCTCTCCCCCCCCCTCTCCTTCGCACCCACAGCTCCCGGTTTGCCAGCTCCAAACGTCATCATCGCCATTTGCCATCATCATCATCATTTTCATCAACAGCCAGCCCCCAAACAGCAGCAGCAACAACAAGAACAACAACAACAAAGGCAACGGCAACAGCAGCAGTATTTCGTGGAATGAGGAGAGGGGGTGGTGGGGGCCAGGCGGGCGGGTAGTGGGTCGCTGGGCGTTTTGGCGTTCGACGTCGAAGGCCTGTCTGTATGTATGTGTGTGTGTGTGGGCCGTGTGTTTGTGTGTAGCTGTGCCGCAAAAAGAGAGTGGGAAAGGGGAGGGGGATGGGCAGGGGGTGGTTGGCCTGGAAGGGGGCGGGCAATGGGCTTCGGTCTATGCCAGCTAGCTGGAACGGAGCGTCGAGAGGGGTGGAGGGGGCGGGGGAGAGCGGCCTACCGCCGCTGGTGGAGCTGTGTGGTTGTTGTTGTAGCTTGTTTTGTTGTAGCTGCTGCTGCTGCTGCCGTTGCTGTGTGTTTTTGTTGCCTTTCGCAAATCGATAAACGATGTCCGGACTGCGGAGTAGGCGAACGCTTTGCGTGTGCACATATGTATGTATGTGTGTTTATATACGAACGCCTCTCTACATATATGTATAAACCCCATGTATATAATACACATTCATATTGGTGTGTGTTTTTACATAATGTAGGCGATTTTTATATGAACACCGCCTAACGGAGTTTTGATGCAATCTGCAGCCAATACATATTTACTTACTTGTACGCCCACCCACCACCCACCTGATATGACCCCCCAGGAACTATTTTGTATTTTGTGTTGACCCAACCAGTTGGCATATTTGCAACATTGATTAAAGCCCAAATTCAAGTTTCCCAAAGGCATTTGAGTTATTTTATTAGCCTCTGCTAACTTCCTTGATCATCAATAATAACGATATAGATTATTGTTATATAGGAACTATCTTGTATTTTCCCAAATTTGTTAAAGACCAAATTCAAGTTTCTCGAAGGCACAACTTGCATACGTATCATTTCTTTATCATCCCTTCAATGTTCTTAACAGTTACTTAAACCGCTAGTCGAAACTATAATTCAAAATAGTATTTATATAGTCATCTATAAAAAAAGTGTAGGTTTTCCCCTTTAAGCACTTTTCAAATTACCGAGACTTACAAATATTATTCAATAAAAATATATTTTAAGAAATGTACCTACAAACAATTGCACATCCATTTTAACTAAGCCAAGGGATCGCAAAAACATCCTTTAAAAAACATACAATATTTAAAATGTGTGTTTTGGCCACCAAAAAAATGAATGTATCTAAATTTTTGTCTGTTTTTTGTTTAATTATTATTTTTTAATTGATTTGGCAATATAAATGTACTAATGTAGGTACATATTTGTGCTTTCATGTTCTTTTTAGACCATCTTGCGTACAAATATGAGTACCTTTGAACAACATTTGGAGGAGATTGCCTCCGATCTTTACGGCACATCAAGCCATTGCGATTTTGCCATAGTCCGCGATTTTGTAATCAATAACATAGTAAGGGCTAATGAATTGCTCACCTCTACGTGCCAGGTAGAAACCCTGGATTTTGGTAAGTAATAAAACATTAAAATAAAGATGTGATACCAATATATAATAATAATTCCGTGCATTGTAGGCAGCAGAGCTCTGGGAATCCATACTCCTTACAGCGATTACGACGTGTTTGTGGTGCTGAAGTTTCCCTCTTACAAAAATATAATCGTGCGGCAGGATTATCATCATTTCGGGCTGGTGAATTTGGACTTCAATAATGTGGCATTCGACAGTTTCGCAGAGGACGCTCTATTGGATAATCGTTTCTGCCTTAGGCGGGAAGGCGTGCAAAGTTTGATGCATAGCATTCTGATTAATGCCCACGGTTGCACGGTATTTGGCATGAACAATGATCTTTACCGACTGCACTATAAACGTCGACAGACTAGCCACACCATCACCGCGGAATCAGAGAACTATAGGTTCTCCATCGACTTTGTGCCAGCCATCAGGATGCACTTCAATGGATACGAATGTCAAGCAGTACCCAAGTATGGAGGGGGACCAAAATGGTTCAACGAATGTACCTTTATGGTGAACAATGTCCAATCGGAGATACGTCACATCACTAGTGGTGGTAAGAACATGCGGGACGCCATCGTGTTGCTGAAGGCACTGTGCGAAGTGAACAACCTGCCCAAGATTCGTAACTACCATTTGGTTTCCACGGCCATCAACTTAATCTGCAGTGATTATTACGATGAGTTTTCGTTGGAAGATGTCTTTCTAAGTGTAAGTTATATAACTTCTTATTATAATGTATGTATACTTAAGTACTCGTATTATTTTTTCCAGCTACTGTACAATCTAGCCGAAGCTTTTAACGAACACGACCTCCCGTATGCCATTTACGGGGATCTAGATCTGCTCTCAAACTTTAATTCACTGAAGGTCATCGAATATGCCGATGTTTTGAACAGAGCTTTCAGGACTCTGAAAACATATCCTGACAAATACAACCTTTCTTTTGAGCGCTGCAGCTGGCACTTTTATGGCGATGATGACTATTACGAATAAGGCTAATCAGTTTTATAAATAAGTTTTGACAATTTTGAATGTTATAATAACATTTTTTACTTTTCGCATCGAAACTTTTACCATTCTAATACCTAACATTAAGCAGAAATGTTTATCTCAGAATTTTTATTATTTTTCTTTTTGATTAATGTATTGAAACACTTGCCTATATATAAACTTTTTCTTTTAATTTTGGATGAAAGCGTTCGTAAAGTTTGCACGCCCTTAATTTTTAATTATCAATAAACAATTTGCCAAATTTTTATTCTGACAATGACAACCTTTCTTATGAGCGCTGCAACTGGCACTTTTATGGCGATGATGACTATTACGAATAAGGTTAATCAGTTTTATAAATAAGTTTTGACAATTTTGAATGTATTAATAACATTCAGAATCTTTCGCATCGAAACTTTTACCATTCTAATACCTAACATTAAGCAGAAATGTGTATCTAAGAATTTTTTTTATTTTTCTTTTTGATTAATGTATTAAAGCACTTGCTCATTTATAAACATTTTCTTTTAATTTTGGATGAAAGCGTTCGTAAAGTTTGCACGCCCGTACTTTTCAATTTACAATAAACAATTTGCCAAACTTTTTATGCTTTGAATACTCTGTATATTAGTTTTAAGAAGTTTCTGTTAAGTATTAAGAACTGAACCTCGAGAAGAATATTTTTATAAACAGATTGATTAATGGACAATAAATACAAGAAAATATTCTCTTAATTTTGATTGATTCATGTGAGTTATGCATGCAGCAAAGCGTCTGCTTGCACTGCTTGAATTTCATTATTTACTCATAACTTTTTAATGAGTGGTCCGATTTGAAAACTTTCTTCTATATTTCTAATACATTTACTAAGAACAACAAAATTTAAGTAAATATTTGAGTTTTTATGTTCTTTTTAGACCAACTTTAATCCCAAGATGAGTTCCACCTTTGAACAACATTTGGAGGAGATTGTCTCTGATCTTTACGGCACATCAAACCATTATGATTTTGCCGTCGTTCGGGATTTTATAATGAATGAAATAGTGATGGATAATGATTTGCTGAACTCTACGTGCCAGGTAGAAACCCTACATTTTGGTAAGTAATAAAACATTACAACAAATATGTAATACCAACCCGTTGATATAATTCCGTGCATTGTAGGCAGCAGACCTCTGGGAATCCATTGCCCAGGCAGCGATTACGATGTGATGATGGTGCTGGAGTTTCCCTCTTACGAAGATATAATCGTGCGCCCGGATCAACATCGTCCGGGGATGGTGCATTTGGACTTCAAGGATGCGTCATTCAACAGTTTCACCGAGGACACGTTGCTCGATAACCGTTGGTATCTCAAACGCGATGAGGTGCAAACTTGGATAAAGGGCATCCTGATGAATGCCCACGGTCGCACGGTATATGGCAGGTACAATGATCTTTACGAACTGCGCTATAAACGTCGACAGACTAGCCACACCATCACCGCGGAATCGGAGAACTGTACGTTCTCCATCGACTTTGTGCCAGCCATCAAGATTCACTTTGATGGCTACGACTGGCAAGCAGTACCCAAATATGCACCGGGACCAAAACGGTCGCACGGATGCACCTTTATGGTGAGCGATATTAGATCGGAGATATATCACATCACAAACGGTGGTGAGAATATCCAGGACGCCATTGTGTTGCTAAAGGCACTGTGCGAGGCAAAGGGACTGCCCAAGATTCGCAACTACCATTTGGTTTCCACGGCCATCAACTACATCCTCAGTGACGATTTCGACGATGATTCTTCGTTGGAATATGTCTTTCTGGATGTATGTATTATTTTTATATTATTTATTATTATATTAAGTACTCTTATTTGTAAAAATTTTGTTTTAAGCTAAACAAAAGGTAACAAATTATTTTTTCCAGCTGCTATACAATCTAGCCGATGCTTTTAACGACCATGACCTCCCGTACGCCATTTACGGGGATCTAGATCTGCTCTCAAACTTTACACCGGAAAAGGTCATCGAATATGCCGATGTTTTGAACAGCACATACAGGACTCTCAAAACATATCCTGGACAATACAACCTTTCATATGAGCGCTGCAGCTGGCACTTTTATGGCGATGATGACGATGAAGAATAAGGCTTTTATCAGTTTTATAAATGAATTCCTTATCTTTTGCTTTTAAATTTTACCGGTGTTTCTAAGAAATTTTATTATTTTTCTTGTTGTAACAATAAACAATTTGCAAAACTTGTTATATTTTGAATATCCTAAATATAAGATATAAGAACTTTCTGGTAAATATTTGGAACTGGAGCTGCTACGAAGTGGTTAAGAATTTGTTATAAACATTTTGATTAATGGACAATAAAGACAATACAATATACTTATAATTTAGATTAATCCATGTGAGTTAAGGGACCCATTGGCCCCACAATATCGACATCCTTTCCCGATGTCAGCTGGCGATCCTTGATCTGCTGTTGCTGGAATAGCAGCTGCACCAGGATAATCACATAGTTGGCCATGCCGTTGTACACCTGTTTTGGATGGTTTATAGTGAAGGATAAGGGAGGTTCGATCTTTGGTCAGTTAGATCACTAACCAAATAAATGGTAGAAACATTGAGTACTGTTGTGCTGCCCACCAGAGCCGCCTGGCGATTGTGCATGCGCCAGTGCTGAAAGTCCTCCGTCTGCCGGCGGGCCACATCCTGGCCAGGAAAGTGACTCGAGTAGGTGCTCAGCATGTGCATGCAGTTCCGCTTCTGGGGAGGAATCAATGTAGACATCTAGCTAAAATAACAGACCACCCACCTCTCGCTGGAGCAAATAACCATAGGTGCTGGTGATGACCACTTTGTAGGTGTGTATCGTCACGTGGAGCAGCATGAAGGCGTACTCCAAATCCCAGGGCATTCGGTCCAGGAGCTTTTGGCAGATCACGTACACGAAGCAGGTCATGATGGTGAAGTCGTAGAAGATGCCAGCGGCGGCGGCGAATCCAAAGACGCCATTCAGCTCGCCCAGCAGAAAGGAGCAGCGCTTGGACATGTCAAATAGGAAGGCAATCTTCTCGTGAACCTCTCGATTTCCCTCATCTTGATAGAGTTGCTGGAGCAGCTGCTGCACCAGTCGCAGGCGCACCCGCAGAAAGTCCATGATTCCGATGTGAACAAAGCCCACCAGACCCACTGAACTGGTCAGCAGGGTGTAGGTAAGAGCCATCACCAAGGTGGAAGGAATGCCGCAGGAGCAACGCGCCGTATCGAAGATCAGCGAGATGGAGAAGGAGAAGTAACAGGAGCCGACGATCACAGTGCCATACCAATATTTCAACCGGGAGCGCAGGTAGTTCCACTTGACATGGGGAAACACCTCCAAAACAGAGCGATCAAACTCCTGCATGCTGGCCAGGAGTTTGAGGTGCCTACTCCGGTGCGAATCCAGCGACAGGCAGTACTCCACGTAGGTGATGGAGCAGCTGAGGCACTCCCAGGTGAAAATCGCCTTGACCAGCGGGCTGAGGTGTCCAAACATGGCCGCCGACATCTCGGAATCCCTGAGTTTCACCATCACACTGGCCATGAAGCAATTGACCAGCAAGAAGCGCGCCGACAGGGCATAGAGCACCGTCCACCTGCTCGAGACGGCTCCTCCTTGACCTGGACTCCGCACCCGGATCGAGACCAATCCCCAGTAGAACAGCAGGCTGTACAAATTGCCATAGCAATAGACAAAACCATCGTCGCGCTGCATGGCTAATGGGGTAACTTGAACTTTTGAAGACTGGCCAGAGCCGTACAGAGCTATTTATTCCCGCGCAGGGGTTAATAATTATTGATTACACATAGATATGATCGGACTAATTGAATACATCGTTTTCGGCCGCCTCTACATGTCTGTTTGTTATACACATTGAAACCCATCATCTTTAGACAAACGTGAACTGGCGTGCTTTACTACGGGAATTCGAGTTGGCGGTGGTGTTGTTGGCGGAGCTGTTCGAGTTGGGTGCAGTGCGTCGCAGCGCCTTCTGCAGAACATGCGCGTCCGCCGGCTCGATGCGCTTGTAGTACTGCTCCTTCGTGTCGACAATCTCGAAGCCGAACTTCTTGTAGAACTCGATGGCGCCATCGTTGTTGATTTGCACGTGTCTGAAATGGTTGGTAAAGGTAATTAAAAGGATTTCAGGGTGTTTTTGGGAGGAGCCAAAAGCTGAGGCAACAATTTGAGGCAGGGAAAAGATTTTGAACAATATAACAAGAATATCTATTAATTAACACGAAAATAATGAATTTCTTTTTTTTTAGATTTTTTATAAGATTACTTTAAAGATATTTTGTAAAAAAGTAATAAAAAAAAATATAATGATTTTAAATTAATGGGGTATTTTCTGTCATGATTAATAGAGAAATTAGATGAAAAAATTTTTTAATGATAAACTTAAAATTGAAAATTTAAGATAAATTCATAAAAAAAGTTTTAAAATATTACAAAGTTTTTAAAACTTTGATTTGGCTAAAAAATTCCTTTTTTTTAAGAAATAAATCTATTAAAAAAACTATAAACTAGATAAAAATCAATACTTAATGATGTACTTGAACTTGAAAATTTAAGATAAATCCGAAAAAGCGTTTTGGAACATCAAAAAATTTTTTAAAATTTGGTTTTTTTTAAAAAATTAATTTTTTTTAAATGAACAATCTATAGAATAAGACATTGTCTATCTATCCATATAGCAAATTATACGTTATACGTTTCGCTCCTCAAGTTTTTCAGCATTTTGGGATAAAAATAACATGTTTTCTTACAGGAAGATGCTGTCAAAGTTGCCGTCCTTCTCGGCAAAGTTCATGATGTGCTCGAACATGACGGTGCCGATGCCCAGCCGGCGGTACGGGGACAGGCAGCCCAGGGTCATGATGTACAGACGCCGCTGGTTCTCGGTGGTGTCGATGCGACAGCAGACGGCGCCCACGACAATGTCGTTGTAGTAGGCCAGTTTGGCCAGTTCGCCGGCCTCCAGGACGTCCACGTAGAACTTGTCGTTGTAGGAGACCGGGAAGACCACGGTGTTGAGCTTCTTCAGCTGCTTGATGTTGTGCGGCGTCACATCGCCCAGTTCGATGCTGTTCCTGCAGGGCGGAAAACGGAGGGCAAGGAGGTGGGTTAGCAAGCGGCACTTTTAGGTTATGATTCCGGGGCAACTCCGGGCGACACAATCCTCCAGTTGGCCGCCACGGACACCCACTCACCTGGTCATGGTGCCGGTAGTGTTTGTGTTACTTTAGCAACGCGCCTTGCGCCTGTAAATTATAATAGAAAAATGTGTTTTAAGCGCCACAGCTGTTCTGATTGTCCAGGTTGCTGGCCGCCAGTTATCGTTATCGGTTGCAGCCGCCGGCCACGGTGCAGGACAAGCAGCTACTTTATCGGTAAGGGGTTGAACTAACTTATAGCTAGAAATGAGATGTACCAAATATTTACAATCTAATATACTCTAATATTTTTAAGTTTTCAATTTAAATATATTAAATGTAGAAATGTCAAGTAAGCTTAACACTTAAGGCTTAGTACTCAACCCAACAAAAAGTCGTCCAAAACAAAAAACTTCATATGAAAAACAACGTCAAAAAATTTTGTTTCATATGAAGTTTTTGTTTTGGACGACTTTTTGTTGGGTTGAGTACTAGCCCTGAGTCTTTATTTTATTTTAGCATTACTTTTTTGCAGAATTTTATTTTAGCTAAGTATTAAAAATAACTACCTTATTTTAGTTAATACATTTTTAGTTACGCTTTTTTACTTAAAGCCTAATAGTCACAATAGAGAAGCCTACGAAATAAAAATCACGAAATTTTCCGCATGTCATTTTTGTACAGAAAATTTCATTTCATTGCTGTTTGAATCGAGGTAAGTACTAGGCCTAAAAACAAGAATTTTTTAATCTTCATTCAAGAAAAAATAGTTAGATCTAACTTTTTTCGCGGTTCAAGTGCACATAGCCCATTAATCGCTATGTATTTGCCATGGAGGATGCGCGAACGCAGCTATGAGAAATCCCCTAACGCCTAATGCTATTGAGAAAAAAGAAAACAAACCAGACTAATTAATTTCTTCGTGCTGTCCAAGTAGCCTACGTTTCTGAGTTCTAAATGAATCCAAATATGAACATGATGCCCATGTCGGGCCCCCAGATGATGCAGGTGATGCAGTCCTCGCCGTCGGGGCCTCCAGTGCCCGTGCAGCACCAGCAGCAACAACAACCGCAACCGCTGCAGCAGCAACAGCAGGCCGAAAAACTGGACAACATTTCCAGGGTGAAAAGTTTGCTCGGTCCGCTGCGGGAATCAATGTTCCTGACCATCCGGTCGAGCGCCTTCACGCTGCAGCAGAACAATCTGGCGGACAACCTGAAGAGGGACACGGGAGCCCACCATGTCCCGCGATTCGACAAGCACCTGGAAGACTTCTACGCCTGCTGCGACCAAATCGAGATCCACCTGAAGACGGCGGTGCAGTGCCTCCAGCAGCAGAACTCCTCGAATCACTATCTCCCCGGTCCTGTGACGCCCATGCGCATGGAGACCTTTATGCCCGAAAACGCCGGCCCCATTTCGTATCCCACCTACCTGAACACCGTCCGGGTTCACGTTCAATCGGCCAAGGATATCCACGACACCCTGATCAGCGCCGCGCAAAACATCTCGCAGGCTGATTGATAGTTGTAGTGGCAGTATTGTTTGCCAAGCTAGGCTTAAGTTATGTAATTAAACGCACTGAGATATGATAAAAATATGGTTTTTGTATTTAAGGGCTACATTCTAACCAAGCAATCTCATAGTGATACTTTCTGAAAACGAGTAGGTGGAACTTTAAAAAAGTTTTTTTAATAGCTTATGTTTTTTTACCGACCCCCAAGTAATGATGTTTTATATGGCTGGATATTTTTACTTAAATTGTTAATTATTGTATAACAAAACAAATTCCGAATACATTTATTTTTTTTGATTTTAGACATTTAAGAACATGCAGTGTGAACGTGCTGCAACAGTTGTGCTACTGCGCCGGCAGTGTAAACGGGCTGAGAAAGTTTCGATAGGCAACAGACGGACGTGTCAGAATTAGAACGCAAAAGCATAAACACCGCGGTGCCGCATTTACAAACAACAAGAAAAGTAAGTCCGCTAAACCCTGTTAACTATCATCAAATAGTTATTAATGTACTCCATCCAATCCTTAGCTTACAAAACCCTGAGAAAATGGCAGATGAACAACCCAATCTTGTGGCTGGACACCCACCTGCATGTAAGTGCAATTGCATTGGTGTGCGTGTGTGCAGGCTTTTTTTTTGGGAGCAGTTCAATAAGAAATCTACGAATTGCCCCGCTGGCAATTAATAATGCAGCCAATCCTATCAATTGCCAGAATATCTACGCCTTATCAGTATCTTAACCTGTTTCGGCTGATAAGTAAACAAACAAGCCGCACACACGCACACACAAAGGCATTGCTTCCAAAAATATATATTTTCACTTTGTGCTGACGTCAGATGCACTTCGACTTTTAATTTTGGCTATACCCTACGCATAGAGTATTATTGCTTTGATCAGGCGTTTGTAACGCAGTGAAGGAAACATTACCGATCCTTTAAGATATATATTTTCAGTCAACATGTCCCTCTGGTGTTATACCGTTTCCGAGATCAGTTTAAAAGCTATTAATATAAAAACCTGTATTTTTAAACTCATTATGATCGTCAATACTTTTAATTTTGAGGTAGTCTTCACTTTAATTTATATTTATAGTTCCAGGATAAATTTTTAGAAAATCCTAGACGACTATCACTAGAGTAGGCCAGCCAGAATAAAAAATAATACATTTTTAAATAAAAAAAATTTTCTTGCCCTAAAAAATTATTATTTTTTTTTAATTTTGACTACAAACTTGTTGCTTACTTCTTAAAAATTGTTTTATACTATGAATACGCGTACCTAATTTTATCAAAGTCCAATGACTAACACAACGTTTATATAAAAAAACCAGGTCGTCCTAAAACTTAACATGTTTTATTAAAAATTTCAGTGAAGGCAGGTGGTATGCGCATTGTGCAGCACAAGGCGCCAGCGGCTGAGCGCGCGCCCAAGGATGCCGAGGATTGCACTGGATTGACAGTGAGTTTTCTGGTCAAAAATAAGTTGAATACTAAAATCTAATAACCAACTAACCACACAGCAACCCATTGCCGTGAACTCGGGCTCTGTGAGCGGTGCTCCCGTCAAGGGCAACACCGACTTTACGCCCGCCTCCGCCCAGGTGGCCCACTCGCCCAAGCCGCCGGCTGCAGTGCAGCAGAAGCCCCTCAACCACATCCAGCAGCCACGCAAGTGATGCGGACTCCGGCCGGCCAACTCTTATAATTATCCTAACTCCTTGATCTTTTGTTGAAATTCCATAAGTCCTCATGGTATTGAAATCGCCTGTGAGAGCGATATTATCTTTATATGCATTTGCAAACTGCATTCCATAAATGAATTGTGCTGATTCTCTGAGTTAATATTTTGTAATAAACTGTATCCCTTTTTTATAGAAGTCAATGCTTTGCAATCTTCGTTTTTCCTCACTTTCAGTGTCTAGGAATTTATAAGCTCTTGAATATGCATTTAATTTGCAATATTTCTGCTTTTCTTACCTTAAAACTAGTTAAAACTCATAATGCAGAAGCTTATTACACTTATAAATTACAGAAATATTTGCTTTTTTAGACAACCTTATCTTTTAGCAAGATATCTTAATTTTACCCTAAAACTACCTAGAAACTGCTTATAATTCCCAAGTGATTTTTCTGCACAGCGTGCGTATAAATAGGGAAGTTTGTATGAGAACTGATGCCCCACTGATCTTCGGTGGTCCGGGGTGCGGACTTCAAATCCGTAGTCGATTAGCGTCGAAGTGGTTCGATTCCACCTGGGGGGCGATTTACTAAGTTTGTGTTTATATTGTTTTTAAGAATGCCTTTTATTTTTATTTCACAAAACCCGTTCATATGGCATTGGCTGCCTTGACTATCCAGGGTCGCAGCACAGCTATATTTGCATAGACACCGGGATAGTTTTCATCGGCGCAGCGATAGCCCCAGGATACGATGCCCACCAGCTGGCTGTTGGCCACCAAAGGACCTCCAGAGTCGCCGGTGCAGGCATCCGCCTCCCCGTTCGCAGCACAGATAGTTTCCTCGCCCACAAAATCAGCGCCGTATCCGAACTTTTGGGAGGCGCAATCCCCACGATCGATGATCTGCAGCTGGGCCTTTTGCAGGGTATCCGCATAGGCGCCATTCTCCGTGTAACCCCAGCCCGTGACCGTGGCCGTCGATCCGCCCAGTGGACTCTCCTTGGCCAGGTTGATGGCTCTGGTGGAGAGGCCAAAGGTCAGTGGAGTGGACAGCCGGAGGACGGCGATGTCGTAGTGAAGGAAACGCTCCTCAAACTGCTCGTGGACCTTGTAGGCCGCCACGGGAACCAAAGTGCCGCCGTAGTTGTGATTCTGGGCGCCCACACGCACCTTCATCAGGGTCACGGACTTCCCGGACAGACAGTGACCGGCCGTGATGACGATCTCCTTGCTGTAGATGACTCCGCCGCACTCGTGACGGGCACTGATCTGAATGGACACCTGCCAGGGGGCGTTGCGAATGACCTGCTCACTTCCGCCCACAATCCGTCCACTGGTCTCCCAAGCGGCGGCTGCTCTGAGGAGCAAGAGGACCAACACAGTGACCGCTAAACCGTAAACAGCCATTCCGAAAGTCAAATGCAAACTGCTCGAATCTTTCCATGAACGGCATTCCTCGTCGGGGTTGTAAAAGTTAATCGCCGACTAATAGGAACTTATCGCTGGTATTATTGATACCGACGATTGGATTAATCTTAACGGGCTTTTCTTTTTCGATAGCACAGCCAGTTACCCAGGCAACCCTCGTCAAACAAATTAATTTCCCAGTACGAAAAACAAAGCATAGCATTTTCATTCGAGGAGCACATCATGGAGGATTGGAAGATAACCTCAGAGGAGCTAATCCGTCTGCGGGAGAGCTGCCTGCAGTGCATTCGGGATGGCGAACTCTACGAGCTGCGCAACGATGCCAAACTAAGGGCTGTTTACAGCACCAAGAGCTACGAGGAATTCAAGTAAGTAGCAAGAAATGCAAGGGATAATTCGTTAAAAGCCGAATACCACTAGGGACATAGTGGATGCAGCCCATCTTCGTCCAGTTTCCCGGAGCGATAAGGCCAATGCGCAGACGAAGAACCGACTGTGGAACTCGGCCGCCCGCAACTGATTGCCCAATAAAGATGAAAGGAAATGAAAATATAAAAATTATGTTCTGTATTGCGAAGTTTTATTGAAATGCTTAAAGGTTGCTAGCAGTGCTGATCACCCAGGAGCGGAGATCAGCAACATCGGAGTAGACTCCGGGGTAGTTGGCGTAAGCGCAACCGTATCCCCAGGAGACAACACCCACAAGCTGTCCACCGGAGACCAGAGGGCCACCGGAGTCACCCTGGCAGGCATCCTTGTTGGCGGAATAGGCGCAGATCATGGTGCTCCTGATCGAGCTACCATATCCGTAGGTGGAGGAAGCACACAGATCGCGGCTGACGATTTTCACGTCGACGTAACGCAGCTGGGTGGGGATGGAGCTGGAACCGGAGGACTCGGTTCCCCAGCCGGAGACGGAGGCAGCAGCGCCGTTGGCGGGATTGGAGCTAGCCAGGCTGATGGTCTTGATGGTGGAGCTGAGGCTCAGGGAAGAGCTCAGACGGATGACGGCAATGTCGTTGACCATGGTGTTGGCATTGTAGCCCTCGTGGTTGCGGAAGGCGGCGACCTTGGCGACGGTGCCGCCGGAACTCCAGTAGGTGGATCCAGCGCGGACCTGCAGAACGGAGGTGGACACGGACTGCAGGCAGTGGGCGGCGGTCACGATGATGTTGGAGGAGTAGATGGAGCCACCGCAGGAGTGGGATCCCGAGCGCTGCAGGGAAATCTGCCAGGGGAAGCTGCTGATGGTGGTGGCCGAGCCGCCGACGATGCGACCATCCAACTGGGGCAGGAGTCCCTCGGGGATGGTGCCTCCCAGGGCGCAGGCAACAGCAGACAACAGGATCACGAACTTCAGCATGGTGAGAATCCAATGAGTTACCTTCCGAAATGGACACCCCTTTTATACTGGCCTCCTATCTGCCCGCTGCGCATTAATCAGAACTTTCAATTATTTTTATCACTTGCCTGTCAGGAAAACCCAAAATAGGTGCGTTTAAGTGACCGGCAGATATTCCTCAACTGATTGGTTTTGCGAATATTATTTTAAGTCAATATTAATACGCAATCTTGTGGGCACGCTTCTACATAGGGATTCTTCAAGAGGTTCTATACTCACGGTAGGTATCAATGTCCAAAGAACGAACATTGATGAAATATTTCTATATTGAGGCGACATTTTGAAGAAATATCATAGATACACCGTTATATCCGTAACATTTTTAATAATATTTTCCATGTTAGGCTTCAGAATTATTTTGGGAAGGGGTTTTTTATAACAATTTTGTTTTGATACTTATATTTCTATTAGTTAAAAATGAGAAAAAACATAAAACTTAAATAAATGATGGCCACCTTTTATTGTTTTAATGTTTGTACATTAATTATAAAGTATTGTATTGTCGGTTTTGCTTAAAGGATCACTGTCAGGATAAGCACACAACGTGTTGCCGCTAAAAGCTGATTAAATTTATCAGTAAGTTAATTCTTAAGATAAAATCTCAATCAAACACTTCAATATGTTTTATTCGCAAGTCTCAAAAAACCCATTCAACTATTATAAAATATAATATATATTATATTTGTCTTTAAAACTAAACTTTAAAACAAGAAGAGAAAATGCTATAGTCGAGGCACTCGACTATTTGATACCCTAATAGATATGAGTTGAAAGGTTTTTTTGGACTATAAGTGGGCGTGGCACTCGACTGAAGCAAACATGGTTTTTTTAGGCACTAGTAGAATCTGTATAAAACATTCTCTATCTTTAGAAATGTGATTTAAAAAAGTTATGCGCAATTAAAGTTGATAAAGTCGCATTCCCTTTAGCTGAGTAACGGGTATCTGATAGTCGAGGTACTCGACTATAGCGTTTTCTCTTTGTTCTTTGTTTTAAGAACCGTGGGACTTTGGAGTCGCGGATTATTTGATGGTCAATGCAACTGACTTATTTTGGGTTTGCCCGACAAGCAAATGATAAAAGTAATTGGAAGTTCTGATTAATGTGCAACGGGGAGATAGGATTTCAGTATAAAATCGGATTCCATTTCAGATGGCAACTCATTGGATTCTCACCATGCTGAAGTTCGTTATCCTGTTGTCTGCAGTTGCCTGCGCCCTGGGAGGCACCGTCCCCGAGGGACTCCTGCCCCAGCTGGATGGACGTATTGTCGGCGGTACTGCTACCACCATCAGCAGCGTCCCCTGGCAAATCTCCCTGCAGCGCAACGGTGGCCACTCCTGCGGTGGATCCATCTACTCCACCAAGGTCGTCGTGACCGCCGCTCACTGCCTGCAGTCCGTTTCTGCTTCCGTTCTGCAGGTCCGTGCTGGATCCACCTACTGGAACTCTGGTGGCGTCGTGTCCCGTGTTGCCGCCTTCAGGAACCACGAGGGCTACAATCCCAACACCATGGTCAACGATATTGCCGTCATCAGTTTGAGCAGCCCCCTGGAATTCGGATCTACGATCAAGGCCATCAGTCTGGCTAGCTCTAACCCCGAAAACGGGGCTGCTGCCTCTGTCTCCGGCTGGGGCACTCTGTACTACGGATCCAGCACCCTTCCCTCCCAGCTGCAGTTGGTGGAGCTGAACATCGTCAGCCAGAAGAATTGTGCATCCTCCGCCTACGGTTACGGTAACTCAGTCACTGATTCTATGATCTGCGCTTATTCCGCCGACAAGGATGCCTGCCAGGGTGACTCCGGTGGCCCACTGGTCTCCGGTGGAGTCCTTGTGGGTGTTGTCTCCTGGGGATACGGCTGCGCTTACCCCAACTACCCCGGAGTCTACGCCGATGTTGCTGATCTCCACTCCTGGGTGGAGAGCGCTGCTGACAGCTTCTAAGCAGATAACTCTTTCGTTGAAAGTGTAAAATTCAAAAAGTGTAATTCAATTAAACTTTGCAATACAGAACGTAGCATCTTTCTATTTGGGGGTATACAAATCACTGTGGTCGGAAGTCCACGTAGTGACGAAGCGCACCAGGAGAGTCTGCCAAGGCGACTGCTTTATAAGTTACAGGAAGAAATGAAATAAAAAAAATAAAAATTTTTAAAATTGGAGCTGTTGGGCCGAAGGGGATAAATGCACAAGCCAATTGATCTTAAATAAAATCGTTTTGACGAATTCTCTCTCTCGGAGATTCTCTAACTTCGAAAAAGAGAGCAAGAATCAATATGGCGACCAAAATGACGTGAGTGGAAGCAAGAAAGACGTATTCGAAATTCTTAAATAATGTAAAATCGACCTACGTTTCATATCGATTTTGTTTTTGGGTGTGGTGCGATCGTCACTCCTTTTTTATCTCTTTTAGGGTCAGAAAAGCTTCCTTCTACGTGTCACATACTTTTCCCCGAAAACAGTATACCAATTTACCCTACGAGTTAGTTAATTGCAAAAAAAAAAAACGAAGCCCTCCACAATATTTTTACCGTTTAACGAATATGAAAATCAAACGAAATTGTCATAGGCAACTGTTTATGGAATGATCTGCAAGGGTATCTGAAATTCGGCTTGCCGAAGTAAGCTTCCTTTCTTGCTTTTTTCTTTAGATTAAGAACCACGCGACTTTGTAGTGGATGAATATCTGTTGGTCACTCAAGTGATAAAACTAATTGAAAGTTCTGATTAATGCGCGGCAGGCAGATAGGAAGCACTATAAAAGGGGTGTCCATTTCGGAAGGTAACTCATTGGATTCTCACCATGCTGAAGTTCGTGATCCTGTTGTCTGCAGTTGCCTGCGCCCTGGGAGGCACCATCCCCGAGGGACTCCTGCCCCAGTTGGATGGTCGCATCGTCGGCGGTACTGCTACCACCATCAGCAGCTTCCCCTGGCAGATTTCCCTGCAGCGCTCGGGATCCCACTCCTGCGGTGGCTCCATCTACTCCTCCAACATCATCGTGACCGCCGCTCACTGCCTGCAGTCCGTGTCCACCTCCGTTCTGCAGGTCCGCGCTGGATCCACCTACTGGAGCTCCGGTGGCGTCACCGCTGGTGTGGCCGCCTTCCGCAACCACGAGGGTTACAATGCCAACACCATGGTCAACGACATCGCTGTGATCCGTCTGAGCTCCTCCCTGGGCCTGAGCTCCACCATCAAGACCATCGGTCTGGCTAGCTCCAACCCCGCCAACGGCGCTGCTGCCTCCGTCTCCGGCTGGGGCACCCAGTCCTCCGGCTCCAGCTCCATCCCCTCCCAGCTGCAGTACGTCAACGTGAACATCGTCAGCCAGTCTGTGTGTGCTTCGTCCGCCTACAGCTACGGCAGCTCGATCAGGAGCACCATGATCTGCGCTGCTGCCAGCGGCAAGGATGCCTGCCAGGGTGACTCCGGTGGCCCTCTGGTCTCCGGTGGCCAGCTCGTCGGTGTCGTCTCCTGGGGAATCGGTTGCGCTTACTCCAACTACCCCGGAGTCTACGCCAGTGTTGCTGATCTCCGCTCCTGGGTGATCAGCGCTGCTAGCAACGTTTAAATTCTTCTAATAAAACTTGGCAATACAGAACATAAAATATAATTATTTGCTGTCTTTCATTTGAGAAACACATGAGGGTCTTCATTAATTTAGTTAAGTAGTTTCCGATTACGGGGTAAGAATTCCCTTGGTTGCTTCCTCAATACCTATCGAGTGCCACGCCCTCTCTAACGCCCACAGATGCCAAAACGGAGTCAGTTACGTCACTTCCAATGGCGGTATCAACGTTCAACAGTTGACAATTTTAATTGGTCCAAAACTACAAGGTGGGGAGAAAGGCAATCTTTCTGACCGCCAAGTAAATATGCGACCTTGACTTGTGTATTGTAGTCTATTCATATTTTAAGCACAGAGTTTTTTGACAGCCTTTATTTATATCCGTTACTTGTACACTCACTACACAGATAGTTTTTACATGAAATATTTCTTTCGACCAGGTTAAATTTACCTGGCCTCATATCAAATTAAAATTGATATTAAATAATGTAAAATCGATCTCCGTTTCATATCGATTTTTTTTGGGTGTAGAGTAAGAGGGTATTCGTGCAAAAGTATGTCGATCTAGCCATGTCTTTCTGTCTGTCTGTATGTGTGAACGCTGGATTCTCGGAAACTAAAAAAGCTTATGGGTTGGTATCATCACATTAATCACACATATTCTTAACCTTCCTTCGCAGCGCAAGTTTGTTTTATCCGAGCGCCTTGCCCACTCGTAGCCCACCGTCGCTTTAAAGAACTTTTAAAAAAGCCTGGCGCATACATCTTTACAGATTTCGTGAAAATTTACATGCCGTTTTCTTGTGTTTACTTATACCTATCAAAATGTAGAAGAACATTTTAAAATCGGACAATCCAACGAAAAGTTAGGAGCAAAAACATAAATGGCCGCTAGATGGAGCCAGTACCTGTCGACTGCATATCTCCATCTCCCTTGCACTCCCTTTAGCTGAATAACGGGTGTCTGATAGTCGAAGTACTGGACCATGGTAGAACTAATAAGGTGCTCTCGTCGCGAGAGCTGCCCTCTTTTAAGGACGTAATTTGTGCCCGTCTCTATCTAGCTATCTCATTCTATCGCTTAAGAGAGACAGAGAGGTAAACTTATTTAACGTCCTCAGCAGAGTTGACGAGACCACCTTGTATAGTTTCACCATGTACTAGACAATAGCATTTTCTCTGGTTATTGCAAGTACTTAACCAAAATAAAAATGTTTTTCGATGAGGGAGACTTGCAGAACAAACGTTGTGTAGCATACTTACACATAGTTCTGCCTATGAAAGGGACTGAAACTCCCCTTCCGCTGGTTACCTACCCTGGTTTCACTCTTAAGCTTTCAGCTTAGCTTTTGTATATAAATAAAACCCATCATTATGTTCATATAAGATTTAATTCGCAAAGTGCTTAGGCGTTGTTGATCACCCAGGAGCGGAGAGTAGCCACATCGGCGTAGACGCCGGGGTAGTTGGAAGCGGCGCATCCGTATCCCCAGGAGACGACGCCGACGAGCACTCCACCGGAGACCAGAGGGCCGCCGGAGTCACCCTGGCAGGAGTCCTTGCCGCTGGCGGCGGCGCAGATCATGGAGCTCTTGATCTGGCTGCCGTAGCTGTAGCTGGAGGAGGCGCACCTGCTCTGGCTGACGATGTTCACGTTGACGTACTGCAGCTGGGTGGGGATGGAGCTGGAGCCGGAGGACTGGGTGCCCCAGCCGGAGACGGAGGCAGCGGCGCCGTTGGCGGGCTGGGAGCTGGCCAGGCTGATGGACTTGACGGTGGAGCTGAAGCTCAGGGAGCTGCTCAGCCGGATGATGGCGATGTCGTTGACCATGGTGTTGGCGTTGTAGCCCTCGTGGTTGCGGAAGTAGGAGACCTTGTGGACGGAGCCACCGGAGCTCCAGTACGAGGATCCGGCGCGGACCTGCAGGACGGAGGCGGAAACGGACTGCAGGCAGTGAGCGGCGGTCACGATGATGTTGGCGTTGTAGATGGAGCCGCCGCAGGAGTGGGATCCCGAACGCTGCAGGGAGATCTGCCAGGGGAAGCTGCTGATGGTGGTGGCCGAACCGCCGACGATGCGACCATCCAGCTGGGGCAGGAGACCCTCGGGGATGGTGCCTCCCAGGGCGCAGGCGACGGCGGACAACAGGATCAGGAACTTCAGCATGTTGCGGATCGAATGAATACTTTGGGACTCGAAAGGTGTGCTTTTATAGGGGAATTGCTATCTCGCAGGGGCGTTTAATCAATGGACAGGTGAGATCTCGCGTGGTCGAAATGGATAACGAGTTGTGGAGTGGCCCGTAGGCTGATAAGCTGATTGCTTGGAGCAGGAGGAGTGACGCAACAGTTATGCGGAGGCCATATCGCTGTTAGATCTCCGTTGCGGGGATTGTATATAAGGGGTCTTGAAATCCGCGGATCAGCTACAACCGATTAGGATGTTGAAATTCGCAGTACTTCTCTCCGTTCTGGCCTGCGCCTGGGCAGGCACCATTCCCGAGGGGCTCCTGCCCCAGTTGGATGGTCGCATCGTGGGTGGCTACGAGACCAGCATCGAGGCCCATCCCTACCAGGTGTCCCTGCAGCGCTACGGATCGCACTTCTGCGGCGGCTCCATCTACTCCCACGACATCATCATCACCGCCGCCCACTGCCTGCAGTCGGTGTCCGCCAGCGAGATCAAGGTCCGCGTGGGCAGCACCTACTGGCGCTCCGGCGGCAGCCTGCACTCCGTCCGCTCCTTCCGCAACCACGAGGGCTACAATGCCCGCACCATGGTCAACGACATCGCCATCATCCGCATCGAATCCGATCTGAGCTTCCGCTCCAGCATTCGCGAGATCCGCATCGCCGACTCCAATCCCCGCGAGGGAGCCACCGCCGTGGTTTCCGGATGGGGCACCACCGAGTCCGGTGGCTCCACCATTCCCGATCATCTGCTTGCCGTCGATCTGAAGATCGTCGATGTCGATCGCTGCCGCTCCGATGAGTTTGGCTACGGCAGGAAGATCAAGGACACCATGATCTGCGCCTACGCCGCCCACAAAGACGCCTGCCAGGGTGACTCCGGCGGACCACTGGTCTCCGGCGATCGCCTCGTCGGTGTTGTCTCCTGGGGCTATGGATGCGGTGAGGTGAGGTACCCCGGCGTCTTCGCCGATGTCGCCCACTTCCACTCGTGGATCGAGGAGACCGCCCGAGATGTGTAAACACTTGAAATAAATCGCAATTGAACAGACTTTGCTTTGGTATCTCTTTCTATTTCGTTTCTTGGCCCAATTGCGTCGCAGGTGTAAGCCCTTAAACTTGACGAACAGATAAGATTTGGTAGAGGGACTGGTAGACTAGTATATAAGCCACGATCGACGGCATGTAACCAAGCACTTGTTAGCCACGCTCACCATGCTGAAGTTCGTGATCCTGTTGTCCGCCGTTGCCTGCGCCCTGGGAGGCACCATCCCCGAGGGTCTCCTGCCCCAGCTGGATGGTCGCATCGTCGGCGGCTCGGCCACCACCATCAGCAGCTTCCCCTGGCAGATCTCCCTGCAGCGCTCGGGATCCCACTCCTGCGGTGGCTCCATCTACTCCGCCAACATCATCGTGACCGCCGCCCACTGCCTGCAGTCCGTTTCTGCTTCCGTTCTGCAGGTCCGCGCCGGATCCACCTACTGGAGCTCCGGCGGCACCGTCGCCAAGGTCGCCGCCTTCCGCAACCACGAGGGCTACAATGCCAACACCATGGTCAACGATATTGCTGTGATCCGGCTGAGCAGCTCCCTGAGCTTCAGCTCCAATGTGAAGGCCATCAGCCTGGCTAGCTACAACCCAGCTAATGGAGCCAGCGCCGCCGTCTCCGGCTGGGGCACCCAGTCCTCCGGCTCCAGCTCCATCCCCTCCCAGCTGCAGTACGTCAACGTGAACATCGTCAGCCAGTCGGTGTGCGGTTCCTCCGCCTACGGATACGGTAGCCAGATCAGGAGCACCATGATCTGCGCTGCTGCCAGCGGCAAGGACGCCTGCCAGGGTGACTCCGGTGGCCCTCTGGTCTCCGGTGGACAGCTTGTGGGTGTTGTCTCCTGGGGATACGGCTGCGCCTACTCCAACTACCCCGGAGTCTACGCCGATGTGGCTGTGCTCCGCACCTGGGTGATCAGCACTGCTAACAGCATCTAAGCGGATAACCCTTGGGTTGGATATGTCAAATTCCTTCAATAAAGCTTTGTAATACAGAACATAAAATCTTTGTTTTTGATTATATATTTTTATAAGAAATTCCCTTCTGAAACTACGGATTAGTCAAGAGGTGAAATTTGAGTCCTAGAGAACAGATCTTAAAAGCAGATCTTATGCATGTATGTAGTACTTTACATACATTTTTCTAAGAACCCACTACTAAAATCCCTGATGGAGAAAGAGTACTCTCTTTCAGAGACCTAAAGGAAATTTCCATTACCAAAATTCAGTTTAAAGGTTTTTATTTTGTAGCTCTTTTGCTCCCGGGAGTATAGAGTTTTAAAATTTTTTTACAATAAAAGGAACTCTTGAATAACAGTAGTAGTAATACGCGTTCTGAAAAGCCAAACTGTGGCTCCCGAGTAATGTAACTCTGAAAAGTTCGAAGATCCCAGGTATGTTATCAATTGCAATCAATATTACACCTTCCGTATTATTAAATAGATAAAAGAGGAATAGTTCTTGAGCTTGCTGACGTCACAGGTCTTATCTTCTGTAGGGTTCACGGGTATTCACATTAGATAACTCGACGCGCCTTCCTGAGATTTCCAACGATTTCGATGGTCTCAAGTGGCTTAGGGTAAACATTTGCCCAGGACCGATGTATCTAATCACGTTTGAGTGCATCGCGTGGCCACAGTTCCACTCCATCTTCCATTGATAAGTTGAGTGATGGTCTGGACAGCTGCGGCAAGATTAATTAGCCGCAAAATAAGGGAGCTGATAAGATTGCACTGATTTGGACACTGGAAGTCGAACGTTTTAGAGGATCCGTGACTAGTAAATATTTTTAAGTTGCATGAATTGACCATTGTTATTTCCATAATATTTTTGAATCAAATGCAACAACAATTTGCCAATTGAAATCTTAAAATTTCCAGCTGATAATTTTGTTTATAGAAGAGCTTATCAATTTAATATTAAAGTGGCCAAAAAATTTGTGGAAATTTGCGGTTGATGTTCGCCATTCTGCTGTCACAATTCCGTTCATATAGCCACCCCTTAGTTTTGAGGGGTATTTCCAGCGTGTCATTGCTTTCGTAACTTTCTATTAGATTTGTTTTCTTTAATGAGCCATTAAAATTTGCCAATGGGTGATATAACCTGGTTTTTTGGGAATTCCGGGTCATAAAAATAACTTATATTCGTGTCATATTTCCAGTAAACCCCAATTAAGTTAAGGAGTGCCTTGCGTAACACTCATCGTGAACCCCAAAGAACTTAGATCCATATCTATTAGAGATATTGCTATTTGTGATAGAAAAATTTTCGAACCTGTAAAATATTATTAATGGGATACTAATAGATAGGTATTTATTATGACCTAGTTCAAGGATCATAACACTTATCGAAATGACCAAGTCTTATTGGTGTCTTCTCTCCGTTGTAAACTTGACAAATAACAAAGGTGTGTCTTGTCTTAATCACCTAGACATTGAGAACACCAAGGTCAAAGAATGACGAGGAGCAATCTATAATATAGATTCGATATCTAATAACACCCGTTCAAGTGCCGACTTCCGAGTTCTGACGGGTGCTCCACTTTTCGTGCGCTTTCTTTGATTGATAGTAAGACCCTTTTTGCGATAAGAGAGGCTATGCTAATTCCCCGGATCAAAAGATCGAACGATACTGTCAGTTGGTCACTCGAGGTTGACCATCCCACCCACTCAATCACTCCATTCGTCCCCCGATAGAAGGTTATAAATGTTGGAGCTAACTTACCGATGGTTCAGTGTTTTTCCAGAATGCAGGGATTAGTGGTTCTTTTAGTTTGCCTGGCTGTGGGTTCGACCTCGGCCGGCACCGTTGGCGTTTCCAATGCCGATCCCTTCGAGCGTGAGGGTCGCATTGTGGGCGGCGAGGATACCACAATCCGAGCTCATCCTTACCAGGTTTCCCTGCAGACCAAGAGTGGCTCCCACTTCTGCGGCGGCAGTATTATCAACGGGGATACCATCCTAACCGCTGCCCATTGTCTGCAAGGAAAGAAGGCTGCCAAGGTGTTTGTGCGTCTGGGTTCCACGCTCTACAACGAAGGTGGAGTACTTGTGGCCGTAAGGGCTCTACTCTCCAATGAGAACTACAACTCCAAGACCTTGGAGAACGATGTGGGTATACTGAAGTTGGCGGAAAAGGTGGAGGAAACCGAGGACATTCGCTACGTCGAACTGGCCAAGGAAACTCCGGCAACGGGAACGTATGCTGTGGTCACCGGCTGGGGTTCCAAGTGCTACTTCTGGTGCATGACCCTGCCAAAGACCCTCCAGGAGGTCTATGTCTACATTGTGGACTGGAAGGCCTGCCGGTCCGAGGAGTACAAGTACGGCGAGATCATCTACGAGAGCATGGTGTGTGGCTATGAGAAGAAGAAGGACGCCTGCCAAGGGGACTCCGGTGGTCCTCTGGTCATCGGGAATACTCAGGTGGGCATTGTGTCCTGGGGCTACGCCTGCGCCTCCGAGGGACTACCTGGTGTCTACTCTGACGTGGCATATTTGCGCCAGTGGATCCTAGATGCAGTCGATTCTTTGTAGATATTTTTAATAAATTACACGACAGTTTAGAGCATACTTTCAGGGATTCGCCCTTTTTTTTAACTATTCCGTTAACACTTTAGCGTTTAATGGGTGATATTGGAGTGATCTTCTAACATGTTAGTAGCATGTGATTTATTCGGATAATTTAGAAAAGTAATGATTAGTTTCAGGAACTTAAGAAACTTACATTACTGTATGTTTATGTTTGAAAATTTAATGAAATATTTGAAAAGCTTAGGACTTATGATTCTAAGTTGCATTATAGGAAGTATTTTTTAAGAGAGCTTAAAAGCATATTCTATTTAAGCTTATTATAAAGAAAAAACCCGTTTATTTTAGCTCCCGTTCTGTGCATTTTTATACCCTTGCAGAGGGTATTATGATTTCAGTCAGAAGTTTGCAACGCAGTGAAGGAGACATTTCCGACCCCATAAAGTATATATATTCTTGATCAGCATCACAAGACGAGTCGATCTAGCCATGTCCGTCTGTCCGTCTGTCCGTCCGTCTGTCCGTCTGTCCGTCTGTCCGTCTGTCCGTCTGTCCGTCTGTCCGTCTGTCCGTCTGTCCGTCCGTTTCTACGCAAACTAGTCTCTCAGTTTTAAAGCTACCGGGATGAAACTTTCGTAAAAGTCGTACTTCTATTGCAGGTAGTATATATGTCGGAACCAACCGGATCGGACAACTATATCTTATAGCTCCCATAGGAAGGATCAAAAAAAAAAACGTAAAAAAATTCTAGCTCCGGTGTTTTTTAAAATTTTACCTTCTACTCTTGGGAATATTTTTTTTATATATTTCTGAATTTCGGTTTTTTTGTTTTTTAAATCGGATCACTATATCATATAGCTGCCATAGGAACGGTCGAAAAATTAAATGAAAATTAATGGGAAAAAAATTATATCTTTGTTGGTTTTTATTACATTCCCTTCCACTCTGGGATATGACTATTTTGAAATATTTCCGAATTTCGATTTTAATTTTTAAAAGATCGAACTACTATATCATATAGCTGTGATAGAAACGATCGAAAAATTAATGTGAAATAATAAGAAATTTAACATTTTTGCGATTTGTAAATTAATAGAATGATCTGCAAGGGTATATAAGCTTCGGCTTGCCGAAGCTAGCTTCCTTTCTTGTTTAAGTGGTAATCAAGTATTTGATTAATTTGATAAGGCTAATTGATTGGCTATCTTAGCTGGACAATGTCATTACTCTTAGTCAGCTATGGTTTTTTCAAGCTTACGACAGAACGAATTCCAGAGAATAGCTATTAGCTACTGCTCTCCTATGGCCATCTTATCGATGTTAGACCGAAAGCCATTTATTGACCCATTCGCGATATGGCCAAAGCTTCTCGTTGGTTTTTGAAAAAGGCAGAAAACTTTCGATTTAGTCACACATCGAACAACGAAATGAGTAAAGTTCTATTACGGATTTGTGCGGCACTTTTCCTGCTGGGAGTTTCTGTGGTGGCCGCTCAACCAGATGGCAGGATAGTTGGTGGTGCCGATACTACTAGTGTGCATACCAAATATGTGGTGCAGCTGCGCAGGCGCAGTTCTTCGACGAGTGCCTATGCCCAAACCTGTGGTGGCTGCATCCTGGATAACGTAACCATAGCCACCGCCGCTCATTGCGTCTACAATCGCGAGGCGGAGAACTTCCTGGTGGTGGCAGGAGACGATAGCCTGGGTGGCATGAATGGTGTGGTGGTGCGGGTGGCGAAATTGATCCCTCACGAGCTGTACAACGCCTCAACCACGGATAATGATATTGCCTTGGTGATTGTTGATCCTGCTCTGCCTTTGGAGACCTTTAGTACAATGGAAGCCATTGAAATCGCCTCGGAGAAGCCCTCGGTGGGTGCCCAGGCCACCGTCAGTGGTTGGGGTTACACCAAGGAGGCTGGCCTCTCCTCCCAACAGCTGCAGCAAGTCAAAGTTCCCGTTGTGGATTCCGCCAAGTGCCAGGAGGCCTACTACTGGCGACCCATCAGTGATGGAATGCTGTGCGCCGGCTTGGAGGAAGGCGGCAAGGATGCCTGCCAGGGAGACTCCGGAGGACCTCTGGTTGTGGCCAACAAACTGGCCGGCATCGTTTCCTGGGGCGAAGGATGTGCTCGTCCCAACTATCCCGGTGTCTATGCCAATGTGGCTTACTTCAAGGACTGGATAGCCCAGCAGCGAGCATCTAATGCAAAATTTTATAATATTGAATAAAGAAAAGTTTGAATATTTTACCCTACCGGAAACCCCCTTTCTGTATATTTTTGTGTAATGCCAATCTTTATGGTTTTGCCTTGCGAACTTGTATAATATCAAATAAACTGCGGGTATCGAATCATATAAACGCTTGGTAGTAAACAATGTTATGGGAATAACGACTATCAAGTCCAAAGTTCATGTTGCTAAAGGAGCAGTTTTTTAGAATTTAAAAACCCAAAAGAATTTAAATTCTGTATATTTTAAAAAATTTCGACTTATAATTAAAACATTTGTTTTTTTTTTAGAAAATTAGATACAATATATATCCTATTTAGTCTTTCTATATAACAGCTTTTCTTTCCATAACAGCTTTCCTAAAAGCTCTACCACATATAACTTCTTGATTTCAAATATAGCAAGTTAAATGTTTATAAAAGCCTCAAAAACCGATCCCAATCATGTTGCCCAATGTTATAGCAGACCATAAAGCGTAATCGCTGGTAGTTTCGAATGACCGTGCATATCCAGAATAAAATTTATGGTCTATATAGTCGGGGTAGACCGTTAGATAAGCCGTGCAGTTGCCGGCCAATTGGTTAGGGCCCTCAGTTCTCGATTCTGCGTGGCTTTGCAAACATGTCGCGTTCTTGGTTGCTCTGCCTTTCGGCCCTTCTCTTTGGCCTGGTGGCCTTGACGCAAGGTCTTCCGCTTCAGGAGGATCTGAAGGATCAGGATCAGGATCAGAAGGTTCCCGGCGGCCGCATTGTGGGTGGCTATGTGACCGACATCGCCCAGGTGCCCTACCAAATTTCCCTGCGCTACAAGGGCATCACCACGCCGGAGAACGCCTTTCGTCATCGCTGCGGTGGCTCGATTCTCAGCGCCACTGAAGTTCTAACAGCGGCGCACTGCATCATTGGAACGGTGGCCAGCCAGTTCAAGGTGATTGCCGGTTCCAATTACCAAACGGGTTCGGATGGCGCCATTACCAACGTCAAGGCCATCCACATGCACCAGGATTACTTCTCGGGAGCGGCCTACAACAATGATATCGCCCTTCTGGTCGTGGATCCCCCGCTGCCCCTGAACAACTTCACCATCAAGGCCATCAAGTTGGCCTCGGAACAGCCGCTAGAGGGCGCTGTTAGCAAGATTAGCGGCTGGGGAACCACTTCACCCGGCGGCTACTCCTCGAATCTTCTGCTCGCCGTCGATGTGCCGATTGTGAGCCATGAACTGTGTAATCTGGATTACGAGAACTTTGGCGATGAGACCTATTGGATCACCCCGGCCATGTTGTGCGCCGGCAAGCGAGGAGTGGGTGGTGCCGATGCCTGCCAGGGAGATTCGGGTGGTCCTCTGGTGGTGCGCGATGAGCTCCACGGCGTCGTCTCGTGGGGCAACAGCTGCGCCCTGGCCACTCATCCCGGCGTCTATGCCAATGTGGCCTATCTGAGGGAGTGGATCGATGCCATTCGGGCAGAGCTGTAATCGAATTATTTCACCATCCCAGAATATTGTAAATAAAATGGCTTTCACAGCCACGTGCCTTGGGATTTTCCAAATCTAACTGTGTTTTATTATTTTTTCCCCAGACGTAATCGGCTTAAACATTGATTAGATCAACCTTGGACAGGTGGATTGAGATTAAGTGACTTCTACGAAAAGAAATCGAAATGAAATCAAATCAATCACTTAAGCCCCAAAAGTATGCAAGGTCTTTAGACCTCAAAAAATAGTTGTTTGCTTGATTTTGGAGTGGACCAAAGTTCAGGGGAATTCTTGCCCCTTAAAAATATTTATAGAGTCATAAATATTTGACGTCCTGATAATGATCAAAATTATATGGTCATTGAACAAGAATCTCGAACATATCAATAATACATATCCTCTTTATAAAAGACAGCTACGAGCTCAAGAGCATTCTATAATATATAATATACCAAATATGATAATAATACCAATCGCCTCTGGAATGACACTATCTTGGTCGGACCCTGTGTTCCCATGCTATCACAAGTTATCTCGAGCACCGACCATTAACCTAATCGATATGGTCATTGAATGCCGCCGGCCAAGTTAAAAATTCACCATCCGTAATCAGTTCGATAGGAACCTCTAGCCCGTGCAAATCGTTTGGAAAAAGATCTCAGCCATGTGCATCCCGCTGCTGCTGCTGGCCATTGGTTGCTCCTCCATTTTATCCATCTCGGCCCAACCGCAGGGCAGGATAATCAATGGCACCACCGTGGATATAGCCCGTCATCCGTATCTAGTCTCCCTTCGCTATCGCCGGAATGAGACGGAGAGCTACAAGCACGAGTGTGCCGGAGTCATCATCTCGGAGCAGGCGTTGCTCACCAGTGCCCAGTGCTTGGATGGATTACCAGAGGGCACAAAGCTCTTGGCAGTGGCTGGGGCAAATACCCGCAATGGAACCGATGGATTCATCTACCCCGTCGCCAATTGGACCCATCATCCGAACTACGATCCCATCACAGTTGACAATGATATCGGGGTCCTCCTGCTGGACACTCCCCTGAACCTCACGCACTTTGGCATCAGCTCGATTGGCATCCGTTCGGAGCGACCGGCAGTGGGTCGCCTGGCCACCGTTGCCGGTTGGGGTTATCGGGAGGAGTGGGGTCCCTCGAGCTACAACCTGGAGCAGACTGAGGTGCCAGTGGTCAGCGCGGAGGAGTGCACCCAAATCTACGGAGCGGGTGAGGTCACCGAACGGATGATCTGTGCGGGTTTCGTGACCCAGGGAGGCAGTGATGCCTGCCAGGGAGACACCGGTGGACCGCTGGTCATCGATGGCCAACTGGTGGGTCTGGTGTCCTGGGGACGCGGTTGCGCCCGACCCAACTACCCCACCGTCTATTGCTACGTGGCCAGCTTTGCGGATTGGATCGAGGAGACCGTAGCAGCTCTGGGAGCGCAATAAACATTGGCAATCGATACGCTATCTTCAAGTGGCTACCGCCCGGATAGAGTTACCACCTAATTCAATAATAAAAAACCGTAATCAAACAAACAGTATGTACCATGTTATCATCGACTGTATTCGGTAATCTCCTTATGTAATGTATGGGGAATGGGGATACTAAAAAAGTTCGGGGTAGAGTGATTCTAGAGGATTTAAGGATTTTTACAGGAAGTCAATTTTTCCCACATCCGCGTAGGAATCAATGGTTTCTAGCAGCCACTCGCGAACATCCGGAACGGAGCAATAGACTCCGGGGTACTTCTCACGAGCACAGCCCGTTCCCCAGGACACAATGCCCAGGAGTTCGTTCTTGTAGATCAGCGGACCGCCGGAATCTCCCTGGCAGGCATCCTTGCCGCCGCCAGTGACTCCGGCACAGAGCATCCGGCTGGTCAGCATGATGGAGTAGGCGCTCTTGCACTCCGAATTCTCCACCACATTGACTTCGACCTCCTGGAGGACGTCGGAGATGGTGCCCCCCTCGCTGGTGGTTCCCCAACCGGTCACCGTGACGGTTGTATTGTGTTCCGGACGCTCCTTCGCTAAGGTAATGGGCTGCACGGCGTCGTTGTACTCAAACTCTCCATCGAGAATCAGGATAGCCGCATCGTAGTCGTTGTTCAGAGTTCGGTACTTGGGGTGAATGATGAACTCACGAACAGCCAACACCTGCTGGGGAGTATTGGGGAACCAGATGTTCGAGGAACCAGCCACTATGGTAAGGTTACCAGGACCACTCAAAGTGTTCACGCAATGGGCTGCACTAATGACCTTGTTTTTCTCATAAATAGCACCTCCACATCGGTGATTTCCATTGTACCTCATCGAGATCTGATGCGGATAGAAGGTGATGTTCGTGTCCTGTCCACCGACAATGCGTCCATCGAGCTGAGGCAACGCTGGCTCCTCTTCATTCCGGTAAAGGGGATCTGCCAGGGAGCAGCTCACTCCGAGCAACAGGAACGCAACCAAAGTCCGTGACATTTTCGAGCAACTGAAGGCAAAAGTAGCGCTATGCGTAGATTTATAGAATAGCCTTATCAACCTTGTGTAGATTGCGGTTGGATTGACCATTACGCGGTAATCTAGCGATAGTTGTCGCAATCAGCCAACAGACATGGACAATAAGCTGGCCGTAAATCTTGGTCGAAATTCTTTCTGGGCTTTTCCAATTACCCGATTTCCCTTCTTGGCCCATGACCTTGCAAATTAGTTCTAGTAAATCTATAAACCTATCATTAAGTATCTCGCTTTTACCATTCCCAATCAATTAATTGTAGTAACTTTCTCTCACTATCGCTTTCTAAGAATATTGTTGGGTATTTGATTTGCTCACCCAAAAGTAGGCTTCTACAAAAGAAGTATAACGCTCCATTATTTAATCTAACATAAGTCGATGCTTTATTACGATAACTTAACTTTAAGCCATTTACACTGGGACTAACACTAAGATTGCACATTTCCGGCCCAAGACTGCTGACATTTATCACAATACGCATCCGTCACGATACTTACGATACACGATATAATATGATGATTGATTGCACTTAGACTTCTTAGGGCTTGGGTTCGTTTCTATACCTGCACTTTGCGTATTGGATGCAGTTTCCAAGGGTTCTCCTTTCTCTAGACACTATGAATTACCAGCTAGCTTAGATCTAACAAAATTGCACCTTGTGGTTTGGCAAGAATCTCCGAGTTATTGCACTGATCCTTAGTCTTATAAATGTAAGTCTTTCGTCTGCTTTCAAATATTGCACGTCCCTAGAAACTAGTCATTAGGCGATACTTATTCTAGCTCTTTCTGATCATCTTGTAGAGCACCGAGTGCGTTTCTATGCTCTCCGCCCCGGACTCCCACATGTCCTCGGCGTTGGTCTCCTCGTCCGTTTCCGAGGATCCACAGCAGGTGCTGCGCCCACCGCGTTCATTTTCATCCGAGGAGTAGGACGACATGGTGGTCGTGCTGCCTCGCACATTTCGCTCCTGCGAATTCGTTTGGGAGTGGGAACGAGTCAGGGTCTTATCCGAATCCGCATCGCTGAGTTCGCCAGGAACGACGGCCATATTTTCCGGCGATCGACGACTGTGACCCGGCGAGACCATGTGTTCGAGGTCCTCGAATCGATTGTCATTGGGTCCGCTCTCCTCCTCGTTGTCCTCGATGGTGTCCACCCGAATAATCTGACCCCGCCCGGACATCATCTTGAAGTTGTACCGATCGTAGACATTTCGCTTGTACAGCTCCGTGGAATCTGTGCTCATGTAGCCACTGTCCAGTTGTCCGAAACGCTGTTCGTAATACGTCTGACTGCCAGGTTGTCCCATGTTGGCAGATTGAGCGGCATCCTCGATGATGGAGGCAATGGCATCGTCCTCCAGAAAGCCGGCCGCGTTTTTGCTACCATACGTGGGAGCTGGACTCTGGCTGGGACTGAATTTGTTGGCCGCCATGGTCACAAACTTTCGCCACGCGTTCTTCAGATCCTTGGCCTTCTTGGCGCGATCCTTCAGTCCGATGGCAATCTGCATGCCAGCCGTCAGCTGGGCCTGTTCGATCTCACAGCGGTAGACGGTTTGAACGTTACCACCGGAAGAAGGAGAGCTTCCCGAGCTGCTAGCCGCCCTTTGGGGATAGGCAATACCCACGGGCACTCCGGCATTCCGATACATCTCCTTGGTTCGCTCGGAGAGATGACCGCTGCTCCGATTGGAACGGGAGCTTATGGACAACGCATCGAACTGGGTGAGATCCACCTCCTTCACGTTCTTATTGAAATCCGGCTCGGGGGCCACGTCCTTTGGTGAATCACCACCACCTTTCGAGGCCTCCTCCCGCTGACTCTTCCTTCGATTGAGATACTTGGTTAGACTGTAGTCGTTGCGCAGACTGTTGATCTTCTTGTTGTACAAACCATCGTAGTCTTCTTCCTGGCTTCCACTGGTTTTACCACTGAGTTTGGTTGCCTTGGAGGCCTTGGAACCCTTGGTGTGAGTTCTCTCCTCCGTGGTGGCCGATATAGCACTGGACATGGTGTTGTTGCAGGAGTTCTCGAATTCCGAGACCCCGGTGACTTCTGTGATTTCACTGTGCAGACTGTAGGCATCTTCTTCCTGGGCCGCCTGATGATGATCCGATGACGGTCCGTTTGGAGGAGGCGGTGGCAGTGGTCGCTTACTTTGCTGCAACGGTGGACAGTAATGCTGATTGGCCTTGGGTCGAAGTGGCGGAGGTGGTTTATCCGCCGCTTTGGGTGATGAAATCGTGATGGTGGTCTTGTTCACCTTGGTGATGTCCACCACCGAGTGGGTGGGTGAGGTCTCCATGAGACGCTGGCGTCGCGAGTGTTTGGCCTCTAGGGTAAGAATCCTACCCTCCTCCTCTGGAGTCGGTGGCACCTTCTTCTCGAACTTGCTGTTCTCCTGGGCAATCAATAGAGGTGACTCGTAGATCTCTCGCAAGTTGCGAAATGAGTTACTCGAGCGCAGGATGAAGGAGGCAGTCCTCGGTTTGATGGCCTGACTGGGAGCAGGACTCAATTGCCGACTCAAATCAGGCAAGGAGTTTATCTGATTAAAGTCCGAATCCATTTGCTTGTGGCCATCCCAAGCGGAAATGTCGCAGAAGCTCTGCTTCTTGGGCTTGCGATCCAGGGTATCCGGTTCGAATTGATCGCTGTCGGTGCGCTCCAAATCCGAGGGCGGTTCGTGCTCCACCTCGATGGTCATGCTGCCCCGAAAGGGAGTGTCGTACTTGATGCGAGCCGCCGCCTCCTTTTGCCTCTGCTGCTGATGCTGGCCAGGATGCGGATGGTGGTGCTTCGCTGCCAGACGCTTCTTCATCTCGCCCTCCTTGCGAAATCCGTCCATTCGATCGTACACCGTGTGACTGATCTCCATCTCCTCCTCGAGCGGCAGGGCGGTACTCAGGCTGGGACTCAGTTGGGAGCTCACATCGGAGGAGGGTGAACTGGAGGAGTGGGAGCTCTTGCGCTTGCTCGGCTCCAGCCGCTCCAGACTATCCGTCTCGTAGTCCACGATCAGATATTGCGGTGACTTCCTGCGGTAGATGGGAGAATCGGGTTGGAACTGTTTCAGGGATTTCCTGCTGAGGGAACTGTAATCCGGAGTGGGCACCGATGGAATGCTGCTCTGAGTGCTGCTATATATATCCTTGATTCGCTTCTCAATGGTGCTATCATAGTCGGGTGTTGGTATATGCGCTGCATACTCTCGTTTCAGGGAATCATAGATCACCTCCGCCGGCTTCATGTTCCTCAGCATATTGTAGTGCTGCCGATCGAAGGAGGTGAGCGAGGTGGGTGTCGAATTGGCGGCGGCGAACTGATCCAGGACCTCACTGCGCTTCCTCAGCGACTTGGAGCGACTGGAGGCACTGCGCAACGAGGCCGCCGGTGAGTCGGCCAGCATGAACTTGGGATTATTATAGATCTCCCCGCCCGTCTCGGCGAATCCATAGACATTGGCGGCCACCGAGAAGGAGGAGAAGCCCTCGTAGTTGGATCCTAAGGGTGCTTTCCGTTTAGGCGACTGTTCCGGGCTGTTTTTGCCAGGACTTCGACTACAAGGAGATACTGCTGGTGGGGAGGATTTTCCTTCCTCTGTTTTCGATTTCTGCATTGGCGGCGGCGGAGGTTTCTCCTTGGGTGCAGTTATCTCCCTTCTCAGGGATCCTTTGTTCGGAGATCCGGAAGCCTTCTTGGTCGTCGTCGTCGTCGGTGGAGGAGCAGCTGGTCTGTCGAGGGTCTTTTGAGCGGGCGTAGCATCGGAATTGGGAACACTTTGCAGCCACTGCTCGATGCTATTGCGCTTGTCACCCATTCCCTTGGTGGCCAAACTCTGTTGCAACGGAATGTTGAACATGGTGGGTGAACTGGAACTCGAATCCGGCTGCAGCTCCTCGGGAATTATGTTCAGCGAGGGTTGATATCGCTTCGAGGCCATCTTGTACTTGGCAATGGCGATCACCTCGCGGATCTTCTGCAGAAACTCAATGGCAGCTTGAGGCGGTTCCTAAAAAAAAGAAAAAAAAAGAAAAATAAAAAAAAAAAAAAAATATTGCAATTTAAATATTGATATATTAAATTTAACAATTGTATTTTATTTTTAGATTTTTATGAAATTAATATTGAATAGTTAGATAATCTCAACTTACCGCCAGTAAATGGGGCTCGAAATAAGCCGGATTAAAGTAGAGCTTCTTTCGCACATTCCCACTGACCATGGCACGCAGGTTCTCCAGCTTTTCCTCGGTCATGAGTTCATCAATTACTGCCACATTTTCAGCGGGCAGACACTCGTTATCCTCCAGAAAGTCATTCACATCCAGAGCGGCATTATCGGTTCCACCCGCTGGTTTTGGTGACTTGCTTAGCTGTGGATGCACCAGCACAGATGTCTGTAAGGTATTCCCTTTTAGTATTCTTAACTTTCCAAATTAATAAATCAACTTACCTTGATCTTCTCCTCCATTTCGCACTCAGAATTGGAGTTTGAAATATCGCTGGCAAAGCCGGAATTGTGTTCCCTTTCGGTTAGCTGCGGGAAATGTTGCAGCAGGGGATTATTTTTCACAATACCCATATCCTCCTTGAGACTCCCGATACTGGTTCGTGTATTGGATTCATTTCCATTGCCCAAACCCATGCTATTCGAGGAGTATATACTTCCCACTCGGCTAAAGGGCGCTCCATAGGTCACTTGATCGTTCTTGGGGTAATTAATGTCGTTCGTTAGGTTATCCAGTGAGTGACGAGAATTGTGTCGTTTTCGCTTCTTCATGTAGAGATATAAAAAGACTGAGGCCACATAGATGAGACCCAAGAGCAGACTGCATATACCAATGACCACATACTCCCGCATGGTCATGCCATCCGAAGTGGAGGCCAAAGTTGTGGAGTTGGCCGGTTGAAAGAAGACCTCGGGGACGTCTAATAAGAGATTTAGGGATTTAAGTAATTAATTTTGGGTTTTTTCTTCTAGCAAACTCACTATGCGCATATTTCACGGGACTTCCATTCACCCGGAAGGCCACACAGGGCGAATGAACATTTCGGGGCGGCATGAGTGGTTCGCCCTTGATATGACTACTGGCATTCATGGCCACCGTCATGTCCCTGCACACCAGATGCACCACAATCAGGCGACCCTGCATCTTCTGCCGAAGATCAGCCTCTCCCAGCCACAAAAGGAAGCTGCGTCCCTCATCGCGGAACATGCGAAACGGATAGTCGGTGTCTATGGGATTACGCAGATCCGACCAGCCATTGGAACCCAGATACTGGGCGCCGGTTACAGCGCAAACGGGTGTGTGAATGCCTATTAAAGAAAAGATTTAGAAAAGTCTTAGGAAATATTTAAAATACATTTAATACAAATAAAACAAAGAAGAAAAAATCTCTTTTCAAAAGTCTCAAAGTCTTTCACAAATTAAAATAATAAAAACACTGACAAATTAATAAAATGTCTATATTTATTAAAACTAATGATTAAAAACCGGTACATCATTTTCTTCTTTTTATAGTTTATTATGGAAAATAATACTCTTTAAAATATGGATTGTCAACAAATCCTAAAAAATTAAATGCCATAAACATTTATGAAACCAGTTTCCTTAAAACTAGTAAGCTCCCAACTACTTCCACATATTTTGTATGTTACTTATAATTTAAAATAGACCACTTACTGGCAAAGCTGATCTCCCTGCTGGGATAGATGATCTGACCCTTGAGCGGCAGGAAGACAAAGGGAATCTTTTCCGAGGAGGAACCGCTCACGAAGGGCGACAGGGAGCACTCTGTAACAATGGTTGGAGAAATGGGAAACGATTAGGTGGTTTTTGTTTCGAGGTGGTGGGAAAGTACGTTCAAAATGACTGCGATAACGATCGACGCTTATCAATTACGAGTCGGGGGGAATATCGGTAGTGAAACCACTACATATTTGCCACTGTTGTTTTTCCGGCCAGCCCAGCTCTTACTTTCGGTCCAACTTTGGGGTCCGATTCCGATTCCGATGCCAATTCCGATTCGGATTCCAAGCTTGAGTGTTAGACCCCCAAATGGCAGGCAGTACGAGATTGTTTATGTTGGCAGACGACGGCGAAAGTTTCCTTTCATTCATTAGCAGCGGGGAAACAAGCGATTTGTTCAATAATAATAACATTTTTTCCCTCTTTGCGTCACGTTTCGTTTTCATTCTGCAGCCCTGCACAATTTCATTTGCTGTTATTACAGCATTTCTTTCTTCTTCGTTATTTTTTTCTTGAGTTGGGCAACCATTGTGCTTGGTATATGACAAAACAATGGATGGATTGGATAGTGTCTCACATGTGGGAGCGACTCCCACCGCCTCGAAATGGAGCACACAATTCGGGCCTCGAAATTAGTTGAGGGCTTCCGCAATGCAAAAAACATACTTACCATGAATGTCGTCCACGCAGATGCCCAGATCCTCGCGATAGGCCCTCTGATAGGGAAGACATCGGCAGGTGCATCCGGTTTCCAGGCCACCGGAATCGTGATTCTCGCGACCCTTCTGCATCTTGAGGCGGCGCGTGAGGAGCTCCATTTGACCGCCGGCCAAAGACGAGGTCGCCGGATTGAGTCCATCTATGGATTGGGATTATGACAGCCTCGCATATTAACCATCTGCTAATCTTCTGCTTACCGTTGCTTTGACCATCGCTCGAAAGACGCACCAGCGATGCTGTGCCGCTCGAGAGTCCGATGCAGGTGTCCGCATTGCAGGCGCTGCTCAAACCTGCGGACAGAGAAGACATTAAGATGGATTGAGTCGGGACTTCACAACACATCTTCAGCCGATTGACGGCTAATCAGACGGGCTGGACCAAACCGGACCAAAGCCTTACTGGCGAAATTAATGCTGCTGTCAGCGGATCAGCCACGAAAAAAAAACCACCGCATCATCATGCAGCCGAAGATGCCACATGCCAAGGCAACTCTTCGATGACAGTGACATTGGCGAGGGGTTTTACGAAAAAAGGCAGTTCTTTGTTAATTTATCTAAAAAGGTAAAGCTAACAGTCTAAAAATGCATTGAGGAAGACTCTAAAATGCTGTCAATTTGCCAAAATTGTTTGTGAAAACATAGATATTTAAATTTAAGTAACAAATCAATCAAGTTTATTAACAAATCAATAAAAAAAATAGATGTGAAGGTCTTAAATCCAAAATATAAAATAAATATTTATTGTCAATAAAGATCATTTAATAATTTTATCATCAACAAGAAAAATTTTTTTTCAGACGATCTTTATACTGTTTATCTTCATGAATTAGTTTAATTTTTACAACGCATTTATTTTGGATTTACCTAAAAAATTTAAGAATATACCAAATAAATAAAATAATTGCCTTGTAAAATACATTTTAAAATATAGTTTAAGTTCGGAACATTTACATTTACTTTAATGTGAATTTCTAGTCAATAAATTGTAGAACACAATTCCCCTTACTCGCATTGTATTCCACCTGCACATAGGTTTATTTTATTTTCTACTTTACTAAAACTGAAAGACATTAACATCCTCATAAAATAAATTTTACAAATATATTTAAAGCACAGACATGTAATGACATTGATTTTGGGGGTGTCTTTAATGGGGCTTTCTAGCAAATTCGTATTCCACCTACACAGCAGTTTACTTTCTTTTAGCTTCACTCAAATTTAAAGTCATTAATTAGCTAATAAAATAAATTTAGGAATAGATTTAATGGCGTTATTTACGGGGGTGACTTTAATGGGAGCTTCTATCAGCTCTTTCTAATTTAATTCCACCTGTTTCCAAGTGTAGAAATAACTCACCGCTCGTGTGGAAGGTATCGCCGTCGTGCTGTCGTGTCAGATTGACGAGCTGCCCGTTGGTCTGCTGCAGTTCCTCCAGCAGCAGGCTGGCCGGCATCAGGGGATCCTCGGCGCGATCTTCTTCGTGGGGATAGTGGTGGCCCCTCACCCGCGGATGGGTGGGCGGCGAGGGCGTGGCAGGCGGCGGGAGGGCGGCGATGAAGGTGAGCAGAAGGAGCAGCGGTAAGGATTGGAGCCGCATCTTAACAGCAACATAGCTGGATGGAACGCACTCTGGGGGATTATACGGTGCAGCTGCAACTGAATGGGAAGAGAGGTGGAAAGAAACACAACCGCTAATTAATTAAAAAGAAGTCCAAAAACGAAACCAGCTAGTATTGCGAGTTGACATTCTTTGGGGCCCCGCGCGGTTAATGAGGCAGAAATTGTTTAGTCCGTTTTGCTGGAAATGGAGCAACATCTACATCCAGTTGGTGCTAGTTTGCCGGCGGCTAACGGACAACATTTAAACAAATGTTGCAATTAAAACTCGTTCTGGCGGCAAGTGTATACTTATTGGTTAGTTGGGACAAGGTGGAGAGCTGGCATAATGCTGCACTGGATCAAGTGCGTCGCAGTGGGAAAACTGTATAGCTGCGTTTACCGTTACCGAAAGAAAAGCCCGCTGCCGCTGTTGCACTTGGCTTAGAACACCCCGTTTATACCGCTAATCAGTTGCACTTTAGCAGCTGCTTTCGGCCAGGCCAATTTACATAAATATTTCACACACACAGCGCGAAGCAGCGAACAGCAAAGGCAGCACAGAAAAATTATTGGGGACTCCTAACTGTTCATATCTACGAGTTCTACTGATCTCAGAAGTGTGTGTCTGGTTTTTTTGGTGCTTTGGCTCTTCAAAAGAAGAACAAAAGAGACGGTTGCGTAGAGGTAGAGGTATATTATCTGGAGCCATAATGTGCGCGCGAATGAATGAGAGAAGAAAGCGATAAAAAGCAACAGTTGCGGCCTAATTTGAAAGTAAAATTTCTTTACAAAACGCAGTAGAACACAAAAAACACACTAAGTTCGGTGCCTAAGTCTTTTGATTGACCAGTCACCAGCGCTACGATCATAATCACCATCCATCTACATCGGAATCCACCAGCTTAGCCAACTCCGTCGCCATCTCCATCTATCACTCGACTTGCTGTACAGTTATGGCATTTAAAAATAAACAACACACAAATAACAATATCATTTCTATTATTTCTCTTTCTTTTCGATTTGTTTACGACTTTGCCTTAGTTATACGGTTTTGGTTTGATTTTAGGTTGTCTAGTTTTCGGTTTGTCTGCATTTTCGAAACGAATTTAATGGCAGTAATGACCTGCTTTTTCGGTTTTCCAACTGCAACATCAGCAAGAGTCACAAGAGCAATAATAATACCAACTGAAACTGATGCGATTTTGATGATGCTGGGAAAAATACAATAAAGAAGAAGAGGAGGAAAACTTTTGCTGGTTCTGAGATCTGTTATATATATATGCGAATGTACAGTTCGTAGTACATACTAAAATGTAGTCTCTAGTTTGTATCTCCATGGGGCACCTGCGCCTGGGTCTTGACTCTTGCGCACTCGACTAAACTCAATTAACAGGTAATTGAACCCAACTGCATAAATTAGCCATATTCCATCTATTCCATCTCATTTCAGCCCATTGCAGCCCATCATCCGCCGCCATGTACGCGATCATTAATTATTGGGCAACACGAAAGAGCGTGTGCGCATTGTTCTAAGTCTATGCATAAATTTAAGCATAATAAACAAGCCAGGAATCAGCCTGATCGACCTAGGAAATACCCCAGGAAATTCTGGGTTTGACCAACGGAGCGTTAACTGAACATCGGAATAGGGTGTGCTGATAAAAGAACTGGGATTGGTATATAAAAAATGTATTATACTTGGTAATGATAAAGGATCTTCATTGGAACTCTCTATTATTTCATAATAATAAAAAAATGTAAAATACTGTAGTAAAACTTTAATAAGTATTGAAGTTACAATTGTATAAGCATTAAATCAAAGAAATCTAGTTCCTTAAAGTTTAAATGTTTAGTTTATAGGTACTTTTGTTTAACTAAAACGTTACATAAAAATCAAACCATCTTTAAATAAATCAATGCTTCCTGTATAAAACTCATATCTCAAAGCTAAATCGCAAAATTTTGAAATATTTTCCACCAACTAATGATTTTTAAATTTGCCACATTAAAAACACACATTTATTTGTCTTTTTAACCGCTGTTAGGTTAAATATAGCCTTTTAAAAAGCTTCATTACTAAGGCATCGAAACGATTAAACTTCTTTCTCCACTCAGACTGCTGTGCTTTCTAATGTGGTATAAAAATAACTTTCAATTTGTGGAAATGATCATTATTATACCCGTTACTCGTAGAGTAAAAGGGTATACTAGATTCGTGCAAAAGTATGTAACAGCTAGAAGGAAGCGTTTCCGACCCCATAAAGTATATATATTCTTGATCAGGGTCACTAGCCGAGTCGATCTAGCCATGTCCGTCTGTCCGTCTGTCTGTCTGTCTGTCTGTCTGTCTGTCTGTCTGTCTGTCTGTCCGTCTGTATGAACGCTGAGATCTCAGAAACTACAAAAGCTAGAAGGTTGAGATTTCCCACACATATTCTTTGGCATCCTACGCAGCGCAAGTTTATTTTAGCCGAGCGCCACGCCCCCTCTAACGCCCACAATCGCCCACTAACGATTTTAAAATGGGTCCTGCGCCCACATCTTTAAAGATTTCCGAGAAGTATAAATGCAATTTTGTTGTGTATATTTATACCTATCGAAATGTAGAAGACATTTTCAAATCGGACCATTCATTAAAAAGTTATACGCAATCAAAAATTATATATCTATCTCCCTCGCACTCCCTTTAGCTGAGTTACGATTATTAGTCGGGACACCAACCCGACACAACGTTCGCACTCCCTTTAGCTGAGTGACGGGTATTAGATAGTCGGGACAACAACCCGACTATAGCGTTCTCTCTTGTTTTTTGATTTTGTTGGTACTAAAGAGAACTATATTTTCTAATATGGTATAAAAATAACTTTCAATTTGTGTAAATGATCATTATGATTGATTTTTTGTACTAAAGAGATATACATGAACTATAAAAATAACTTTCAATTTGTATAAGTGATCAGTACGATTGATATTTTTAGTAAAGAAAAACCATAATTTCAGTTCCTACTAGTTCAGCATGCCCCTAAAACCTTTCTAAGGGGTACTGGAAAAATTACCACAACGCATTCTAACCTGGCCATTGCAATTCACATGAACATGCAGCGACCATGGAGTTGGCTCTGGCTTTAGCTGCATCTCTGGGCACCAGATGATGGGCCCATTGTCTGGCCGGAGCAGCAGTAGCAGTGCTACACTTCCGAGTGCAGTCGACGTCACACTCGGCGTACTTTTAACACTTAGAACACGCCAACTCTGGAGCTGGAAGCTCTGTAGCTGGAACATCCCATCCCATATCCCATCATCCCGGCATAATAACAAATTTCAAATTTATTCCGCTGCTATTTTTATTTTTATAAGTCCATTGTGTGGCCACTGGCCAGCCAGAGGAGCGCATCATTTGCTCGCCGCCTTAATGTGCTTTAATATGTACTTAGGCGCGCCAACTTAGGGCCAAGTTAGCTGGCTTGGCCAACGGTTTCGGCCAGTTGTTAAAACCGAATTACGGCAGTGCAATGGCCGGTGTTTTGGTTTGGTTTTGGTTTTTTTTTTCCAGCAAATTACTTTCTCCCCAAAAAAAAACCAAAAAAAGTTTTTCAATTTGGGAGAGTGCCCATCCGCATGCCCAGTGACCTAAACTCAATTGGCAATGGTCTGATTAACCCGAGCCAAGGGCGAAGAAACAAGCCCTTTTCCCGGCCCACAAAAATCTAGATTTTAATTTATTTTTTTTTGGTTTACTCACAGCAGAGCCCGATTTTCAGTTGCTGAATAAATTAACACCTTCGGCCGTTAATTTTCCTAGACAAGTTGGGTTGCACTAAGGATTTGCCTTTCGCACATAAACTTAAGCGGTTTCTTTTTTCGCTTGCGACTTTAACTTGGTTAACTTCACTTTGCATCTGCTGGCATTTTCACACATTTCTTTGGCAGCATTTCTTGCACGTTTTTCAGCATTTTTGAAACATCTTCATCTCGTGATAAAGCACAAACACACACAGAAAACCGAAAACAACACACGCGTTGAGTGTTATTGTTTTTAGAAAATTCGCTTCGTTTCGTTTCGGTTTCTTTTGTTTTTTAGCCGCAAAGAAAGCGAAGACAGCGGCGGCTTTTCTTCTTCGGGGGGATTTTCTTTTTATTTTCCTCGAACCGCTGAGACGTCTATCAAGGTCGCCGTCGGTGGAGCGACTGCCGCAGCAATCGCGGCTCAGAAGAAACCAAAGCCAAAGCTAAAAGCCCAAAGAAAATATATCTGGAGAGTGGTACGCTCTTAAACGAGTTTTCTTTTCCACTCCACGCTCTTATATCTCGAAAGTATAAGTTCGGTTCGTGTGTGTTTTGACAAATTGTACAACCAAACAACCGCACTAACCGTGTGTTGTGATGTGTGAAGGCGAAGATCTCTAACTACAGACTAATTAACGCAGACTGGGACAGGTTCTGCATCGCTCATACGCCGTGTGGTCGGTCGGTCGGCGGTAGAAATGACAGGAATCCCCAGTACCGTTCCGAAAGATTCCGAAAGATTCACGCTCCAGTTTGATAAAAGCTGCGGACCAAGAAAAAAGACGTCATTTGTCATTGGTTCAACTCAATTTATGACAATTTACTCGCTTTAGTTAGGCTCGAGTGCAGCTGTGGATCTGAAGATCTACCATCTCAAGAGCTAAAGATCCGCAGATCCACGATCCCAAGAACAAGTGAAAACTTTCGAAAAACGCTCCACGGCAGGTGGAGTTATGGGGCTGCCTCGAATTACACAGCCAATCTGTTTGACATAAGCGAGTTATAACATATATAGTAAGGCGGTCGGGGCAGCAAGCCAAAAAGACAATTACCGCAAACTGGTTTCAATTAAAAACAGTTAAGCAGTGGCACACAAAAAAACATATAGAAATATATATAGAAATATTGGCATCTCCTTTTGCCGGCGCTGCGTACGTGCAATTTCCCAGTTTCCCAGTCGGCAAAGCTACAGAGTCTTCAGTATGCAGTCTTCACAGTCTTCAGTCTACAGTCTTCTCTCTTCGTCTTTATTCCCATCTCGTCTGGCCAATAATTATACTTTAGTTGGCGACGCGGCTGCAACTATTTGCTTTGGCTGCATTTACAGTTTTGGCTTTTTTACCCGCTAAACTTGCCGCCCGTCATTTAGAAAGTTTTTAAGTTTCATAGATCTCCATCTAATGATACCCAGCCTTCCGTCCCGCCTTCTTGCAGCTACTACTCCACATTATCGTTCTCGAAAATGGGACTTTGATCGCTTTTATTTACCTCTACTTTTATGACTGCGTCTATCTGCATTTTATGACGCTCAATGTTCGAATTTGTATTTCTGTGTCAATCGGAGATTCGAGATCTCTTGCTGCCGCTGCTCCTTTGGGTTCTCTTATCTTTCTGGCTGGAATAAATTTGTGGTCGATTTAGCATTGCGTTACCCACACACAATTGCCCGCGTATCTGTTCGCCATTTAGCCATGCATGATCCAAAATCTTTAACTGTAAAAAGAAGCCAGGCTCTCCAGCTGAAGCTCCAGGTTGAGGTCCAGGTCCAGGTCCAGGTCCCGGTTCAAGTCCAGATCCACATCCACATCCCAGTCCTAGTCCATGTCCATGTCCAACTTATGCAAACTTTGGGCACACGTCGCTGGATGCCCGGCGGCTGCGGTGAGTCGTCTGATCTGCTGCTGCTGGAAAACTGGGAAACCAGTTCAAGTCTGGGATGAGCACAGAGAGAAAAATATCACCATGAAGTTTAAGATATTAACTGAAAGAAAGTGTAAAATAAATTAAAAGAATAGACAAATTAATGCTTGAATTAAACCAAAATCCCCTTTAGTCTGCAGAACTTTGGAATATTTGTTTGTTCATATAAAATATAAATCAAAATTTCGAAAATAGTAGGTAAAAAACCAATTCTGTTGAAGTTCTACCTACAAGTACTAGGTATACTTTTAATCTTGTTCAAATTTTAACTTTAAAAAAAAAATGTATTTTTCTTTTACAGATTGTATTGCCAAAAAAATTTCATTCAAAATATTTAAAGATCTTGACTTGTCTTATAAAATGTTACTTTTTATATAAAAAGCTGCGTTCTTTTTTCGTAGCTTTCCTCAAAACCTTAAGAGATTTATGTTTTTCCACTATTATTTCAATCAATTAAAGTATTCTTGCAGATAAAACTGATAAGATCAGGGCTATTGGGTAAGCTAGCAATAAAGTTTGGTAATAATATAAATTTTGTCTCCGTGCACCAGGATTGTAGTGCTCCCCTAGTGTCCCCCACTTGCCCCTCAATTCTCGGGTTTCCTCCTCATCTCGGCTTGTTATTGATACGCTGGTGGCGGAGTGGAGTGTGCGGTGCCTCCGGCCGAGCTAAACAAACTTGCAATTGTATTCATAAATAACGATTGAGAAATGTGTTCTTTTTTTCTCCACGTCTGCGGTCGCGCACTTATTACCAATTGCTTCTGCAATAAACATGAAAATGCGCTCATTGAACTTGGTCCACATCGAATCGCAAGTCCATAACGGTTAATGGAGGATGCGAGTGTATAGTAGGCTTAGGATTGGTAATTATTGGAGCTGGAATATCTTTGCTTCACTTTTTTATGAGGCTCTTTGAATTTACTGAAATTGGGTCAAAAGTGGATTTAGAACTGATTAGAATTATTGGTGTTCTCTCTAGTTTTTACCAACTTAAGAATTTTAGAGATTTTGTAAGAAGCTTTTAGTCTTCTTCGTCTTCTTATTCCTTGCAACAGCGATTTAAGTTTGCTGCGCTTAACTTAATAAGAATTATGAAAAGCACTTACTAGATTACATTACAACATGTTTACACTTAATGCTATGGCACTTCCATTTCATATCATAACAGTATGTTTACACTAAATACACTATTAATGCAGATGTTTACAAAATGATTCTGATTTCCTCCAATTTAAAATCTTTTTGCAGCATCCACTTTGTCAACTTTATTCTAGAAGTTGTGTGACAAGCTTTTTTTTTATTCTTGCACTGAAATCAATTAAATACCCATCGGGCATTTTTAGTATTCATTAATACAGAATGCTTGTCCTCATCCTACTCGTACTCTTTTAATTGCTACTTAAAATCAGGCGTCAATCCATTATCTATATAACTACCGTTTAGGCCATGTCTCTTTTAATTGCTCCATAAGTTTTATGGCTGCAATGGATGTAATTGTCTAGACAAGTTAGGAAGTGCAATTAAAAAGACTGGGATATACTTTTTATTTATTTTGAGTTTATAGTTTATAGTGAATTTTCTTTAGAACTCTTTTATTTGCACTTAAAATCAGGTGTCAATCGGTTGTAATTCCGCCCAACACGCTGATAATTGTTATTACTTTCGTTTGGTCAGATTGTATAATTAAAATCCTAGCAGGAGACGAAGTCATTAACCAGAATCCCCATTGCGTGCGGTTGGTTATGGATGTGGATGTGGATGTGGTTTTGATGGCCTGGCAAAGTGGCGTATGACAGCGCCATGGGGTTGCGTGTGCATCCTGGCCGAGTTGCAATAGCTCCATTACCCTTCGGGGTTTGAGAGGAGGAGGAGAATCTAAAGTTCCGGGGCCTATCCATCCATCGCAGCAACTGATTGACAGCGAACAAGCCAAATGCATTTCAATTAAACGCTAACCGCTACGAATATTACCATTTCTGGGTGAGTTTACTGATATCGTGTGTGTGTTTTGTGTCTGTGTCTGGTCAGGTGTGCTCCGTCTGATCTTCAGCTTTTTCGTGACCAAAGCGAAGCAATCCGAAACCGAAGCGAACCCAAAACCAAACCAAACCCGTAGGAGAACAATTCCAGAACAGCGGTCAACTCATCAGTATGCTGTATAAATTAGAGCATCAAACGGCGCTTTGCCAACTCGGAACTGGTCTATACTGTTACTGCAGCAGCACTATCCACTATCCACCATCCACTAACCCCATCCACAATTCAACTATTCAACTGTGGATGAGGTGGTGCATGTCTCGCTGCAAACGCTTCTGGCTGGAATTGCTATAGGATGGGATTGGTATGGGATGGTATACCATGGGAGTTCAATGACGAGGCGCGGAGTCATCGACGCAACTTGTGCACATATTGTTGCGAAATTGATATCAATTTGTTTTAATGGCCGGCCCATTATGGTACCATTATATGGTTAGTCCGTGGGTTATAATAAAACACACTTTATTACGAGCATTACAGGCGACGCGTGGTCAGGCTATTGACTTGGATACTTGGATACTCGGGACTCCTTAGACTCTCGTCTAATCCCAGATTGATTCCAATGGCCTTGCTAAATGCCCATGTCCATGGCCATCAGACGGTGGCATTAGCATGTTCGGCATGGAAACGGATGTCCAGTTGCACATCATAGACACCAGAGAACCAGTACCCAGAAACCCACGGGATTATGACGGAAAGTGTGCTGGCGAAATTTGAATAGCGAACTGGATTTCTGGTTATACATCGATAGGTGTCTCTGCGGGGCCTTCGGGGAATCCTGATTAAGACATAACTCTTCGGACACACAGTTTACTTATGCAGATAGTTGGCTTCATGCAGGAAGTTTATGAGCCAGGTTGATTGAACCTAAATCATCGCAACTATTTGGTTCGCTGGGTGGAGTGGGTAGCACTTTGCGATGATCATGTTTTGCTATACGCTTCAAAAATTGTGAATAAACAGCAGCAGCATTTATGCGTTGATATTATTCATTGTTCTTAATGATGCTGATGATCTAATGGGGCATCCGAGTCACGCGAAGCCCAGAGTTGGGTTCATTGAACGAAAGGTCCATCGTACTATATGATATACTATATATCATCCGATGTGTCAGTGGAAATCGATCGAAGGCAGTGCGATTTGCAGCACATGTTCTCAATGCAATCACTTGAGGAAATCTATTTCGTGGGCGGTGCCCGCAAAACAATTGCTTATAAACATTGTAATTAGACCCTCGAGGCTTTCTTTCTCTGATATAAAAGGAATTGGCCGCCCAGGCTGGCGGCACAGTTTATTCCTTTCGCAATGGCAGACTCGGGTTATCAATCAAATCTCAGCCTGGTGCGGCAATTCTTGGACGAGTTCCGTTCGGTTATGAGGCAGGAGACTCCAGGTCTCATCCCACGCCTGGCCTTCAACTATGTTCGCGCCTTTCTGAGGTGAGTTGGTTGGTTGCATCATCCATCAATCACTCTTTTTTCGCATAATCTTTATAATCCGCAGTTTGCTCTGCCAGTATCCCAACAAAAAGTTGGCTAGTTTGTCCCTGTACCGATACATCAACTTGTTCATCATGTGCAATGTGATGAACGCCTTCTGGACCATGGTTTTGGCTTTGCCAGAGTCGAAGAACGTGATCGAAATGGGCGACGACTTGGTGTGGATTTCGGGGGTGAGACTAGCTCGAAGAACCACCCACTCACAGATAAAACACTACAAATGTTCTCGAATTCAAGAGCAAATGTTCTCGAATTCAAGGAGGAATGTCCTCTATTCTCTGCATAACTAATGCTTCTCTGCTTTTATGACAGATGGGTCTGGTTTTCACCAAGATACTCTACATGCACTTACGCTGCAATGAGATCGATGAACTTATTTACGATTTTGACTACTACAATCGGGAACTGAGGCCTCACCATGATGATGAGGAGGTGCTGGGCTGGCAGAGGCTGTGTTACCTCATCGAATCGGGTCTATATATCAACTGTTTTTGTCTGGTCAACTTCTTTAGCGCTGCTATTTTTCTGCAACCCTTGTTGGGCGAGGGAAAGCTTCCCTTTCACTCGATTTGGCCCTTTCAATGGCATCGCATGGACCTGCATCCCTATATGTTTTGGTTCCTCTACCTCTGGCTAAGTGTGACCTCGCAGCACAACCTGATGAGCATCCTGATGGTAGACATGGTGGGTATTTCCACGTTCCTTCAAACGGCTCTCAATCTCAAGTTGCTCTGCATTGAGATGAGGAAACTTGGCGAGATGAGGGTCTCCGATGCGCGTTTCCACGAGGAGTTTTGTCGGGTGGTTCGCTTCCACCAGCACATCATCAAGTGAGTTTTGGGTTTGTGCACTTAGCTAGTGGATTACAGACTACATTTTTGGCAGGCTGGTGGAGAAAGCCAATAGAGCTTTCAATGGCGCCTTCAACGCCCAGTTAATGGCCAGTTTTTCACTGATTTCCATATCCACTTTCGAGACCATGGCTGCAGCTGCCGTTGATCCGAAAATGGCCGCCAAATTTGTGCTCCTCATGATGGTGGCGTTTATCCAATTGTCACTGTGGTGCATCTCGGGCACTTTGGTCTATACACAGGTAGGATTTCAGGCCGATTTCTCAATGTCAGGTTAAGTTTTGTTACTGAGTTAACTTTGGAAAGAATTCGGTTACTCAATATCATGATAGTATTTATATTTCTGAAGAAACTTGATAACGCTATATTAACTTTCTTTGACAGATAACAAACTATAAACTTAAAAATTACATTGAGAATTCGGTCCTTAAATGTTAAATTCTTTTGAAAGAACTTCCATCGCATTATAGACCCTTATGGATTCATAATTAATTCTTAACTATCAGTTTTAAAATTGTATTCCCTTTTATTACACTTTTAAACAGTCTTTAGAGGTGGCACAGGCTGCTTTCGATATAAACGACTGGCACACCAAGGCCCCATTCATTCAGAGGGATATTTCCTTTGTGATCTTGAGAGCCCAGAAGCCGCTGATGTATGTGGCTGAACCGTTTTTGCCCTTCACGCTGGGAACCTATATGCTTGTACGGAAATTGAAATATTTAAAAAATTTAATAGTTCATCATAGATTCGTTTTAGGTACTGAAGAACTGCTATCGCTTGCTGGCCCTGATGCAGGAATCAATGTAGTTCGTAGTTTATTGGTTTGTGAAAATAAAAGTTGTACTTTTTCTGGGCATTTGCATTTGCATGGCTCGTTTAGGTTGTCGCCGCGCCCAGTGACACTCGGCTTTTAACAATGGCGATGGGCGGCCCACGCACACCCAGCGGCGGCGACAGGTGCAACCCAGCTGCAAAGTGCAGAGGAGGAGCCGCCACATGATGCAGTGCCTCTTTTGGAGCCAGCCTCGAACTTATTCAGACGTGACACGCATTGTCATGATCTGACCCAACCAGCCAGACAATGAAGAGCGGCGATCGTTTAGTATTTGTATTTGGTATTTAGCATTCGGAGTTTGGCATTCGTACTAAGGCATCAGCAGCATTAACAGATGCTTCTCCATGCTGCTGCCCTTCACAAGTGGGAAAGTCGCCCATGTCCATGAAACGCTGAAGCGTTGACCGCCCGAAATGTCATTATGTGCCATGTGCACATTCGGCCAGAACGAAAAGCTCCACCACTTTTAGAACTCCAACAACACACCCAATTCCCCGGGTGCGTGTACTAGTGCACTGAAAACAAATTAGTATACCATCGAGTGTAATTTTATTAAAACATTTCTTAATATTTCCAATAACTAAAATAATACAATCTTATTTAATCAAGTTACCCCTAAATTATTTATTTAAATTAAATAATTACCTTAAAGATCCCTAAAGATATATATTTTTAAAGATCCCATGTACTTTTATGAGTTCTTTGGGATCAAATATTCGATCCCCAATCAATTATTATCTTTTGGAACAAAGAATACTATACATGAATTACTTTTAAAATTATATAATGTAAAAGTTATAGTTTCACAAGTATTGGAAATATTTGGGTAACTGATCATATTTCGTACTCTATATGATTAAATCCATGTTTTCCGTGTGCCGGCGACTCCCCAATTTGTAGGCTTGAGTGGGTGGTGGTTGGTGGGCTTTTGTCAACTTCGGTCTGCTCGCCGCACTGATTAACATTTGAATGGCAATCCACATAGGAGAGCATTTAGAACATTGTGTCCATGGCTCTTTGTTGCTGTCTCCACATCTAATTAATTCCCCTTTTTTCGACCATTGTTGCCATGGAGTCGCTGGTGCCGCCTGCCCCCGCTAATGGTAATCGCATTGGCGATCGCGATGGTGATGGTAATGGTAATGGTAATCGTAATGGTCCAACCACCGATCCGACTGCAGACCAGCGGCGAAGTAAGGTTCTCGAATTCAGTTTGTCGCGCCATATTCTAACGATCGGTCGGGTTCGGTCCCCAATAAACTAATAAACTTGTAATCGCCTCAGCTTAAAATACCATTAAACGGATATCCTTGCGGTAATAAACGGTACACAAATTAATTAAGTGGTGTTAACCGGTTACCTTGAAGTCCTGACTTTCATTATCAAGTGATTTAATAGATTTAATGTAAAGATTTAATGAGATCCAGATTAATCCTTTAAAGGATGTTCTTCTACCAGGACATTTGGTATTAAAACAAGTGTTATTTTAACCATATATCATATATAATGAAATAAATTCAATGGTTCAAGGATCTCCAAGGATATTTCTCTAGGAACTCCATCAAATAATAGAGTTTTTAATCTGTGTTATCTTTTAAGATTTTTAAACGATTTAACAAATAACTTTTTAAAAATAGTTTTAATAAGTGAAGAGGATTATAATATTATTATTATTATAATCGTTGATATGTTACGATTTGTTTAGTGTAGAATTCCAGAATGTTCTATGTCCTTTGGAATATCCTTCTTTTCAAGTTATAACCCAGAATCCCTAATTACCTCGTGTTCTTTAGTACTGTTTTCCTTTAAAGTAATAACTAAAAACCCTTCATAGCCAATTTCACAATTCTAGAAAAGCTTTTAGCATTCAAAGCGACACTTTCCAAGTACAGCCACCACTTGAGGTCAATAGCTAACGTTTTTCGGAAAACTCACTTCGCTTTTGTGCTTCTCGGTTGTGCGGAGAGCATAAAGAGTTGAGTGGACAATAAGCCGGAAGCGACATCCGGAGTTGTGCGGATCGATATGAGTCGAGCGACACGTAGCTTGGCTAGATTTTCGTTTAATGATCCAAATTCACGTTACGCATTGTGCACATTATGGCGGCAGAAAGGCACAAAAATATATTTAACTATTCATGTGATTTTCCCTATTTTCCACCCGCCGCCGCCGCGGGGAAATTCACCCTATTGAGGTCGCATATTTCATGTCATTTTGCTGGCCAATGAACTAATTAGATCATGTCGGATAAGCCCAGCGCGACTAACCACGAATTCTGAATTCCAGCTAAACAGCACGCAATAGTTTCGGAACCCAAAAGCCATCAGGTTGCGGCTAATAATGCCGCGATCAAGCTAGGAATCCCCTCGTCCGAAGTAATCTTTAGTTGAATCACTGTGGATCGTACAGAATGAGACCCAGAAAGGGTTTACACCTGCTGCTGACGGCCCTGGTGGTCAGTCTAAGTCTCAGTAAAATAAATGGTAAGTAATAAATAAAATAAAATAAAAAAAAAGAAATATAATAAAAATAAATAACTAAAAATTTAAATTTAAAATTTCAAACCAATGTTCAATTTGCATTTCTCTATAACATATTACCAGTGCTGCCATCACTCAGCTTGAAAAACAGGACAGATAAGCCAAAAAAAACAGGGAAAAAAAGGACAAAAACTTTTAAAAAAGGACAAAAAAAGGGACAAAAGTAAATGCGCCTCCATTTTTCTGTTTTACCAATGGTTTATATAATTACTTAATTTAAATGGATTTTATATTAAATTCAATTATGTAATGACCTACTGCGCCCGACTCACATCCTTCTTTGTTTGATCATTTTACCATGATAAATTTTTGTGCGTATACGTAATAATCTAAAATTATTAAAATAATAAAAGCATTTCAAGTAACTATATTGGTAATACAAAAAAATTCAATATCTGCGTCAAACCCGAATAAGAGTCGTTAAAATCTGAAAATTTTTTTCTGACAAAAAAGCAGAGAGTAAAAATTGAGAAATTTTTAAAGTGTTTTCCTCTTTTTTTTGCTACAGAAAAAATCGTACTATAAAGAAAATCCATCGACTGCTTTACGTCTCTTTGATAATTTGTAAAAATAATTATTTTTTAAGTGCCGAACTGTAAGATTTATGGTTAAAAAGGCGTTTTAGCATATAAAAACAGGTTTACACACTTTCGACTGGCAAAAATAACACTCAAAACCTAATTTTTGAAAAAAGGACAGATTTCCGGATAGGGGATGTTTGAAATTTTTTCCGGATAAACCCGGTAAAAAAAGGACAGATCTGTCCGGAAAGAGGACAAAATGGCAGCACTGCATATTACACTTAAAATAGTTTAAAATGTTAAAACTGACCCAAAAAATATGTTAAAGTTCTTTTCTTGATCTGACAATTAATTAAAAATACATTAATGTTCAATAATAATTTAACCTAATATCTAAAACAACCTCTAGGTATTTAATCTAAATCGGTATTTCTTCAGTTTCTATAGCCTATTGTTATTATAACATCTTGTTTCCTGAGCAGGTCAAACCACCTGCAAAAATGGCCTAGGCCGCGTGCTATACGAAAGATTGCCCAACCAGCAGCTTCAGGGCTACGATGACGATGTGGTGAGGGATACGGCGCCTCCATTTCGAGTGCTAGAAAAGTGCCAGGACCTGTGTCTGCGCGATCGTTCCGGCTCCAACAACCTGGTGCGCACCTGCACCAGCTTTGACTTCCAGCCGGGCAGTAGGATCACCTCCTTCGGAGGAAACTCCGAGTACGAGGAATCGCTGTGCTATTTGACCTCCGAACAGGCGGGTCCCGAGGGAATTGGAAGCCTAATGCTGGTGCCCAATAGTGTGCACTTTAACGAGATCTGCTTGACCTGTAAGAAGAGCTAATCAGAAAATCTAATATCTATCATAAATATTATATAATATTCTTAGCCAGCCGCCCGGAGAGGGAGTGCCCCAGTAGAAGGTATGTCTTCGAGAGGCATCCCCGCAAGAAACTGAAGCTGCCCATAAGTGACATCAAGGAGATCACCGCGGCCAATCGTTCGGATTGTGAGGACAAGTGCCTGAATGAGTTCTCCTTCGTCTGTCGATCGGCCAACTTTGACTCCACCATGAGATCCTGTACACTGAGCCGATTTACCCGACGCACTCATCCCGAACTGATGGAAGACGATCCCAACTCCGATTACCTGGAGAACACCTGTCTAAATGGTATGTTCGAAATTATACTAATATAGAGATCCCCAATTCACCTCCCGAACCACTGATTAGCCGAGCGGCGTTGCGATGGCCTGGCCGTTTTCGTCAAGGAGGAGAACAAACGCCTGGGTGGCCCCTTTGAGGTGGACATATTCAATAACATGACGCTGGAGGAGTGCCAGACCATGTGCCTGCGGGCCGAGAAGTAAGTCATATGCGTAATAGCTCAATTTCAGCCGTCATTTCAGCTAATTGCTCACACATACTCTGTGTTTTGCCATTGCCATCTATCCCACAGATACTTTTGCCGATCCGTGGAGTTTGACGACCAGAGCAAACAGTGCATCCTATCCGAGGAAGACTCCATCTCGCAGAAGGATGACATTAGCATCAGCTCCAGTCCCACACACCATTTCTACGATCTCGTGTGCCTCGATAATCGTAAGTGGCTACCGTAAAGACTCTCGACTCGACTCAAGTGGAGAAAAGTCAACAGCGACAACAAGATTATAGTGATGGGGATGCGCCATCACAACGGTTGCATCCACTTCTAATTCCATTTCCCCATACCCATACCCATACCATCCATCTATGTTTCTATGACCATGCCATGTTGTATTCCCGTTGCAGAACGAGCCAACGATTATCCAGATAACTCAGTCACCTCGCACCTCTTCTCCAGCGGCCGGCGGCCAGATACGGCATTCCAGCGGTACCGCAACTCCAGGCTGGGCGGCGAGTTTCACTCCGAGATCACCGGCCGTTCGCTGAGCGAGTGCCTGGATGAGTGTCTTCGCCAGACGAGCTTCCAGTGCAGGTGCGTTTTCTGACTCGGCTATAGAGCATACCGTTGCCAATCTCGTTTTGATACCCTTACTAACGAACGTATTACAGGTTAACCAAAGGTTAAAGTAAAAGATATATTTCTCAATCTCAGGTTAAGGTTATTTTTTATCATCTGTCAAAGTTAACATGAAATTAATTTGTTCAAGAAGAAGAGTTAATTTAGTCAATGTGTTAGTTTGGAAAATTTGGAAAACAAATAAGTTAACTCCTCGTTTTCTCGACCAACATAACCTCTGGTTTAGTTCCAGTCAACATGACATTAATGCTATTGATATATAATACCTAGATCCCTTGTTAAATCCTAAAGACCATGAACAGTACCTGCTTTTTCAACAATACTTTTACCAGGGTATTCCCATCTTCGACCTACTACACCTTCCCATCTTTCTGGTTCTCCTAGTGCCTCACTAACCCAACCACTCTATCCTCTCGCAAATTGCAGGTCTGCCGTGTACAGCGATCGTTTTCGTACTTGTCGCCTGAGTCGGTACAATCAAAAGGACGGCATGCGCATTATATACGATGCTGATTATGATTACTACGAGAATCTAATGTGTAAGTGGTTAGAGGAGGTGCTAATAGCGGGCCAGTAATCCCTGACTTGGCTGCTGTTTTGCAGTGAACGTGGTGGGCGGAGGCGCCGATGGCGATGGCGGAGGCGGTGGACACGGTGGCAGCAGCGACGGCAAGCGACCCGGGGATCAGTCGGGCAGCAACTGGAGACAGCCTAATAAGCACGACGATCGCTACGGGTCAACGGGTGGGTCAACTGGAGGTGGATCGACTCACGGTGGGACGGGTTCTGGTGGCTCAAGATTGCCGCCAGGCGAGGGCGTCGACTATAACAGGCCGTACGATCGTTATCCGGACTTTGCGGGCAATGAATATGGTAGATAGTTATGATTTCTAAATTGTACTTTTAATACTCTATTTAAACTTGGTTTAGATCGCAATCCTTATGGCGGTTCTAGTGGAGATCGAGATAGGGATCGCTATGCCCCAGATCGTTATGGCTCCCGATATCCTGGAGGAGCTGGTGGAGATGGCATGGGCTATAACAGACCCTATGATCGTTTCCCCGATGATTATGGTGAGTTAAACTACTTCTTATAGAGCCTATAACCCTTAATCTCACATGCGAAAAAGGAGATCACCTCAATCTAATTCTACTGACAACTAATTTACTAACCCCCCCAAATCAGATCGTTATCCAGCGGGTGTCAATGGCGATAGAGACCGCGATCGTGATCGATATCCAGTGGCTGGAGATAGAGATCGGTATCCCGGAGCTGGAGATAGAGATCGTTATCCAGGAGCTGGCGATAGGGATAGAGATCGCTATCCAGCGGATAGGGATAGAGATCGTTATCCGGACCCTTATCCGCCGGAGCGTTATGCGGATAGATATGGAGATCGACGTTATCCGGACAGGGAAAGAGATCGCGATCGAGACAGGTTGCCCTACCGTCCACTGCCCTATCCCGGAATCAATGACAATAGTCTGGCCAGCGATCTGCCCCACACGCGACCCTATCCCACCGATGACGATGCTCCCTTCCGGCCCTATGGATACGGAGGAGGTCGCTATGGAGAGAACAGATACGACAGTCGTTATCCTCCTCGCTTTCCTCCTCCTCCCAGCCGCGAACGAGATCCCGTGGGTGGCTATACGGGCCGCGATGCTCCCGACAGCATCTTCCCCGACAGACGCTACCGACCTTCGTCCATGGATGGGCCAAGGTATCCTTACTTACCCGATTCCCGGGGACCTCCAGGAAGATACGATGATATAGTGCATAGTGCTAGGAGACCCGAACCCGACTCCGCGAAGCGATATCCACCGGCGCCAATTGCTCCGTCGGGAAGTGCCAGCAAGTATGCCTCCACTCCGAACCGGTTTCCGGTAGGTAACGATCGTTATCCCATTGACATCTACAAGTACGGCAATCGACCGGGAGCCAATGATCTAGGTCGTCGACCAGGTAAGTGCGGGTAGGGACTAACCAACTACCAACTCGTAACCCCTAACTTATTTGGTAATGAGAAAGTATCGATACTAATTAGTTATGATCTTGAATAGGCCTAGAACGTCCGCCCCCTCCCTTCTATGATTACGACTACGAAGAGCGGTATGGAGATAGGTATGGACCCTACGATCGGGAGTACGATGGTCCGCCGGGCAGAAGGCCGCCCAGTGGTGGCCCCTATGGACGCTACGACAGTCCCTTTAATCGTCCCTATGGAGGTAATGGCCTAGATGATCGTCCCCTTCCCTTGCCTGGTTTAGGACTCTCTCATCCACCCACTCCCTATGGAGGAGGAGGCGGAGGAAGCCATGTGGGTGTGGGCGTGGGTGTCAACTCGGGTCCACCGCGACCTCCGATCACCCGCTGCGAGGAGAGCGATAACTTCAAGCAGATAGCCGCCAGGCACAAGATGCGTCGCCACTTTGTCCGAAGAGCTCTCATCGTTCCGAGCCTCATCCAATGCGAGCGGGAGTGCATCGAGAGTCGGGACTTTGTGTGCCGCAGCTTCAACTACAGGTGGGTGCGGTGCATCTAGCAGATACAAGATAAGCCTTTACAAATTCACATTGTAAATTTCAATTTGCAGAGACTCGGCCGCCTCGAGCTACGAGGACAGAGATAGGGATCGGGATCGCGAGTCCCCAAACTGCGAGCTCAGCGACAGAGACTCACGGGAGCTGGACATCCACGATCCGGGCACCTTCGACGCCTCCAACTATGACTTCTATGAGCGGAGCATCGGACGCAGTGGCGATGGCGAGTGCATGGACGGTGGGTGTTAGGAGGGTGGAGCTTATTGAAATGTAAATCTTATCAAAATAAAATATATATATTCCTTGCATTATCTGATCCAGTCACGCAAACGTGTAACGAGGAGGGCATGGAGTTCACCATTCGTACGCCGGAGGGCTTCCTGGGACGCATTTACACCTATGGATTCTACGATCGCTGCTTCTTCCGTGGAAACGGGGGTACAGTAAATGTACTAAGGCTCAGCGGACCTCAGGGATATCCCGACTGTGGAACTCAGCGGGTAAGAGAATGGGAATTAAAAAAAAAAATAATAAAAAAATATTTAAAAAAAAATAAGAAAATGGTCTTGTCAGAAAATCTTTAATATCAAGATATAATATAGATCCTATATATTTATATACTCTATACGAAACAAGATACAATCCGTTCCGTACTTATCTCTTTTCTATTCGAATGAAATCATTTCAAAAGCCTGTTTGATTCCAATCATGCAGATGTCTATTCTAAAGCTAAGCAGTCACTTAAATAATACTATTTAATCTATTCTTATATCTATATATTTTCCAGTATGGAGACACTTTGACCAACATAGTGGTGGTCCAGTTCTCGGACAATGTGCAGACCAGCAGGGATAAGCGTTACAATCTTACCTGCAACTTCCGAGGTCCTGGAGAAGCGGTGGTTAGCTCTGGTTATATAGGAGCAGGGTAATCAAGACACTTCTTCAATCATCTTAGCCTTTCAGTTACATAATCTTCTAACTTACAGATCCGGCAGTCCCATTCCCATTGAGTATCTGCCTGCAGAGAACACCTTGAGCTCCAAGGTGCGGCTGAGTATCCTCTACCAGGGCAGACCCACTACCACCATAGCTGTGGGTGATCCTCTGACCTTCCGTTTGGAGGCACAGGATGGCTACAACCATGTGACCGATATATTTGCCACGAATGTGGTGGCCAGGGATCCCTACTCCGGACGCAGTATCCAACTGATAGATCGCTTTGGCTGTCCGGTGGATCCGTTTGTGTTCCCCGAGCTGGACAAACTGCGCGATGGTGATACCTTAGAGGCCCGCTTCAATGCCTTCAAGATACCGGAGTCCAACTTCCTGGTCTTTGAGGCCACGGTACGCTCTTGTCGCGAAGGATGCCAGCCTGCTTATTGTCCTGGACCAGCGGGTCGTCAGGAACCCTCCTTTGGTCGCCGTAGAAGGTCTCTAAACACCACCGAACCTCCAACCGAACCAGAGGCACTGGCTCTGGAGGGCAGCAGCAACCAACTGGAGGCCACCACTCTGGATGAAGTGACCGTGGTAAACAGCACCACAGTGAGTGCTACTTTGGGTCAGTCGCCAGGAAATGATACCCAAACCGGGGAGAAGACCAAGGAGACTGAGGAACCGGAACAAGTGAGGGAAATGATAGAGGTAGGTTTAGATTGATAGGTAGTCCTCCTATAGATTTTAAACGATTCCAATTAGGTCTTTGAAACCCGCGAGGAAATTGAAAAGGAATCGTATCCCAGGAAGCTGGTGGCCCCGGTGGAAACGGTGTGCCTGACTCCGGCCGAGTATCATGGCCTAATCACAGCCATCATACTGCTAATGATCCTGCTGTTCAGCATCACCCTGGTGGCCGGTCTAGGATACAGGTATGGAGTACTCTAGTCCACTCAACTGGCTAAAGATCAGTGTGCTAATTGGCGGCTCTTTCCCAACCAGACGCTACTGGAAATCCCTCTCCAAGAATCGCCTGGTGGATCGCCACTCGCCGATCCATTCGCTGGGACACTCCCATTCCTCCATACGCACCCATGAGCGATTCACCGAGATCGGAGGAGGAGGTGGCGGTGGAGTAGCAGGTGGAACTGGGGGCGGAGCCAATCAGAGCGCATCGAATCGGGCCTCAAACGCTTTTCGCACCAACATGTCCATGTTCGGCGGCTCATTACACAAGACATTTGCCACGGGGTGAGGAAAAGGCAGTCTTCAGTTGCCAATCTCCCAACCGGTCCACTTATATGGGGTGTTTTATGTCTTTACAGCAATCTGGCGCGCATGTGCCAGCTGCCAGTGATAAATCCCATGCGCAGCACCGCCAACCACAGTGGCCACCAGTTCGAGGATCCCAGCGAGCCCATCTACACGGATCCCTCGCTCTTCGAGCGTTCCAGGCAAGTGGATTGCCAGGGTCATAAAGTAGAGTCCCCCTTAAGCATCGCTGTTTGCAATTGTAAATATGTTCGCCTTTTATTCCGATTTGACTAACCTACAAGGGTCTGCAAATGCAGAGGCCCACCTTGTTGCAAAGTCCGTCCCGTCCTCCGGCTATTTGGCAGTTGGTGGAGCACCAGTCGCCTTGCAACTGGCAAAGGCCGCTGAACGTGGGCATATCACCTGTAACTAAACCAGAAGTTAACTCCCAAGTTAGGCACAATCTCGTATTTAAATCAGGAACTCACTTGCATGGGCACAGACTAAACAGACTAACAAAATAAGTAGACAAAGGCGTAGGTATTCCATGCTGATGAGTTGTCAGATTGGGAATGACTAAAAAGCTGGGAAGATGGGAAGCTGGGAAGCTCAAGGCGGGCGATAACCCATATCAGTTGAATGAATCTTGAACTCAACACTCTTACGAAATATTTGGTTTTGAATTAAGCTCACTGATTAATGCCATTCTCGTTCACAGATCGCTGCGAAGTCTGACCATGGTGGCCGAGTCGGAAGACATCCAGGAGGTCTGAGTTACCAACTCCTGTGATTAGTTGTAAATAAGCTAAAGGTTCTAAAAGGTTCAATATAAATGCGTGGTCCATCATCAAGTAGCCTAAGAACTGCACCGCTGACCAGTATCCAAATATTATGATCTTATGCTATTTAACATAGTCTATCTAAGCCTAACAACAGAGAACACAATTATTCGCTATACCAGCTAAGATATGAAATGCAATAAAGCCTAAACTTATCCATATCACAGCCGACTTTCGTTCTGCCCCAGAGGTAGGTCATTAATCAGCAGGATGCCGCGGCTTTGCCATCCGAGGGTTAACGAGCTAGGCCAATTGCCAGTTGCAGTGGCAGTTTCCGTTGCAAACAGAAGACAGTAGACAGTAGCCAGCGGGGATTTGCGGTCCTCGCTTCGAACAGGCATAGGATCGGTCAGAGGCCGCACATAAATCAAGCAACAGGGCGGCTACTTGAAGTAACTGCTTAGCTTAGTGGGTCAAGAAGCTTTACATATCATTAGGAACTCTTCCTTCTACTCCACAAGTGGGAACTTTCTTCTCATTAGAGAGTACAGTTTAATTAACACTTTTTAATAAATTAAAACCATTCATTACACACTTAAACATAAATATATATAAACTAATGCATATAGGGAATCCCAATTGGGCTAATTGCTGGTCTTGACTAGCTTTTGCAAATGCCTTCTTGGTGGGAAATAATCTTGCACATCTAACAGCTAAATTATAAGTTATGGAGTTTACATTATTTACAGAAACTTAGTTTAGGCTAGCCCTTTCTTTAATCGTCGAAGAAGAGTATTTCTAGGATTCGCTTTTGTGCACTTTTCTTCCGCTCCTTGCTCATCTTAAGCAGCTCCGTGGTGACCAGTTCGCCCAGCAGATGCTCCGACAATCGCTGCACGCCCGGATGATTGGGCGGCGGCTGGAATTTACCAAAGTTGGAGGGGTGTGAGCCGCTGGCCTGGTGTGGAAACTGCTGGTACAACTGGAAGAGGAAGTCCGTGTTCGAGGGAAACATGTTCTGGTGCTGCTGCTGCTGCTGATTGCTATTGCCGCTGGTGTTGTGGCTACCGCTATTACTGCCCGTGTTATTCCCATTTCCATTGCCCCGCTGCATGGGCATCGAATTGCTGTAGTGGCTCTCCTGCTGCATCATCACCTGCGGCTCCATCAGATCATGGCTATTGTCATCGGAATCGTCATCCGAGTCGTTGCCAAAGTGGCTGCCATTGTGGGCACTGCCATTGAGCTGAACACGGGGTTTCTTCATGTGGAAGTTGCTGGATGCCGACGAATCCAGCTCATCGCCCTTAGGGTTGTATTGCTGCTGCATTTGCATGGAAGCCTGGCCTGTGGCGCTGGAAGAGGAATGTACCACCGGAAGCTGCTGACCAGAAGCCGGTGACTGTTGCTGCTGCTGTTGTTGCTGCTGTTGCTGCTGCTGCTGAGGATGGTTGAGAGAACCCGCTCCGATTCCTTGCAGCGGCGAAGACAGCGGTGATTTCATCGAGGACGAGGTGGAGGTGAGGCTACCACCGCTGTTCTGGGCCCCATTCTGGGCGCCCACGGAGCCGTCTTTGTACTGATCCTGGTAGCCCTGCGAGGAGTCGGCCATCACAGCCGCCACGGCGGCCGCCTGTTGCTGCATTTGCGATTGTGAGATGTGCTGGAGCTGCTGGGAGGCGACGGCGGCCGCAAAGTCCCTGAAGACCTGATCCGCCTCGATCTTCACCTGGCCATTGACGTTCTCCAGCGCCGAGGCTGCCGCAGTGCTCAGGGCACTCATGGCGTGCTGCTGCTGCTGCTGATCCGGCTGGTGGTAGTGGTGGCCCTGGTTGGAGCCACCAAACTGGCCCACATTCTTCATGGAGCCATTCGACTTGTCCACCACCTGGTACTCATTGTAGCTGGAGCTGTTGGCCGACTGCGGCGAGGTGAGGAAGTTGGGCACGTGGCGGTAGGACTTGCGCGGCTGGATGTGCTGGTCCAGGAACTTCATCTTCTCCAGGTAGGGACGCGACAGGTGTTCGTAGACGGGCGGATCGCCCTGCTTCCGCTGGGAGACGTAGCGCTCGCGCAGGTACTTCCACCGCTTCTTGCACGTGTCCACTACAAAAGAATTAGGAGTTAGGATACAAGGAATTCAAGTCTGTCCGCAGGAGCAGCTCCTCCGCCTCACCGTCCGTGCGCAGCTTCATCGCAATCAGCTGCCAGGCCTCATCCTTCGTCTCGTACTTGCCCCCGTTGGCGCCGCCGTTCAGGTAGTACTTCTGCCGGTTGTAGATCACCCCGTGCTGCGCCACCTCGTCAATTAGCTGCTCGTCCATCATCCTAGTTTAATTCGCGTTTTTAGCTGCCAATTTGCCTTTCGTGTATGTCAGGCCATTTCCAACACTGGCTTGGGCACTTGCGATAGAGTGACCAGAGCGCGGTGTAATTACAGGGTATTGAATTGAAGTAATTAAAATAAAAAATTATCACTATGGACGGCAGTCCATGTAGTGACGAAGCGCACCAGGAGGGTGTGCGAAGGCGACTACTATATATACACGAAGAAATGAAAATCTACTGTGATGGTCCGATCATAATGAATGATACACCTATCGAAAGGTATTGCGAAAACTAACAGGATTGCATACCAAGACTCTAAGAAAATTAATTGGCTTGGGAGAGAGAGCGGTGAAAGTAAAAAAGTGAATATTTCGAAATTTGGAGCTGTTGGGGCCGGTGGGGATAACTGCCCCCTCTCAATGTTTTAGTTGTATTCCTTTTGAAAATACCCGTCGAATGAGGGGTCATTTGTCAAAATCCGACGCTCCGTTCAAAAGTTATAGCCAAAATAAGATTTTCTTCGTCTTCCCAAAATGAAAATTTAATTCTGTTTGTCAGTTTGTCAGTTTGTCAGTTTGTCCAAAACATGTTTTCTAAGTTTTGAAAATTTGATATGACGTTCATCACATCGATATAAAAAACTTTTGTTCTACCACTTTTGGAAAAACTCGCTAGTTTAGCGGGAAAACAGCTATAAGTAGCTAAAATTCGGAAAGCCGTAACTTCTATACTACTAAAGCTACAGACTTGTGCTGCATCTCGTTTGAAAGGTATTTTGAAATGCTATAAACGCCATTTATATGCAACTTGTGTAAATGTAATAGTTAAAAAAATATGAACAAAAGACAATTTTTTAAAACTTTTTTTTTAGCTTTTTTTTTTTTTTTTCAAAAACGGCTCTAACGATTTTCTTTAAAACTTTAAACTGTATAGCCCTTGAGATTCCTTAAATTTTGGTATATAACACATTACTGTAAAAAGTCACGTTTAAAAGTTATTTTTATACGAAAATAGCCACTTTTGCAAGCTCGAACTACTAACGCTCCCTGAGTATTGAATTTTGTGTGAGGGTATCCGAACTGTATTTTAGGGTCATGGAATCAGTAAATTTGCACTTAAGAGTTCCATATAGGAATCTTTTGTTCTACGACTTTTGGAAAAAGCCGCTACTTTAGCGGGAAAAAGCTAAAAATAGCTAAATTTCGTTAGTTTGTAAGTTCTAAACTACTAAAGGTACAGACATGTGCTATAACTCGTTTAAAAGGTATTTTGATAAACTTCATCGCCTTTTTAACTTAATTCGTTAAAATACAATAGTTTAAAAATTATGAGTTCTGATATCAACATTTGTGACGAAAAATTATTACACTCGTCATTAAATAGACTTTCTAATCTTTTCTCATTCGGCCCGCCCTAGCAAACTATTCCAGCCTTTTTCCCCTTACAGGCATTTTCTATTGCAGCGTGACGAATGAGAAAAGATTAGAAAGTCTATTTAATGACGAGTGTAATAATTTTTCGTCACAAATGTTGATATCAGAACTTTTGTATGTTGAAGGTGCGGTCGTCACTAGTTTTTTACCTCGTTAAGAGGTGTTTTTATTTGATATGCATTATTTAAAAAATTAAAAATATTTATGCTATATTAACCATCGTTTTAAATTATTTATTTATTTTGTTCTGTAAAAGATGTAACATTTTTCAGATATAAACAACAGTAAAGAACTTTCTTTGATGTCCCATTTTAGAATTTTATGAAAACGTTAATAGCTAAAACACATATTTAAAACACCAATTAACATGCTTATTTCAAAAGCATCCTTAGTTCCTAGTAAAGTACTTACTAAAAGAGTAAAAGAATGTTAGGGGGATTCCCTAAACTGTTGAATTGCTGAATTGTCGAAAATTCAACAAAAAATTTCAGCAGTTAAGGGAACGAACCAAAATGGTTCCTGTTTTATTTTCAAACAGCTGTTATTTGTTGAAAAGTTTCATGGAACTTAAAGCATGTAAAATTTGATTTATTATTGTTAGTTACTGTCTAAAAGTGTTACCAAGGTAAAAAGAGCCACAAATTTGCTTTATAAGTTGATTTTAAAATAAATAATGCGTACTGGTGATACTAAAATGTTACAGAGTTGCCACGACTTTTAAAAAAAGGTGACAACTCTGGCTTTTCAGCAATTCAACAAAATTTTCAACAGCCCCGAGGCTGATGAATTGCTGAAATTTCTGAAAGTTGACTTTGTATGGAACAGCTGATTAACAGCTGACCAAAATTCAACAATTCAGCAATTCAACAGTTTAGGGAATCCCCCTCATATGTTTTTAGGTAATAGTCAGGCAACATTTGTCTCTTTATGGAATAAAAAACGCCAAATTGTCGTCTTTTCAAAATATCAAGAACAGGGGGATTCCCTAAACTGTTGAATTGCTGAATTGTTGAATTTTGGTCAGCTGTTAATCAGCTGTTCCATACAAAGTCAAGTTTCAGAAATTTCAGCAATTCAACAGCCTCGGGGCTGATGAAAATTTTGTTGAATTGCTGAAAAGCCAGAGTTGTCACCTTTTTTTAAAAGTCGTGGCAACCCTGTAACATTTTAGTATCACCAGTACGTATTATTTATTTTAAAATCAACTTAGAAAGCATATTTGTGTTTATTTTTACCTTTATAACACTTTTAGATAGTAACTAGCAATAATAAATCAAATTTTACATGCTTTAAGTTCCGTGAAATTTTTCAACAAATAACAGCTTTTGAAAATTCAACAGGAACCATTTTGGGTCGTTCCCTTAATTGCTGAAATTTTTTGTTGAATTTTCAACAATTCCACAGTTAAGGGAATCCCCCTATGATTTTAAAGAAAACCATAAAAATGTTAGCTATAAAAATAGCTAAAACCCTTTATTTGTAAGGTTTTAATTTATAGGTGTATTTTTACGAATCGCGCTCCGGTCACACTGGCGGCAGTTCAATTTTATTTTGAGCACAGAAAGTAATCAGCCGACTATAAAGATGTTCAAACTGGCGCGTATGCTCCTGCCGCAGCAGCGGATTCTGGCCAGCCCGCTGCGCCTGCAGCGCCTGATCTCCACCAGCGACGAGGTGAACTCCGAGCCCATCCTCAAGTCCATGGACACCACCATTGGCGGCCTGCCCACCGAGCTGGTCAACGAGCAGAAGCTGAAGAAGACGAGCAGGTAATCAACAATCTACCGGTTTTCGCACTTGACCTTTGCCTGTTTGTTTTGTTTACGTTTCGACCGGTCTTTTGCGGGGTAAACATGTATTGAATGCCTGATTTGGGCGTGATTTCGGATGCGGAATTTCGGAATTCCTGGGTCTCATGTGGGGGAGAAAGTTTCTATTGTATTGTACCTACTTATGCAGTCACGTAGACCAAAGACGAGCGTGTGTGTGTGTAGTTCTGCACTCTATTGTTCTCCACTTTTTTTGTTTGCTCCACAGAACCTTATCGACGCTCCAAAATCACTCGGTTCCCATTGCTGCCCGCGTCACGGTGTCGAAAGATGAGAGTCGCGACTTTATGGCCGTGTTCCCAGGTGAGCTTATCCATTTACCTATGCCAATTATCATGCTAATACTAATGCCGATTATTCTATTCCGACTTGCAGATCTTGTGCGTGACATCACCACCGTGACGAAGACCTATAATTGCAACGATGCGGCCAAGTGGTTCGCCCAGGTCCTGCAGTACAATGTCCCGAGGGGCAAGAAGAACAGGGGCATCCTCACCGTGCTCACCTATAAGAATCTGGTTCCGGCACAGGATCTCACGCCCGAGAACATAAAACTCGCCCAGTATCTCGGTTGGTGTGTGGAAATGGTGGGTATATATTAGAGCCCTGTTTTATATTAACGAAGTAATTAGAATTTTGAGTTTAATAGAATTGAATGAATGAATGGCATTAACGATAATTTCTTTTCAAGAAGAAAAGGCCATAATTTTCTGATTAAATCTGCCTGATTTTTATTTACTATGCAGTTAACATTGATTTGTTAAAAATTTTCCACTTATTGTTCTTAAAAGAAGGCACAAAAATAATCTAACAAATTCAGAAAATTCATAAAAAATATTTATTATTTCATTCAATTTGAAATGAATTAGAAAAACATTCAACTTATTTCACATAGAATTAAGTTAAACAAATCAAAATTTTAATGGAATACTATGATAAAACAAAAATTGAATGATTCACTAAAGGGGTCCCCCAACTAAAATCCATTTTCCCTGCAGCTCCAGAGCTTCTTCATCATTTCCGACGATGTGATGGACAACAGCACCACCCGACGCGGTCAGCCCTGCTGGCACAAGGTGGAGAACGTGGGCCTGACCGCCATCAACGATGCCTTGATGATCGAGAACGCCATGTACGCCATTCTGAAGATGCACTTCAGCCACCTGGACTGCTATGTGGCCCTAATGGAGCTCTTCCACGAAATCACATACATCACCACCTGCGGACAGTCGCTGGACCAGCTTAACTCGAACCGCTGCGTCTCGGAATTCACCATGGAAAACTACAAAGCGATTGTGGAGAACAAGACTGCCTACTACTCCTTCTACCTTCCGTTTGCCATCGCCCTTCACTTGGCTGGGTGGGTTAAGACTCTCGCATTTCATAGATCCCTTACTAATCCCCTGTTCAATTGTTTAGCTACAAGGACGCCGAGGCCTTCCGGCAGTCCAAGACCATTCTCCTGGAAATGGGCAACTTTTTCCAGGTACAAGACGATTTCCTCGACTGCTTCGGCAATCCGGAAGTGACCGGCAAGATCGGCACCGATATTCAGGACAACAAGTGCTCGTGGCTGGCAGTGGTGGCCATGCAGCGGGCCAATGTCGAGCAGAAGCAAATAATGATCGATTGCTATGGCAAAGAAGAGCCGGCCAAAGTGGAACGCGTCAAGGAGCTGTACAAGGAACTGGGACTGCCATCCACGTATGCCATTTTCGAGGAGGAATCCTACAACATGATCAAAACCCATATACAACAAACCTCGCGCGGGGTGCCTCACCAAACCTTCCTGCAAATTCTCAACAAAATCTACCAACGTGACTCCTAAATCACTCGATTGCGTCGACTTTACGAGTACGTTTTTTAATTAAATTGTAGTTTTAGCATTTATATGGATGAACTGTTAGCATGGGCTCAGCAATTACAACCGAAATGAAATTTTTACTATATATACATACAGCGTGTTCTTTGCTTAATCGTCTGTAAAATCAAAAGGCGCAAAAGCCTTTCGAAAATCTTCAACATACGCCACTTCTTCTTCCTTGTCGAGAAGGCAATCCTTCCAGTTGACTTTCTCATCGCAGTTTAGGAGATTTTCCGAACAGAAAACGTCTCTGGAAATATGAGATTAGTCAAGTAGTTATAAGAACCATTTATGATGTTAACGCACCTGGCAAAATGAATGGGAAAATGTTTCATTTGTCGCGTAATAAGAGTGCTGTCGTCGGGCAACTCGGCCAGGAAGTAAGGTCCCATTTCCGGTAGCATTTTTTCCGAATCTAGTGGCGGTAAGGTCTCAAATTCCAGATTAAACTCCTCCGCTTTGTCCTGAAATGTAATGTTGTAATACTTTTTTTTATAGGATTTGTTTATAACAATACCTCGAAACTATGTTTTATCTTCCAGGCATAGCCTTCTTCAAAGGCCAGCGCATTGATTTGCAGGTGTACCGACTTGTAGTGGCGTTCAGTGAAGCACACAACTTGTCCCAAGGACTTGAAGAACTTTCGCAAAGCGGCCTTGAACTTGTTTAGCTCCTCCCAATCATCTTCGCTCAGTTGAGCGGCGCAGGGCACATGTTTGGTGGACAATATCATGACATGATGCTTGTTAATGGGTCCTTTGGCCAGAGCTAGGTAAAAGTGTTCGCCCACAGTGATAATGAGATGTTTTTCCACATCGGGTGAGGATAAACAGAACCAGCATTTATCTATGATGGAAGAGTAGAGAATTAATAAGTCCGGTAAGTTAATTATTGGAAACCAGGTTACAAACCTTGCTCAATCTGAGGGATTCTAGGACGCTTATCTCTTCTGTTATTATCACCGCTTTGTCGCTTACGACTGCCACCATCCATGTCGAAGAAAAACTGTTTACTTTCAGACTGCAGAGAAGGATAAACTTTAAATAAGTAGGATGTTTAAAGAAGATTTAATTATGACCCACCGAATCGTTCTTGTTGATGGCTCCGCCCAAGTCTAAACCAATAAAGGGGCATGGTATTTCGTTGGTGGTCTTCTGCACCAAGTCCAGTAAACGTGATTTGTCCACCGGCTTAAGGCTGAGTGCGTAAATGTACTTGGCTTTCTCGGCATTGCCCACTTCCGCCAGGGAAATGAAGCGAGTGCACAGCTCGAACTGTGTGGTCTCATCCTTGGGCATGCGAAAGGGAGCACTTTCGTAGTGGGTTCCATTCATGGCACAGAAGTGATAGCGCGGCTTGATCTCACGGCAGAGAAAGGAAACCAACTTGGAGGCGGTGGCCTGAAAAGGGGATCTCCTTTTAGACATTGTTCTTTAGGCTTTTGAGGGATACCTACGTTTTCCTTCTCCTGCATGCCGAATGGCCACTGCGATGTGAGGAGCACATCCACTCCCCGGTACTCCGTGGAGCAGTTCTTGGACACCAAACACGAGTTCCTGACGGCGATGACATCGGCTTTGGTGAACTCGTGCTCCGAGCCAGAGGAATCTTCTGCCTCCGAGCCACTTAAGTAGGCTATTTTGACACCACTGCTCAGCGTGTAGACTCCACGACGGCCGAGATATGTGAGATTGGTGCAGATCTCACCGTCCGCCAGGTTTTCGAAGTATTTCGCATGATCCTTCTGGTTGGGTCCCAGGATATAGGTGGGCACGGTGACTGGAGGCAAGGAGAGTCTATAGATAGTGCCACATATATATAATCCACTATACTTACTATGCTTGAATCCATTTTTGTAGGCAATCAGTTCCTCGTTCTGTTTGTCGTCGCCGAAAAAGTCGCCCACACAACACAGAATTTCAAAGGGTCCCGCCTTTTTGTTGACCTGCTCCACGCGCTGGAAAAGTTGCTTGAAGCGACCCCGCACATCGCCCACAACTAATCTAGGAGGAATAAAGAATATTAAATCTATAATTCATGGTTTTATTTTATGTTTTCTTTTACTCACATTTTGGTGCCCGCGTCCATGGTTATCGATAAGTGCGCAATCGATTTCCAAACCAATAAAATTTACTACTAGTGCTGCCAACTTGTTGCATTAAAGGGCGGCAGAATTTAAAGTTTCAAATAGATTGAAACTTATTTATTATTACAATTCTAGTTAAGTTCTGATCTAAATACCATGTTCTTTTAACCAAATTCTATCACAATTATCGCACTTACAACCTATTTCGAGCACCATGACACACTTTGAACTGGAATACCCAGCTCTGGTATTTCGGCAATTGCTGTTTAATTGAGCGAGAAACGTTCTATGCTTATATAACGAACTATAACCTTACTGCAATGTCAATGGCCCAAAACATGGCATTATTTATGACATTGGCCCCAAACAGCAGCAGATTGCAACAATGAACTTTTGCTGGGCTTTTCTGGTCATGCGTGGCTGGCACAATTAAGTGGCCATTACTCTTTTGCGTTCCATTAGATGTGGAGCTGCGTGAGGGATATAAAATGGGCCTTGCGTTGCCATATTCATATCAGTCATTTTAGTCACTCGCAATCGCAGTAATGTCACCCAGTCAGATTTTTTTGATCTCAGCTCTGTTGGCTCTAAGTAGTTGTCACGTATTTGGGCAAACCACCATCGATTGCCAAAGACCGCCGCAACTTGTGGTGGGTGATTGGGATCTATTGAATATTTAGAGGTGATTCTTAATTTATTATTTATTTTTTTAGGACCCTGCACTTTGCTGCAAAGATGGGGGACGCGACCAGGTGGCAGAGCAGTGCGCCCAGCGGATTTTGGGGGCTCCAAATGGACAGAAACCAGCAGGTCCTCCTTCACTGGACACGGCAGCAGTAAGTAATATCAGAAATTTAAAAAATCTTTTAATATATATCCCATCTATATAACTTAGTGCCTTGCCGAGTGCATTCTCACTTCATCCAAGTACATTGAGGAGCCCCAAAAACTGAACTTGGCCAACATACGCAGTGATCTCTCGACCAAGTTCTCCAACGATAGCCTCTATGTGGAAGCCATGACGATAGCCTACTCGAAATGTGAGCCCCAATCCCAGCGAAGATTGGCAATGATCCTGCAACAGCAGCAGCAGCAACTGCAGCAACAACAGTCCCAGCAGCAACAGCCAAGATGCAGTCCCTTCTCGGCCATCGTACTTGGTTGCACCTACATGGAATACTTCAAGAACTGTCCGGATCATCGGTGGACCCAAAATGCCCAGTGTGCTCTGGCCAAAGCCTATGTTACGCAGTGCGGTTTGGGTGCTTGAATATTCGAATAATTTTAACATTTAGTAAATAAATAAAGTAAACAGATAAAATATGGAAGCGATACACTCATATTAATATTTTCTTATCAAATGGACAAAATACCATTTATTGATCTTAAACATATAAATATACATACATGTATTTTTCTATGAGGTAGAGAGAATATATATGATAGTCTTTTTTATGTATATACACCAAAATTGGCATATTCGGGATTGGAATTGTGTTCTAAATCAAACTCTCCTCTAGCTCCAATTGTGCCTTTCCGTCCAAGGTCTTCAGCAGGATTTAGAGGAGCAGGATGGCCAGGATATCCTATTTCGCCTGGAGGAAAAAATAAATTATTTAAGGAAAAATCAACCTATTCTGCACTGATTAAAATTAGAGTTTAAAATCTTGTTTATTTATAGTTCAATTTTAATATTTTCATATTTTGAATGAATGTTAACCTCTTTGGATGAAAATCAAAACTATATGTATGTTATATAGTTTCATTGAATATAAAGTTAATAGATTTTGTTTATCAGTGTAAGCTGTACACGTTAAAAATGATGAGTAAGCGCAATTGATGATGATTTGTCGCCAAAAAGGTGTTTAACGGTACTGTTAGGCTAACTGATATGTTTTTATAAATAATTGTCAGTTTTAGATTGTAATTACAAATTCAGTTCCCTTATCAGAGAGCCACAAAATAACCCAAACACAAAAGATTATTTTCCTCATTATTCAAGAAACAAAGTACGCTAATCGAAATGAGCAATCCCCAACGCGTGGCTATCAAAGTGGTAAATCTCTTTAAATAGACAACATTTGATCCCCTCTTTTTACGAGTTCTGAATGAATTCCAATGACGTGTATTTATAATCGCAATTAAGCAAATTAAAAAAAAAACAATTATTAACATCCCGGTTTTTCCAATATCTTGCAAATTTCGGGATTTCCTGTCACCAGGAGCCAGGCTCACCTTTCTGTCCCGGAAATCCGGCAGGTCCGGAAATTCCTGGATATCCAATATAACCTTGCTCTCCTTTAAATCCGACCGGTCCGGAAGTTCCTGGAAATCCGGTATCACCTTTCTCTCCTTTTAATCCATCAATTCCGACCAAACCGATCCCTCCGCGATCACCTTTCGGACCCGGACGCCCTGGTCGCCCTCCAAAACCGGGTTCTCCTTTCGGTCCCATACGGCCGATTAATCCAGGATCTCCGAGATCACCTTTAGGTCCTGGAATGCCTGCAGGTCCCATCTCGCCTTTTTGACCGCCAAATCCACGAGATCCGCGTTCACCTTTCTGCTGTGAAAAGCCGGGTTCTCCCTTAGGTCCGGGGTCACCTTTCCGTCCTGGATATCCCACAATTCCGGGCTCTCCTTTGGGTCCTTTGCCGTAAAATCCAGTAACTGGGATGCCAGGAGGACCGACTGGACCTCGAGGACCGACTGGACCTGGAGGACCAGGAATAGCCATCTCTCTCAAGATGTCTAGCTGTTCTGCGATTTGTTCCAGTATTGCATCATTTTTAGCCCTGTAGCGCTCGAATTCGTCTTTTAATTCTTCCTTTAGTCGAGTTCAAGAATATAAAGTTAATAATTTATATTTACTAATTTACAAAGAAATTTACCAATTCAGTGCCATTGACAGCGTGGAACAAAAGAAGCCAAATACCAACAAATATTTTCTTCATTATTTAAAAACGAACTAAGCTGAATCGAAGACAGACAGATACTGATCTAAGTGAGAAATCGTCGTGTGGCTTAGAGCTCGTGCAGTTTCTAATCTCCCCAACGCGCGGCTTTCAAAGTGAACGCTCCCTAAAAAGAACAATTGATCCCCTGTTTTATGAGTTATGACTCAGAACTTCTGAGTACAATTAATTTCACCAAATGAGTACCTAGGAGGTGTAGGTCATGTCTTTAGCCTTACCGTTTAAAAACCGTTGTCACAAAGGAAAAATCAATTTTTTTAAATAAATGTTAGGCCGTTTTATACTCGTTAACCGCTCGTTTTGATCGGCCTATCCCAGCAGATTTTACTTCCTTCGGAAACGTTAATATTTTGAAATCTCAAGCGTATAAAAACATTAAAAGGCAGCGTGATAAGAATTTTAAAGCAACAAATTTTAAATTGTTTTCTTATTTATGTTTAAAAACAAGTTGTCTACAGGACATATTCAAAGTTAAAAAAAAAACTAAACAAAAATAAAGTCAATGTAATCCGAAAACTAAGTAGTAGTTAGTTCTTCAGTTTTCTTTAGTAACCGTTAATAACTTTTGAATTGCATATTTAATGTGACCATATAGCGGGATCTGGGGTTTTCTAGCTAAAACTGCAGTCGCCCTATAGATGTTATCGATGTATCGCATCGTTGGAAAATACATCACCGTTTGACAATCGCAGCTTCCTCTTCCTCTGCTCTCAGTTTTTTCGTAATTATTGAGATAGATTTTAAAGCAAGTGGAGCGTTCTAATTCCAGTGCAGACGCTGCCGAAGTGCTCCTTTTGAAAGACAATCAATCCTGAAACAAGAATACTACAAAATGGTTGACCTCACCGACGCCGGTTCGCCGTTTCAGCAGTCCATTCCCGACTTTGCCTTTTATGTGCCGGCTGTTGTTGTTTTTACCCTGGCAGGTGAGTTCTGGCTAACCCCCACCCCCTCCGCAGTTCTTACCACCTCCTAAACTCCCCGCCCCTTGTAAATGTTTATGCATGTTACACACATATATGTAAGCTGACCGAAATCCCGGCAAATTGGGTCGAAAGACTTTCACCAAGCGAGCAACTCAATTGGATGTTTGCCCCTGCGTAACTCCCCTTTTTTTTAACCACAGCTGTTGGATGTGCCGTTTGTGTTTGGTTTTTCGTTCTTATCTGTTTTAATTTGAGTTAGTTTCGATTTGGATCGTATGTTTGGCAACTTGTCTTACGTGTTCTATATGGCCATTCTGTTCCATTCCGGATTTCTTGCGTACGTAGTCAAAAGTTTGTGGGCTTCCAGGGCGATAAGAGCGGCGTGATAAGGAATCGACCTGGTACCATTCAATAGTCCAAGTAGTACAGTCAAACCTCCTCCGAAAAACATGTCTTTCACAGGAAGTGTGTTTGGAGATTGAGTATCTTAATTCAATGTATTAGCAAAAAAATATTTCTGTGATACTATTAAATTATTAAATATTTTCTGTATTGATTACCTCAAATGCTTGTTACCCCACAATAGTCTCTTTTTTACTATATAACAATTAAAGTTGTCCTCAAGAAGATTCTTAAGCAGTACCAAAATGAAATTTTTTTACTCTTAAACGTATTAATTTAATAAATTATTAAACTGTAAAAAAAAAGACAGTGTTCTTTCTGAGAGATCGCTTACATTTATATTTGATCCATTCTTTTAAATTAAAGTAAGGAGCCTTATGATAAACACATTTTATTAAACCACGTCATTTAACTTGATCTTGAAAGTATACTGAATATGAAAATTAGTGTTGATCTTGAAGAAATGATATGTATACCATAGTATTTCTAGTTAGTGAACTGTAAAATTTAAAAATATCCGTAGATATTATAGTTCATAAGTAGTTATCTGTCTCTCGCGGGTGGGTCTCTTGACTTGGGCTTCGTCTTCATGTGTTCGTGTGTCCGGCACTGATTAGTGGCTCTCCCTTATCACCACTCTATATATATTTGGTCACATATGCTCTCCGCAATGCCAACTTCTTGGCTGCCACCTTTGGAAATATGCTGACGAAGGCAGGAGGCAAACCGAAAAGCGCAGCGAAAAATCCACTAGTGGGCATGCCTGAGAATAATGAAATATAAGCGACTGATTACACACTGCCACTCGAGTTTATTTTCGTATTGATTTTAATATAAATTTTAGAGAGTGCTCACTCAGTCCTCCCGAACAGCAGAACCCGCAGCACGTAAGCACCGGCGATCTAGCGCCAAAATTAATTAATATTCGAAAGTGTGTGATCTGGGGGGAATATACTATAAAACTACCTTTGATTTGTAAAATAATTTCAATTGTTATTATCTCTGCATGCCGCGTGTCAAACTTGTAGTCCCGAAATCCAGATTAGTTTGTTTTGCCACGTTGTTTGTTTCTGTGATTTTGTTTGCCCCACCCCCCAGTAGCATGCTGAAATCCAGAAAGCAAAATCTCCTATCCATATACCATCCCTTCAGAAGCGAACCGCTAAAGGCGAGCGCCACACCAACTTATAACTTAGAACCGAAAGAAAAGCATATATATCATGGCCGAGGATCCGTTGAACCAGCAGCAATTCGCTGAGGACGTGGCAGCTGCCGCCGCAGCCGGAGGACCCGGTGGAGGTTTCGCCGGTCCCGAGCCCGGACATCCCGACTTCAAGATGCCCAGTGCCGACGAGATCTGGAAATTGGTCGAGGGCATGGAGGGAATCTCGGACGATGAACGGGCGGAGCTGAGGGAGAGCATCTTCAACCCGAAGCCGCCGTCGCCGGAAGACTTTATGCGGCAGTACGGACACCCGGGCCACAGTTCCCGGGAGTACCTGGTGTTCTTCGTGATGCTGGCCCTCATACTCGTTGTCTTTGGTAAGAGTCCACCTCCGACAGAACGAGTTTAACCCTTATCAAGTGCGATATCCGCACCCATTTGCTGGGTAAAGGGGGGCGATAAGGTTTTAGGGGGCCCTGCCAAAGCACTCACACTCCCAGAGCCCCGGCTAGAATGTTTGCTTCGTTTATAGGCGTTCGATTTTCGATAAGATAGCACCCACCATTGGTGAGCGTAGGATCCACCACAGATACAGATAAAGCAGTACTTGCCAGAAACCCATGCCGGCCAGAAGTTGACACCTAGACACCGCGTCCCTAAAAAAAATCCCCCAACATGAGCTTGTCGGACGAACTCGGCGTGATCGAGCAGCTGAAAAAGTCCGTGGAGACGATCGTGGCCAAAACGGGCCCCAGTAGCCAGTTCTCCAAGGATCTGGTCAAGCGTATCGTCGACATGCAGAACAAGCTGGAGTCCCTGGCCGAAACGGACCGGCATCAGTTTCTGGCCGAGATGAAGGACAAGTTCCAGGAGACGATAGGCAGGATCGAGGAGCGAATAGTGCAGCATGCCCACATAGCGCAGACCTACTCCAGTTCCATAGTGTCGGCGGTGATCTTCCTCCTTGTCTCCATATTCGGTCTCAGTTCCCTTGATCTTAGGATTCTCAAATAAATCAGCTTACTAACTGCCTGCTATTCTTTTTACAGCTCTCTTTGGCTACAAGTTGTACAAATCGCTGACGGAGAAGGAGCTCAAGAAGCAGGAGAAGCTCAAGAGCAAGCAGCAGAAGAAGGCCAAGAAGTCCAACTGAGGAGGATGATACCCTTAAAATAGTACTTTCCGACCCTGCAGACCTTCCATCTTGTTAATCAATACAATCGCCCTGTAAATGACTAAATCATAAACCAGTAAACGTAATAAAATAACTCTTTTAAATGCCACGGTAATTGTGTTGTTACGAGGAGTCGAATTAATTGCCATTAAGGCAGGAGCTCATCAGGAAATGCAAATCGGTGTCGTGACCAGCGAACTTGTTGCTGCCTTCTAGGCAATCCTGGCCTCCGTTGTCAGGGGCAACACGGTCGTTTTGTCGAAGCAGGCTTACTATTAATAGTCAGATTCAGTTTCCAGTTACCCAGTTAAGCAGCAACACTCGCAGGCATCAACAGCTCTCTTTTGGAAACTTAAAACATGTCTTATTCCAGCCGTAAGTATAGCTTTTCTCATGGGTTAACTACTCACATAGTACTTTTTCTTCCCAGGTTTCGGTTTCGACTTCCATCTACCCGACGAGGGATGGTGCTACCCGAAGAACGACATGCACTTTATCCGCAGCGCCGAGTGGGTGCCCGTGGAGAAGGCCGGCGTGGGTCGCTCCTTCGCCAATCCCAATGGCGTGATCTATCCCCGGGTGGTGGGCATGATTCCGCGCTACGGCGGCCATGTTCCCGGCAATAAGTTCCGCGTGGGCAACACCTACGGCCGCTCCACCATCGACGCCAAGCGCCATCTGGCCCTCAACCACGATTGAATCGCGCGGAATCTTGGATTACCAGCCACTTATCACTTATAGCCAATCAAATTTGCTGTGTTACGCTTAGAGAAGCACCCTAAATAAATCGTATACTGTAGTACAGCCGAAGGGAGAACTGTAAAAAATGGTCTTTAGTAATACATACTACTTCTCAGCTTTTAAACTCTGAATTTCCATACGTTTTCTAGAATCTAGGAAGGTTCTTATTATTACGGTATAAAATGATATTACAATACTAGTATTTTAAAAGTACCAGATACAATGAGCTATCCTTCTTCTTTTAAGGGTTTTAGGCTTAAAATTTTCCCTTTAGTCAAGCTAAATTTCTATAATTCCTATCAAGAATACAATTACATTTGTAATTTAACTAAAAATAGTGTGACTGACTGAAAACAACTCCTTTATTGCCTTGAGATTCTTAAATGTAGTTTATAAAGCGAACATTTTAAATACAGCCATTATGAAAACAACAAGTAACAAAAGTGAAATGAAAAGCAACGTCGGTTGCTTTGGTCTTTGGTCGCAGGAGGGTATTGCAAAAGATACCCCGGTTCAGTTATCTGCCCATGATGGTGGGCTCATCGGCCATGGCCACATCGTCATTGGGAGCCTTGGCGCCCTTCTTCTTGCCCGAGTACCAGAGGAACATAACACCGCACAGGATATTGACCACGAAGGTGAACCAGGCCAAGAAGATGCCATAACCATAGCTGAAAAGGAGGTGAGTAATTGGAATAATACCATTATCAACCACTCTTTTAACTCACGTCAATTCAGCCCCATCAGGATAGGCGTAGAACAGATGGTCCCTGGTGTAGTCGATCGAGGAGAAGAGCACCTGAAGGACCACCAGTGCCGTGGAGGCGGCCACCAGGTGGATGCCACCAGCTAGACGCTTGAACATGTAGCGCGGATTCATAAATGTGTAGAAGGAGAAGACGGCGCCCAGGCTCATGACGAACAGAGTTATGCAGGCGAAGGACGCCTGCGTCCGGATGTAGTCTGCAAGGGAATACCAGGAGACTGCCAATTAGGAGCCGTCGTTTTGGAAGGAAAAATAGGAGCTACCTACCCAATAGTTCGTCATCGAAACCGGGCTCACTTCGCAGGGCATTGGAGTTGGGGAACATGTCGATGTACTTGCAGCGCTCTGGAAAAGGATTGTATTTATGAAATCAAAGGATCATTGGATAGCCAACCAACTTACGATTCGGGATGTAGGTGTAGTAGGCTGTTTCGCCCTTCTTGGGCGGCAGTGGAGGCACCAGGATGAGGATAACCCGCTCATCGTTTAGCACATAGGCGGGTATGTTGATATCCCGAATGTAGGTGCCCAGCAGACGAACCACCAGCGGGAAATCCGTCCAGTTACTGAAGATGGCCAACTGGGCCACCTCGGGGATCACGTAGTAAGACCAGGTGTTGTTGTACTTAACCCTCTGCAGGGCTGAGCCAAAAGTTTTCCTATCTATGATGCCCTTCACATCCAACGGAGAGATTTCTATGGGCTTGGCGTTGGTGGCATTGAACTGCCGCTGGTTCTCCTCCGTGTTCATCACCAGACTGCGGAAGGCATTGCGCAGCGCCTGGAACTCCTCGTCCTCCCCTCGCACCCAGTGGGCAAACATGTGACGACGCGCTGATTCTGTGAAATTCTCCGACGTCTCCAGCTTCTCCTGGGCGAACTCCTTGATGAAGTCCATGTGCGAGAGATTCCGCTTCGCCTCGTTGATGTTCGTCTGCGAGGTGTACGACATGGAGCTGAAGTTGCGCACCACCTGGGCATTGCCCAGGGCATTGGGCACTATGGTGTTCCGGCAGTGGCGCCACAGTCCCGAGTGCGAGGACATGAAGAAGCGCCGCGACTCAGGGATGAAAATGCCTTTAAAAAAGGGAAAAAAAAGGTTAATAAATACCTATGATAATTATAAGTAATTGGTTTTAATTTATAATCATAATTGTATCATATTTTTAGAAAAAATGATCACTCATCCGAACTGTTGTCTTAGAAAATGTATTTTAGTCACGGTTGCTTAGGTTGTTCAAATAAAAAAACTTTATTTATTTTTCTTTATATTTTAATATTATTCAATCCAAATCAATAAGTTTACGAGGTTAAACATAACGATTTCATACGTGTCATACGTGACGTATGAGTAATTTTTAAGAAAACTTTGAGGTAATTGCGTTACGAATGTGGATTAATTTTAGGTGTTGAAAAAAGTGTTAAATCAATTTTAAAAAAACAACTTGATTGTTTAAAAATTAAATTTTTGTACAAAAAGGTGTTTGTTTAATAAACATTTACAAAACCTATTTATAATTATGATTATTATCATTAACCAGGTGATTATTTTGTTTATGTTTTATAAATTTTGCGGTTAATAAGATTTTCATAAAAATCTTGCGAAAAGACAATGATTGAGAATATTCAGTTAAAGCCTTAGCTTACCCTTTCCGCCGGAAATGATGATCCAGTGATCGGTCGAGATGGCCACTATCCAGATGAGCAGGGACACCACCATGAGCAGACTGCAGCCGAGCAGGACGCGTCGCTGGAACATGTAGGCCTCCATCAGCGGACGACGGGCCTCATCGCGACCGATGGTCGACGTGGACACGTCGCGCTTCATTCTGGCTCAGACTCGGTTTCCGGTTCCGGTTCCGAATCACGCGCCCCTCCTAGGGCTCTCTGGACGTTGGCAAAGGGCAATCCACACGCACATGGAACAACGCACGTTCCTGGGGGAAGGAAAGGGAAGGGAACGGGGTGAATAGTTAGCCCATTTATAATCTCTCCCCAGACAATGAAGTCATGCGGACATATCGCACACATGTGGGACATTGTCGGGCGCCGTTTTCATCATTCGGCAGGTGTTTCGCTGGGCCTAAACCCCCACCCCTTCCCGTCTCAACCGATCCCAGAGCTCTCTAATTTAAACAATATTTTATTTTTATACTAGACAAACAGCGGCAGGCAAAACAACAGTGTTGGGGTTTCAAAAACTGGCGATAAAAGATATTTTAAGGGAAAAGAAACACAAACAAAAACAGAAAATACGGGGGATATTTCAGGAAGCAACAAGTAGTTAAATGAAACGTTTATAAAATAGATTTATTATCGGTACTGTTCAGAATTTAAGATATTTAGACTTTTACTATGGTGCTAAGGAAATTAGAACTTATCTATTTCAAATTATGGGAGACTCTGTAATAGATCTTAAAATAAAATCAAAAAGGGTGTTTTTATAAAATATTTAATACGGTTTATAGCAATTAATTTGTGAGATAATAACAATTTTATAAACCTTTTTTTTAAATATAAAAACCATATACGTTTTTATCTTTAAGAAATATAGTATATTAATGCGAAATGTAAGTACTAGACTATTTTTTTGCCCTAAACTGTATGTTTGCCTCACACAAATCCGCGAAAACCGAGCCCATTAATTATGTTGTTTTGGAGAATCCGCTTTTATTTTATTTATGTTTTTACACACACGTTGCCACGACGACCAGAAATCCCCAGAAATTCAAAAACGGTCTTTCGTCTTTGGTCTGTGACAGAAATTAAGCAAATTAGTGGACACATTCAGGCGAGAAAAATAAATGACAAGAATGCGAATTCCTTTTTCTAAATTATTTGAGCTCTTTGCGGAATATTTGCGAGAATTAGGTGCGCCTCCTCCGTCGAGTGGGTGGGTGGAGTGGCAGGTGGGTAATGGGGATGGGGAGTGTGTGCGTGCACAAGTGCCATATACATATTCATTGCTTTCCCTCTCTTTGTTGCGAGACAATAATTGGGGCTACCAAAAGTGACATCTTCTATACATATTTCTTTTATTTTGGGGAAAACCCAAAAGGAAAACAAGCAGAAATTCCCAACTGTACGGCGCCAGATTCCTTTACCACTCTCCACTTCCGCGATCTATTCCGGGAATAGATCTTGCAGTTGCAGCTGCATTTTCCCCATGGGGAGTTGGGGGAGTTGCTGCTGCACTTGCGTCATGAAGTGCGTCATTAAGCGGGAAGAACAAGTTCTATGTGCCACTTTCCTTTGCAGAAGTTTTTCGAATTTTTCTTTTAACTTTTCAGTCTTTTTTTTTAGCCACGCACAAATTACAGCAAACTTTTTGTCTTATTTTTAGATGGACAGCACACGTTAAGCAGATTCCTCGCTGACAAAATGCTCGAAAAAACAGAGGCATCATTAATTCACAACTCATTGTCGTTTTGGTTTTGGGCGCGAATATATTGACAATTTTGACAGGCAGAAATTTTTATATTTTTCAAAAAAACGCACACACCAAAATAAATCGCGAAACGTTCGCCTGCCTATTTATTTATTTGTTTTGTATCCCAGCCTTTGTTTTACTTGCTGTCGGCCATTGTATTTTTGGTATGTGCCGTATTATTCAGACGGACGTCGCAACACCGACGATTTCGAATTCCGCCCCGGCGTAAAAGAAGCGAATTTTGAGAAATGTGTATTTAATTAATGCCCCGCATAAATAATGCCAATGCCAGGGGATTTGGATCATCCTCCTCCTTAACGACAGCCCACCTCATAAACTGTCAGGCAGTGTTAACGTCCCTTGGGTATCCTGATTTATCGTTATATAAGAGCGATCCGCTCGGTGTTTACCATTAAAGATGCAGCTATGCAACCGAGATCTCTGGCTGGTTTATGAGCGATGTGTGTTTGAGTTTAATGAGCTGCCCGGCTCGTCAAAAATAAAATTTCGTTAATCTAGACGAAGCACGGATAACAACCGAAATAAATGGCTAAACTGCCCGTGAAGCGAGCAGGGAAAATTCGAAATAAAAGAGCGCGATCTTTGCCTTCGAATCTTTCAAATCGGATCAGATCGCGGCGGTACGGTTTCGTCTGCCGCTGGCCAAGGCAGAGCACAGACTGACTGGCTACTAGCCACCAGTGGTTGTCGTTCGCGTTGCCTTTTCCTTCGCTTTTCTTTTCATTTTGGGGAGCGCGGCGAGCTGAAAACAAAGGCAGCCATTGTTAGCCAGCATAAACATAAAATCGTTCTACATACGCCGCTGGCAGCGGGATGGGATTGGGGGCTTTGGGGGCTTCTTTGGGGAGTAGCTGCCACCTGCAGCAAGTCGCCGAAGGAATTACTCGCAGGCAGACGTCATCGTTGCTTAATTGCGCCATAAACATGAACTCTACCGCCGCGGCAGTGTGCGCACAAATTTAGATTTTAGATGAATTTAGGCATCTCTTTTTTAATGGTACACAGAGCATGGTACATGGGCAGCTATTTTTATATCCTCGCTAGCCACGCTAGCCGACCGCCGCACAGTTTTCCCCCGCCTCGCCATTAAGCGTTTGACATCGCGTTTATGAATGCCGTTGGGCTATCTGTTGGCATACCATTAGCGCATCGTGAGGCCCGCAAAAAGGGGGCAAAAACGACTGGGCGGAGGATGACGTGGTGTGAGCGACATCTAACCACTTGTTGGCCAGCCAGTGGTCGTTTGGGTAAGATGTATGCTGTATAGATGGTTTATTGCTGCCTGTCCGAGATGCGCAGCGCTCCCATATCCAGATTGAGTTCGGTGAGGATGTCGTTGGGCGCCGAGCCCTGCATGGTGAGGCCAGCGATCACCTGCTGAGCCTCCGGACAGTTGATGCAGGCATTGCGGATGGCCAGGATGCTCCACTCCCGCATCACTAGGGGGAATCATCCGATTAGAAATACAGTTTAAGCATATAAGCTAAGTTTTCTTACAGGGATTCCGAGCATCCATATTGGTGCACTCCAGCAGAGTGGGCAGCAGTTGTGTGTCCAGGCAGTAGCCCTTGTTGGCTTTGTTGTCGTACAGCAGATTGGCGGAACAGCGCACGAGCAGCGTTTTCAGTTCGTAGGATACCTTCTTTTCGTAACCCGCATCAATGCCCGAAGTTAGGGCCACCTCCTCCAGCTTCGTCATGGGTTTATCCAGTCCTCCTCCATCGGGTTCCTTGCCCGCAGACACCACGCATCTCAGCAGGCTGCTAACGTTGATGAAAAGCGATTGATCCGCCGAGTAGACATTGGCGTACTTTTCAGAACCACTGGCGCTGGCGATGATGCGTAGTAGCGTGTGAACTTCTCGAGGATGGAGCTCATGCTTGAGCTTGAGAGTTTCGCGCAGAAGGCAATCGGATTTGAGGCGGAACTCCTTGGCAAAGTGCTGCAGGAGGAACATAGTCACCTCGCCATTGGGACTGTTTTCCCGCAGATAGTGAGCCACGTAGTCGAGGAAGGCCACACGGTCTTCGGTCTCCAGCTTCTGGTACGGGGCCACGCAGGCTCTTCCATTCTGTACGATGAAGTGCTCCAGGAAGAAGTGGAGATACTCGAAGTTGTAGGTGCATTGCTCCTCGTTGAGAGCCCGCCAAAGACTCAGGCAAGTTTGGAGCGCCACCAGGTCGCTGATGAGCCCGCGACCATTGAGATATATGTTGTACATGATCATGAGGAGCACATTATTCGAACTGCCCAGCGGAGCAGCGGAGGCTTGTTGGCAGATCTTCGGGCCATGTTGATTCCAGGTGAGGATTTGGGTAGTCTCGTTGTTGACCACGCTGTTGGCCAGCACCTGGAGGGCTAGATTGTGTATGATCCGATGCTCTGTGCGCATCTGGGGATTAAAAGCCACGGCATCCAGGAAGCTGGAGAACTCCACACTTTTGGCCAAGGTCTCCTGGTTTTCAGCTCCCCTTGTAAGCAAAAGTCGCAGGTTTTTGAGTGCAGCAGTGATCTCCTCCTCATTTTCATTCACATTCAAACCCACAAGTTTTTGTATCAGCTCAAGGGTTTCGTTATTCTACAGAAACTTAATTAATAAAAGTGTAATTAAAATAACAATAATATTTACCACATGCTCCATTTTCGATAGACCGCCAGCTGTTTGCCGCGCAGCCTTATCGATAGACCAATGCAGCGCTAGCCAACACTGCGCCAGTCGGAAGCAAGTGCGGTCACACTAGACTCCAAATAAAAAAAAAAAACAAAAGAAGAGAAAAGCTATTTCTTTTTTGGCATTGCATTTTAAAAAGTCATGTAGCAAACAAAAGCTGCAGCGAAACGGAAGCAAAACAAAGCAATGTCACTGCGTGCGCTACGAAAGAGAGAAACGGGCAGCAGCTACAGCAACAACAACAACCTTTTAGCACCTCTAAGAACTCGAACTCAGCCACAACCAACGCTTTTCAAGAAGGCCAGCGCAGCAGCGACGTCACCGAAGAAGTCGCCGCTGAAAACCGGGAGCTCCAGCCGCGGATTGGACAACCGGAAGCTGTTCCAGCAGCGCCAGCTAATCGGCCGCCAGTGCCACTCGAATCCCGACCTGCGACAAGCGGCGAAGCGCAGCCAAAACAACAGCCTGTTGCGCAGCAAATCGGAGGGTGATGTCAGCCTGATCCTCGCCAGCAATTCTGGTGCTCCCTTGACAGTGGCCAACGCCAAATCGGAGGTGTGTCTGCAGAGGATCAGCTCGCACAGCTACGAGCAGAGAAAACACGAGGAAATGCTTGGCGGTGCCCGTTCCCATCGCGACCTCACGCAGTCCTCCTATGGCCACCAGTCGGGTGGTCATCAGGTGGACCTGGACCACCACCCGACCACCAGGGCTCCCCGTCGCATGAGCGAGTGCAGCCTGGGCTACAGCCAGTCCAGTTCACGGCATACCGCGGGCTCCAGCTCCATGTTCGCCAGCCAGATGACGCTCTCCTCGGGTTCCGTGGTCGTTCCTCCCGTGGATCCCAATGCCGTGCTAAGGGTGCCCATCATTGGCTACGAGGTGATGGAGGAGCGGGCGCGCTTCACCGTCTACAAGCTGCGCGTCGAGAATCCGGAGACCAACGACTGTTGGCTCGTCATGCGGCGCTACACGGATTTTGTGCGGCTAAACGGCAAGCTGAAGCAGTCTTTCCCCAATCTCAGCCTATTGCTGCCTCGCAAGAAGCTCTTCGGCGACAACTTCAATGCCGTCTTCCTGGACAATCGGGTGCAGGGCCTGCAGATCTTCGTCAACTCGGTGATGGCCAAGGAGGAGCTACGCAAGTGCAAGCTGGTGCGGGAGTTCTTCTGCCTGGACGAGCCGCCCTCGTACTCCGAGTCCATGGAGGAGTGTCGGGTAGGTGCTACTGGGTAATATCTATTCATTTACTCAAGATTCTCCTTTTTTCTAGGCCATTTTTGAGGCCCAGGAGGAGACGATCGTCCATCTGAAGCTGCAGGTAAAAAACAAAAACGATCTCATACTCAGCTTGCAGCAGAAGCTGCGCGACGAGATGAATGAGAAGGAGCAGCTCAGAGAGACTATGAAGTGGGTGTTAAATACCTTATAAAAATTACTTAATTTATTATATATATTTTATATTCTTCTACAGAAACCTGGACCTCAATTGCTCGCACTGCTCCTCGGCCAACGACAGTCTGGGCCTAAAGTAGACCAAAATCCAGTTGGATGTGCGCGTGCGTACAACATTATGCTGAGCATAACCCTGGAACGCATCCATATCCAATCCAAACCAAGTGCATATCGAGGGGCTCGCCCCGTCAGTGCTTTAGTATTCATATCTAGACCTAGATGCTAGCGAGTGCTGCCCAAGCTGGTTCTGAATGGAATACAATAGTAGTTATTTTTGATATTCGTTTACGGGCAACCTACAGTTAAGAATGAATTAATTAGTTTAAGTGTATACGATATGTTATGCAAGCTCACATACAAAATAAATCTAAGGCACAATTTATTAATCAATGAAAGATGATGAATGAATAATAAGCTACTAATAATAATGATAATAAAAGTGATACAATCTCTTAGAGACTTGTCATGGCAGGCGGACGTGCGTAGGCTTTTGGAATGAATCCGTATTTGCGGGTTTTCGGGGCATAGGCCCACAGCCAGCCATCCACAGTCTGATTACTGAGATCGGCGTAAATCCAATCTCCACGGCGAACGGAAAGGTAAAGATCGTCTGGGGCCTGCGCCTTGTAGTCGTACAGCATCACCAGCTCTGTTCCGTGATAGCGCAGATCATCTGTGCCCAATCCCAATTGCGGCTGCTGCTGCTGTTGTTGTTGCGTCTGCTGCCCAGGTTGACCCTGCTGCAGAATGGTCTCCATAGCATTTAGAGTCGCCTTCTGCTGCTGCAAAACTCGCACGCTGTCTGCGGGATAAATAAAACTGGCTGGCACGAATCCCTCTTGGCCATCGCTGCGCATGATCCAAAACCAATCGGGATCGTCGCGATTCAAGACGGTAACAAATTCGCCCCTTTCCACGGACAAATCGTTCTCGTCACGGGCTATAAAGGTGTACAAAACGATACAGCGGCCGGAGGGTTCCTTAACGAAAGGCGTGCACTCCGGCTCCACCAGCAGGATATTCTCCAAGCTCTTGGCAGATCCTGGATTCAGCGTTTCATCGCAGAGCACATCCAGCTTGTTGTCTGCACCCAGAAGGGGGATACTCTCATCGATTGGCTGCTCGGGACACTGTTCCCTAGGCAGTTTCTTCTTGACCGCCAAATCCGCCAGCTGTGTGTTGCAAGGAGCACAGTAGGAGAAGGGTATGAAGCCCTCCTGCCGCGAGTCCTGCCCAATTACATACACCCAATCGTTCTCTCTGTACAGGATGTTAACCAGCTGGCCACGCTTCACCTCCAGTTCATCATCCACGCAGGGCGTAAAGTCGTGCAGCACAACCATCTTGGAATCGGGACTGGAATAGAGTATAGTTGTAATGGGATTCATTTCAAATACTGAGTTGCACCTACCTTAGACCATGTTCCTTTTCGATGCCCACTCTCACCAGGGTTTCGATGCTGGAGGAGCCAGTTATGCGACCCATGCCCAATCCACCCACAACTGGCAAATCCCTTTCTATGCTGGCATTTGTAGCTAAAAAACAGGGTATCAAATAAAATTAAATCGGGGTGTTATGTAATCAGGCTTCTTATAAGTTTATTGCAATACGGTCTTAAAACTTTATTAAATATTTATAACTTCTTTCGGGTTTTTTTAAAGAATCATTTTAAAATAAAATAAAAATATTTATTCAATCTCTTATTATTAAAAAAAAGAAGTATTAAACAAAGTATTTATTAATTTTTTTTTCTTAGCTTTTAATAATGTTGGAACTAAATATAGTTTTAGCTCAACACCGCTTGTTTTTTCTCAGTGCACCGAGCAACAAGTTCGTGATTGAAGTCTTTCGTTTTCAGTGCTGCTTCTTCCGCCTTTCATTGACTTACCTTTCTTCTTGTCGCGCCGCATGCGCACTGGGCAAAGAAAGGCCATATCCGCTCCCCTCTTTTGAAACAACACCCCCTCGAACCGAAAAACACAGCCTAATTATGGCTAATTTTTTAATTTCTTTATTGTTTGTGTCCGATCTCTGTGCTCTGCTTCTTCTTCACGATCTTCTCTTCTGCTAGAGATGGAACACAAGCGACTTGCTAATTTCGATAAGGTTGCTAGTTAATCGATTGTCGACTAGGGCGGCCAAATTTGAAAACAAGTTGTGTGTTCGGTGTCTACGTGTTGGCTCTGCTCTTTCAAGCATGCAAATACGATGGAAAGCGTGAAATGCTCTTGAATTTGGCCTTCGAGTGGGGTGCACTGCACCCGGACAGCCAATCACCTTGGATTGCATTAACGTGTGTTTCTGTGGCTTAAAAAAATGTTGAATGGACTGGAAAATTTAAGATATCTACTTCTACCGCCGGCTTCTAGATTCAGGGCGACTGGAGGAGCCAGGTTTTCTCTGGGGTGTTCTATTCCTTTTGGGGGACCGACTTCCATCGGCAAAGTTCTCATCTGTAGCTAGATCCGCGTAATACCTATAATTCCGGCGCCTTGGTAAAGCATATTCCAAGGCCTGAGTTACCTTTATCGCTTTGTAGGTGCAAGCCAGTGAAACGATGAGTTTTCCAAAATAACACACATCCTGGCGCATAAACATATAGACTCTCGGGTAGCTTTCCAGAAGATTCAAGGCCAGGCGAGTGCTGAGTGCTTCATCCCGCAGCATATCCATCAGGTTGTGGAACTGCTGCCACACCAGGACCACAAGGATTTGGGTGCAGAGGTAGAGGACCACCAGTTCCAAGACAAGTCGCCAAAGTTCCTGTAGCGGTTGGCAGTTCACCACCCGCAGACGGTGGAGGATAAACACTGTCGACAGGACGAAGAGAGCGGCAGGAAGATCGGGAACATGCTGCATGGGCAGCGCATTGCAACCGCCCATATAGAGACCCACACATCCAATAGTTCCAGCCGCCAGCTCCGATATCTCGAACATTCCGTGCACAATCACCATCCCAGTCGAATTGGTTCGTTGTTTTTTGGTGTATCTTTGTCTCTGTGGACCAACGATGAATTTGAAAATTGCTCTAGGGCTTATAGATTGAGTTTGGAATTGGTTATGGATTGAGTTTCACTTAACCAGATTGTCAAGGCTATACTTATAGCCAAGGTCTACTCATTTTCTAACGTGCTTATTTTTCATAAAATATTAAAAGAAGTTTTTAATCAAAATATCTAAGGTTTGAGTAATTCGTAATTGATAAAAAATAAAATATATTATTAAATATAAAAGTTTTGGCAATCGAAATCTACTGAATTAACTTCATCAGATTTGTCTTCAAATATTTTTCATGTTTATCAAAACTTTAATATTTATTACAAATTCATATTTAATTTTAAAAAATCATTTGTTTGTTTGTTAAAAATTATGAAATTTTTAAATGCACTTTTTTGGCTTTGGTAATCTTTGTTTACATAGTTTTGAGTGCATTCTAACCCCCTCTCTTTCAAAGGCTTAACCATTTATAGCGCGCGTCACTTGGGTTCTTCGACAGCACGGAAAAAAAGTGGGGGCATTGCACTATTTTGGTGCCAAGGATAAAACTTTCGCATGCAATTTTCGATTATATTTCAGCGAGAGAAAAACTGATGGAAAGGAATGGGTAAAAGGAATAGGTAAAAGGGTGGTGAATCGGCAAGAGAGGATGGGTTCAGAGAGAGAAAGTGTGCAAACTGACCTACACTTCGGTGTATCCCACAGACCGCCAAACTAAATTGCGCATTAGGCATCTCGAACATTATCCCTCCGACAGCAGCAGCAGCAGGTGCCACACCCCCAAAACGCCCCCTTCAACTTGACTTTTGACTACTACGCAGTTGATTTCACATCCGCATCACATCCCCATCCTAAAAAAACCCCATTACCATCCTGAAACGGAACCCATCCCCATGCCCTATCCCAAGTTTTAACGATGAGAGCTGTCTGCCCCGTGAGTTAATCGATAGAGAGGATTCTGCGCAGTCCTCGCAATCCTCGGATGCCATTCACAAAAAGGGGCGGTCGGTGGGCGGGGCAGGAGGTGGGTGGGAGATTAAAGTGGGTGGACCACTCATCATGGCTGTTGTGTCTACGGGTAATTGTTGCTCGGACCTCTGATGGCCAAAAAATGAGACTAGACAGCGGCCAAATTAAGGGGAATGAGGCGGAAAAAGGGAAAATGGGGTAGAGTGGCGAGATCCGTGTCCGCAGAAAGTAGCTCACTGGCTTTGTGGGTCAGCTATTTTCGGTTGTCACGCATATTTTAATAAAATGTATATATTTACCAGCCGGAAGCAGAAATCTGCAACATTCGCCCTTGCATAAATTAAAGCTAGAGACGACCTTGGGAGTATTGCACCCCTAAAAAGTGCAACAAAAGTGGTGAAATACAAACACCATGACCTTGTGAATGATTTATTTCATGAATCTATGAAAGTGAACATTTTAGTTTATTTTAACTATTTAGAAGCTGTAAAGTGAATAGGTATAAAAATTAAATTAAAATCCCAAATTATTCAAATCATTCCGTGTATCTTGTAAGACCAAAAACCGTATAATTTTCTTTAGCATTGCACTTTAAATCGAGCAAGGAATGTGCCATTTCATCACATAATTTCCATTTCATCAAACATTGTGCAATGCATTTGGCGAGATGGAAATATTTTGGCGAGAAGCAAAACAATAAAAGCGGAAAATGCAGCGGCAACTGATGATAGAGAAATAAACAAAAATACGCTATGCACGTACATATTTGGATTTCGCTAAAAATGTTCAGTCATTGGCAAATATCCAAAATGTATACAGATTTAAAAGAGTGATTATTATGAACATGTAGAAATGCATATATATCTACGATTTAACTCGAGCACTTGGCCCGGTCAAATAACAGCGAATAAGTGAAAGTTCCTGGGGGGTGAAAACTTAAACCTATCGCTTACTTCGACTTGGGAACCACAAAATGCGCAATAAGAGCTGTCCTACGAGTCCATAAAAGTCCCAAATCCCTTTTCCGTTCGTGCACAAGCATCAATTGCGGATTTCATTATCCGACGCTCGCCTGCAACATTGTCAAATGGCACGTATACGGTTGTGGCCACGGATAACTACACGGAAAAAATATTATTATCAAAATATTGGTTTCTACATCAGAAAATAGCAGCCTACATGTTTATTAAATCTCTAATGATAACTGCTTTCATTTGACTAAAACAATTCAAAGCTTTCGATCTATAAATAACTAAAATCTATAAGTATTTGTATTGCTCTGCTATGTTAATCAAAAGTATTATCAAAAGCGCATCATGAACAGGAACATATGGTGTTTATTGATAATTCCAGTTTAAGACCTGTATGGGAATGTTCTGTTTAAGCTTTTGAGCTGGTGCACTATTATTGAAAATGTCAGTCGCTAACCAACTGCCAAAAACTCATCATCATGCCTGCCAAGTTATTTTGCACAGTAAGTAAATATCTTATCTAATGCTTGTCTGGAAGTTTATTATAAGAAATTTGTTATAGATTCTTTTGATTCAGTTGCTGAATCTGGTAACTTTGGTACCCACGACCTCTGCCACTTCACTTGTGCACTCTATAGACGAAAACGGAGTGTTGTTAGTGCCATCGGTGAATAAATATTACCTAAGGTAAATTGTAATAAGATAAGGAAACCCGTGAATACAGTCACAGACATCCAATCTTGTAGGATCTTTGCAGATGGAACTACCCGAGAGGAGACCGTTGAAGAGATTTCTCCGGGGCTGCTCCAAGTCAAGGGCACCCTTCGGCATCCTTTTCCAGGATCCAAGTTCCTGCTGGTCGTTTATGAAGCCGGTTCCAATGGTTACGTGGCCAAGTATGAGTTCCCCGTAGTACAGACTTCAATTCAACGACTAAATCCCGCTACCTTAAAAACAGCTGCCGGTTAAAAAATATTTATAAAGTGTTTAATGTTTAATAATAATGTTTAATTTTTGTGCCAGGAATTTTGAAAATATCTAAATTCTATTATTATTACAAAATTACAGAATTACAAAATATTCCTATAACTTCTCGGTTTAATTACGATAATATTCTTGTTTTTCGAGAATATTCTTTTGGCACAATCTTTGCAACACTTTTATCTCACTGCATGATGCAATAAAAGAGCAGTGCTGAAGGATGTCGACGCGTGGGTGGCGGGACGATGGTCTAAGTGTGCGTTCAAGGACGTGCATACATTACATTACGGTGAGCATTCCGCAGCGCATCGGGATGGCGGCATTAAGCCATGATATGCGACCGAGGGCAGAGCCAAGCCAAAAGCCCTGCCATCTGAAAATCCGATGGAGGTGTTAACGCTGCGTATGTGCGATATTTAATTAACGCGCGGGGGCGTGACCAAAGGGGCGTAGGTGTCCCGTTGTTTGCCTTAAATTGCAGCCACGTCCTTGCCCACTTTTTTGAGAGCGGAGAGAGAAAGATGGGGAGAGAGAGGAAGAAAGTTAGAGAGAGCAGCTCCACAAACGAAGGGAGCCGAATGCAGACGAGGTTCCACGAAGCCTGTCGCTTTCATTCAGTAGAAAACGCACTCTCCCTCGTCTCTCCCCTTCCCTCTCCCCTCCCCCTCTCATTTCGCTCGGGGGATCCACCTCCCTCCCCCTTTTTGGCCTACGCTGCTCGAAGCACGTGCGCCCGTTATTTTTCCGCTCATTCGATGTTGGTTCTTCGTCCGGTGTGGTTCACAATTTTCCTTCTCTCGCAGTGTTCGCACTTCTCTATCCGTGTGTGTATGTGTGAGTCGCTTTGAGTGCGGTGTGAGTGTGGAAAAATCCACAGCAACAACAAAAACCGAAGAGAAAGAGCAGAAAATCCGCCGAAAATTAGGTAAATGGCGGGCACATCACAAGTGTTGCAACTGGTTAAAGGGGTAAGCCTTTAAAGATGCACTGGGAGAAATTCTATGGCAACTGCATATCCTGCACATCACACTTTACAAACACACTGGGAGAAAAGCATTACAATAATAATTGTACCTTTAAAAGTGCCCTGGTGTAAATCATTTTACATTTTTTAAGTTCAAAAATTTAAAGATATTTGATATTAAAAAAGTATGCAACCAATAAGTTTGTTTAATTTATAATAATTTTGTAAAGCATCTTTACAAGACTAATATATTCTTAAAGAGGCTTAGCTTTAAATTGGGATGATTTTACTGACATCCAATATTCTTATCTTCATTACGCGATAATTTTTTTTGACAGTGTGAAACTGCACAACATCCGACTGCACCTGGATCGTATTGATGTCAATTCATCAAGGACTTGTGAAATAACATTTTGGCATCTATTTCCTCCAGTTTCCTTTCCTTTTGTTTTTTTTTTTCGACTACATACACATGCAAAGCGTGTTTTCATTTCAATGTTTACAATTTTTGGGTTTCTGTTTTGATTTTATTTATTTTCTTTTTCTGAAATAAAGCAGAACATTAAAAACAGTTTTTTTTGTTGCCGAATTTTGTCTGCGACGTCAAAGACATTTTAATGTGCGCATATATAGACGTACAGCTGTGAAAAAAATAATAGCACCACTAACCCAAAAAAATTTTAACTAGTCACCCTACTCACATTTTTTATCTTTTTTAACTTTTCAAAACGGGTTTTAAATAGTAAGACTAAACATAATTTGAATATGAAAAAAAAATGTTAGCTTTATAAAAGGTTTCTGGACTTATTTAAGAAAATCCATGCAAAACTGGAAAAACATACGAAAAAAATAATAGCACCACTTCTCTAAAAATAGAATAAAAGGTAGAAAAATGACAAATGGGTAACTTAATCTTTAGTTGGCGGTAGCTAACAAGTAAATCTAAGTTTAAAGTGTAAATATCTTTTGCGATTTTTGGATATAATGACTTACTATCGATTAAACAAGTCAGGACCGTACCTATAAAGGAATTGGGGCCCAAAAGTCATGATATATTTTCAAATTTTGTTCGGAAATGATTTAAGACGTTTTAGATTAACTGTATAAACTGTCTTTAAAAAAAAACTCCAAGATTTTTGGCTGTGTTATGGTCAAGCGAGTACACAAGTCACTGTATATTGCTGACTGAGTACTTTCGAACTCTTTCTTTGCTATCCTGACCGTGATCCTGGCCGGATTTTATTGGTCAAAGATTCATTTAAGAAGTATTATGTATTCAATTTAAGCTACGAATTACTACCGTATTACTATTTACATCATAGGATGATTCATGAACGATGTATTCATCCGTATTGATCTTACTTCAAGAAGGAAAAACAAGCCTATGTTAATACTAGGTCCATGCTCAATAAATGGATGTTTTGGTACCATGTTTTTGGTCAATTTAGGTGTTTAGAAGACACATGACTTATAAAAAGGATTTCTTCTTACCCAATTTAACTTTGCCTTCACACATTCTCATAAGTTTGCGGGCATTCATTTGTAAGTTTTTTTGACGAGCCCTATGCCCTTGTAAATGTGTTTCGCATTTCGGATAGGATTTTTTTTTTAAGTGCATGTTTTATAAATTTGTTTATTAAAGCATTATCCAACTATTAAAATATTCGCTATTATTTTAAGCACGTGTTTTAGTTTAGTTTTGGCCCTGATAAGATTCTTTGTGCTTTGTGATATAACATTTTAGAAGGAAAAATGGGCCAGGACTCGCTTTTTCTGTGTTATCCTTTAAAAGTTTATGCCATTTTTAATAAAGATGATCCAAGACCTAACAAATTGAGCCGGTTTTCATGACCGTTTTCCATCCAATATGTTTTTTTTTAATATTTTTCTTTTCCGACTTGAAAAATTTTTCCACATGTCCTTGTATTGCCAAATGGTAATCAATTTGATGTCTGGATATCAGGAAAAGTTAGTTTTAGTCAAATCTCATAGAATATATCCTTTATACACAAGAATATTAGCGCATCGTAACGTTTTATTTAAAGAAAACGGAAGTGGTGCTATTATTTTTTTCGGCCTTTTTTTGACTTTTTTTCTTAAAATCTGAAAAAATTATATGTAGACAATATTTTCGATATCCGTATCAATTTTTTCAAATAGGTGGAATACTAATCAAGATAATAAAAAACACTTCTTGTATAAAAATCCCCGTTTTCCACATATTTCTTTAATATTAAGAACCTGTGACGAAGTGGTGCTATTATTTTTTTCGCAACTGTATATATAAATCGGTTTTTAAAAAAAATTTCGCATGTTTATTTTGATATATTTTAATATAATTTTATCACCTTCCTTCCTTTGTTCTGTTGATAAAATTACTGCATTTTCCCTGATTTTCGAGTAAACAGAATCTGTTTTCCTTCGATTGTTTGCCTTTCATTTGCATAATCAAATTTTGTTTATGGCTCGCAGCCACATCAATTTAAATGCAAATCTGCCAACTGGCCAATTGCAGAAACTATTTCAGCCCAACCACCACCCCTTTTCGCTTTCCTCCTCTTTGTGGACTTCTCGAAAGTTCTCCAGGGTTCATTAAGGGAATGAGAACTTGACACCCGTAAATTATTGAGCACCACCCCCCGTTCGCCGCCCAACTGCAAATTGCATCCAATTGGGTTTAATTGCTCAATCTGGAACCGCACTTGTTGGTGCTATTTTTGCATTTTCCGATTGCACAATCGGGATTTGAGGAATCAAAGGTTTTCGAACGCCAATTCTAATTGAATTTTCTATTTTCAGCCTTAGCTATGGATATGGATAAACAGAATGCAAAAATGTATGCAATTGCCGTCATAAGTTCGCTCATTGAAATTCGTAATAATTGAGTGAATTCACCGAAAATGAAGAAGAGCATTTAGCCAAGAGAGCGAGCGAGAGAGAGAGTGAGCGAGTGCGAGTGAGATGCGCCGTTTCAACCGTTTCATTTGCAACGTCATCGTCATCTGAAGAGAAAAGCCAAGGAAAGAGAGCGCGCGAGCGCATTACGCCTTTGTTTACACGCCCATTTCACAACTCCCCCGAAAGGAAACATCATCCAAGGACCTACTAAAGGTGCACATAACGCCGTTTTTTGGATAATTAGTGCTGAGGAATCCGAGATTTTCAAAAAAACCCCCGAGATAAAAGAGTCTGCGCAAAGAGAGCGGCCACAGAGCGAGAGAGAGGGAGTAAGATAAAGAGAGCAGAGCGAGCGCTTCGTTGGGCTCCAAAAATCAAATTCGTGTGGCTCCCATTTGGAAAAATTGCGTCTCGCGACACAACGTGCGTCCAGAGCAGCGGAAAGTTTTTTCTATTCGCGGCCGGGTAATTGTGCTTGTAAATGCAGTTGTGCTTTGAAAAACTCAAGTTTCTTTGAATATCTGCCATTGGGCAGGCAACAATAACACAAACTTAACCCACAAACCCATTTTATCCAGTGCGACGAGTTTTAAATATCGATTTTTTTCTGTCGTTTCGGCTAACGCGCGTCGATGACCTCGCACACAACAACTACAACTACGACTATAAACACAAATACAACGCAAAGCTAAAAGCTGCAAGTACACGCAGAGAAAAAAGCACTGTGGTCCAAGTTTTTAAAGTAAGCCAAACGCTTTACATAATTGCCCCAGTGCCAAAAGAGGCAGCCACAACAAAAGCAAAGGCAACGACGGCGTTGCAAGGGGGAAAACTCTCGATTGAAAGGGGCAGCAGAAGAGGCAGAACAAGAACGCGGCGGAGAAGAGCCCCCGAAAAGAGCGGCATCCGAAAACCGCAAAAAAAACACATGCTCAGATACCGACTCGTGTCGACTCACTTCCTCAAGCAGCCGTAGTGTGCGAGCGAGCGGGAAAGCGCTATCAACGGAGAGCGATTTGGAGTGTGGGTGGTGTAACAGCGAATGCAATTGCAGCCAGTGAGAGAGTGAGAGCGGGAGAGACGACCCAGAGCGATCGCAGGATATAACTGTGCTATAAAAGCGCGACAGGTGCGCTCCGCCTGCTCATTCACCGTTAGTCGTCGGTCACTCAATTTGTTATCGCGAGAGGTCCTCGCAGGAAGCAAGGACACAGGAACAAGGAGCTAGAGAGCGAGAGCGAGAGAGAGAGAGGAAATTCGCATCCGATCCGGCACTAAAATCCAGTCACAACGTATTCGCTAGGAGTGCTACGCCTTTTGGGTCTGAGCTATAGTCTACATAGCGAAAATGTGCAGAGATCGCGATATGAGTTTGTCGTAGATCAGCGCAACCGTCGTTACAAGGTCAAGAAAAAAATCAAGCACAAGAGCGAGTAGACAGGTGAGCGGGCAAGAGCCCGAGGGCCCCGAAAATATCGAGATTGCTTGAGATTCCGATTGCGATTGCGATTGCGAAATCCTGGACCACTTTTAACAGCCACAATAACCAGATCTGAAGCTACCATACCAAAGTTAACAATATTAGCTAAAGGCCACGGCAAACGTAATAGTTAAATTATACACAAAAAGGATATCCATCCTTCCTTCCATTTCGAGTGCGCGTGTTAATCAACGGCAATGTGACTATCCTGCGCAATTCGGGCTCCATCTAAACGGTTCTAGCCGTATCCAAAACGCAAACGAAAGCTTCGCGGTCAAGTGATTTCAATCATCTTTCGATCTTCGATTCGATTTGGTTATCTCCAACAACAACCACCCTTTCCTACCACCAGTCGAGCCCAAAAAGGTCGTGCAACTGGCGAACGTACGGGGAAAAACCAGCAAGATTGAAGACTTTGGGAGAAATCTTTGGAAGTCCGTTAAGGCTTGCATTGTAAGTATTACAGCTCAGTTTTAAAACACTAAATAAATATAAACCTTAGGACATATATACATTAGGAAAATTAAGCTAGAAGTTATTGTAGGGTTTATTCTTGTGATATTCATAAAAGATTTTAGTTATTGCATCCCATATTCAACATTAAAAAAACATTAAGATTATACAATTTCATTCTAGAACTTGGAATCTAAGAAGTTAGTTAGATAAGTCAGTTCAGACATTAGTTTTTTAGAGTATTTAGAAATATCTCTCTATTATAGTTTTTTTTTATAGAAAATTCTTAATAAGAAATAAAAAAATTGTATCAAAACAAAAGGGTGTATTCATAGAACTATCTTGTCAAGTGTTACTCATTTCGAAAAATTGTATTATCAACAGTCACAAGTAGTGCACGGCACTAGAAAGTACTCGACTACCATGTAAACACCCACAAAAAAAACAAAATGTGTTTCCCCAATATGATAGAAATAATACCCTATTATAGGGTTATACAATAATTGCGAGTAAACAAGGGCTAAATTGTTTCTAAGAATAAGGAATATTGTAAATAGCCCCATTAGGCGTCTAAATTTCCTCGTTTTCACACCTGTCCGCCACAATTGCCGTTTATTTGCTGGACATCTATTTACATAAACGATTGCCAACTAATTGCGATGGGTGCCATGTAGGTAAATAATACGATGTTTATTTTTGCCACCGCTGCGGGGTTTATAAAGAAATTAACACATTTGGCCAGGGCATTGGAAAAAGTTTGCGAACGTAATCGGATCCATTGCATATTTTCAGACGCCTGCCACAAACTGGAACAATCGCTGGCAATTTCCAGGGAAAAGCCCACTTGATAAACATATTGATATCCATTTTAGCGCCAGTCAGGCGCACATATCGAAATCTATATAGGGCCTTGTCTATGACATCGAAAATCTTATCTTGTTAGTGGGTGCTACTGATTTTTCCATTACATTCCCATTCAATCGATCCATTTTGTGTTCTGTTTTCCGTTTCTGCGTGCGCTTTGTTTATTGTTTCTTACTTACAGATATTGAGTTTGAGTCATGACACAACAGTGAGCACTACAGCTCAACGGAAAGTTTTCCTTTACTCATTTGCTTTATTGGTTATCAAGGGGTTTTGCCGTTTTGGCAGTTTTTCCTTTCGGCCCCTCGATTTCCCTGCCTACCGAGTTTACGGATAATTCCCATTGTCATGTCAGTTTTCGTGACGTGCAACGAAAATTGGTTTGTCGAGTGTGTTGACCCAAAAAATTACCAACTTTATTGACAGTCTACGTTTGAATTAATTTTGTATACCAATCCCCAGACTATAATTGAAGGTAAACCAATTAAGATGTAGTAGTCTGAAGGTATGAACGATATTTCAGAAGCCACTGTGCACAGTCGACGAAATTCAATTAGCGCAAAAACTAAACAGATTAGCAAACACACATTTTTTTTACTGCCAAATTGCGCGGTTTTATCTATTTTTAGACGGCATCCGAAAAGTTCAATGTGTAAGCTATCAATCGAGCGGTTTATTTTTGGCATTGTTTAAATTTCTATTTGGCATTCGCCCTGGTCCACTGAACGGCATTTATTAACATCAGGGGATCACTGTTTGCCCAGACAGAAAAAGCCACTTTTGTCATGGAAGTAGAAAAGGGGGAAGATTTCTTGAAATTATATATGCACAGAACAAAGAATATATGTATAAAACACTGTATTATTTTTTATGCAAATAAGAGAAAACACTTTGGAAAAACAAAACATTACATTTTTATTAATAGCAAGTGACTTATAAGCAAGCGAATTTATTTTGCAAAGGAACTATTACAATTTACTACTCAGAATTTGTAGGTGTGATATATAGAAGATACATCCGTTTTGCTTTGCTAATAACTTTGGAAAATAGACAGCTAAAAGCAAATGCTCACGATAATTTGTTTACTTTTAGGTTTATAAATTACATTTTTAACAAATAACTTTGATAAACAAGCTCATTTTATAAATAAACAGCTGAAAATAAATGCTCCGTTTTGAAGTTTCTACTCATTTTTTAAGTATCCAAATAGTTTGTAAAAAGCTTAGGCTAAAAATAATAGCCTTTTCCAGCTGTAACCTAAATTTATGAATATTACTGACCTTTTCCAAGTTCTGAAGATTCTTTCGCATGCACTGTAAGCCACATGATCTCGCCGTTGTTCATTTTTGAAATCATTCATTAAAAAACTCGCGAGTCACTGCTGTGAGGCGATTGTATAAGATACTCGGCATCCATTAGATGCATCTGCCAGGGTCGTGTGCCTCGTTCGTGGGTCTCGTGACCAACTTTGCCGGGTGGTCATGTGGTTGGAGTGTCTGGGACCAGTCCGCGATGTGACACCATCAACCATCATCGTCACAAAAAAGGCGAACTATACATAATTCACGGTATTTAAAATTTATTCGGCTATAGAAGATTCCTACCCATCAAAAATTAAATGTTTTAAATTAAAACGAAGCCAGAGGGAATAAATTAAATAAGAAAAACCTGTTCACGTTCAACGTAGCTCGTAAATTATGGCAACAAGCTTTGCATTCGCATCCCCCCTTTCTTTATTTTTGCGGGCTTATTTTATTTATATACGAGAGTTGGCAAAGTTCACGAAACTGGAAAAAGAAATTTTTGATTGCTGTCGATTTTTTTATGAACTGGAAATGCCCGAGAATCAATTGAAATTGATTGATTCTAACGAAAGCGGGTGAAAAATAAAGACTCAAATAAAGAGACCAGAAAGCGGAATTTGTAAATTAATTGATGGATACAAACGAATCGAAAAACAACAACAAGAACAGAAAATGATCAAGTGACTACCAATAAAGTAATTACGTCACGGGCGGAAAATGAAGGATATGTACTTTGAACCTATGGAAATGGAAGAGCACATTTCCTGACATTTTAGTTTGATATACTTGTGGACTATTTATTATTATTATTATATATATATGTTATACATATTTTACCATGTGATATCCCATTAGTTAGTCTACATTTAATAGTATCTTACAGTATCTTATGGCCATTAGTTTTTCTAGTATTTTCTCCTGGCTCATTAGTCATTTCTTGCTCTTCGCTTATTTACTTTTCCTACTCGCTTTTTGCCGCTCCGTTTTGTTTGTTGTTTTAGCCATGCTTCATTAAAATTTTGTGTGCCTCGCATTTGCATTTCGGATTTTGGGCCTGGTAATATTCCATTGGCATTTCCCCATAACTTGTCGGCGGGTCTCAAGTTTCCCCCTCTTCCCGTCGTTCTCAATTCTGTTTGAAGTTGCGCAATCTTGGGGAATTGCAGCCCAGAAATCCAAAAAAAGCACGTGACTGACATTAACCGATTTGATTTGAGGGGTACCTAAATTTATGGGGTTGATAGTTACTTGTTTAGTCGATATAGCCGTGTTTTAGGCACTGATTGATGCCATTTGCCGTGGAAAGTTACGGTGGCGAATGCCAGACTTCCTAAAAATAGAACTTGGCAAAAAATAGAAACAAGTTCCTTTAGTTTTGGTTTTATAAACCACACGTTATGATCATGTCTAGCCACTTGAGATGGCTGCTTGAAATTCCAGTGGCAGTACATAAATTAAATTCCCTATCAGTTTCTGTGAATCGATTTCCCTCTTATCTTATCGGTGTGTGATTAATTGTCGTTCAATTATAAGCTCGCCAATGTACAAAAACATATCCATTGAAGGCATGTACGTGCTGTCAACTGGGTGCAACGGATATCTTTTCTTTTAAGACTCGCCATTTCAGAATTCCATTGCTCACTTTTAATAAGATTTTTCCGGCCTTGTCTTCAATTGATGGACTTAAAATTAAAAGTAATGTGATTGAAGTAGGTGAAACAGCAAATGATTCACAGAAATGGCTTAAAATAGAAAAACCACCAACAGCTGTGAATAAATAAATACCAATTATACCAGCTGTACATGCTCTACCCTAACCGAAAGTTATATGGAAATGCACAATTATCGAGATTGCGTCGAATAACAAAGCGAACACGAGTATCAGATACTAGTTAATTAGCTAAGTGAAGTGCGAGGGAGGTTGAGATATGCCAGTGGTAAAGCTACTGCTTGCACTGCTTGCACGCGTTCCACATAATTATTTGTCCATATCTTTTTAATGAATGGTGCGATTTAAAAAATTTCTTGGCACCCCGATAGTTTTTGACGAATCAAATAAAATACAAATTACATCCAACTAAATCTATGTGTAGTAGGTATAAACAGCAATCCTTTAATATTTAAACAACATTTAAATATTTGTGCAATTGGATAGTCCAGATTATGTATTTTCTGACAACATAACACCTGCAAGAAAAGTTTAAACAACTGGAAACAAATAAAACTAGAAATTTCTAATGCCACCTTAAGTTAAAGTTTTGAAACACTTATATGAAATGCATAGAACTTAATTTGAATTGTTATATGCCATCAAACTGATGGGCAACCCATAAAAATAGACAAAGCATGGTAAACAATTACAATCGCTTTGTTTACGATTCGGTTGCCGAATTCCCGAGCCACTCAAATGGATGAAATGTCAACACCGCATGCCGCTTTTATCGTGAGAGACTCTACCCATATCAGAGATATCAAAAATACAATTACGCTAACACTGTTTACCCACTCGATCCCAAAGCGGAGACCACCTACCCGAAACCTCTCAATGGGTTTAATAGGAGAGTATACATACCTATACATATTATCTTATGGCCGGCGACCTGCAATCACCCGGTTTACTACCGGTTTCAGCCGGCGCTAGGCAGTCTGAGCCCGTTGATTTTTCGATGATATTAGCCCGGTTACCAGGTAAATCCGACTTATCAGCCGGTGAAAATGGCTTTTCAATATTTGCACCCCGTTTTAAAGTACTCCAGTATAATCGACCACTTTCGTCTCGGCCACAAATATTCGCACGGGCTTGTTAAAATGCCCGAAACGAATCTCTCACATCTCACGGTTCGCATCGCCACAAATCGCGCATACGCCGCGTGGGCCAATTTTAGCATCGCCGTGTGACTCCGCAGGCTACTGAAGCTGCGAGGCTGCTGTGATTGTTGTTGCCACTGCCAAAGGGGTTTGAGGGGGCAACAAAGCCCCATAAATCCCCATGCTATTGTACCCATGACTTTGTTTTCGTTCCGTTTTCGGGGCGGTAAACATATTGATTCCAGCGCGTGGCTCTTTAAAAAGTGTGCTGCGCGACCTTCGGGGCATTGGCATAGGCATCAGCATAGGCTGGAGGATTAAGAAATTTAAGAGCTTCCTGTCGGAACTCTTTAAAAACGTTTAAATTTAAAAAGCAATTTAAAACTCATTACCATTTTTCTTAGAAAAATATAAGTACAAGTAAAAGTTTTGCTTGGAATTAAACTTGGTAAATTACTATTAAATTAGTAATCGGTAAAGGATTAAACAATTTTTTGATAATCCTAAGGAATACTAAGATAAGGTTAGGTTTATGTTACCTTTAGGAATCGTTTAAGGGTTTAATTAGCTAATATCCAAATTAATTTCTGTTAAAAAATTGTGTTTCTTTAAAAATGTCTTCAAAAAAATATTACTATAAAAACCTTTAGACCCCCGGTGCTCTTCAAAATTTATTGGCTCGCTTGTTTGGTTCCGAAAGCACTTTAACTCTAATCGCCTGCCGTCCATAAATAGTCCATGACGACAGATTCTTATCGAGAATGTCAGGGATCAGGAGGTGGGAGAAACTGCCACCACCACCTGCTTATTCACAATCTTTATCTAAAAACTACAAACTGAAAGCGAAACTCGAATAAATGCCAATTCATTTGTTGGCTCGTGCTAGCTGCTTTGTGGGATTTATTGGGTGAGTGGGTAAGTGGTTGATTCGGTGGTTCATTGGTTCAGTGCGGAATGCTATCCATTGCGACCTTTTGTCGGCGCTTTTTGAGTCATGCACTTGTGCGGCTGCCCCTCTGGGTAAACAATTATTGAGCATTTTTATTGCGTAAACAGTTCCGGAGAAGAAAAATCGTAATGCCAGAGATAATATTTCCAATTCCGATGAGTAAATGGTACAAAGAGAAGAGTGATTTTATTTTCATTACATAATCAATACATATTCGATTGGGTTTCTATTGTGGTTCGATTTTCCTACCATTTCTATATATAAATCCCTCAATCAACAAACCCGACACGAGTTCAATTGAAGTCCCATTTGTGATCCATTATAAGGTGTCAGCCGAGGGGCTTTCACCTGTCCCTATCTATTTGTCTGTAACAAATTCCTAAACAAATTCCCCTTTCCGTTTTGGGGTTTTAGGTAGTCTAATTAATTTGATAAAAACCTAAGACCCTTCTTTAAGAGGCATGCCAATTGGAAATGCTTTGCACGCGCCTTTCTTTTATATCTTGATTTTTATAGTTTTTTGGTAAACATTTTTGTATAAATACATCATAAATACAAATCTTGTAAATCTAAAAATGTAAAGCCAAAAATAACAGAAAATATATGGTTGGGACAGCTGCCAAGTGATGGTTGTACATTTTATCACTCATACGCAATGTATTCTTTGATAATTTTTCATGTTCAACTTTAAGATGAAGATTTTTTTATTATTTTTTGAAATTATCGATTTGATTGTAAAATTGTGAAAACACTCCCAACAAAAACTCATTAGAGTAATGAAAAATAGGTTGAAATATTTCAGATTATACCCCTTCTTTATTCCATTGTAATTGTGTTAATTTCGATACGTTCTTGTTTCATGTTTCTGTTCTGTTTTTGTTGCTGAACTCGATCACGTTCGCCATTGACGTCACTGTAGGGCGCGTGGATCTTAATTAGTTCGTCTCGTTTGCGATCGGGCAGTTGACCGAAGATGCTCCGATATTTGGTTAACCTAGAGGAAAGTGACTCACAGAATTCCAGCTCGCCTCTCTTTCTCTCAGCCATTTTAATTTGTATTTTTACACACGTCGTGACATTGCACTTGAAATTTGTTTTTCAACAGCTACGCTTTTTCGTATTTGTGCCCCTGCATATTTCTGTGTGTTTATTTCCCGTTAGCCGTTTTACCTGTACCTGCTACCTGTCTTTGGCCTCGGATATCCCCAAATGATGTTCGATCAATCGATCGATTTTGGGCCATATAATCGTGCGAATCGCGTGTTGCAGGGGTAAACAAGTGCATAAATTAATTCACCCCCTTAATACATGGCCATAAAGTCTAGAGCTGCTACTAATTAGCGGGCCAGATTTATTTTTAAACCCTCTCTCGAGAACCTTTGATACCCGCTTTACACCACCGATAAGGAAAATAAAGGTAGACTTGCCAAAAAGAAAAGCCAGAACGGCTAAGAATGTCTCCTGTTTTTGAGACTTGTTAGCATTCCCGATCTTTTTGTTTACCGAAGCGTTTTTCGCACCTTTTGGCGGCCTCTCTCTTTCCCGATCGATCGGGGGATTGTATTGGATCGGGGGAACTATATATCACTGCGCAGGCGCGCTCTCTCGCATTATATCTCCCGCGCTCTCGCGGGATTTTCGCATATAATTCGCGAGGTCGGAGCGGAATGGGTTTAATAGTGATTCGGTGCGCCCAAAGAAAGCAACGCCAGTGTTCTCCGCAGCTCCTCAATTATTTTTGCTCGGCTGCGTCCGAGCCAAAAGCAAAAGATTCTTAAAGAAAACTCTAGAGAACTGGAAAAGATACCGGGGATTTTTTAAAACTCAATTAAACACCCAAAAACATGTGAAATGTTGAAAATCTGCAATCCCTAAAAACGGTTAAACACTTGAGCAAAAGGCAGACCAAAAAAAAGAAATAAACGTTAAAGTAAACTTCAATTAGTGTTTATTGAAATTTATTAAGCGAGATTTAAGGCGTTGACATTTTTATTATAACTTTTATTGCTCAACAAGAGTCTCGACTATATAAATCAAACGCTTGCGATCAAAGCCAAAGTGAACTGAATTAAATTCATTGTGATAATAGTTAGACTGATTAAAGTAGAGATTAGCCAAACAAAATGACGCCCAGGATTATTACATACATTTTGGTAAATATTTATTAATATTAGGGGAGTGATTTTTATCATAATTAAAATTGGTTATGAAATTCGATTATAATTTTGTATCCAGAATTTCGTCATTTAATTATATAAGATAAATCAAATTAAATGTTAGACTAATTTTTGAATATTTTTAATAATTTAATTTTAAATAATTAACAAATTAAAGATATTTTAAAATGTATTTAGAATTTCATAAAAAATAATTAAATAAAAATCCATTTAATCAACACACAATCTGAATTAAATTATTTTCCAATTAATTTTTAATTTCATTCTTTAATTTAAAACTAATTCAGTATTTCGCCAGACGTTTATATAACGAAAAAGTCTTTTCAGTGAGCCTTAAATATATTTCCCAAAACCTGACTTTGGCTAACAACTGCAATAAATTTTTTATCAGATCGTGTGCGGCTTATATAAGCTGGAGATTTCGTTGAACTATGCGGGATTGTTGCTGACTTTGATGATGGTTCATGACGGGGCACAAAAAAAATGTATTGAACAGAAAATTACTCATACGACACGTTGTGCGGCCGGACACCTATTAACCCACTTAATTGCGCCTAGGAATATGACATTTCTCGGGCTGTTTAATTATTTATAATTTAGCTCTAAGTTTGTCACGTCACTTGATGGATTTTTAATGATAATTTTTCATTTTCCTTCCAGTGCGGCATGCGCCATCCCACAACTGGGCTGAACGAAGACGACCTGAGTCGTCTCACTGGTTCATCATCGTCGACGGCTTCGTGCGGCAGCGCAGCCTCCTCCTCCTCATCATCATCGTCCTCATCCTCGAATCCCGCTGACCACCGCCATGAGGTGGTCCGCAGTCCGGAGAAGCCAACGCCCACGGCGGGGGGAGGGGATAAGAGCCACCTGAACAGTGGCTTCACCTCCACCTACCTGCCGGAGATCATTCATCCGGCTCTGGAATGGCAGAAGTCGTCGCGCAAGCGCAAGGAGCGCCTGGATAGCAGCTCAGCCTTTGGCCAGGATCGCAAGCTGCAGCGCAGCAACAGCGAGGAGCTGCTCACGGAGCCTCCAGCTATTGTTTCGCCCACGGCCCAGGCACAAGCGGCCAATCTCCTGGAGGCGGCCAACCTGCAGTGCGAGGTTATCCGTCGCGTTTCCTCCGAGGACTTTAAGCGAACCGCCAGCTATGCCAACTATCGCCAGGAGTTCGAAAGGGAGCAGGAAGAGTCCTCGGAACTGGGCGAGAACAATGCCTCGTTGGCCAATTTACCAAGCGGCGGAGAAGCAGCCAAGGAGCGTCCTCGCCTGGAGACCAGTCCCGCTCGCCAGCTGCCGGTTAAAGAAGCTTCCGATGACTCCGAGTGCGAGCACGAAAGACGTCGCAGCAGCGAGCGCTTCTGCAAATCCCGGCAGCCGCCGGTTCGCAAGTCTGGAGTGGCCAAAAAGGGAGGCAGTGGCTCCAAGTATCTGCCCTCCAGGAGGGAGTCCGAGCAGAGTGCCTACAAGTACGATCTGTCGGCCTTGAAGTACGAACGCCGAGGTTTCATCAGCAGCAGGAAGCAGCAGAGTCAGCAGAATCAATCCTTGGCCGATCACAACGACAACAACCTGATAGACTTCCATCAGCAGCAGCAGAAGGAGCTGCAGACGAAGAGGAGCGCCAGTATTTCGCCCACACCCACCACGAGCTCCTCGGCGGGCAGCGATGACAGCACGCCCACTTCCAATGCCCCGGCGCCGGTGAAGGCCAAGCCACAAAGGCAGCAGCAGAGTCTGGATTTGACCTCCGCCCAGGAGTCGCTGCCCTGGGAGCGAGGCGATGAACCGGCGCCCATCCTCAGCCGACGTTATGCCCACTCGCGACCGCACATCGGTGGTAATCTGGATGCAGCTGCTCAGCTGGCCAAGGCCATGCCATATCCCCAACAGATGCCCAAGCAGGCGGCCACGGTGCAACTGCATGCGGACTCGAGCGACATGGACTGCTGCCTGGAGCCCATGGATGCGGTAAGGGCGTTCAGCTCCCTAGAGAACATGCGTACCCGCGATGTTATGCAACAGGTGCTGCCCGCCATGATGGTGGCCTTTCAATCGCCCGAGGAAAGGCTAAAGGCCATCAATCGTCGGGTGACTGTGCTGAAGAAGAAACTGGTCCAGTTGGAGGAGTCCCTGGAGCAGAGATTGGGCTACCGGCCGTCGCAGGCGGAGCGATTGAACGACAAGTACATGAAGAACGCCCTGGCGGAGTTGAGCAAGCTGCGCAAGGAACGGCACGAGCTCAAGACTGATCCCATCGCAGCTCTGGGTTTGAAGGTCGGAAGCGGAGGAGGAGGAGGAGTCGGAGGCGGAATCGGTGGCCAGGAGGTGGCCAAGAAACTGGAGCGCATGAAGGCCACCCTCGCTGAAATCGAGCAGGTAATAGAAATCTCCTTATGGCCGCTCTAAAATCACGAGACACGACGCATTATTTATGACAATTAGCAAGTGGGACAGACGTCAGAGATATTTCCATAAATATACAATAGGTATAGATAAAAGTATATCGTATAAACATGGGAAGATTGCCGCGACAATTTGGCAACAACTTTGATCTTGCCCCATTGTCAAAAGGCTCGCTTGGTAAACATACATAATTTAGAAACAAATTTTTGTTTTGGCTAGAATGTGAAAATATATTTTTCGCTTGAGCGACGTTTTTATTCCCTGTCAAAGTGCTTTTAAAGGGGTATATAGGATATAGGAATGTAAACCTTTCTATAAAAGGATTTTAAGAAATACCATAACCTAAACCTAGCCAAAATACAATGAATCTTGATTATATCATTATTTTCCAGACGTTTCTATGGTTTCCATAGGATATAGAGAATAAAAACAATTGAGCCATTCCGAATTAGGAGGTTTCCGACACATTATAATGAGTATCTATTTATAGGCATATATACCATATGTATTTATGACATGTAGACAAGCCTCCGCCATTCGGTATATTGATAAATTAATGATACATTTCGCATAGAGCGCGGCAGACAAACACTTGGCCCAAAGGAATCCGTTCGAAATTGAATTTTTGCCAAGAAAACAAAGTGTGCGAGAAATGATTTTCCCTAGTTGGGTTGGTTGTTGGTGTGGAAAATGGAAATGAAAAGGCCTAAAGAGCAGCCATTCAAGTGCCCCCCCGCCATATATATTATGGCTATACTGTAATGTCGATGTTGCAGTGGTATTATTTGTTTACAATACGGATATATTCCGCACTTGTTTCTATTTTTGTTTGGCGCTCTGGCATCTTCTGTTGTCGCCGAGTCATTGCCAATCTGCCATAAACAAATCGAAAAGGCGAGTAATGCCTAATGCCCATTGATTAATTGCCTTGTTTTTGGCAATGTGGGTGGTCTTTATCAGTTCATTTGGGGCTTCTGTTTCGCTGATAAGTTGATTGTTATCACTATGTATCGAATCATATAAATATTATATAAATACTAACTTCCATATTCTCCTACCTTACAGAATCTCAACGAGAAGCGTGCAAATGGCCATCGCTCCGAGCAACTAGAAGATCTGAATGCCGACCAGTTGATGCAGGAGAAAAGTGCCGTGCAGCATGGACTGCTGTACTTCGAGAGCCTCTATGGCCATCCCATCACCAAGGAGGAGCGCGATGCCGCCCGTCCGCTTTACGATCGCTACAGGCAGCTAAAGCGACTGGTCTCACGCACCGTGATGTTTGGAGCGGGCACTGGGGTTCCGGAGCTGCCCACCATTCTGGAGCACGAGGCCATGGTGTTCGAGGCCACTTCCACACCGCTGCAGTATTCATCGAACAACAGCACCGAGACCACCAACTCGCCCAGCGACTCGAATGCCCCGAATACTCTGACCCAGAATGCTTCCTCCGATGAGTCGACCACCACTACGACCACTTTGACGGGTCCTGCGGCTGGAGGATCAACCACAAGTCAGGAGAACCAGACGGCCAGCGAGAACATCTCCGCATTGAGTGTGGATCAACTCTGGGAGCAGCTAGATCGAGCTCGCGATGAGAAATCCCTGCTGAAGGCCACCATCCGCGAGTACGAGTCCTTGTTCGAGGAGCAAAATGGACGCAAGATGCTCAAGCAGGATCGCCGCTCGCTGGAGACCGAAACCTACGCCCAGTACAAGGAGAAGAAGGCCAAGGTCCGCCTGCTGCAGGCCCTGATCAAGAAGCACATCGGGCACTAAGCTATATAGATGAGATATCCTACTTCCATTCGACTTCTGTTCACCCCACAAACCAAACGCATGCGAAACTATTTATTTCATACCCAACCAAACAAATACAGACCTAGATCTATACAAATTATATGTAGTTTTTAGACTTACATTTACCATATATTCTATAATGATACATTTTATGAATATTGTTGATTCCTTATTGTTTTTTGAAAACATCTATTGAGTAATTGTAATAAAAAGAAAAAATTATTATGAAAAAGAAAAGATTATGAGACAAGGAGAAGTGATTGAGAAAGTAACGGCTAGACATTTCATCCCTTTAAAATTCAGACTCCCGCACGGAATTGATATCTAAATGTAACCCAAGAATCTGCAATATATTTTCGCACTCTCCCTTTGTGTTCTGTGTGTAAATCGTCATTGATGTTAAAAAATGACTTGGCCTGATTTGTCCCACTTCAAAAACGGGGAGCACTTATTATTTGATTACGATCTAAAAGAGGAGCAGGTTCAAACCGCAAATCAAATAGTAACAAACTTTATAAATGTTGTCTAGTAGAAATGAACATTTTATATCGATATCTATACTAGACTCTAGCAATCTATTAACCATAATACCCGCAGCCATTCTAGTTGTGCTTTCCATTAAATGTTTCAGTGTGCAAACGGCACGCACCCGCACTCGAAAAAAAGAAAACTTCTATAGCATTTGAGAGCGATGGAATTCGAGTTGAGACGATCATAAGTTAGTATCGATTTGCAGGCCCCCGAGCCTGGGTAATGATTATGTTGTGCAGAAAGCAATTGGGTTTTTTGAACGTGTATACCCCGCCCCCTAAACCCCGCATACGATATATGAATATACATATATATATATTTACAATGATAAAGTGTAAGGCCCAAGCCAAGCAAATACATATGTAACGTGTATTTAAACAACGTACACTTATATTTACATGTTTACATATAATGAACATCCAAAGCAAAAATATATACATATAGGACTCAACATTTACAAATTGAATATTCTTATATGCAGACCACTGAATTGGGTCAATATGGAAAGCAGAGCATTACAAGTATCTCCCAGCTAACTGAAGCGAATGAATGTCTATACATAATTTGAAATGCAAAATAAAATATATCACGTTATATTAAACAAAATCTGTTGTTTATTTTTATTCACAAATTAGACTACATCAGTTTTATTTTGGGATCCATTTTGGGGGTTTCTTCGCAGTCCATGGAATATCTGCAAAAAAAGATAAGATAGAAATAAGTTGCAGTGTGGGAAGGTAATCAAATTGATGGAAATGAAAATGACGGATCAGTCACGTGAATGATCGACATAGAAATTCAGCTATATGCTTGTCGAGATATCATCATAATATCAAATGATAAGCTGGAAAGTAAATTAAAGAATACGTACCTTAACATTTCAGATGAATCACAAAGCCAAATAAATCAAAGTGTAGTTGGGGTTTTATCATCTGAAAGGAAATAAAATACTTGGAATTAATAAAAATGCCGGCTTCTTAAAAATAGTAAAATAAGTTGATTTGTCAGCTTAGTATATCATCAATTGTTCTTATGACAGGGATAACTGTTTGGCTTAAAATAAGGTGTTCATCATTGAGATCTATTTGGGTTTTATGCGAAATTAGACTAATTACTTACCTTGTTTGTTGCAGCAAAGTTAATGTTGGGATCAGCCATTGGTGAAGATCACCCATTACACACCCTAAAATAAAAAAATAAAGTACTCATTAGTATAAATCAAATATTACTTATTCCATTTTAATAAATCGTTATAAAATCAGTCGTAAAAGGTAGCAACACGCATGAATTCAGGTATATGCTTTGTCTCTAATTGTGTGTCATCAGAAAGTTTTCGAAAATTAAATGAATTATTCGTATACACACCTTAATTTGTCCGACAGACAGCCGAATGTTTTCCGTTTTTTTCAGGATATCTATAATACAAAAGAGAGAGCAGATTTAATAAAGATTCTTGTAGAAAGTAACATAAATTTATAGACATAAATTAATCAGTGAGTTTAACCAATCGACATAATTTCTCCGACTGGGGCGGTATCTATAATCATCATTCAAAACCTCTCCAAATCTTAAAAAATAAATTGTAGTTTAAAGTAGACCCACCTTTTTTTCTGATCAGAACGACTTGACTCCTTTATAGTTCTTCCAATTTTGAAAAACAAAGAACATCTGTAAGACAAAAGAGATCACGGTTTTAATAAAGGGTTCTTGTGAAAGGTAAAACAAATCGTTAAATTTATTATTAAGTTAATTTATCAGTAAGTTTAACCAATCGACATAATTTCTCCGACTGGGGCGGTATCTTTAATCATCATAAAAAATAATTGTAATGTTAAAAGCTATATTTGAATGTAGGCTCACCTTAATTTTTGTAAAGCCATTATCAGTCAATTGAGGTCTATCCAACGTGCACCACAAAAAAGCTACAAATATAAAATATAAAAGATAATCAATATTAATATTCAGTTTATAACTTTACAAAATGGTCAAAAGGTAAATATGTCAGCAAACTGTATCATCAATTATTCTTATGACAGGGATAACTGTTTTGGCTTAAATAAGTTGTTCATCATAAAAGCAATTTTTAAGGGGCAGAAAATACTGGACACTGACCTTTTAAATCACCGAAGTCCTTTTGCAGCTTGATAAATACTGAAGTAAGAAATCTGTAAGTAAAATACAAGAAATTAATAACAATGTTTATAGGAAAACTACTAGTAGAATAAGTTTCATATATGTATCAGCTTATTTTATCATCAATTATTCTTATGACAGGGATAACTGTTTGGCTTAAATAAGGTGTTCATCATTACATATATGAAAATCATTGCTTATTAAATGCTTACCATTTTGGCATCGTGTTTACAAGCATTTCTATAGGCATTTTCCTCTGGGCTTTGTCTGTAAAATACAGTTCGTAAGAATTTGTTTTTCAAGATATTATAAAACTTTATGTATTTTTTTTCTCAGTCAGGTGAAAATCAACACGATTGTTCGGTTATATGCTTGTCTATTTGGTTGACATCATAGAAAATATATAAAATGTTTTAAGGCAGATTTACTCACCGTTGAACTATGAAGCCAGAAATTGCAAAGCCATTCATTCAAATCTGAAATTGTAAAAATTACTTTAATACACGATTTTGTAGGCATTCCAAATTTCTAGTTTGATAGAAGATTCAGTTTATAAATCCAATCGTCAAGGTTCTTACGACTGGGGCGGTATCGTTAACATCATAAAAGCAGTTTTTAATAAATACTTTTAGTATTATATTTTTACACACCTATGCCGATGTCTTACAAAATTGGCAGCCACTACGATGAATCCCAATACATATTTCTGAAAAAGCAAAACAGAAACTTGTTTAAAGAAAAATTCAGGATACACCAATTTTTGTATAAATGAAGAAAGTCAGCGGTTTATTTTTGCGTTGGAATTGGAACAGTTCTCTTCATTGAATATCAAAGCGAGCTGGGTAAAGTCTTTCATCATACTTTTAAAAGAGGTGTTTTTCGTAAAATGTTTATTAATTACCTGATATTTCCGATTTGGCTAGCACTTCAGTGTTTTTTTGTGGCACCAATCTATAAATACAAGACACATCAAAAAATCAATAAACTTGTACATTTTTGATTTAAGACATTCAAATTTATTATTTTGACTCAGTTTCAAAGGTGAAAGTATTCATCAGAGGCTTTCAAGAGTAGCAAATAATAATAAATCATCATTTTCAATTTAAGTTTGATTATTTTAAAGAATTAAATACACACCTGAGTAGAGAAGATCCACAGTTTGACTAAATTGCGAGTCAATATCAAGTTGTTAAATCAATTTCTGCAAATATTTAAATAAAACTATTGTTAATGAACGTTTAAAGAAAAATCATAGGATTTTATGTATGAAATAAGTCAGCAGTTTATTTTTGCGTTGGTTTTGGAACAGTTCTCTTCATAGAATATCAAAGCGAGCTGGGTAAAGTCTTTCATCATACGATAAATTTGTAATTTTATACAAAATACGCTTTTTTCTTACCTGTTTTCGGCAGCATTGAGCAGTTGAGGAGGGGTTTTCAGTACAAATGTGTAGCATACTTTTGAAAATAATATTTTCCATAGGATTTCTCCCCTGGCATTATGTATCCGATTTTACATCGACATCTGGCTTTTCCTGGAAATAATACAAATGTTTTAAGCGTTAGTATTTTTTAAAGACAAAACAAATAATTATAAAATTAATTAAGTCAGCAGTTTATTTTTGCGTTGGAATTGGAACAGTTCTCTTCATAGAATATCAAAGCGAGCTGGGTAAAGTCTTTCATCATACTGTTATAGAATTGATTACACTAATATAAAAATCTTTTTACCTGGATCTTTGCAATCTCTCAAGAGTTTCACAAGCTATGATTCTTGGGCTCGTCAGCCTGGAAAACAGAAAATGAAAGAAATTTAAAATATAGTCCACTTAAAAATTATTAATAAAAAACTTCCGATATTTTAAGTGTACTTCAGTTTTTAAGGTGAAAGTATTCATCAGAGGCTTTCAAGAGTAGCAAATAATAATAAATCATCATTTACAATGGTTTTTCTATATGCTTTGGTAAAATATAAAATACACACCTTTGACGAAATTGATAACATAGTGCATATAGACTGTCCATAGTAGCCTGTAAATAGAAAAAACACTATTTTAGTAGTTATAGTATAGGTAGCATTGTTTCTTGTATGAGTAAGAGTCAGCAGTTTATTTTTGCGTTGGTTTGGAACAGTTCTCTTCATAGAATATCAAAGCGAGCTGGGTAAAGTCTTTCATCATACAGTTTTAGGAGAATACAAAGAACAATAGTTTATTTTTTGAGATTGAAGCCATAATCATCTTGTACAGTCCCTTTGAAAAACCCAATTTTTACCTGGACGGGAGGTAAAACTTTATACCCAACCAAAATCTGGTTAAGTTACTGTACCAATAGACTACGACTTCATGCGTATCGTAAACTATAGTTCAATGAATTTTCAAATTTATTTGAAGTCAAAACTAACCTTACTTTTCGACACGTGTGATATGTCTGGTAATAAACCTTCCAAACTTGAACTTTTCCATTTCATTTTAATGCAGTTGTTTGCTGCTACCGCGTGGCGTTCTGTAAATTAAAAGAACAATATGAGTATATTTCAATTTAATCACTTAATCAGTCTGCAACATGTGGGTTTTGGCATCAGTTTAGAGAACCAATCAACACGTCTTTTCAGACTGGGGCGGTACGAATATTATCATCAAGTAAACAAGCGGCGTGTTTTTAACAGTTAAATCAAACCTTAACTTACCCTTTTGTTAAATTTTAGTTGAGAATCAAGAGAGAAAACTCGACTGGCCATTTTGAATGAAAAAAAGAAGTGAAAGAATGCACGTGGCGAAGTGACCGTAGTTGCAATTTTGGGAATTGCCAAATTTATCGATAGTTTCGAGGGTAGTTCCAAAAGTGGCATCCTCTAAAAAGTGTGAATATTTTTTAATTTTATTGTTTAAAATAAATAATTGTTAATTATTAGCCTTAAATAATATAAGATAGAAGACCACGAAATATAATCACATTTAACCTATAGGTATAATTATAAATAAAACGTTTTAAATTAATAACTTTTTTACAACTTGAAGTTAGTTTTCTTATACAGTTAAATAATAATAAAAATTAAATTACCTGTTATTTTTAATACTTATAACTTTTTGACCGTATTTTTTAAAAGATATTTGAACTATTAAAATATTTCCCATTAAGGGCCTTCTTTATGGGTTGGAACATTACTGACCGGTTAGCAAAGTTTCCTACCATTTCGCATTATTTTAAAATTCCAAGATATATCCAAAGTGCGCTGCCTGGCCACATTGCTCATTTGTTGTTGGTTTGTCGTTGCGTCGCGTGTGTGTCGCTTTGCGTAACGTTAAAAGTTTCGATTTGGATTTTCTCCGGCAGCCGCATCCGCCAAAGAAATGGTGCTGACCAAGGAATACCGCGTGTGCATGCCGCTCACCGTGGAGGAGGTACGTCCTTGACCTTAATATCCGCTATTACTTACACGCAATTAACGATTTTCTTTCATCATTTTGCAGTACAAGATCGGACAGCTTTATATGATAGCGCGCCATAGCCTGGAACAATCGGAGGAGGGTGAGGGCGTCGAGGTGGTGGAGAACAAGCCCTGCGAGGATCCCGTGCACGGCAAGGGTCAGTACACGGAGAAGCACATCCACTTGTCCAAGTAAGATTTCCTTAGGATACAGGATCAGAATAGTCCACTAATGATATGTTACTCCCTAACTTCAGCCGACTGCCCTACTGGATTCAGGCCATCTGCCCGCGCGTCTTCTATGTGATAGAGAAATCGTGGAACTACTATCCCTACACGCTAACAGGTGAGCAGTAACGGTAGCCCACCCACCGCCTACTGCGCATCCCATTCTATTTTTAACCCAATTTGTGTATTCCTGAGGCGGCGATTCCCCCCTCGCCCTCGTACCTCAGCCATATGGCAAATGGTCTTGGAAACATCATGTGTTTTTGGGGGCCAGCAAGAATTCCACGTTATCATTAGACCATCATCTATTGTGGTTTTGTGGTGGGGGTACGTCTGCCGATAAAGGTTCCATTAAACGCACACCTGTTTACCCATCCAGTACGTCATCGATTCGGCTTTCACGGCGATCAAAAGCAGGCACCATGCGCCTGCAATCTGCGTTTGGCAATTTGTTAACAACTGTCGCTATTCCCATCGCATAGGCTGATAAAATCAGATTACATGGTGGCCAATGCACTCGATGAGGATTGTTATGCACTCGATGGGGTTTGTTCTGGCTCTTGGGTCGTTGACTTCGAGGGTGGAATCCATTACAAGCTGGTCTATTTACATTCAAATAACATTTTCAGTGTTTACAAATGGTCACGTTAGCCACTTCTATTTAAAAAGTCTAGAACATCATGACAAGGTTTATTTTTTTGGTCATCGTCTGACTGATTGCTTATAAAAGTGTTTAGATATCATATCTAAAACTTCTCGATACTCATTTTCCATGTTTGTTATAGCTTTGCTATCATAAGGCCTCAAATCTCTTGACAAATCTAAATTAGTCCCTAGTGTGTTGTATTCTTAAGCGCTTAGAACGTGAAATAATACCCCAAATGAGCTTTTTCTTTTTATATCAAACCCAGGGGACTGTATTTTTAAACCCTTTCAGCCGAAAATAACACTTTATACGCACTTGAGCTATATTTGATGAGCTGGCCTATTGATTTATTTTTGATTTTGCATTATAATTTCATGTGCTGTGATTGGACCGTAATTGGCTGGAACTTTTAATAGAATACACGGTAATTGTATGCCTTCTATTTCGGTTGTCCTTCGCTAACCAATTATATCCTTGCAGTGTTCCTTCATACCCAAGTTAAATGTCCTCATCAAAACGAAGTACGAGGATAATAATGGCAGCACAGAAAACGTAATAACAGCTCAAGAAACAATTCTGATTGATTGATTAATAATGGTTATGATTGACAGTGTTTGGATCTCACGGAAGAAGAGCTGAAAGCTCGAACTGTGGATCATTTGGATATAGCTTTCGATGAAGTCAGTGCCAAGCATTACAAGAAGGAGGAGGATCCCAAGTTCTACAAATCTGAAAAGACAAGTAATGTGTTTAAACATTGACTAGGGATAAATATTAATATATTTTGTATTCCCAGATCGCGGTCCACTGACTGAGGGATGGCGGGACACCGACAAACCCATCATGTGCTCCTACAAGGTGGTCCATGCCAGCTTCGAAGTCTGGGGTCTGCAGACCAAAGTGGAGGACTTTATTCAGCGCGGCATCAAGGAGATTCTCCTGCTGGGCCATCGGCAGGCTTTTGCCTGGCTGGACGAATGGCATGGCATGACCCTCGAGGATGTTCGCGCCTACGAGCGGCAGAAGCAGGCCGAGACCAACGAGAAAATCCACAACGCCAGTGGTGTTGCAAACGAAGCAGCGGGCGATGCTTCCACTGAAGCAAATATAGGTGGAGATATCGATTGAAAACTATAACCTAGAGAAGTCCAATAGACAGAATGCAGGCAAATTGTACCTTCACGGCCTCGCGGCAGGCTTACAAAGTTTCATAGAAAATATCTTATCAACATACGCATATTTGTGTATATAGTATATCAATGTCGATGCATTTCACCGGTCCAAAGAAGCTCAGAGCTCTAGTTAAACTGCCTGCAGCGTTAGAAAGTACAATGTACAATGCACAAGCACCTAGCTGGAAACTCGAAACCAAATAATTGTTAAAAACTAGACCACGCAATTTTTAGTCAAACTTATGTACGCATTGCACTGGCACACACACAAGACCCTAGTCGAAACGGTTTGTGTTAACTATATTCCCTAGTTTAGCCCTCAAATTAAATGTATATTTTGGTGTACAAATACAGACCAGACGATTAAACATATTAGAAAGGTATTAACTCTATGTCACATGATTGTTAATTGCTTTTATTCTGCCGCCGAGGCCATTAAAAGCGTTCAAATTGGTGGCTGTCTAAATTATAAGTAATTTGTATGCCAATGAACCGGGTAGTGGATGAAGATGATTCAGCCGGCGCTTGGTGGAGTGGATTTTCAGAGTGAACGATCAATATAAGCCCACGTGAATCGACCCTGACACTGATCGTAAATCAAACCCCCACCATTTCACCCAGCGCCTGGCGAAAATCAACAGCTGCTTCTCAGTCGAAACGAGCCCCCAAAAAATGTATAGAGAGCGCTGTATATTGATAAGTCTATATCACTCTCGCCGTCAGCTGTTTTGCCGCTGGAGATCTCTGGCGTCAAAAAATATAATACCCGCTGAGCGGCAGAAGAAGAAACGGCAAAAGCCCAAGCGTTTCGCGTTCGCGCCGCATTTGAACTTCAAACGCGAAAAAAGTAGCACAGTGCGGATAGATACGCGGATGCGTGGCGATTAAACGGCGTAGCGCGGAAAACAACAAATTTTTGATTATGTATTTAGCATAGCGAAAGTAATTCGATTTGAACGGATTGGACGTACACCTGCTAACGGCGATCGTGACAATGGAATATTCGGAATGAAAACAGATCGCAACTCGGATAAACAGTCTTAAAATAAATATTTAAAAATATCTGAAAATTAACATGGCAAGCAGAGTGTTTCAAAAAGGGGCGGCGAAAGGAATTTTGCTGTTTTGCATGGTCTTACTAAGGTAAATTCCCAAATGGACCACGCGGCGTATGAGCGATGTAATGTAATGAGGGCGCTGTTATCAGATGTTTACAGCACTCGACGATTTATTAATAAACATACTAAATCCTATTCTGGGCCAGGCCATATGTGGGTTATAGTCCATGGTAAATCTTTTATAAGGCCCATGCAAAGTTACTTATCATCGCGCCAAATCGAATCGAACTGATTGGGTTTTATGGCTAAAATAAAGACTAGACAACTGGAGTGTCTATATAATATAGTGTTCACTGGAACCCAAAAGCTGGTTTACCCGTAATTGTTTGTAGTTCTTAGACAACCCATATGACAGTTTTATTCCGAGCAACGAGTTTAATATTCCATAAGCACATGGGGCAATTAGGGCCATAAAGTTCTAAGGTGGCAACTTCCTCAACATTCAAAACAGAGGCGAAAAAAACAAACCGAAATTTCATTCCACCTTTATCGCTCACCCCAAGCAAATCGTATCACAGCCATGAGTTCCGTAAGGGAATCAGGTATTTGCCTTTAATTTAAAAATTCTTATCACACCATAGGCTAAAAAAAGGTTTCGGTAATCAAAATGATATATGACGTTAAATTGCTCTTAGATCTGCTTTGGTTTTCTATAGATTCTGTGTTTCCTTCGCTCCATATTTCTTCTTGTCATCTTTTTGATCTTATTTATTTTTTCGCCAGCTATCTGGCAATCTCAATGAGAATCAAAAGCCAATTGACAGCGGCTGTCGTGACGGATCCATAAGTAGATTTATTTAGATTTATTGTCAATGGGGAATTGATAAGTAAAATAGTAGAAAATTAAGTGGTGGTATATGAAATCGGTTTATACTTACTGTTCTCTTCATCAAAGAACATAGTACATATGAATTTCTTACTCAACCGATTTGATTGTCTAAATGAAATAGCATGCCAATTGTTCCGATGGTCAAAAGTCAACTGAAAAATGTCTTGAGGCATACTTTTCAATTTAAATTCGACATTACTTGTCGTCACGCATACGCCATGTTGTACGCTTGGCAAACATTTTAGCGCACTAAGTGAAACTTCGTGGGATAAATAAAAAGAAATATTTCGTTTTCAGAAAATATTGAAATACAGGTCCGGGCGTCTGTTTTTGTGTGCCTTTCGAATTGGCCAATGTTAATTAACGATAATTGAGAGCCCACTCGGAGAAAGAGTGTCGAATTCTGTCAGCTAGGATCTTGGCTTTATAAACCACATTGAGCTGAATACCAAACGAATTTAAATATTTGTCGTTCCCAAAAACGCTACCACTTCAGATCAAACAAAGCTGCTACTGAAATGCCTTTATTCTGGATTTTTAAGTAAATATTTTTTGGTGCTATAATATATCACTTTGTGTATTGTTGAGTTTAACACTTCGAACGCAAGTTGTTAATTGTCAGTTAGACCCACTTAGTATCCCTAGAAAAACGCGCCGGGGTATATTAAATGATGATGTATGTATTTTCCGTGCGTATTTTTGGCAGCGTCTTGGTGTTTATCATAAACTTGTTGATATATGGAAATTTATTTCGGAAATAAGCGTGTAGATATATTACCCAAAGTTTCCACTGACCTACCCCTACTTTTAGCAATAGGATTAAGGGGAAATGGATCTTCAATTGCAAGAACGTGTCTTTTTAAAATTATTCCGGTCTCTGTCTGTCTGTCAACCTGTGATATAGCACCTCGAGATGTGCTAAATGAGCATCATGTGATATACTTCGGTTCTCCGCCGGCTAATATCATCGCCATATAGGCGGAGCAAACAAGATTTCCATACTACGCAGATATACCTCGTACTTACTACCCGGAGTTGAGCTACCGTTCAGATTAGGTGATATATTTGCTCAAGTCGGTTGGCTAGAAGCAGTTTGCAGTGCCTGAAACCGAACCATTAAATGCTTCTTGGCTATTTTTAAAGGCGAGTGGTGGAAAATAGAACATGTTCTTTGGAACTAAAGATGATATAAAAGTAGATTTCCTACATCTGTGGGGCCAGAAAAACAGAGCAAATAAAATAGTCAGTATCTGTTTCTGTTTCTATATCCCATATCTGTGTTTTCCCCGAGCAATTAAGACTTACCTGGCGTCTGCTTATCAAGTTGGCCCTAAACGAGAGTCGCACTGCGGCCAAATTATCACCAATTTGAGGGCTGTCTGGGCCAAAAATAGCATCATGAGATAGATATTTATTTACTTACCAATTATCTGTTACTTAGACTGAGCCACGGAGTCGCGGATGAGAGCCATGAGAATGACACGACCACCACATCGCTGGCCACCATTACCACCCAGATCGTTCCGATGCCCAATTTCGGGAGCAGCTGCCTGGACTGGTCATCCGCTCCGGAGGCAGCGGGCGGAAACTGCTCGAGGCTAACCCGAAATGGTACTCTAAAGTGCTTTGGCGGAATGAACAACCTGGCGGCTCTGAAGTGAGTATTATTAGAACTCTGTTTACATGTGTATTTCTCCATTTCCTAGTCATATTATTAGTATCATTGGAAATATGTTATTTTCATGTATCCCAAGTTCAGTATAAGGCAGCTTTATATGTCTTAAATCACTTTTTTACAGAATTACCACGAAAAAATATACAGAAAGCTTCCTGTTGTTGCAATAAATCTTTAATCTGTATTTTGTTTAAAACAAATCAAAAAACTCTTCAAAAATGAATATATTTTTTGAAATGTTTCCGAAAGTATTGTAAATCGTTTGCTTACCAAACATTAAAACCATAAATCATCATAAAATATCATTTAAAAAAGGTTTTAGCATTAAAATAATATTTTTAGGGCCGTTTTCTCGTCGCTTAAAGTAGGGTTAAATCTCTGATTTCAAGGTTTTAACTGTACTTTAAATTTAACAAACGGACGTGAAAACGGACCTCATAAAATTAAATTTCTAGTTTTCTGGGACACTAAGCTTCATAATAGATTTTAATCCTAACTTTCCTCATTACAGCCACTCTGGAAAGTTGAGTAGAGCGCAGCCTGCTCTGGAAATGCTCCTCTGCGGCTGGCCAAAGGATGGTTTCAATCATCTGAGGGACCTTCAAAAGCTGCCCCGTCTTCGATCCCTGACCATCGAATACAGTGGCTTCACCGAGTTCAAGTTCGACTTCCCAGAGATGTCAGAACTGCAAACCATCAACATTTCGTGGACGAATCTCTCGTACATCTCATCCCGAACCTTTAAGCGAGTGCATCCCCTCAAGGTTTTGGACCTGCGATGGAACCAACTCATCCAACTGGATGGTCCTTTGCTGCTACCCCGCAATTTCGAGCAACTCTATTTGGCGGGGAATCCGTGGAACTGCACGCGGAACTTCAAGTGGATGCTTTTGCAGCCGGAAAAGGGAAGATTGGTGGTCGATCGAGATGAGCTCATCTGCACGGATCGAAAGTACAAGGAGCGCCAGATGCTCCTGGTTATGCACTTTAAGTTGGTAAGAATTTTCTTAAACAACCGGTAAACATACGATTAATTAACTGATTAAATTTAAGGAGCTGAAGAAGCAGTGTCAATCCCACGAGGATCTGAGGAACTGCAGCTGCCTTATGCATCACATCTTGCCCAAGACGCACATTCCCCTCTATACGGTCAACTGTTCCCATTTGCAGTTTCACCGACTGCCTGCTTTTTTGCCCGAAAATACCACCACTCTAGTCATCAATGATAATATGGTAAGATAATCTTTCTAAAATTATTCCTCTCATTCACAGAGAGAATTCTGCCTACAGGAATTTCAAGAACAATTGCTCTCAATTCAAGAACAATATTCTCTCTCTGTCTTTTATTTAGAAGAGAACCCCTTGAAGTTTATTTAATTTCTTATATTTAATTTCCCACCAGATCACTGACATAAACCCACTCCGAGACAATCCCCACTATCGCCACGTGGTGGACATGCAGCTGGAGAACAACCAGATCTCCAATGTGGACAACCTAGAGGACACTTATTGGCTGCAGAACTTCCGGCTGCTCAATCTGCGCGGCAACAATCTCCGAAAAATACATGTCTATGCCTTCGACAATGCACTCGATGACAATGAGAATGCCAATCTCTTGCTGCTCAGCAGGAACCCCTGGCACTGCACCTGCAAGTTCGGCAGCAGAATGCGTGAGTTGCTGACCAAGTACAAGGATATCGTGCGGGATGCCTGGAATATGAGCTGCACCTACCGCCTGGACGATGATCAGTTGCTGGCCAAGGTGCTCACACTCAGTCGTCAGGAGATGTGCAATATTAGCGAGGAAAGTGGCATCCAGATCCATCCCATCGATTGGCTGAACGGAGTACTCGCAAGCCTCATTCTTCTCATCCTGGGCAAACTAGCCTATGATTACTATTTTTACAAGTATTACGGTCGAGTTCCTTGGATTGTGATGAAAATGCCTTAGTCTTAGCCTTAATCTTAATCTTAATCCAAATTCCAAAGTTAAGTGAGTTCAACTCGAAAGTATTTCTCAAACACAGACAACGTTTGTCGGTTTATTCTTGAAAATCTACAAAAACAATACCTGTCTTTGTTTCGTATATGAATATTTATATATAAATAATGTCGTTTAGGTATTTATGTATTCCGTATTGTATGTATATTTAAGCTAAGTCAACGCAAAACTCTCAAAATAGTTGTTTGCTCTCGCACCAGTGCACTGCGTAAACTGTTTTTGTATGGTTAAAAACATTCGTTCTCACGTTCCTTAAACATTCGACGGTTTTTAGTTTTTAGCATTTGACCTGCATTTAAAATTGGCACAAAGCGCTTAATATTTGATAATGAGAAACGGCTAGGATAAGTACATACACATATATGTTTGCATCTGGACAGAACGGAAACTTTAAGTTAGTGGCAAATAATTCCGCCTAAACGAATCTAATCTTGTATTATATTTACAATTAAAACCTCTCGATTTAATTTCTTTGGCTTTCGAAATCAGTGCTAAAGCAAATGCAAAATAATTAAAATAATTGTATAGGTTACAAGCTTATAAATTAAACAACAGTGCTGGACATTGTAAACATAAAAGCATAAAACATTTTTGTACTTTCTATCAATCGAGTGAGGGATAAAACTAGGCAAAATAATTCGCTGGCTGAAGGCGGCACGTTTAAAATTCATTTCTCTTTTGCTTTCCCACGAGAGCCTCTTTGGGATGGTTTGCTTAAAAGCTCGGCAATGTTTCTTGTAAATTGTTTGTATAAAAGTCAAAGTAAAATTTAGATCGTTTAAAATTGAGTTCCCTTGGTTGGTTGTGTTGTGTATATGATATGGAAACATTATCCTAACCACCGGCGAGGACTCGCGCAGGAATCAGCCAGAGATCGCAAAGTAAATAACAGCGGATGGCATAAAGTTGGCTATTTTTCGGGGACTAACCCCGTTAACATTATCTGTTTTTTGGCTAAGCATGCGAGTATTCAATATGTTTATATTATGCGATTGCGATCCTAGAACAACATGTAGGAATGATCGCGTTCCAGTCGCGACTTGGCGCGCATCTGTATATTGCCAATGGGATCCGAGGGCGGTGGAATGCCGTGGATCTGATGGGTAGGCTCCTTGTAGAAGAACTCGGTCCTTCCGTTCTTGTGGCCATAGTAAACGGAGTCGTGGGATCTGTTAAAATATTTATTATAAATTAAATCATTTAAAGAACTTAAATAGAAATCAAACTCACCTCAAGATCAAATCTGTAAGATGATGACCACTGGAATGTATGGAGTGCATGCTCTCCAGGATGTTAAGCTCTAGGGGATTCCATGGCCCATTGCGCTGCAGAACATCCCACTTGGAGTCGACGCACATGAAGCTATAGTCGCCGCCATCGCGATTATCGCCCTCCACATTTACGTTGAGAGTCTGGTTCAATTGAGATTCCATGTGCGGGAACTTGGCCACGCAAATGTCAAACTAAATAAAGGGAAATATCATAAATTGAAATATAAATAATAATAATCTACATACCATCTTCTGCACTACCGGCTGTTGTTGGCAGGTTCCATCCTCCATGAGCAAAAGCAAGGTCATATTCTGCTGACCACATATGTAGAGTTCCGTGCGATGCAGGCCATCCGGTTGAATAGGTCCCGGTGGTTGAGCAGGAACAGTGGGCATAACCGTGGACAGGGCATCCACTGCATCCTCGCATTTCAGGGAGCTGCGCCGTGGGAAAATCTTACTGCTTGTCAGCGGAGTTTGAATCTCGATGGGCGTGGCTTCACTGAGAGCGAGAACCGATAGTTTGGCCATCAGCGGAGTTAGTGGCACGCCTCCAGCTCCACTGCGTCCCGATGCACGCTCTCCAAATCCAGCTTCCCCTGCTGACTTCAAGGGCAGCGTCATGGAGCGCTTATCGACCGGAGTTTTGGCCGCAGAAATATTCAAATTCCGATCGGCGGAGGAGGCCTCCGCTGCCTGTTGTCTCATGTGCTCGTCCAGCTTCTGAATCTCCGCGTTGAACTCCTGGAACTCGGCCACCAGAGCAGCTAGCTCGGCATCCTCATGCGCCTGCTCGCTGGCCACTCCCCACAACTTGCGATACTGATCGAGAAACTGCTGGAACAGGCTGCGCGAGATCTGCTGGCCATTGGTGTTGAATACCGGATAGGTGGGATCGCTGATGGTCCGTGAGGCAATCTTCTCGTCGCTCTCTATGAAATCCGGCGAATCGGAGGTGGAGGTGGCGTTTCCACCATCGCCGCTTCCATTCCGATTTACATCGGTTTTGAAGCCATGCGTAAAGTTGTTCAGCTTCTTGGAGATGGCGCGCAGTGCATCCTGAAGATCTGCCGAGGACTTCCTTCGTGTCAGCTGCTTATTCGGGTTACTAATGAAGTTCTGGAAAAACTTCTCAACATCTAATTTCAATGAATTTCGTCGCGAATGTGCCTTGCCATTGGAATTGTGGACATCCTCCTCTTTGCCCGCCTCCTCCTCGGGATTTGCGCAAATGGACATGACATTCGCCACCGGCAGCACCTTATTCTCGGTCATGGGAGTGTTGCAAACGCTGGTGCGTCCAATAAACTGCGGATAGGAGTCGGTCTCGTCAAAGTTAATCGAAGCAATGCCCGACTCGGGGAGCTCCTTGCTCTGCATGCTCTTTATGCGCAACGGCAGGTGAGTGGGTCGCATGGATTTCGGTCTGGCAGGTGGCAAACCGCCTCCTTCTCCCGGCTGCTCCGGCGCATGCTCCTCCTCGGGAATGTGGGTAAAGATGAGCGACTTGTCGCGCTTTATCTTCCGCTTGGCATACTGAAAGGGCATGCCGCTCTGCGACAGCTGCGCCGCGCTCATCTGCAGATTCTGGGCGCGCTGTGCCTCGCCGACCAACTGACGGTACTGCATTTGCTCCAGGTAAACCACCAGCATCTGTACTCCATTTGGGATGTGGAAGTCACGATGGTTGGACACTTGCTCGGCAGCCGTGCGGATGTGCAGGGGATCTGTGAGCACCAAATGCTTGGTCACCATGTCGCTGAGTTGGGAGGCCACCACTCTAAAGGGGAAAATGCATATTAAAGAAGGTTTTTGTATACTCTAGCTAGACAAACTAACTTGTTGTGATAGAGAATGGCTCCCCCCAGGATCCCCTTGGTCTGCTGGCAGCTCTGCAGCGTTTGTATGGCCTCCAGGAAAATGTGACTGGCCGTCTGAAAGGGAAATCTCCGTTAATTCTATATCACATTCATAATTTTAACCACTCACCTTCGGCATTCGCAACCTGGGCACATTTTGAAACGTATTCCCATTTCGCTGCAGCATCGGCAGATATGTCTCGAAGATGTGGTACAGTTTCTCGCTGAGATTGCGGCGGTTCAGGGCGGGCGGTGCAGCATACTGGGCATACAGAGTCTGCACATCTCGGTGGAAGAATTTCAGCAGGGAACTCAGCAAATCGGCGCGATGTTCCAGCAGTTGATCCCCAATATTCCGATCGGTGCCAATGGCCTGGTGAATGAAATATATTATATTATTATTATTTTTATTAAGTGAAACTCAAGATATGATCTTACCAGGATAAAACGTCCAAACTCCTTGAGCACAAACTTGCCATTTTGGAGGGCCAGGATGCGGGGATTAAAGAAGCAATCTTTGAGGAAGTACGAGGTGCCCATAAGTTGTCCACATAGAGCCACTTTCTGGGAGTCGGAGACCCAGCTTGGATGGAAATACAGAACCGCCGATATGGGATCATCTGCTTCATCTGTCAGACACTCCGTGTCGTACACAAACACTATCATCGTCTCCCTGTAATAATGGATATGTAATGGATGAATAATTAAGAGGGTTTAATAGCTGGAAGTGTAGGATATATAAACCATAAAACGGTGAGAATAATTTGTGTTTTGCTATTGAACAATAAGAAAAATTTGCGTTTATTTTGTAATATTAAGCAGAATTTCGAAATTTATTCAGGTAATGATATAACTAGAGCTTTAACAAAACCGGTATGCAGGTGAGCACTTAGGAAAAATGTAGATCAATTTAAACTTGGTTGCTTAATAAGTTATTGTTCACTGCACTATGGGCAAAAAATTCGAAAGTGAGGCATTTTTAAATTTTTTTGTTCTTCAGTATTACATAAATGACCTTCTGTGGTTATTTACAATACTTAAAGGAACCTAAAATCCATTTTCAAAGAATTTTATTTGGCGTTTTTCGCTATTTTTTCCCTTAAGAAATTCGAAAGTTTGAAATAGGGTCACACGTTTACAAAAAGGGACGAAAAACTTTGTAGTTTTCACACCTCGATTTCTTTGGTTATTGTAAGCCAACCAAAAAAGTTTAAATATGGATACAAAGAGTGAAGGATTGTTAAATAAATTATAAACACTGAATGTTTATTATATGTGCTTTTTGTCCATTTGTTTGATGAGTTGTCGCTTAGTTTTTAGATGACAAATAAGAAATGTATTTTTGCTTTCTGTGGAGTGTAAGATGTGAGTATAGGAGAGTATAGGCAAGGTAAAAATAGGAAGTTATAAACAAAACAATTGCTAATCGAACCCTATCAATACTTTTTGCACGTTATACGTAAAACCTCCATGTTGTAGTTGGATTCGAGTTCTGTCACTACACATTGCTTAATGTTTGTATCGGCAACAACCGGCAACAAACCGCTGTGATGGAATTTGTTTTGCAAACTATGAACGGAATCGAATTAAGCGATAGTCAGCACACAATAGTCAAAAAAAAATTAAGCAGATTGTTGCCTTTTTTAGTCGTAATTTGCCAAAATGTCATAGAATAATAGACCGATTCAAGGAAGAACATTTCCTGCGGCTTTCGTCGAACATGAAAATTTCATTTTTGGAAAAGGGCTTGCCAAGCGACAAACCTGGTCGCAAATGCCTAACTTCTAATGAGGCAGGACCACGATTAAGGCGTAAGGTGGCATCTCAATTGGCGAAAGAAAAAGAAAATTCGATGCCATTAATTTGGCATGGTGCTTCTTTTTGGCAAAAAATATCAAACAAGAAGATACTTCAGTTTTGTTGCGAAAGGCGTTAAATATGAAATATTTATTAACAAATTCATTTTTTTTATATCCTTGCCTTTAAAAGTAAATATGCGGCGTTGGCGGTTGATGGAGACTTGGTCCAATTCAAAATTTAACAAAAACAGAAATTGTATTACAGTTACCAACACAAACAACATTTTCTTTAAATCCTTGCCTTCAAATGTATATCTGCGGCGTGGGCGTAGGATGAATATGTGGTCCGATTCAAAAAGCAACAAAAACCGAAATTACATCTTAGCCTTAAAAGTATATAACAAAAATTTTAGATTTGTATCTTTAAAACTGGAGTTTATGCCTCAAGGACTGAATATTTGCCCATAGTGCACTGTAAATTTTATTTCACAGAGTTTAAGAAACTTCTTCATTGATTTAAAATATAAAATAGGAGTTTAAGTAACCTTTCGGTCAGGATCACAGGCTTTTCTTTCTGATGCACATTCCGCCATCGCTTGTGGCCGGATTTACGCCAATCCCGAAACATTATTCCCGAATATAGGGGATTTGGGAGCTTCCAGTTCTAACGCTGCATCGTTGGCCCCTTATCACATTTAACAACCGACGATTCTGATAAGTCAACAAGCCAATATCGCCGCACAATGCCAACTGTCTGACTCTGATGTGGCCCAGCTGCCTGATACGAAGTGCGACATACTGTGATACTAGAGAGCGTGATCAGAATTCCGCTCACGAACAGGTGAGAAGTGAGGTGAAAGCTTCCGAGTATTTCGTGTTTCGTATTTCTATCACTGCGGTTGAGCGGGTGTTCGAGTGCCGCACTCTCAAACAATCTATGCATCGAACTGTTGGCCACTTCAATGCCAAAGGTATCGATTCCAGTTTCAGAGGGTAACAAAGTCAACAGAAAATATATCACGGTCTGTACTCAACACTACAGTTTGAGAGGCATTTTATATGACAATGCTATAAGATAAACTACTAAATAGTTCTTTTATATGAACCATTTGTAAGAAAAGCTTTTGATTATATCTAAATATTTAAGCAATTTAAGTCAAGGTTCTATTTAACAGCTTCGAAACCAGATCTAAGTATATTTTGAAAAACTGGGTTCAAATATTAAAACAAAGACATGATCTTTATAATAAAGTGTTATAAAATCTCTTTTGTATTTGATAATTTCACTTCGAATTTTAACATTTCACAGTTTATATTAATGTTCTATAAAATTTATCCGGCGGCAGTTTTTAGAACAGCAGGTGGTAGATGTTGAACTTGGTTTTGAATTTCCGACAGGCTATATTTGGCCACATATCCGTTTGGTCCGGCCTCATAGGTGACCAGCAGATACTTGGATCCTGGAAAGGGTTGTCCAAAAGTTCCTTTAACTAGAAGCGTCTCCGGAGCAATCTCCTCAACGGTCTCCTCACGCCCCGTTCCAGATACATCGATTCTACGAGATGAAAACCACTTGATTTTGTTCACCGATTATGATTCACAGTTTACCTTAGATAATAACTCTTTTCGGATGGAACTAAAATAACTCCGTTGTCGTTAATAGAAGGCACGAGTCCAGTAACCGAAGCAGTGGGTGCCGAAGTTACCAGACTCAGAGACAAAATCAATAGAACCTACATATATTTCATATTTTATTATTAAGCAGATTGCAATGCAAAGATCTCAGAGGAACTTACAGAGCTTAACAGTGTTCCAACCATGATGTTCTTTTGGAGGTTGCCTAAAGACTGACATTTTTAGATAGATGCAGCAGTTAACAAACAAAAGCAAAAGAATAACCCAATACAGGTCTAAAACTGGAATCGTTAATAAACACATATTATAAAGCGGTCTTGTATTGTAGGTATGTCGTGCGCTTTAATATTTAACGTTCAAAAATGATTAACATAATTTAGCAAACAAAATTCGTACATTACAGAGATTATCCAAGGGTGGTTTTCATGGCTATACCACTTAATTGTAAAGATATAATAGGTGGCGGAAGGTCCTTAATATTTCTAGGGTTTAATTCATCGATGGGCTGCTCGTCAAAAAGTTCAAGAACAGTCTCTTTTACTTTGTTCCTTAACACTTCATCCGGATATTCTTTTCTGTTAGAAAAATAGATTCTTTATCTCTATTACTTCTAACAAAATGGTTTTTTGGTATACCTGAGTGCGTACCACTGCGATTTCTGTTGAACACTACTAAATTCGACTTTCGGACCAAGAACGACGATTAAGAAGGCGACTAGAACCACGACGACAAGAGTTCGCACCTAAGGATATCACTTTCTTATCATTAAAAAGAAAAGTTAATTCTTTCCAAAGTAGACTACTCACTGCTATCAAAGTACGAGACATGGTGCACTATCTACAGTAGAACCGAGACTAAATATAATCTGAACAAACAAATGGGTGTGACACTAGGGAACTTGTTTCAAAAGTCATAAAATGTAAAGAGCTCATCGTTTTTATAGATTGAGTGTTTTTAAGAACCCAGATTGATTTCCTATATGGAAATTGAAAGAGCTATTTTATATAACACAACATAAAATCATATTAACTGGCATATCGAATTTGGTCTATAAATCAAAACGTATCAGCTGGTTATAAGTGATAATAAAGGCGAAATAGTTTACACATTATAAACTTTTATTTAAACAAACATTATATTTAAATTTCGTCTTAATTTCTGGATTCGTACCGAATTTATTAAAAATATTTACATAAAATCTCACAGTTGTATAATCCTATTTAAAACTTAATCCTAACCAGCGGCGGTTTTCAGGGCAGAGGGACTGAGAAAAAGCGGTGTTTGAGGAGGGGGCGTTGGTGGACCCTTGCCGAAGCTGTATTTAGCAACATATCCATTGGGACCAGCCTCGTAGGTGAGGACCAAGTTGGCCCCCTGATCCTCATAGGGCTGATTGATCACTCCACTGACTTGCAGATGACCGGCATCATTCTGTTTCACGGATTCCTGGCGAATAGTGCCACCCGGATGTTCGATTCTAAGGGGATAACTAATTAATGGCCCGTCTTTTGTAGAATTTGAATAAATCTACCTGAGAAAGTATTCCTGGTTGAGAGGTTCTAGTTGGAAGCCATTTGTGCGAATTTGGGGAACAATGGTGGGGGAATTTTGAGGTGCCGCATTGGTCGAATGAACGATGAGAATCGCCAAAAGCTAAATTTAATTATAATCAATATTTTTGCTTAATTCCAATTTGCGAATCTCCACAACTCACCGCGCACAAACTGCGAGACATGATGACCTGTCTATGGTTGAATGATAACTACCTGAACCTACCGACCGCTTGGTCATTTTCGAGCCCAAAACGAAGGCTGGTATAATTAAGTAGCAAACAAGTTTTGATTTTGACGATGAAGATACAAAAAAATCACACTTCTGCTTCACGGGAAACACTTCAGTCCACCTACTAATTCGGCATGTATTTTACAAATGATCGCAAAATTCCCATCCAATAAGGCAATTGAGCAGGGAATACAATAAAATCGACACATATGGCGAAAACCAGTTGGTAGTGGTAACCTTCGAAGTGACAATTAACTTGCTTCAAATTAATTTACATCATGCCTTCGAAAAAGCATAATCATGGATTCACAATTAAATTAAACACCTGGCCGGTTAAAAATTTCTATTGGGAGTTCCCAAGTCAATTTTTAACGGTTGCTACGTGAGATTCTAACGTTTTAGGCAACCAAAATGATAACGTATTAAATGACTAATAGGTTTTTGACCTTTGAAACTGCTGTCATTAAAAACATTTTAATTAAATGGATTAGTCACTAACTTCTTTACTATTATAAAGGTTAAATAACAATTAAAATTACTAGCGAAACTGAATAAACTTAAAATATAACAGTTTTTAAATAACATTTTAGATGGTATAAATTGAAATGAAAAAGTGATTAACTTTTGAAATCTATTGTATAACTTTTACTGAAATATTACATGTTATACTTAAAAAGATCGTTTATTAATTTTAATCACTTGAGATAAAATAAAATGATTAAACTTTATTTTTTAAGTGGAGATTTTTAACACTAATGATAGATTTTAAAAAATCATTTTCTGATTCCTGATAAATTATAACGTGTTTAAAATTGCAATACCTAAACATAAATTTCACTTTTGAAATACCGTTATTTATGAGGGGATTCCCTGGAAATTTCATATCCGTGTAGACGTGAGATAAGAACTTTATTTTTTTTTGGCAATAACATTAACAAAAGCTTATATTAAAAAACACACACACTAGTAAGGAAATTCAAATTTGAATTACCGATTTAACCGGTTTAGAAATCATGTGAACTTTGACATTTTATCAATTTCTCCGCCCGCAATCGATACTTATCTCTGTGCTCTTCTTCTCTTCACTTTCTGTGTATGTGAATGCAAGTTTAGTGGGCGAGGGGGTGGGCGTGGGTGGCGGCGGGGGCGGATGCTGCAGCTCAAAACAAACACAAAATACCCCCACATACACAGCGCGCCGCCCCCACACACATACACATGCACATCCGCATGAGCGATTTTATGTTTTTTGCACTATGTATAAAACCTTATCAATTGCACTTACTTTGAGGCCATGGTGTATTGCACTTTTCACCTCTCTTTGTTGGACTTTTATTGCACTTTATTTCTGCCTTATTTTATTCATATTAGTTTTTATTTTGTATTTTTCCTTGGAGAGAAACGAACGGCGCTGCCATACCTCACTGGCACTAAAAAACACCACAGCTTCTCGGTGCGGTATATTAGGGGTACTCTTTAATACCGGCCGTAACTTTAGTATATTTTGGTGGTATATTTAAAGAGGCCCGCCAGGGTCACTTTAAAAATGGCCGTCGATCAGTGAAGTTGTATACACTTTTTTCGTGTTCCGTGTTTTTCGCTTAATTTGATCGTTTATTTAAATGTTTTTATGAATTTTGGTGAGTTGAAAGGCTGACTAAAAGTCCGCTAAAATCGAATGCGTAAACAAGGATTCGAGGGTGTAAAGTTCAAGTGCCTAAAACAGTGTTCCAAAAAGCCAACCCCCGCATAGCGTCTCTCGCCTCCAGGCAACAACAACACACCCATAGAGACGCACTGGAAGCATAAAAAAACAGGTTTTCATTGTGTACAGACGTGTGTTACTACTTCCCTCTCGCTCTCGCGCGCTCTTTAATTTATGCGCATGCAAGCAGCAGCAACAACAACATAAGCAACAGCAACAAACCAACATAAGAAACAAGTAATACAAGAAAATAAATCATCGTGTGCGAGTGTGAGTGTCGCGTCTGTGTGCTGTAAACAGCAGCCACTTTGGTGGAAGCCAAAGCAAAAGAAGCTGAAGCAAGAAAAAAAGAGTTAGCCAGCTTAGAAGTGACGCGTAGCTACAGGTGAATATATCGAATCGGACTTGTTTTTCATGCGCGCGAGGCGAGGCAACAGTAAAGTGGAAAAAAACGGGTTTGATGCCCAAAAACGAGGAAAAAGAACTTCCAATCGATTAGCAGCCTAATCAATTTACCACTGAGCTGCAACGGTAAACGGCAAATGGATGTTGCATTTGCATACATACACATTTCCAGCGCGTGTTCCCAATTTCCAAAGTGCGTTTTCCCCACTCAAGTGGCCTGGAACTGGAACGCGTCCCACTTAACCCCACGGCGGTGCAGGCTGTCCAAATTAACCCTTACCCTTGCAAAACACCACCCACATTTGTGAGCTCAGTGCTTTTGTGAATGAAAAACTGAAAAACCGAAAAACTTGTCGCGCCATAATAACGCCTCTTTCAAAGATTCAGCTGAATCATCTAAATATAATAAACTGGTTCGTCTACACATGATTCACCAAACATCGGAAGTCCGGTGATAATTCCATCCTACAGACCATGTCTGTTCTGCTTTTTCCCTTTTTTTTATTGATAAGTGGAAAAAGTTGAAAAAGTGGAAAATAAGAAAAACAGAACAGAGCAATGAACCTCTGCCGATAGCGGTTAAACAAAAGAATTGATTATAATTCATAAAAAAATATAAAAATATATATGCATAGTGTCATTACATCAGAGCAGAGTCCAATCTCCATTAATCTTGCAGCCAGTCAGGCTCCAAAAGGCAACATCCACTACACGACACTCGAATCCACCTGTTGCCACTCGGTTCCACTTAATGAAAACGCCCACGGACCCAAACGGATTATACAGTGGGGCTTCTTGAAGTCTAACCAAAACATTAGACTAGTCTCAGATGGATTTCTCAACTGAAGAAATAAAAATACTTATTTTAAGCTGAAAAACTTATAAATCTTCCATTCTCATCCTTTTTTTTCTCCTTAAAACCGAAAGCTTAAATTTCAGTTCCTACTTTCATGGGAAAAATATTAAGAAACTGTTTTCCCATGTCGCGATAAGAAGTGCTTTTAACATGAAATTTTTACACCATAATAAGCTAAATGATTGGGATATCAAGCATCATCAATTTTGGTTAAGGAAATGTGGTGCTTAAGATGGTCTTTTAGTAAATGACCCCTAGATTGTCTTTAATATGGTTCGGATATCAGATCAATATGTATTATGAAATTATTTAAATCACTATTAATCATTGCTCTTAACATTTTATGAACGGCATTTTCATTTCGTAGTAAATGCAGTAATTTAACTCAACAGGGTTCCACTGTTTCTCATATATTTTCTACCGTGGGTTGCGGATTGTAAGCGGTGTATATCTAATAACTACACGCTAAAATCAATTTTGTATTGATCACGTCTGTTGTAAAAAACACAGCCAGTTTTTAGTTGTTTACTCTTTCACCCGAAAAGAAAGGTATCTCGATTTAACACGTTCTTGTCGGGCTTCCCACACGCAGGTCCACAAAAAAGAAGAAAATATGAGGTAGAAAGGGAACGAACGGCAACAAGTGTCAAACGTGACATACTTTTCACCCTTATCTTGATGAGGCTGTGTTATCTCGCAACTCTTCTTCAAAGCCCTGCTTATCAGCATGGGAGGTACACTACTATACAAACTATCCCAAAAATAGTGGCACACATTCGTAACTTGATCTCGAATATGAGCTCATTAATTTAACGCCAGACGGTCAGTTTTTTTCGGGCTGGCATAATTGTATCTGTATTTTTATGGGCTGCCAGAAGCGGAACGGACTTCCTGGCATTGAACCCGAGTGTGTGGCTTGTGAAATATGAGAACCCCACCACTAAAAAAAATGAAAACTTACGAAAACGCCGGTTCTATAATCGCCACCTCGAAACGCAAATACCCTTGAAAATGTTGCAAAAGAGGGGATTTGCTTCTATAAAAATTACTATCTTACCATATTCTTAAAACTAGTATATTTATATTCCCAAAATATCCCATAATAATGTTTACAAATCTTATTCTCCTTAAAGTCCCATTCCCTACCTTAAAGACCTTTCTATCTAACCCAAATAGAACCGAGTTTCCCAGATCTAGGGCACCCAAAAAAAGGTGTTAATTAGCTGTCTTTATACCTAGATGACTGATTATATTTCTGCTAGAGTTTCCACTAGTTCTCTAAGTACAACTAAAAGTAGTGTCCAACGGTCAGTCAGTACCATTCGCTGATTTCTCCGCTCAGTAAGCCGCAAAACAGAGTGATAAATTGTGCCGCTCAAGAGGGTATTCAAATGTAATTTATAATATTTATCATGCACTTTTATGGCATTTCTCATACGTGTTCTTGAGGCCAACCCCCATAATTTGAGGGCATTAAAGCGGCCAAGAGATGGGCCACAGGTCACTTGACCTGTGACTTAAAAACTCTGGCTGGCGGCTGAGCCGTGAAAAAACCTTCGCTTAGGAAAATGAAAGACGAAAAGTGATATGATACCTACCACCACGAATCATCATCCATCCGAATTCATTGAGCGAAACAAGACAACACAACAAGTAGTTGCCACCGACCTTCAATTGGCCAATAAAGCAATTTATCGGAGATCCCCGGCCGAACCGATCCGTCGGTAGGTAAAAGTTGTCCATGTGTAACCCACCGACTTGTTGGGTGCGTGAGAAACTATAACATTCGAGTGTTCGCTTGTCTTGAGAAAAAAAACCAAACCGAAAAACTGAAAACATGAAAACCTGAAAACCCGCATGGAAATTACGTGTGTGTGTGAATGAGGAAAACACACCTATACCTTAGCCCGAATGTCCGGTGTTCGCCGCGGGGAAAGCAAAGCAAAGAGAAAAAAAAGAAGTCAGTTATAGACCGTCAGCGGCACGTCCTGAAAATCGTAGCTGAACGCTGATTAGGAGGGAAATTGGCGGAAAAAACCGCACGTGATTCCCAACAAAAGCAGGAAAACCAGGCTGTCGGCATGAGTCATGCTCATGAAAAACATGACATGTCCGCCAGGACGCGGAATATTGGATTAGATTGGGTTGTATTGGTTATAATACAGTCAGGCTTGCCTTCCTGAAAACTATCATATTTGTCCTTTTGTTTTACCAAGATTAAGTTTATAATAAAAGGTTAAATAATAATTCCTAATATAACTTCCTGATATAAAAGATATCCTAAGCTAATAAAAGCGTATAAATCGAAAATATAAATACAACGTTTTTCTGAACATCTGTGTACCTTACGAACTGTTGTTTACCATTAAAAAAATGTTTGCATTAGCGCAAAAAAAAAATGGGAATTTGCAGAAATGGAAAACCAGAAAGTTTGATATTTTATTCATTCTCTAAATATTTTCTGGGTATCTGTACTCATTACCAATATATCTTAAAACCATACTGACTCAATACCACTTCTTATGGTTTAACCGAAATGTTAACATTTTTCCAATGAGTATTATTTGGAAATACAAATTTATTTCTAAAGGAAATGCTTCATAAATTTGATGGAATATTTAGTTACTCACCAATTTCCGGAATATATGATATGAGAACTTACAAAACTCCCATTACATTTTCAAAAGAAATAATATGTGATGCTCTAAATTATTTAAAACAAGACAGATATTTCAAAAGTTTCAAAAAAATAACTTGAACAACTCCTTTTTCATTTGAATAAGAAATAAAATGTTTATGCTAAAACTGCCCTAAAACAAGACTATTATTTCAAAACTCTTAGTACCTATTTTAAGACCCTATCTAGGGAGTTACAAAATTCAGTGGAGTTCAATGTTCGAGATGTAGAATTAAGTGTCCATAAAGATTGGACGATAAGCACTTTTACCCCTCTATACCCTATTTTCAACGAACTGCCGAGAGATTCTACCTAGGGAGGTTCTGCTGTAGGGAAACACAGGCAGACAGAGAGGGATATATCGAAAGAGGGAGAGAGAGGCGGTGGCGGGGGAGGCAGTAGTAAGAGTAAGTGCTGCTCAAACCCAAACCGCTCGGCAGTTCAGTTGCTCTCAAAGCGTGGGCGGTTGTTTTACGTTGTTTGCTTTTCGCATTTCATGCTCATTTCGGTGTTCAGTGCTCATTGAGTCTAGCCCACGTTCGGTTCGGTTGCTTCGGTTCGCTGCCTAAACTCAAAATACAAAACACAAACGGAATTCAAAACAATAAACACCCGAAAAGCCGGAAAGCGAAAAGAAAGTGTGCAGAATTCACAAGTAGCCGTTGTATAAGTGGATTTAATTATCTCAAGATTCGGTAATAAAAGCAGAAGATGGAAGACAAAGGGGAAATCCAATGATAAACAAACAAATTGATGGCGGTGGTCATAAACAAATTTTTATGCGTTTCAAATCTACCTACGTGCCTTTTTGCCAACTTACATATTTTGTTGAGTTTGATTAGTTTAAAGTTTACCGATTATAAAGCGGTCGAGATGTGATATACTACCAAGAGGCGCCGTCGCGGTTTACTAAAAAAATTCTAATAATTTTCTAACACACTTTTCCCATCCGTGTCGTCAATTTCAGGTTTTGCGTTTTCCTTTTTGCCGCCAGCAGCAGCTAATTGCATTAAAATAAAACCAACAAGTTTGGTTTGGTTGGGTGAAAATTATTGTGTCGCTGCCGCAGATGCAGCACAATAACACCCAGTAATCAGCACAACTATCGGCGACAATGGCAGACATTGGACATCAGAATGCAGCGAGGCGTCAGTGATTAAAACCAGTCGGAGAGGCCAGCCAGCCAGCAAGTCAGCCAGCCCCATTGGCACCACCAGCTGAAAAAAACAGAGAGATCAGAAAAGCCGCTGAATCATCAGAACTCGGAGGAGTGGAGCAGAGTACTAGTTTCGAGACACCAAGATGAGCTCCAAGAGCAGACCTTCAACGGCGATGCCAATTAGTATTAGTAGCTTGCAAGCGATATCTATAAGCCTGCTGATCACCTGTGCCGGACTGACGATCGTGGCAGGTTGGATGCCCGACGTACGACCCGATTTGCAAACGAGTATGTATAGTAGTATTAAACCCCTTTTACAGCCCCTCCTCAATCCATCCATCCATCTATCTAACTATTTGTTTATTTGTGTCATTTGTTTGGTTTTTGCCTCTGTTTCTGCTGCTGCCTTACTGCTCTTATTTGTTGCTGGTTTATCAATGACAAGCTCTGATTTTCCAAGCTGCTTATCAGGCGGAATTTGCGCAAAGCCAGCAGCAAATTAGCATTTCCTCTCAAGCAATTTCTGTTTAAAAATTATGCATGAAATTGTAGTAGTTTTACAAGTTATATAACCAAAAAAAGTTAATAACATTGAATTTTTATTTTCTCTTTTTTGTAGAACAAGATAAAGTCTTGGCCCATTTTACTGGCAACGCGACGGACTATTTTAAGATTTTGGACCACAACGATGAATATGTTCTAGTTGGTGCCAAGTGAGTAGAATTTCTTTTATATTTACAATCGATCCATCCGCGATACCTTTGATTTCTGGCAAACAATAAAAAGTTCCCGCTACTACCTGTGCGCAAATAAACTTGGCACGAACACAGGTTTAAATATTTACAAGAGGGAACGTTATAGTCGGATGCCCCGACTATCAGATACCCGTTACTCAGGTAAAGGGAGTGCGAGGGAGATGGAGATAGAGAAAGAAAACGTTGATCACGCATAACTTTTTAACGAATGGTCCGATTTGAAAAATTTCTTCTACATTTCGATAGGTATTGATAAACACAATAAAACTGCATTTTTACTTTTCCAAAATATTAAAATTTTTAAAATCGTATATAAGCGATGGTGGGCGTTAGAGGGGGCGTGGCACCATTTTGAAACAAACTTGCGCTGCGTAGGAATTCCTAGAATCTGCATGCAAAATGCCAATCTTCTAGCTTCTATAGTTTCCGAGATCTCAGCGTTCATACGGACAGACGGACAGACAGACAGACAGACAGACAGACAGACAGACGGACAGACGGACAGACGGACAGACGGACATGGCTAGATCGACTCGGCTAGTGATCCTGATCAAGAATATATATACTTTATGGGGTCGGAAACGCTTCCTTCTACCTGTTACATACTTTTGCACGAATACAATATACCCTTTTACTCTACGAGTAACGGGTATAATAAATATTTATAAAAACACAATACCAAAGCGTTCGATTCGCGGAATAATTAACGCGCCATTCGTGTTACTTACTCTCCTGCTTTATTGGCTGTTCGACTTGATATTCGATTTTCGATTAGTGGCAAGTGCAAATCTAGCATTTCTCATTCCCTTTTCCGGGAAGTCGAAGTGATTTGGCATTGACCAGATACAGAGGGGTCTGGAATCAGTACCGCCATATAATAATTATATACCCCATGAGTCAATAAGTCAATCGGTACATTCTATCACGTTTGCCCTAAAGTCTGGCGAACATTTATGGATGGGATATATTATATTTTTATATAAAATACATTATCGATAGGGTCTTATAAATATGCATTTCATTTAATAACTACCCAGCGATAGTATTCACATATGATGTGAGAAGTTTGCAACCTACTATTGCAAACTGACTAATGGTCAGTTATCGGCGATCTGAAATGGACCGACAAATAGAAACCAGCTTTCGATATATCATATTTTGCCTGCGCCCCAGACTTGGTGGTGCCATAAACAACATAACATAGCAACAAATTAGCAGCCACAATAATTAGCCACTTAATGCACAGAATTATACAATTGTATACAAGTTCTAATTATTTGCACAAAGGCAACCTTGGGATATGATTGTCGGCGGGGCGTACAAAACAGCTGCGGTCAAAATAATAGCAATATGGTCTTGAAAAGTCTCTAATGAAAAATAAAACACACGGTTTTAGCGCTAATGAAAAACATGTTGTTTATTAATTGTAAAACTTGTTTATAGATCGTAATGTTTACCTAAAGCGTTTCTGGCCACCCTGCCTTTTAATTGTATATTGCCTTCCATCTCTGAAAAATATTTCATTTTTATACATGTGTGAAAAACCTAAAGGTTAAATGTTAGTATTTAAAGCAATAAAGGTTATATCCTCTGTTAGTTTTCCAAGAGAATATCTATTTAAGGGTATTACAAATTAAAATTAAAAAATTTTAATATTAAAAAATATTATTTTAAAAATAATAATTAATTTGAAACTATTATTTTAACCTCCACTGTTCGGGCAAACATTTGTGTGTTCCTGGCACGAAGCTCTCAGGTCGCTGCTATTTGTTTTGTCGTTTATTTTTGGTCCCCGTACTTGGCTGGCTTCCATTCCACATTTTGGGCAGGCACACGCCATCGGCGAATTAATTCCCGCATTTGTTAATTCAATTGTTCTCCATCTCGATTCGCAGGGACGTCATCTACAATGTGAGCCTAAATGGCCTGAAGGAGATTGTGCGTCTGGAGTGGCACAGCACGGATGCCGATCGGGAGTTGTGTGCCCTGAAAGGAAAGGCCGATTGGGACTGCCACAACTACCTGCGCGTTTTTGCGATGCGCTCGAATGGCGAAATGCTGCTCTGCGGCACCAATTCGTACAAGCCGCGCTGTCGTCATTACACGCCGGTGGAGGTGTCATCGGAGGAGATTGCCTCCGCTGGCCACGCCCACGCCATGCGCTACGAAGTCAGCCGCGATGTGGAGGCCCAGGGCCTGTGCCCTTACAGCCCCGCCCACAACAGCACCTACGCCTTCGCCGAGGGCCAGTTGTACAGCGCCACCGTGGCGGACTTCTCGGGCGGAGATCCCCTTATCTACAGGGAGAACCTGCGCACCGAACAGTATGATCTCAAGCAACTGAACCAGCCGGACTTTGTCGGCGCCATCGAGAGGAACGGCTACGTGCTGTTCTTCTTTCGCGAACTGTCCATGGAGTTTATGAACTTTGGCAAGGCCGTGTATTCGCGAGTAGCCAGGGTTTGCAAGAACGACCGCGGAGGACCCTATAGCCACGGCAAGAGCTGGACGTCCTTCCTGAAGGCCCGCCTGAACTGCTCGGTGCCCGGCGAGTTTCCTTTCTACTTTGACGAGATCCGTAAGTGAATTTATGAGTGAATTTTTTTATTTAAGTACTTTCTTCATGTTTTCTACATTATTTCTACAAGTTATCTACACATTATTCGTATACTAATGCAATCATTGAAAATTATCAGTAAATTTCTTTATTTACGTATATTCTACATGTTATCTACATTATTTCTACGTGTTATCTACAAACTTTATACATGTTATCTACATATTAATTGTATACCCATGCTAATCATATACCCTTTTACAGAGGCCATTAGTCCGATTGTGGAGAGCGGCTCCAAGTCGCTGGTTTATGCCGTCTTTACCACCTCTGTGAATGCCATTCCGGGATCGGCAGTCTGTGCCTTCAACGTGGACGATATACTGGCCGCCTTTGATGGAGAATTCAAGTCGCAGAAGGATTCATCGTCTCATTGGCTGCCAGTGGAGCGGGACCAAGTGCCAAAGCCACGCCCAGGAAAGTGCGTAGAGGACTCAAGAACCCTGTCCAGCGTAGGAGTGAACTTCATTAAAACCCACCCGCTGATGGAGGACTCTGTGCCCGCGGTGCACGGTCGTCCGCTGCTCACCAAGGTGAATCTGCACCACCGACTTACGGCCATCGCAGTGCATCCGCAGGTTAAGTCGCTAAGCGGCGCCTACTACGATGTGATATACAGTGGAACCGATGATGGAAAGGTTACCAAGTTTATTAATGTACTGAGCACCCATCCGAACTCAACGGTGGATCGCCTCAAGACGGTGGTCATATCGGAGATGCAGGTTCTGCCGCTGGGCACGCCAGTTAGGGAGCTGGTCATATCCACTTCGAAGAACTCGCTGGTGGTGGTCAGTGATGGCAGCCTGGTCAGCGTGCCCCTGCACCACTGCACCCATATTGTGGACTGCCTGGGCTGCCTGAGCCTGCAGGATCCCATCTGCGCCTGGGACTTGCAGACGCACGAGTGCAAGAACCTGGCTACCAGTCAGCATAAGTTCGGCACGAAGACCTACCTGCAGAGCCTGAACAGCACCAAGAAAGCTGCCGCCCAGCTGTGTCCCCATATTCCACGTGATGGTCCTGGTTCGGAGACTCTAAGCTTTGTTACCATCTCTCCACCGCCGACTGAGGAGCAGAAACTCTTGTACTCCAATGTGGCTGCCTCGCAGGGCGATCAGCCGAGCTTGGAACAGCAGCCAACTGGTGGCGATGACTTTGGACTGAACAAGATCGTACTTACGTCAATGGATCCCGACGATATTATGCCGAATTTAAATGGTTAGTACTAATCACTTTTGATTCTGTTATTGGTGATTCTAATGATTGGTTTCCCCGTCGCAGATCCCCAGAAATCCACAGCCAGTGTCGATGAAATCAAGCAGGCTTCATCACCGAACTTTATGCTGCTCACAATTGTGGTTTTCATTACCTTTTTGATCGGCGGCAGTGCGGGAGTATTCTGTGTCAAGGCCAAGAGCCGCCTGATGGAGGCCCAAATGGATGACAGTCACCGCAATCATTTCGGCAAGCCAATGTAAGTTGCTCTTCTAGCAAAGTGTATCTAGAAAATACTAATTAATTGTTTCACACGCAGACAATTCAAGCATCAAAATACCGGCAAGGATATCAATCTATTAATGGGCTCAAATGCCTACACAACCACACAGAAAACACCCAATCTGGATCTGGAAAAGGATCGCAGTCACGAGTGCAAAAACTCAACGGAACATTTGGAAAAGGAGTTGCCCTGCAAGACGTCAACGCTGACGAAAGTGAAACGCACTTACATCTAGTGAGCTTGCCAGGGCAGCCAATTGCAAAATTAGTCGAATTTCTATACTCTAAAACATATTTTCGTTGTTTATGTTGCTGTTAGTTATAGTAACCCCCCACCCATGTCCCGCGAACGAAGTAGACGACAGTGTTTCGGATGCGTTTGAAACGCGTCTGAAGAGTAGGGCGCAGAAGCTGTTGCATCTTTTTTTACTTAGCACGTATTGTAATTTAATTTGATGTAAAATTCGTAGTAAGTTTAGTTTGTTTGGCAAAATTTAGTTAAATCTATTGACAACATGGTGTGCGGGCTGCCCTAGCCATGGGCCATCTGAAGCATTCCGCATTCCCCTGACGTCGACCTTAGCTGTCCAATATTGGAGTGCCCGGCTCTTGGCCAAGGCAGCCCGAATGTGTCGCGCCCTTATGTGTACTCTAAATGTATAATCTTTAAGTGCAAATATTAGAGCTGTATAAATTTACCCACATATCATACATACCGAAATCGAACTTGAATATCCCAGACCCACAGCCCCAATTATTTCTCGAAATTCAATCGAATATTCTACAAGTATTTTGTTAGACTGAATGATTAATTTTTCTATATGAGTTTGTTTGTGGAGAACTAACCGAATGCGACATAGACTTTAAAGCTCTATGCTTTGTGGCTAACAAAAGCGTAAAATTGTATCTAACATAAGCTCAATAAGGAATTGAACATAGAATGTAATTAAAAGTACGAACTAGGCTAAGAAACGAACAAAACTTCTATGAGGCTGTTTGAAATGAACTGACTCCGCAGCCCCACATCATCATCATCATCATCATGATGATGATGAAAGCACGCACAACAAAACGGAAATAAATATACATCTGCAACAACAGCAAGCCTTATAAATAGTATAAAACCGTGTCGAATCTAGGCCTTAACGCTAAACCTGTAAGCTTTGCATGAAAAATAATGAGCTTGGCAATGAAAGAAATCAGCATTTTAATATTTTTATGTTTATATTTAAGCTGTTGTCCGTCCCACTGAAGAAGTTGCATAATACAATGTGTACAATGGCAATTTTAATTTAAAACGTGTAAAATGCAATTTTCATCGTAATTAATATATATTTTTATACGCATGTCTAAGCCTAATTGTCAAAATCTAATCGTAAGAAAGTCTTCAAAATGAAAACAAGAGAAAAAATCCCAAAAAAAGATACACATAAAATATTTTTAAATTCTACAAAAAAAGTAACATAAAGATAAAATTCTCATATTGTGATAGATTTTATTGAAATTTTATAATGATGAAATGATATGCCTTTTGGTTGAAAAACAATGATATATGACGAGAGAGTCTGATTGCATGCATGATAATATTGTGTAGGAAAGAGGGTCTTCCGCTCGGAGGTCCATAAACCAGAGAACCCGCTAAGGTGTTTAGTTTTTATTACTGTGTATGTCTTGTATTGTGTATATTGTTGTATACATCCGATAAGCAATTCAAAAATCTAATAAAGTCGTAATTTTTTCATAGGTCAAGGTGTTTTTAATGGGGGAGTAGGAATGTTAATCATTCCCTAAAAAACTGACTGTATAATTCTTTAAATAATGAAATATTTTTAATCTATTTAATTCTATTTTATATTAAATTTTCTGAATCTAATATAACCCGATTTTATAATATAGCATTATAGCAAAGCTCAGTTCAAAAAATTTTAATCGGCGTTGTTCGCGCCATATTTAATCGATAACTTTAGAGGCGGTTGCACGGAGTATTGATTGCGGGATTTTGGCAACATTATCCCACGGTCACACATTACCACAAATCGAATCGGCGTGTTGCACATTTCTCTGTTTAACTAAGTAAAAGACCAAACCGCGGTTATATAACAAGATGAACAGCCTGAGGACAGCCACCATGCGATTCGCCAGCCTGGCCAGCTCCAGTGCCGGTGCCCTGGGCAAGCGGGACTTCACCCGCAGCCTGTGGCACATGACCAAAAAGCCGGTGGCCGCCGGAGGAAGCGATCATGTAACCGTTCTGAATCTCCACAAGCCGAGCATCAACTGCACGTGCGGCTGCAATGTGCACACCAAATGTGAGTCTTTATCTCATAAGAGACGGTCCATGCCGCCGCCGCTTACATAACCTCAAACGTGGGGTGACGAAATGTAGATTTAAACACTGAAAATGTATCCTTTTCCCCCAGGTGAGCGGGAACTGGTGGAGTTCCTCACCGAAGAGATCGTGGCGGAGCGCAAGGTGCAGAAGGGCAAGTCGGTGCCCAGCACTTTGGACGGATTCGCCGTGAAACTAACTGGCGCAGATGTGGAGCTCACCAAGCAGACGGACAAGGAGAAGGTGGTCGTCAGCTTCAATGTGAACCACTCTGTGGACAGCGAGGAGGAGCCGGAGATCAACCCCAATGCCGACAAGCCGGAGCTCGGGGAGATGCGGAGCAAGCCGCAATTCGAGGTGGACATCATCAAGGGCAACTCCACGCTGTCCTTCACCTGCACCTTCCTCCAAGGAGAAGCTCAGGAGGGCGAGTACAGTGAGTCTTTAGGATTGAGTCTTATATCATACATGAATAACCCTTGTTTTCCCCTCCAGACGACGTCTTCTCCATCGATGAAATGGCCATCTTCGAGGGCGAATGGAACGATAAAGTCTATGCCGTCGCCGGCGACGTGCTCGATGGCTACTTGTACGACTTGCTGATCAATCTGCTGGAGGAGAAGGGCATCAGCCAGGAGTTCGCCGAGAAACTCTCTGATTTGGCCACCGCCCATGAGCACACCTCCTACATTGGTCTGCTGGAAAAGCTCTCCAAATTCACTGCCGGCGGCAAGTGAACGTTCGTTCGTCCCATCCTAATCTTAAAGCATAAAGTTGTGTAGGTTTTTAAGTTTCTATTGTCTGCTGCCGCAGTTTCTTCACTCAAAAACAGTTTTGATTAGTTGTGTTTTTCGGTTTGGCTGCGGCAGTTAACTTAGTTTTTAGGCCAGCAAACATTTATACATGTTTCAGAAAAGAGTGGTCAAAGCAAGTGCCAATTGTCTGCCCATTTCGGTGCTTGCTTTCGGTTGAATTTCATAAATGCAGCGGTTATTACTCAAATGTGGAATGGATTTTCTATTGTAATAAACTAATCAACCACTTTTAAATCAAGTTAACTTTTAGTAGGGTTTTTTATTATTTATTGGAAGTGCCAAAGACTTCTTTTAAATTAGAAGGTCCTTGAATATGGCCTGGGTTCGTAGTCTCCTGGGCGATGTCCTCCCCATTCCTCGTGGTTTTTGCAGGCGGCACAGATGACCAGAGCGAGGAGCACAAGAATTGGTAGCAGTTGCATCTTGATGGTTGGAAAATAAGCTTTGAATTGTGCTGTTGAAGCTAAGGATGCTCCTCTTTATAGGTGAGATTGCCTCTGATTATGATCATCAAGTGATTTCCCAAGGGGGAATTACTCCTGTCTGTTTGTGCTAGATTGGGATTTACATTTAACAGATAACAGAGAAATTAAATATGTACAGCATCAATATTTCCTCATTTAGTTACACAGTATTTAGTATATTAATATAACACTTTATTGCATTTATGCACAGTAAGGAGGACTCCGGCTTTAACGTATTCCTGCGCTTTTAAGAATACTTTTGAGGAAGTCAAAACCGGAGACCACCTGAAGATAACACTTTTTAGCTGGCTAGTTGAACTTAGTTGTAAGAAGACATTCACTACATAATTTATATAAGATTTAGGTTGAGCCGAGGGCTGAAACAAAGCTGCTCCTTGAACGTGGTCATCTCAGGAGACTCCTAGGCTGTGCCACCTCTCTGGTGGCGGCGCTGATGACCGATGAGACGACAGCTGGGCGCCTGTTCCTGGCCAATTGTGGAATCGAGGCCGTAGCCAGGATGCTGGAGTGGCGTTACGGGTCAACTTTTGCTCTTCGGCTGCGGCTTTGCGCCCGAACTGCTGGCATTGTCGTACTCTGAACCCGTGGAGTACTCCGTGCCCACCTCCCGCAACTCGATCTTCTGCTCCCGCATGGCGCGCTGGGGGTCAAAGGTTGGGTTAACCCCGTTCGAGGATGATGAAACCTTCGCCTTACCTTGACGCACTCCTGATAGACCCTGAAAATCGGCGCACAGCCCGAGTCATCCGTCTGTCCCTTGAGGAAGCCCTCCGTGAACCAGCTGTTGAAGCAGGCATCGTACTGCTTCTTCAGCTCGTTGCAATCCTCGCCAATGCTGTTCATTTGTAGGGCCGAGTTCTTTGATTTTCAGTTATAATTTGTCTATTGAATAATAAGCCGAAAAAATGTGCGGATGGTTTGTGCAAAGGTCATACTAAAGATAAGGCTATCAGAGATGTGCGCAGCAGCATATCGATAAAAGCTTCGTTGAAGTTAAACTGGCAATCGAAATTTGAATCATGCTTTTTAGTTAAGGCACTTGATTTACTTAAATAAAATATAATCTGGCAGTTTTGTAATTAAATCAATCAGTTGGTCATGGTCTTTATATTGTAAACCATCAAAGTGCTACGAACTTGTTCAGTTTACGTGCGTTTCAAGGTTTGCGCCGTATTTTCTTGCTTCTAGTGAGGTGAAAATTTGAGGTCAACTCTTGCCCTTCTTCTGCTGCTTTTCACCGGCACTGTTGGCATTGTCTTCATCGGAACTGGTCTCGTAGATGGGATCTATCTCCCGCAAATTGATCTTCTTCTCTTTAATGGCGCGCTGAGAAATATATAGTTTAGTCAAATCATAACCATGGTTAAAAAGCCATAAGTTACCTTGACGCACTCCTGATAGACCCGGAAAATCGGCGCGCACGCTGAGTCATCCGTTTGACCTTTTAGGAACCGCTCGGAAAACCAGCTGTTGAAACAGGCGTCGTACTGCTGCTTCAGCTCGTTGCAATCGTCGCCCACGCTGCTCATTTGTATGTGGAGTTTATCTCTACAAATTTAATTTATAATTTGCCTATTAAATAAGAGTTCCGAAAAAAAAATGTGACAAAGGTCCGTGGAACGGTACTACTGAAGAAAAGGTTTCAGAGATGTGAGCAAACAGCATATCGATATCAGGTGTTTTGGAAGAAACCGAAGCTGGTTATCGAAATTCAAATCTTGCAATTCTTCATATCAAGAGAATTCAATGTGATACATTATAATCCAATAATTACAAACCCCAGATTAAATCAACTAATTTTCTTTCTCTTGTTTTTAAGGTTTTTTCAGTTTTGGGTTCATACAAAATGTAGTTATCAGTAGTATCATTAACGTAATGAGCGCTAGAACGAATTCATGTGGGACTTGGCTACAGCAACATGCAATGTCGACGGATGATGGAACCAGACCTCCGATCCAGTGGGAAACCGAATCGGAGGCCTGACCGCACTTAACCCCGCGAGTTGTCCATGGGCATTCCATTTTCAATAGTCCAAGTGCTACGAATTTGTTCTGTTTTCTGTTTGTTTGCTGGTGTTTAAGCTACGCTCGCTGTAGATTGGGCTGAGAGGAATCGCCTGACGTCTACTCCTCGTCGATGGTCTGGACTTGTTGCTGTCTATCTTGGTTGTCTCGCCTATCCTGGTTGTTCTTGTTGTGGTGCCCGCGCTGGTTGCGGTTGCGGTTGTTGCGATTATCGCGTCGCTGGCCACCCCAGTTGCCGCCCTGGTTGCGGTTGTAGCCGCGATCGCCGCGGTTGCCCATGTTGCCGCGCTGGAAGAAGTTGCCCTGCTTCATGTCGAACACCTTCTCGTTGACGTCCACCAGATTGGTCACCTTGTCGACGAACTGCATGGCCAGAGCCTGCAGGCGCGAGGGCTCCGAACGGTGCATGACCACCGTTTCCGAGGGATCGTCCAGGCTGGCCATCAGCTCCTCGTTGATGATCATCTTGCTGATGATCGAGTGCACCTTCGGCACGGGCAGCTCGTACATCTGCGCCAGCGAGGGAATGCTGATCGAGGTGTAGACGTTCGAGTAGGTGAACAGGTAGGTGCGCAGCGACTCCTCCTTGATGAACTTGGTCAGCATCTCGCGCACGCGATCGGACTCGTAGAACAGGTCCCACACCTTGGTGTTCATCTTCTTGTTGACGATGAAGTTGGCGCACGCCTGCCAGTTCCCACAGCGCATAGCCTTGGCGGCGGCCACGACATGCTCGCGCATGGACTCCGGGGGACCCACGAGCGACTGACGCTCCGAGGAGCGCAGCTGCTGGTAGAACGTCTTGCTGATCATGCGGCGGCGGGCGTCGAACTCGTGGGCGGCGATGTAGGGAATCTCCAGCAGCATGGCGGACACCAGGTAGACGCACTCGAGGAGCTCCAGGTTGATGTGCATGTGGAATGGCATCTGGCGCTGCTTCTCGATCTTCTCCTGCTCGGCGGAGCGCTCGTGCTGCCGCTGGGGCAGCAGACCCTGGGCGAGCAGCTCCTTGGGCTTGCCGGTGACCATCAGGTCGACCAGGCAGTGGTGGGCATCCTTTACGTTCTCCTGGCGGAAGGCGCAGAGACCGAGGTTGGCCATCATGCGGTTGTACAGGATGCGGGTGGCGGGATCGGCGGCATCGATGTTGTCCTGCAGGTGGGACATTAGCACGAGGTCGCGTGCCTGGAACCAATTGTCGTGCATGGCGTGGTGATAAATGTGCGCTAGGATGGCCCGCGTGCGGATGCGATCCGTGTCGTCCTTGGCGTAGATGAACTTGCACAGCTTGTCCATCACGTCCACGGAGGTGGCGGTGGCGGCCGGCAGCTCGCCGCGCTTCTTCTTCAGCACCTCGGGATCGAACTTGTAGTACAGATGCTCGATCTTGCGCAAATAGATGCGGCAGCGCTCGTTGTTGGTGCCCGAGCGCTCGAAGTACTGCAGCACCAGCTCGATGGTCTTGACCACGTTGATCTCGTCCTTCAGCCGGGACACGTAGTCGTTGGAATGCGGGTCGCACTCCTTCAGCAGCTTCACAAACTCATCATCCAGTCGCTCCACGGCGGCTAGAGGGCAACCACGCACGTAGAAGGGCGCGGCGACATACTCCTCATGCTCCTCGGCGACGCTTTCGCTCATGATGATGTCGGGATTGGCCAGGAGCAACTTCATCATGCTCTGCATGACCTCCAGCAGCAAAGCCCAGTGCTCCAGCTTCATGGGCTCTGAGATCTTCTGGTTGTAGTCGTAAATGGCCGAAATAATATTAAAATGGATCTTCACGGAGACGGCGGTGCCCAGGTTGTGCTGGTCGGAGATGTCGCGCAGCTCGAACAGCAGGTCGATCTGCAGGCGACGATCGGTGCGCTTCTTCCCGCGCGCCGACATGATCTCGAGGAGCTTGGCCAGCACCAGCGGGACATCGATCTCGGCGTCCTTCTCGAACATCTTGGGCTTCTCCACGACATGACCCTTGACCACGGTCTCCCACTCGCCGTCCTCGTCGTCCTCGGCGCGCTTGCGGATCTTGGTCTTCTGCTCCTTGCGCTTGTCCTTGCGCTTGTCGTCGTCCTTGTCCTCCTTCTCGGTGGTCCGCTTAAGGAAGCGCTCGCGCATGTTCTGGTACTGGTTCTCGTCGTCGGAGGACTCGGTCTCCGACTCGGAGTCCGAGTCCCAGTCGATGGAGTCATCCGAGTCGTCGTCGTCGGCGGGCGCAGCCTTAGTTGGCGCCAGTTTCGCCGTTTTCGGCACAGCCTCCGTGGGCTCCCGCTTGACTCCCGCATCGCTATCGTCGCCAGCATCGCCTCCATCGCTATCCAAAGCCACCACCTCGTCCTCGGCCTCGCTCTCCTGGTCGGGAGCCTCGCGGAAACGCGACAGATCGTCCTCGAAGTCCTTGATGTACTTGCGCACCTTCTGGCGCAGCGTGCCCAGCGACTTGGAGTTGTTCTTGGACAGGTTCTTCCTTCCCTCGCGATCCTCCCACACCTCGTTGATGAAGTCCTCCAGCTCGGCGAGGCAGCGGATGTAGAAGCGCGGCGTGATGCCGTTCTCCTCCTTCGAGATTACGGGCAGCGCCTTCTGGTAGGCCCGCGTCAGATCCTCGAAGCTGGACAGCGTATTCGGTATGTCCTTGATCTTCTTGTGGTTGCGGATCGTCTTGATGATGCTGGTGAGGTTCTCGTAGCGCTTCTCCTTGGTGGAGCGCACCACGCGCTTCACCTCCTCCTCATCGTCGCTGAATTGCTGTGGGTTATTAAGAAATAATCAGGATTAGCTAAGGATTCCCTTTGGTTTTTATTCGCTACTCACGAAGGCGCTGGCTTTGTTGAAGTTGGTCGCTTGGATCTCCTCCTCGCTGGACTCGGACTCCGAGTCGGACCCGTTGGCAAAGAAACGCGACATCTTCGTTGACTTTCTACGCGGCCGTTTGTCTGCGCCTGGAATTGAAGATTCAGATTTAATAAATTTATTCGGGCCACATAAGTTTTTGCCTTTGTTGAGGTTATGTTTGAGCGGCCAACATGGCGTTTTGCAAAAACTTCTGCCAATCGTTTCCGCCTGCTTATGGCTGGTTTCGCTTGATGGCTCTCGAGAAATTGATTCACTGGCTTTTCTTTTGTGTGTTTACCACCGCCGGGCGCTCAATATTTCACAATAAACTTACTATTTTTACAGCAAAACTAAACGATGTCGAATGCACAAGACATCAAAAAGAGAGACTAGAGATGGGCGATGTTTGCATGTGTTTGCGTTGCCGATGAATATTGTGGGAAGTCACGGGGCGGGGTATAAAATTTGATTATTTTATAATTATTAACAGCCGTATATTTCAAGAAACAAATGCCCTTATTTTAAACAGACATTTCACAAGTTAGAATATTCACTTTTTTGACTTTTGTATAATTTAAGTGAGCGCTTCTAATGTGACATGAATGTCACCCATCACTAAGCGAGTCACTGTCATCTCTGAAAGAGAGAGCGTGCAAATATCGATAACGTAAAGCCGGTAAGTCCAGCGATATATTGATGGGACAATAGAATTGAGCGGTAAATTTAAATTTTGGATTGCAAAACTGAATAATAAATAGAACTAGGAATCTAAGTAACTAAATAGTATTAAAATATTAGACAAAAAAAAAGAGATCATATTTAACATTTCCATGGTATCCATGCAACATGTGACAAAATGTGACTGCGTCTGCGCGCAAAATTGCCGGCATTTCAGAATGAAACCAATCTCCGGATCAATTGTGTGCGTGTGAATGCTTTTGGCCCCAAAACTGCCAGGCAGACGGCAAACCAAATCAAACGTTTTCGCGCGCGCCACCAAGTCGCATGCGTTCTTTGCCGACGGAAAGTTCAAGTTCAAAAACGGATTTTTTCGGATGTGCTGTGTGTTTTTGGCACCGCCGACGCCAATATCCGGGACTATAGCGTTTCAAGTGCTTTTTTCGCCCGCTAAAGAGAATTCAATAAATTTTAATTTAAATTTAAATTCTTCCCGTGTGTGTTGTTGTGTGCCATTCTGCGGGAGTGTAAACACAAATTTTGCCCAAGTGGCATGTGCTTCTCTTATCCATATCCACATCCACATCCTGTTTAATGAGCTTCCCAAATGCGATGCCTGGAATCGCTTAAAAACACGGAAACCACTTTAACGCAAATGTAAGCACAAGCATAATAAATAATAACTGCAGATTGATGTAAATGTGTTTATCTGCGGTGTCGGAAATGGCAAATTAAAAATTGATCGGTTAATCTGGCGTAATCTTTCTGGCTTTTTGACAGCTGACATTCGAGAGGAGGGCATATGGCCGCTTTGCAAACCCGAAAAATTGATGGGAATTCCATAAATTCCCTGATGTACGCCCACCCGACATTTGAATGTGAAAAGCCCGTGAAAAAGTACGCTTTTCCGGCCCTTGACTCCTCCTAAAACTGCAGTGGCACTCGTAAATCGTAAATTGTGAAGTGGGAGGAAAAATGCTTATATGCATTTACATCCAAATCGGCAAAAACAGGCCCGTTTTCGCTTTCCTGGGGTTCTGCTTCTGTTTCCGTTACGCTTTTGTGCTGTTTATTTTGCTTCCGTTTTCCGTTTGCATACGGCTTCTGTTGGCTCCATAAATCCTGAATATGGGTTGGAAATTTTCAAAACCAACGCCTGAACCGGACCGTAGAAATTTCCATTTTAATGCAATTTTTGCCCTTGCATGTTGATGGATTTCCTGTCGATTGTGTATTGAATTCCAATCTTGGGTTACGTAATTTCAATGAATTATTCTGGCTAAACATTCTGTCATCGGAACGGTAATGTTTGCAACCGTTTCAATTTGGTTTCTGTTGACCATAAGCGTTGGATTCCTTTTCAATTTGGGATTATCCCTTACACAAAAAGAATTAGTTAATTTTAACTGAATTAACCTTGGAAAAATTAGTATAAAGTTTCAGGACCCCAATAGAAGTTATTCTATTTAAAAATGCAACAAGTAAATAGTTTATCAAAATCTAGTCAATTGTATTTTAATTTAAGATGCATTAAAAATATTTTATAGATTCTATTATTATTATAATTAGCCTGAGTAATAACATATTGTGTATTTATTAACATCTCTTATCATAACGAAAATAGATTCTTATTTTTATGGGTTCAAAAATCTATTTATAAAAATATTTATTTCGAAAAACTTTTAAAAATAAAACTCTTTTTCCACGTGCACAATAAACACTGCATATATTTCATTTCAATTTAGTGTATGCAGCCGTAAAGATTTCAATTGCAGCCAGAACCTAGAGCTCATGTTTTATTTGGGGATTTGGGCGACACCCTTTTCATGCCGCACACTTGGCCACAAGTCGGAAACTCCCAAGATAATGAAAAACGGGAGAGAAAAAAAACCCCAAACAACACAGACTGAAGGAAAGGCACTTAAAAATGCACAGAAATGGGGGAGAAAATTCGGGGGAAGGGAAAGAAAAACAAGAAATGGAGGTGGAACCCCAAATTGCATAGGATGCGCGTGCCATTTATTAGCTTTTGGCAGTTCGAGGAGCTGTGTAACTACCCGGCTTAAATAAGCCATTAACATAAGCCTCACGATCGGGAAAACTTCTGGGGGAAAACAAACGGCAGGCTTGTGGAAAATTTACGTTGCCTTCTGGCCCAATCGTTCGCAATCTAAATATACTACACCATATAAATGGAGCGTGCTTCTGCTCTGGACACGATCCGTCCATCCATTCAGTTCATTGAGTAAGTTTGTTTACAATTAGCCGACGCGACAGCATTAAACAAAAACGATGTCGATGTCGAGCGCCTATAAACAAAAAAAAACCCAGAATATTGTACAGAAACATATGCGAGAAACTTTCGTGAATGTTATTTTTCTTTAGGATGGATTGATTTAAGGTGTCTACAAAATTTAGCAATAACAATAACATCACCTTTGCCAAATTTTCGTTGGCAAAAGTTACAAAAACAAAAATAAACAACGAAAAGCCGCGAGAAAGCGAGAAATACATTTTACATTCCCGATTTATTGACTGTGCTTATCGGCGGAAAGTTCAATTAAAGGCCAAGTTTCTACATTTATTTTAGCGGCGCCGGAAAAAGGGAGCAAAATGTATACAAATGAACGAGCAGCGAAATCGCTTAGATAAGGTCTTTACTACCCCTCTTAGAAGTGGAAATCCTACCCCATAAACATGTTTATTACATGATATTTATGTATTTGGGTTACCTTTGATTTATGCTGGCTACAATTTGATATGCATCTATCTTTTGTCTTTTTTCCCCGGAAAACTGGCGGAAAACCGCACCCAGTTCGAGAAATCCCACCCATTTTTATCCCTCAACCTTCATTTGGATCTCTGCTAAGACAAACTAATTTCGCTGCGGCTAATACATACGAATGACAGTCATTTAATTTCTATGAGTCATAAATTTTTATAATGCGCATACGCCGTGTTGTGCGCGCCTCGCAGTCGGCAACTGGAAAGTAAGGCGGCAAACAATTGCAACTAATTAGGTAGAAACGAAGCCGAATCCACGGGCATCCACGCTGTTTGCAGTTAATCAAGGCGAAGAGCAGCGAACTTAAGCCAAAGGAAACTTAAATTGAAATGTAAGATAGTTTGCTTTGCTTTTCTTCTGCTTTGTTTTAGTTGGTAGAAGTTTCGTTTAGCCAAACAAAACACGTCGACCAAATGATTTTGTTTGCCCGACACTTCAAGTGTCTGAATCTCAGGCGTCGAAACTGTCATTTTTGCTCGGGAATCTGGACTTGGTCTCTTGAAACTCGGTGAAGTTTTTGTTTGTTTTGGGGGCGGGTCAGTAGGGAGATCATCACAATACCGAATACAAAATACCAAAGCCAATCACCACAAAACACCCGAGTAATGATGCGGAACTTTTCAAGTGCCTTTGTCTCTCACTTCTGGCCTTTCCTTTCACTTTTCTCCGGTTTTTGTTCGAAGGACTCGACTAGACTCTGGACTTTGACAGTCTTGTTGTCGTCCTCCTGATTCAAATCTCTTCCTGGAAAAGTTATTAGCAATGGCAAATGGCAAAGATGTCTGGGAATCTGCAAATGGCAAATGATTTAATTGCCTACGCTTGTGAAAGGAATATTCTGGCTTGAAAGATATCCTTTGTTAGATGGAAAAAGACTTTAGTTAGATTATAAAAATTATTCAAATAAGCTTTTTGTTTTAAAACGTACATACTGGAAATTCTATTCTATAGATATTTCAGTACCAACTTCGTAAAAAATACACAATTGGAAATTTTGTTATTTTAAAATCAATCTTATGAAAAATCTTTATATTTTTATCTCTACAAGATTATAATTATTTTAAATATTTCAAAGGAATATTCGAAATAAATAATTCCTCTACTAATTTGCATGCAGAATCTATGCATATTCAGATCCTTTTAAGGATTCCCTGGTCATTGGCAATACACTTTTCGCAGAAGCTTATGGCCAAATACTTTCTAACCCCTTGCCAATCCGAAGAGTGCATCACCATTTAGCCAAGTTGAAAGCCAGACCGATATGCAATTAGCATTATTAGGTTGTGCGTAACACGAAACCGCAATTCCCGCACTGCACAAAGGTTGCATTTTAAATGGTTTTCCCTATTTCCGACGCTTTTTTGCTTTTTTGCCTCTTTGGCTTATGAAATGCTAAAAGTTATGCATATTTGTACTTGACTAGCAGACTCATTAATTAAGTAACTGAAAGGGAAACAGACGTATCCAGTACAGTATCGCCTGGAGCTGCTCTTGGGAGGAGCCCTTCTGATAGCGCGCACGCTTGGAATTAATTAATTCCGCTTCTAATATGAAAAGTGTGCGACGTCTTAGTTCTTAGCCCTCAACTCAAATTAATTTATTGCCCTGTATTCTTGGGAAATTGTATTTCTGTTTTCAATTAAAGAGCTTAGAAATCTGAAGATTATTGCTTACCACTTTGATTTACACAAAAGAAGCAATTAAAACAAAGGACAATGTGTATTTAAGAATGATAATATAATTTTAAGGTGTTTAAATCAGAGATCCTAAATATTAAAAACTATTATTATTGTGAAAAAAAGAATATTTTTATAAAAATAAATACTTTAAAATGAATGCAATTTACAAAGAATTTCTTTTATTTAAATTACACTGGTCGACAAAAAAAAAGCCCAAGAATAAAAGCTACCAAACCTGAAAGGATTTTAGCTGTAGATTACTACCTCATACTTGGAAACTTTCCATCACGTCGAAGTTTTGAGAAATCCGTGGTCAAAGTTCCAAATTTTCGATTTTTAGGCACTTTTTGCTACTTAATAGTAAGAAATTCCTTTGTAGCCCACAGCCACAATTTAGCGGAAAAGGTACTTTGAACCTTTAACTTCAAGATTGTCCAATCACAAAGTTGGGCGACCTCTACTTTTTTAGCTACAATGGATTTTACTGAAGTACTTTTTGTCACTTTTTTTCATCTATAGTAGCCTAATATTTTTAATGTATTGTATGTGTACGGGTCTCAGTTCAACAAGGAAAATATCAGGCTACTATAGATGAAAAAAAGTGACAAAAAGTACTTCTGTAAAATCCATTGTAGCTAAAGATATAGAGGTCGCCCAGCTTTGTGATTGGACACTCTTGAAGTTAAAGGTTCAAGGTACCACTTCCGCCACATTGTGGCTCTGGGCTACGAAAGGTTTTCTTACTATTAAGCCGCAAAAAGTGCGAAAAAATCGAAAATTTGGATCTTTGACCACGGATTTCTAAAAACTTCGACGTGATGGAAAGTTTCCAAGTATGAGGTAGTAATCTAAAGCTAAAATTCTTTCAGGTTTTGTAGCGTTTATTCTTGGGCCAAGAAAAAGTCTTGATTTTGTCGACCTGTGTTATTATACCTATTAAACAAATTAATTTATAGTTTATCCCCTTGAACTAATATTAACCGCAAATATTTCAGAAAACCCGAAACAAATTAGAATAATCGCTAAATGAACATGATATAATTATTGCAATCAGTCATGTGCGTTGATTACATTGTTTTGCCCAAATCACTTCACTACACTCATAAAAATAATTTTCTACATTTTAGAAAATCGCCCTAAAAAATTTTTCGCCTTTGAACTGAGAAAAATTTTCTATTTTCACGACAAATTTG